ACCATTCATGCTCCGTCAACATTTAAACCGCCACCTCGAGTGACGCTCACTGATAATAAACGCGAAGCGTGGCTTCGAGATCTTGCCAATCCGTCTGTTCCGTTGCGAAGGTTGAGCCGAACCATTCCCCATGGTATCCGTGGCAAGATCCTCCTGGACCAGTGCCTTGGCAAATGGATACCTGTTGCACGTGCTGTCTGGTTAGCAAAATGTGTGGGTGCGAATGAAATCCGTGCGTTCAAGCGAAAAGGCACAAGCGGAGCTTTGGCTGTTGGCTTAGAGGCGAAATGGGTCCGAGATTGGACGACAAATGTCCAGCAATTTGTTGAGGGGGTGTTTGCTTCCCCCAAGTCCTCGGATTGGAAAGCGAGAATGACATACGCGTTCGTATTCGTGGATTGCCATCAATCGTGAGCAACATGCTAACATCTACTTCCAGTGTCGGGTTGACTGCTCGTTTATTTTCCGAAAACTTACTGGACCATGACCATTTCCTTGAATGGTTCTTGGTATCCTTCGAGGCTGCTTCTATCGGCGCGATTCCAATCTGGCTTTTGATGCTCGGCATATACTGGAAGAGTATTATGCGATATCGGCGAAGGGGACGACGATTAGCTGAGTTACTACTACAAAAAGTGCGACAGGTACGTTCGACTTTCACCCAGCACTGCAACTCCTTTGTGCTTGTAGTCAATACTGACAGCTAGCAATAGGCAACTGAAGCTAAGTTGACTCAACTTCAACCTCTTATCGACCGTCTTTCTCGCTTCATTAAAAAGCTTGTTCTTGACCATACATCCTCGATGATACTCCCGAATTCTTGGGAGACATATAACCAACAGGTGTCGTCTGCCCTTGATTTGGGCAACAAAGCAGAAAAAGCTCTCTTTCAGAGCCTCGCAGAGCGCAATGCTCGAGTGCAACGACCCAGACACTCGAAACAGACAACCCAACGCTCACCCCATCAACGCATCGTCCGACTCCTCGACTCCATACGCTCCGCTCAGGACCTCTCTTCTATCTTTGGCTATCTCGATGCTTTTGATGACAAGGCTATCTTGGTCTTCAAGCTATTGGAATGGCTCTCCACACCCTTCCGCCATGGACTCTGCCGAGTTTACGTTGGTGTCCGCCTGCTCCGCAAATGGAAATCGGCCGGCGTCGATATAGACAGTCACATACTGGCATTTCTATCACGTGGGCAGAACAATCAAAAGCTCAACATGGATCAAATCTATCATGTCGTTTCCGAACTTGTCAGGTCACAAACATTCTCAGTCGGCCGCTATCTTCAATGGCTCATGGCACGAGGCGTTACCAATGGATCATCTTCAGCCGAAAGGCGCAAGGTAGGATCGAATCTGCATGCTACACCCTTCTGATTACTAACATACGTGCAGGTGGAGGACTTGCCAATCGACATCGGACTGATAGCGCAGCTCCCTGTTGCCCGTCTTCCAGAACATGTTGGGAACTTGCGGAATACCCTACTGGCTCGTACCGGACTGTCTTCCTCGGAGGAGAATGCAACTATTGATAGTGTGAAAGATATCATCAGCCAACATCTACCCGGAATTTTCGGTGTCAACAAGTCTGCGTCAATGGCCTTAGACTCATTACCATCAAATCTGCCTTGGGCTGTCAAAGCCGAGGTTGGCCAGTGGCTACGAAGAGCAATCGGGGAGCACAATCGGAGTGCAGAGTAAGTATTTAAATTTATTTTTCCCAAGTCCATCATCCTTTATCTTGCTAACTCGCTAATAGGTCAACTAACAGGGGAATACTTTCCATTGGAATTGCCTCTGTGGTGTCTGCGTTGACTCCTGACGAGTTTTATTCCGTGCGCAATGCTCTTGAGTCATTTGGCGACATTTCAATGCTAGCAGATGTGCTAAAGTTTGCGTCTAGCTGTGGTGATAGCACTGTTCTTGCCTCGGTTGCGGATACCGCAAACTGCCATTTTGACTCTCTTTGCGTTATTGGCGCCACAACTGATCTATTCCGGAGACTCATCGATGCCTATGCCGGCATTAAAAGGGTTGGCATGCCAAGTCTTGATCTGATATTCTCTCTGATCGAACTTGGTTTGCGAATCCCTAGCGATCTCAGTACTGTGTCCATTCTTCGCCAGGATCTCTCTCGCATGGAGAACAAGTCAATAATGGCCGCATCTTCTCCAGTCTCGGATCACATATCGGATGGCTTCGGTGGGGTCGATCCCTTCTTCCGAGAAAAGCTAGATCAACTTTTGCAATCAGGAAATGTCATAGATGAGCCCACACTGGACGCGATTTTCAACACACTCATAAAGCATCTGGAATCCGATGATGGCCATGAAAACCTCTCAGCAAATGATACCTGCCGTTGCCTCGCACAGCTCAGATCTTTCCATCCAAAGCATTTTGATGGCATTCTTGCCCGTTGGGTCTGTGGTCATTTGCGATCTCCCGAACGTACCATTTTGCTGCGGGTTCTACCACCGCTAATTGGTGTTGGATGCGTTACTATCAGAGCTTTTTTGGCCCTTGCAAAGAGACTCACACTCACTATCCCAGCAACAGTCCCGAATGCAGCCCAACTGCCTGCTGACCTTGTCCAACTTCTTGTCTCTAATGCCGAAGGTAACAAGCCCCTGGATTTGGTGTCCTATCGGTTCCAGTTGGCACAGCAGGAATTTCTCAATAAGAACTCCGAGGAAGCGCTCAAGATTGCTTGTGATGCCGCATCGTCCAATGCCGGTAATTCTTCCACTGGGCACAGCGAGCTGGAGCACTCGATAGTCATTCTGCTACGCGACCTTCTTGTGCGACACCCGGAATGTGCGGTACAGAATGGCATGCAGAAGCTCATGGACCAATACCCCGCCGCTTTAAGTACTGTGCAGAAAGCGCTTGACCTTTTATTGGGCGTTGAGTCACAGTCTGACGGCAATTCAGTCCTCTCAAAGGTCGAAAAGCTTGCATGTATGACCGACGATTTCTCGCTCCCATTTTGCCAATTGAAGCTCCAAGTTCTATTTCATGCGGACTCGGGGTCCGAAGACCGAACCAATATTGTTGATGCCATGTTTAAAACTGCCGTATCAGACTGTCGTGCTCACAGGCTTCACTGGGTTGACCTGGTTGCACTGATGAGCCCAGACGCCGTACGCCAAATCCGGGAACGTGCTGAAAAAGAGTTTTTTTCCATCCCACTGCTTGAAGAGCCACTAGATGATATTCCTGATTCGCCTGACAAGCTGGGATCACTCGAAACTGCCAAGATGTATCTGACCATTATCGAAGAGCTTGCGAGTAGCATCCCTGAATCCGGGGCTCCGTCTATCGCTCCAGTGCTTGTGGAAAAGATGGATTGCCTTCTCCACAAGATCATCACCATGCACAACAGTACCCACACCAAGGGTATGACTAACACAAGTCGTTCGAATTTTGAGCGTGCTCTTGCATTCTGGTTCTCTGCTCTGCTGAGGATGATCGTTCTCCATCGGTCTGCATTCGCCCAACCGCCCGCAGCTCTCAAGATCAATCCTCTCCACGAGCAGCTTCGACTTCTGACATCAATCTTCTGCATTGCGCTCTCGCGCCTCCCCGGAGATATCCTTCGCCTATTCCCTGCGGCTGATTACTTCCCGCACCCGGTCCCGGCTGAAGGCTTCCGTCCCTGTCCAGGAATCCTCCTGCAGACCCACGCTCTAGACGTCGCCGCGTCACTAATCGACGTCTTTCCAGACGAAGTCCGCCAGCAATGTGCACGGTTCCTGAAAGAGAAATGCCCATCCTTCGTACCATTCATGAACGACTCTCGCTTCCTCTACCTCCTAGGTCCAGTGGCAGACCAATACTCTGCAAATACCCAGCAAGTCTCAGTACATTCTCCAGCAGCATCGGGGTCAACCCCAACTCAATCACCTGCTCTTTTCTCTGTCGTTGGAGCATCCCCAACCCAGCAGTCTGTCGCACCAGCGTCGGGGTCGTCTATCGGACCACCTGACTCGAACTGTATGGCCAGCCGACTTCGTCTTCAACACCGCGGTCGTGTTGTCGGTCCCTATCCAGTCCGTCCTTGGGAGCTACTTGAGGATGCGGCGCCGTTTTTGGGCATCAATGATACAGCTGTCAATCTGGGGTTCTTCGATGCTAGACGTGTGAGAGCCTGATGATCATGCTGATCACTGTTTTCTTGGGAGAGGTCACACTCACATACTTCACAACTCCTTTCCCTTCCATTTCTTTCTCGGCATATCTTCCTTTCCAGCATGATTCCCAGCATTATCTTCTTTATTTCTGATTACTTCTCAGCTTCTCACCTCCATCTTCTATCAATTTCACAGCATATGCTTTTTATCCTCACGACCCACTTTTATTAACCATGAGCGTTTGCATATGGGAATCTGCCATTTTCTTCTGTTTTGCGTTCTTGTTTTTATGTTCGGCGTGCATTACTATCCCCCACTGGCATTTGATTTCGCTATCTATGGCATGCAAACTGGCATCGAGAAGCATTTTGTACATATAAACCGGCTTTCGGTCTCGGCGTATACATGGGCGGGGATCAAACTGCCGCTTGGCCATATCAATCAAATGAGAGCTATTATCATCGATGAGCCAGTTCAGTCTCTAGGTCTTCATACTCTAGGGCCACCGGGTCAGTTTGTAGTGAGACTCTGACAGCACTGTAACCAAGACTATTAACGTCAAGAACTAACATGTACTTTGAATTGCCATTAGGAATGAGCAAACCTGTGGAATAAAATTTGAAATTGAAATTTGATAATTGAATCGAGCATGTTCATAGTAACATACATGCTCCCCTTTTTTTGTAGTTTTTTCTTTTCCTTCGAAAGCAAATACACAAATTTGAAAAAGAAAAGAGACAAGACCATAAAAGACGCATGGAACAAAGAGTAAAAAGAAGATAATAATAAAACGACCCGTCATAACAAGCAAATCACACCGGATAACTCCCTCCATCCCCATTGAAATCACCTGTCAATATCAAATCTACTTCTTAGAGGAAGTACCACTGTCAACGCTGCTACTGTCACTGGGACCAAGACCTCGGCTTTTCCGTAGAGCATCTCTGCGCTCACTCTCTAGCTCTTGGATGACTTCTTGCAAGATATGGTCAGGGACACGCGAGTCAGGATCAGCCGAGGCACGCTGCGCGTTAATCTCACGGGTATACTGCTCAATTGTTTTGCCGGTGTCGGTCTTGGGCTGGTACTTTTTCTTGAGAGGTCTGCGATGCTGGAAAGCATGGCGGGCCAATAGGTGTCTGTTTTCTGGCACTGCAGGCTCGAGCCTTCTGTTGTTACTCTTAGTTGGAGTGGCTGTGGCCAGTTCCGGGGACTTGTTTTTGCTTGGAGCGCTCTTGTCGACTGGTTTGAGGGTCTCGGTGGTATCAGGAGTCTTAGTATCGGCTGATTTCACTGAATCAGACTGGACTGGAGTCTGAAGTTGAGCGTCCTCCCGAGACTCATCTGTATCTGGTGTCTTGGGGCCAGCCTCGGACGAGGACCCGGTACTTTCTTCATTCTTGGTGTCAATCCTCAATGGGAGTTTGACTTCATCCATCAACCTTTCTTTCTGTTTATCACGACTTGGAACAAAGGTGGATTCAGACTGAGGCGAGTTGAGCTCATTCTCTGGCTCGGCGGATTTGCTCTGAGACTCAATAGTTTCTTTTACAGGTGCGCGAGACCCAATGTGAGTCTCAGTGGACTTGCTCACATTTACCATGCTGGTCATCTCATGTGAATCATCCAGGGCTTGTATAGAGACTGGTTCACTTTGGGTCTTGGCAGGAGCAGACACTGGAGCCATGTCGGAGCCTCCATCAGTGTTGGGGTGGCGTGGCCGGGCTAGTTGGCGGCCTCTCTCAGTCTCAGGGGTCTGGACTTTAGTTTGTGTCAAAGCTGATTTGGATTCATTGACTCTGGGTGGCGAACTGTTGTTTTGCTGACTTCCCACACTAGACTGGCGACTATGAGGATATGCATTGGGCGGATAGGGCTGGTTGTAGTCAGGCTGTACGAAACAAGCGCCTGGGGGACCAACCCAGCTTGACTGCATATTGGTGAATGTATCATCGGCGGGATATGGCTCGTAGTAGAGTTGTCGGTGATGTTCTGTGTCAAATTGGGGCTGGCTGGAGACAATCAAGGGACAGTCAGGACGAGGTGGCAACCGGCGGCGGCCGGGAACAGGACCAGCAACAGGCTGAGGCTGAGGTTGAGTTACAATTGGAGGAAGAGGATTGGAAGGCTGATATGATTGATTGCCCAAGAACACAGGAAACCCTGGGGTTGGCATAGCAGTGTAATCAGCAGGATATGGTGGCGGGCCGTCATGCATGTGAATTTGGCTGAACATGACAGGAGGATTAGGAAATGCACCCGCAGGTATGAAATTTTGATTGGGATAATTTGGCGGGAAGTTGTTGCCCTGATAGTTCGGGGGGAAGTTATTACCAGGGAAGTTCTGATAGTTGGGGTTGGGATAGCCCTGATTGAAGTTGTTCTGAGGGAAACCGTTACCACCGGGGTAGTTCTGAGAGAAAGAGCCGTGAGGCGAATGGCCCTGGCCATTGAAGCTTTGGCTGTGACCGTGATTTGCAAAGGGTGTGTTTTGGTGTCTGGGGCCAGCACCAGGAGCGTTTCGAAATCCGCCTCTGTTATTGTTACCGCCGCTGTACCATGGACGGTGAAAAGATCTGCGGCCATTGTTGTTGTATCGCTGCTGATTGCCACGGTTTGGGAGAGGCTGGTTAGAAGGCCTGTGTCCTGGAGCAGGGTAATCCTGGGAGAGTTGGTTGTCGTTGGGATCCATGGCAGGTCTGGTCATATAATAATCAGGGTGGTTTTGGAAATGCTATGGTCAAGTGGTTAGTAAATTCAAAGCAAGACTGAACAGGCAAGTTACCTGAAGGGCATCCGCGTAATCGTCAGGATATGCGAAAGTGACAACCCCAAAGGTAGAGTCTTCCCCTTGTGGGTTAACGTAGTTCTCAACAGCTATGCCCTCAAGACTCCCAAGTCCCTTCAGCGCATCGACGATTACAGATTTCTCAATGGGCTCGTCAGTGAGATAACCGAAGTGGGCAGTTCCTAAGTAAAAGCAGAAGGTGAGAAGGTGTGGAGGTGTGAAGAGAAGAGAGAATGTGAAGGTGCGAAGGTGCGAAGGTGCAAACGTGCAATGAAGTTCAAAAGGGAATCTCACGTCTAGCCCTAGATGATTCCAGTCTCAACACCCGATTATGGAGCATCAGGTTTCCATTTTGTTTCAATGCAGAATTTGCTGCTTTGATGTCCTTTCCAGTATGTTAGTAGCCCAGATCTCCACATAAAAGGAAATACACTCACTTCAAATTGTACAAATGCAACAGGTAATTTTTTCAACCCCTGTGACAGTTTGATCTTAACATGACACCGGCCGAAGGTAGAGATCATGTCTGTAAGATCTTCTTCCAACTTTTCAAGTGACACTTTGATAGAGAGACTAATTTGGTCAATAAATAGCGTCAGAGAGGACTGGGCCATACACACTTTCCTACAAAAACACAACAATCAGGAAGAAAGAGGCCCTGTGCATTTCCCTTGCTTGGGGTTTGATTCATTCGATCCGCACGCGGGAGGTATACTGGCTTCTCTTCCTCCTCTGCCTTGGCTGCCTTGACTGGCTCGACTGGCTCGACTGGCTCGTGGGGCTCGCCTGACTTGCCTGTAACTATGTCGGCTGATTTGGCATCATGTTGCTCTGGTGTACTAGGCTTCGAGCTACTAGACTTAGTGATGCTGGACTCCGAAGCTGCATGTTCGGGGGCATCTTGCTTTGGAGCAGCATGCTCCGGAGTACCATGCCTAGAGATACTAGGCGCAGAGCAATTCGATTCGACGTAATGAATAGCCATTAGGAAGGTATATAATCAACGAAGGTAACTATATCTTTGTACTGTGGTAAACGAGTGGTTTGACTGCGGTAAACGAGCGTGATATGGATGTATAATAGAAAAGAAAGAGAGAAAAGAACGTGATATCGAGACGACTACGTGGAATATCCTCTATGAGCACCACCTCCGTCGCTGTATTGGGATAAATGTGAAATATCCCATTTTCCAGAACTGGCAGAGGCAAGTAGATATGAAGCCAACCACGGTATATTTCCGGGGAGCGCTCTCATAGGACTAGCATGGAGCGATTTTGACTCAGGATCAACCTTTACCCAGGACTTTACAATCCAGGGGACTGTCAAACCACTGGTTCACAGTCTGATATCCAGGACAGGAATCGGAGTCAGGCCCCCATGAAGAGATTTATCACGCATATTATCTATGACTCTTCTAATAAAGTTGGCCATGAAGTCTGGATGTTTCTCCCAAAAAGGAAATACGCGTCATGCCGGTTCAGGCGTCGGTCTGGCGAAGTATACGAGATGCTCCTGATCAGAATGTCGTCAGCCATCGGCATATACATGGCATTGATAGCAGTACTAAGCCCAACAAGGAATTCATTTTGAACAGTCGTCAAAATGCTAGACACTTGGCGTAAATCTTGCCGAATTGTGAGTTTTAGGAAAGATAACTTGCAACATTATGACGTGTATATCAGTGAAGAGAATAATGAAAATGAAGTATAAAACATCAAAGAGAGAGAGAGAGAGCCACTGGAGATCGGGAGAGACCAAACATCACAAACACTTTCTTATCGGGCCTCGGAAGCCGATATGAGACAACGTCAATTCCACCTACAATAAGATCTTCCCTTCCTCAATTCAATCCAATATGTTTCCAACTCGACGTTTAGCCCAAGGTGGATTCTTCAAACGCAGTGCCGATGAGTTTGGTCGTTTATCAAAAATCGGTAAATTTGGATGCCGTCAGTCTTGCACCTCAACTAATTTGCCGCAGCTTGGAACACGGAAGCCCTCCACACTCCGACTAAACCTTATACGCTCCTGAATTTCGAGGATGAGAGCACCGTGGCAGGATGTAAGACCATGGCCGATCGTGCAGTAGGAGGCTTTAGCACAGCCAGCCTAGACTACGAACCTGCTGAACCTTCTTCAAATACTCCTTCCCATGCCCGCTTCCACGGTAGCATCTCAACCAAGCTTCCAGACAACTGGCGCGTCGAAAGAACTGGTATGTACTACCTCTTACCTAGGTAGCGCCATATCCTAGTGGTCTAGAACGCACCCAATAAATTTAGAAAAAGAAAAGAAAACAGCTAATACCCGCAATTCAGGCTACGCTGCGTTCCGCAATCAAGATCGAGGCCTCTGGCTCTTCGGCCGGCTCTTCTGGGACGTCGATCCCTACGCGTACCTTGCCCTGCGCATCAAGTCTGACGGTCGCCGGTACACAGTCAACGTGCAGACAGATGCAGTTGTTGAAACGGATATTCACCAGCACAGACTATACACACGACACCACCGCCTGCTCAACACACCAAAATCGGAGGAACAATATGACTTCCAGGCAGACTCACCTGATGCCGCTGAGGACCTATATCCCAGCGGCCTACCCGCTGCGCTTTCAGATATCCCACCTGAGTCGACAATCATTTCCACCTCTACCAGTACAACAACATCTGGGGCCGAAGGGTGGGAGACTGTTCTCTTGCCTTTTAACTCGTTTGTGCGTACGAATCACGGCTTTGTCATTGAACCTCAGACTTCTTTGACTAAGCAGCGTGTTAAGAGTATTGGTATTGGTCTCACGGACCGTGTTGAAGGGCCATTTGATCTACGCATTCATAAGATTTGGGCGACGAATGGCATTAGTGAAGCGGAGATTGAAGAGGAGCGGCGTATTTGCGGTGAACAGGCGTTGCCTCTTGATGAGGGTGTCATCTCTAGTTGGACCGACAAGGCCGTGGAGAAGTCCGTGGAGGAAGAGAGCAAGCAAGAGGATCGGATTTCGAATAAGAAGGGTCTCAAGGGGTTGAAGTCTGAGTGGGAGGAATAAAGGTACAAAATAAGACCATGTACTATGTGTATAATAATGCCTGCTGCCTCCACGGCCACAATCATTGGGGATGATACTTAAATTTCTTTATCCCGAATCAATCATAAAAAACAAAAGTCTAAACTTGAATCATATATATGTATATAGTAATACCTTTAGATTTTACCACCAGTGATCTTCTCCCAAGCCTCCTTGTACTTCTCCGCCGTCTTAAGCGCAATATCATCAGGCATGCGTACACCCTCCTTGCCCTTAAGACCCTCGCTGACCAACCAGTCACGCAGGAACTGCTTGTCGAAGCTGGACTGGCCGCGACCAACAGCGTAAGATTCCTTGGGCCAGAAGCGAGAGGAGTCAGGCGTCAGGACTTCATCAGCAAGCACGACTTCACCAGTCTCCTCGTCGACTCCAAACTCAAACTTGGTATCAGCGATGATCACACCTCGCGCGAGGGCGTACTCGTGCGCTGTCTTGTAGAGCTCAACGGCCATCTTGGCAACAATCGACGCGTAGCGCTCGCCCAGGATGGCGACAGCTGTGAATGACAGATGTTAGGTAAGTCACGCTGTGTACTATACATATACAGTACAGATATCTCAAGCCAATAGATTCGACGAAAAGAACATACCCTGATCCGGATGAATATTCTCATCATGCTCGCCCTGCTCCGCCTTCGTGCTGGGGGTGTAGATAGGACCGTCAGGGAAAGCCTGGCTCTCCTGCAGACCAGCGGGGACCTGAATTCCATGCACGGTTCCGGACTTCTTGTATTCATTCCATGCTGAGCCGGTGATATATCCGCGGACAATTGCCTCAATGGGGAGAATGCGTAGTTTGCGCACTTGCATACTCCGGTTCTGCAGAACGGGACGGAGAGACTCCGGGATCTGGGGCGGGAGGTCGAGGGTGATGAAGTGAGTACGGAGGGAGGGGTTGGCCTCCGTAAGGGCCTTGAACCACGTTTGCGTGCAAAGGGTGAGAAGAACACCCTTGTTAGGGATACCCTAAGTGGTAAAAGCGACGAGCATTAGCAGCAAGTTTCTTTAGACAATGGTGGTGTTGGTGTGGGGAATTGTATACATTCTCCATGATCACATCGTAGGCGGAGATGCGGTCAGTCGCAACGAAGAGGAGGGTCTTCTCGTCGACTTCATAAAGATCGCGGACCTTGCCTCGAGCGACAAGGGGCAAGGCACCCTGCAAATCTGTGGTAGTCAGAGCTTGAGCCATTGCGAAATTGTTCAATTGGTGAGTTGCGAAGGAAAGTAGTTATGCGTCATCTTTTTTTCCCGAGTGCTTGTCCCGCATTGCAGCCTTACAGCCTTACAGCCTCAGGTGTCAACAAGTCATCTCCAACACGCGCACCCTTGGAACAATACCGTTTATAGCGCACAGTAAGATGTGGCAGCCATAGCGAAGGCAAAATGACGCGTTATTTGACTCCCTGGAGAGTCTCTTTGTTGTGTCTGGTCACACTCTATACCGAAGGCGTCGTGCCCAATTCTTCTGCTATTCACGTCCTCTCGTTCCTCACAGCGGGTCTGTTTCCACTAGATGCCGCCGATAAGCAATGGGAAAAGCATTACTTGCCGACAATTTCAGAGCTTGAAGAATGCTTGTCTCGTCATGAGTCCTCTATTCCTGGGCGCACGCTCTGGGACTTGTTTTTGAAGAACCTCTGGTCCATTGACTCGCTGGATGCGTTGGAGACTTTCTTTGGCGAGGTTATCCCATCGCTCCTGGCCAAATCACGCGAGGACCTGATTCATGACAGGGATAATGGAATTGCACCAGTGGTGGATGATCGGATGCGCTTGTCCAGGAGTTCTCCGCTTGGCGCGTTCGTACGGAGAGCTTATCTTGAATATACGCGGCTCCAGTTTCACGATTCTGTGAAGCTCTGGACGGGCTTTGTCAAATACCGTCTACCTACATACAGCTACTGGAGTCGCAGGCATCGCGAGGCTGAGGAAATCGCCATTGATGTTAATCTACGCGACCTGGGACTGGATTCGACTAGCCACCTTTCACAGGTAGTGTATGGTGACATCGACGATGATGAGTATGGGGAGGGAGAAGTCAGTGCCAAGGACGCAGAGCGACTGATCGAGTTCCAAGTCGGTGAACTGCAAAGTATGCAATTCCTTTCCGGCTTGTCATGCCCATGTGCTAACGGACACAGGAATGGGAGGCAGAGTTCCGGATGAAATGAGAGCACAGCTGAAACGCATTATGACCTCAGAATCTTCAGTCCCCGTAATGATGTACTACCTGGAGTACGTTTTTATACACATTCATATCGATATAAACTGTGGTTGACCAAATGCCAGATATCTTGACGCCTGGAGGGCTGGAGACTATACCTCAGCCTTTGATAACCTCCACCGCTACTTCGACTACACCATGCACGCGAATCTCGACCGAAGCGCATATCAGTTTGCCCTTTTGAACTTGGCTATCATGCAAGCAGATTTTGAATGTTTCAATGAAGCGATCTCGGCCGTGCAAGAGGCCGTGGCAATTGCTCGTGAGTCTCACGATATGAACTGCCTGAACTTCTGTATGAGCTGGCTTTATCACTTCGGTAAAGCATTCCCAGAGCAGATGCGGGAAGTTCAGAATAGTGGCATGCTGGGCAATGAAAAAGAGGGCCTCGCTTTCCTCAAGGCCAAGTCCAAGGAGACTGACATGTGGTCTCTTATGAGTACCACGTTACTTAGTGAAGCCAAGTTAGAGATGCAGCAAGTACGGACTCCTGTTTCCCTTTGACCAAGTCGATGCTAATGGTGAACAGGGAGAGAGTCTTGCATCGATTGTCGAAACCTTCGTGCGAGCATCCCACGTCAATGTGACCAAGGGCGTCACGACTCCCACAGGTGCATACATGCTGTTACAAGGCTCGATGTATGCTAGAATAGGTATGATACTAATTGCATAGTAATTGCGATGGCGCTAATATAGCTAGCAGGGGCTACTCACCTTGCTTGGCTGAATACCGAGATATTCCGCGAATGCTATTCGGAGGGCCAACCTCATGATGACTTTGTCAAGATCACATTCCGAAATTGCCAAATAGTATGTCTGCTTCCCTCTTCCGGAAGTGCACCACAGAAATGCTGATTCTTCGCCTGCAGTTAGCACAGAAAGGCAATTATAAGGAGGCATCCACACGAATGAATAAGATCGACCCCGAGAAGCTCCGAGCTTTCAGATACAACAACTCTTGGACATTTTTCTCAGGGCTGCTCCAATTGCGGCGACAAATCTGTCGGTAAGTAGCGCCCAACTATCACACTCATTCTATATCCATTTCTAACAACCCACAGTGACGACAAGGTAGCCGTTGAACACATTCTATCGCAACTCCAGGCGGTGCAACTCCGGGACTTCGACATGCGTCTGCTTTTAGCCTTCCATTCAATAGAATTTACCATGCGCCAAGGCGACTACGGTCGTGCCCTGAGGATGGTCGAGCAAGCCGCGCACTCCATGCAACCAGAGAACTTTGACGTCCACTCTCAAGTCAGACTCCTCTGTCTAAAAGCACAAATCCTTGGCAAGTCCGGCCAACCGCAACGCGGCTTCTCCCTTGCCATGCGTGCAGCGCACATCGCACATCGCTCAAAAGTCCTCGCCGACCTGTGGGAAGCCATCTGCACCCTAGCGACGGTGTTACTGAGTCTCCGTGAGTTCGAAGCCACGGGCGAACTGGTCGAGAGCATCATGCCCCAGGTGCTGGAGTCAGAAAATTACGCTCTCATTGCGCAGGGGTATTCACTTCTCGTAGATGCAAATATGGGTATGGCGGGTGAGCTGTGGAGCTTGCAGGGCCGGGACTCGACATCTACGAGAAAAGAGTACATCAATCGTGCTCTTGGATACATTGACTCTGCATATGATCATTTCGAGGAAATTGAGGATATCAAGGGCCAGACGGAGATGATGGCCAAGAAAGCTACTGTGATGCATCTTACGGGCGATCCGGTCTTGGCTAATGATTATGCTGCCAAGTACCTGGATCTGCGGAGACGTACTGGAACATGAACCTCACAGAAACAATAATATACATTTAATTGTCTATCTATCAGTAAACTCTCTACACTTGTCAAAGTACGACTGTAGCAACGATGGAATGAAAAGTAGGACAAGGTTGACACGAGGGAGGAACGGGCAAGGTAGCTGCATACCCAGGGCCGCCACGACTTTCTTTTGTTTTCATCTGGAGTTCTAACCTCTCTGTGTTTGGTATGTTACTATTGAAGATCAAAAGTATGTTACGCTTCTTTCGGCTTTTCATCCTGCTCTCAGGCCTCATCTCGACTGTCAATGGGGCTAGAAAGACATATCATATGATAAGCCCTGTCTACAAACATAACAAAACTCCTGTTAAGACATTGGCCCTTCTTTACCACTTAGTTCATTCCGATATAAACAGAACTTGTTTTATTTGTGTACAACTGCCAACATGAATATTTAATTTGCTACCTGGATAGCATGTGTTGGAGTCAGCAAGGTATATATCTAGTCGCGTTTTTATACACTGTACTCCGTACAGGCGAAACAATGATTTCGCCGATTCGTGAGATCAGTCCATCCGGAGGTGCCAATAAAGCTGAGAGAGATAAAACCGAGGGTGTCATTCAAAACAGTGTGCAACGAAGAATCGGGAGGATGAATGAACCGAGATAAGGTTGCTATCATAAAATATGGGGCGAAATTTGGTCCTATGGGGGTTTGATGTCCATTATTACTGTTAGGATTTCTGTTCTCCTTCCAAGAGATCGAGTCAAGATTGATATTAGAATAGAAAAAGGCCCATAGAATGAGCCGAGTGCGATAGACCAGACCGGCTACATATGTTGTACTGCCTGTTGAAACCAGTCAAGCCAGCCTCAAAGCTCACATCAATTCCATTCGGCGTTGCTTATGCTCTCGGCCGATATATAAAGGACATGGACTCCGGACCTTTTTCCTAATTCTCCGGGGAGTGTCGTATCTCTCCCTATCTATGGGGTCTAAGCCCGTCTTCTCCCGAGTCTACGAGTACAGGTTTTCCAGGCTTGAAGAAGGTGGAAGCACCGTATAAACAGTAGAAAGGCACAAGAACCGTGGACAGAACTCACGGCCTTGAGGTTAGAAGACCTTCCCGATCAAACCGGAGTGAGGGCCTCCGGTACCCGAGATTGCCTTCCGGCATAAACCCGTTGCTCTAGACATACTCTATTTTCGGGCTATAACCGGTAGAATCTATAGATTGACAATGGAATCCCTTGACTCACAATTGCTGAATCCTCACAAAGTCCCCTGACTCCAGAATGAAAAGCCGCAAACCCCAGACCTCCCAACCCACAGAACAAAATCAAACACCTAAACCAAACACCATCTCCGAGCCCCCGGCCCCACCATTCCGCAGTGTTTCCGCCTGCAACAGATGCCGCCTCCGCAAACACCGCTGCGATCAACGACTCCCTCGATGTGAGTCATGTGAAAAAGCTCAAGTTCGCTGCGTGGGCTACGACCCTCTCACCAAGCAAGAGGTTCCCCGCAGCTATGTGGCCTTCCTGGAAAGTCGCATCAACTATCTCAACCAGGTCCTGATCGACCACGGCATTGGATTCAAGCCTGCTATCGCCTACGACGAGGAAGAGGCGCTGAAGATGGAGGCTGGTCAATCGCCGCGGTTTGAATCTCGTGGGCTTAGAGATACGAGAGAACCGCCAGAGCAGACGCAGATCGGGATGGGGGCGCGGACGTCGCGTAAGAGGAAATCGCAGTATTCCGATGACACCATCCCAACAAGACAGGTCAAGCGCTTGGCGCAGTTGAATGTCCTTCTTACAGAGTTGTTGACGGATGGATGTGACCATCGTCAATGTTCCCGCGACCCGGGGAGGGGCTATGTGCGTGCTGATCGTAGGCATCGCGTGCAGGAGGACTCTCTCGAACAGAGACTACCGTGGTCCCCGCGGAGTTTTGATTCGATAGATCACAGTGATAGCCGTGCGACTAGGTCTGAGTCGCCGGTGTCATCACATGAGCCATATCGATATCCCAGAACGACTCCTGGGCGCGGTTCGTCTCTGCGTGCCAGGACGACCCTGGAACCAGATCATGGGCGCGAAGTACATGACGCAAAGAGACTGTCCGGGATCGAGCTCGATCCGGTAGAACTCGACTCTGGGACACACGACACTAAGCCTGGGAAAACGGGAAATACCAATGACGTTCGACATCCGAATGTTCCAAGTCGTGGTTCGTCGCCAGAAAAGGATGATCGTTCTAGTTCCGAGCCCAAATTTGATATTGCTGCGGATCTTCTTCGGGGGCGGAGGGAGAGGGAGAGGGCTAATTTTGATTTGTTGGATGAGTTCCTTGTTGATTGGGCCGATTGAGTATTCATTTCGTTCCTGGGCGAGTTGATATATATATAAATGAATGTAATTATTATCCAGTCAGTGTATGTGCTACCGCTTGGCAAATTCCAACTACAGCGAAGTAGCAGGCCTGGGTATGTCAAACGTTGTTGATATGCATACTTTGCACGGCGAGAGGTGAACAAAATACCAATATCCATTCTGCTAGGGCTAAATTCCACACAAGCAGACCAATTTCTGAATCATTACAATCACCACGATGCTAAAATAAACGAAACATCAAATTACATATCGCAAATGGGGTGCTCACTTCTGGACTCGCCGCCAGACCTACACAGCAATTGCCGTTACAGTAGAGAGACCGGTACCCATGGAGTCCTTGAAAGTGGTAACCTCAGCACCGTAGCTTGGCACACTCGCACGTAAAGCAGTGTTGTCTTGATCCGGTGTGACAGCAACCACGGGAAGACTATGCTTTGCGGGCCAGATTTGATGACCCACCGCCTTCTCTCTGGCATGGTGCTCTGTGACGACCTCACGCACAATCTTTTGGAAATGGAGCGGACCTTTCTCCATCTCCGGATGAAGCTGGCCGTTGACAAAGATACCGGCATTGAGGTTCTTCTGCGAGTGCACGCACAGGTACTTGTCCTCAGACATGATTCGTTTGTACATGTCGCTAATGAGGTTGAAGGCCTCATCAGTCGCCTCCTTGTGGCGGTAGACTTCATAGCGCATGACACACTGTGTCGGGCTGGTAGGGGTGAATCGCTGCATGAAGAAGAAATTAGGACTAGAGGGGTTGAAGGTTAGTTTTTTGATAAAGCCCGATGGGGAGGATATACTCACGAGATATTGAAAGAGGCATTAGGCCAGAAATAGGTAGTCGCTATTCGGAAGCCCTTCGCGATCTGGTCAGGTCGCGGGGCGCCGTAGTGTTGGATGTGACCGGCCTTGGTCTGGACATAGTAGGAGTTGAGGTCGGCGATGGTGGGGATATCCGGGTGAGCAACTCGACAGTGGTAGCACTCATTGTAATTGTCGGCTAGGATCTTCCAATTGAACTCGCCTTCCATGTCCCATGTGTGATCAAAGACGTAATCCTCAAAGTTATAGTGCTCGAACCGGGGTTGCTCGTCGACACCGTCGAAGTCGTCTTTCCAGGCAACTTCGGGGATATCTTTAGCATCTAGATTCACCCAGACAAATCCATTTCGGTCGATGTGCACATGGGCGGGGAAGAGATCGTTGCTGTGGAATGCGTTGATGTTTCCATTGTTGTCTTTGGCGACGATAAACTCGTAGCCCGCGGCGTCGTAGCGAACACAATCGCCAGTGTTAGGAACTCGGTGCTTGTGTGTAGTAAGAAGCCACTTTCGGGAGAAGATAGATCGTCGTTCAAGCTCGTACATATCTTTGGATGTGTACCAGGAAGCGGGCAGAGCACGGATAGGCTTCTTGTCGTCCTTCGCTGCAACAGCGGAGGTACCAAAGTAGTTCCTCAAGAATGACATTGCGAATACAGATCGGGACAAATGTGCAATGTAGCAAAGGTTGAGACCTTAGTTTACCGATGGAAATCGCACTTTGAAGTTGCTATTGACTACATTTGAACTCCGAGATGTCTACTCTGCTAAATAGCCATCACAATCACAACCAACTCATGAGCCACGGAGCTTGGAACAATCCATCCGATGTATCACCCGGATCTCGACCTTTCGAATCCGAGTCCCACGACATGTTTCGAGGCTCATTGGATTTAGATGGCCATTGCGTAGGGGAGATATACATCGACCCCGATCAGGTGATCGGTACGCTACAAACCGGACCGAGTGGCTTGAAGCCTATCAAACACGCCTCGCAAGGAAATTCTGTGTGGCGAAACGGGCACCTGATAAAGCACCGAACCGTCAACGGTTCGGTGCAAATCCGGGCCCGGCGCTTTACGGAGAACGGAGTACACGTACCTTGAATGGCTGTCTTGATTGTTTTGACCAAGATGGGGGCTGGAAGACTGGGGTATGGGGAGTCCGGCGTAAGACCTTCTGGGACTTTGTACATGAACCAATGGCAATCGAGATTTGGTGTTCATTTCCGGCATCGCCGACGCCAGATCAGCAGTCGCAAGGACTAGCAGGGGTCGTAATCCAATTCTTGCGACAGTTTCTGGGTGAACGAACACCGTTCACCAGTTGAAACAGTGTTGAAAAGGATTCCTCGACTGAACATATTTCATAGAAATCTATTTAAAAGAAACAAGACTCATTTACCGAAGGGATGTTCGAAGGAAGATACTTTGGCGATCAGGGGTTCAAGAGTTAGCGCTAACGTCTGAACTAGTAACAGACCCTTGTTTTATTTCAGAGAGAAACGTCCGCAGTTGTCTGAACTTCAAAAATCCTCAGATCACGTCAAGCTTTTCAAGGTGATGTCCCTGCATAAGCTCTAGAACAAGCACCAAAACAGCGGTGACAGGAGATAAGAGGCCCGAAAAATCAGGTCAATAAGCAATCAAGGAGGTTTGATGCAGAGTATCAGGCCTCAATGCAGAATTAAGTTCGGTAAATAAAATATATTGCATCGTCCGAAATTGAAGCGTTTAGACCAATTGATTGAGATCTACGGAGTACATCCCTGCATTATCTCACTATTGATGTGTTTATGTACGAATTTTCACACAGCCTCAATGATAGGTCACTTTCTTGATAGGAGATCAGCATATGTAATTTATGTATAATAAAGACCCAATATGCAGTACGTGTACCAAGTACACCCAAACGTCAGAACTAAACGCCAAATCTCCATGTAGATAGATACATATAACGAGATAACAAAAGATTGGAAAGCATGTGACACGTTAGCTATACAGATTATCCCAAAAATCGCATCTGGGGAAATCATGATTAGAAGATGAATGAGTAAACAAACACCAGAATTGTGGCTACGGTGGCAACCGTGTATTCAAGCTCGAACCAAGCAGCCTGCCCACCAAAGGCAATCTTTTTACTCTTCTTGGTCGGGTGCGCGACACCAGTCTTAGGGTCACGCGTCAGGAGTTCCTCACGCTCTGGCATCCTTGGTGGGTCAATCGCATAGGAGACGGGGGTCCACAACGATGTGCAGATGAAAAGGAAGGTAAGCGGGGGCCAGAAAGCGTGCGTGATGAGACAGAGGATAATATCTTTGAAGCCAGTGTTCTGGGCGAAGCAGCGGTAAGAGGAGATGACGACTGCAATGAGGGTGACGTAGACAAAAGCAAGGTGGAAGCTAGCCATGTAGTTGAGCAGGATCACGCGCAGGCGGATGAACATGTTCTTGGACTTCTTTGGGTCGCGCTCGTTCAGGGCTGAGCCCAGAGAACCTGTTGGCTTGAAAGCCTGGGCTTGACCACCGAGCCAGGTGGGCAGCAAGAAGGCACGCACAATGCAGAGAGCGATGTAGGGCGACATCCAAAGTTGATAGCGGGAGCCTCGTTGGCCGGTGTGATAGCCTGCTGGGATGAACAGGGCCACTTCACATAGACGGTTGGAGATGGTTGCAGCAAAGCAGGCCCAAATAAGCCAACGGAGCTGTTCTTCAGTCGCGAAGGCGACGAGGCGCTTGCCCCACAGGAGAATGATCGGAATGGCGAAGAGAGAAAGAGTCAACAGGAGGGTGTAGACACTGAGAGTTGCATATAGGAAGCCAGAAAATCGTTGAGCGACGGTCATCTTTCGAACGGCGTCACCGAATAGACAAAACTTGAGCTTGGCAGCTGTGTCAACAGTTCCAATCGCCCATCGCGTACGCTGCTTGAGATGTCCACCAAAGTCTTCTGGCACGGTGCCAAATTGAAGAGGCTCGTGGATGTATGCGGTCTTCCATCCTTTGCCAAGCATGAGCGTCGAAGTCGCGACATCTTCGGCCAAGGAGCCAAGCGGGAAGTTGCCAATCTCTTCGAGAGCCTCGCGTCGAACGACGTAACCAGATCCAGTGCACCAAGCCACACCGAGCGCATCCTTGATCGGCTCAATAACATGCACGAAGAAATCCAGACTCTGGGCAAGCGGGTCGGATGCAGGGGTGTTGTAGAAAAGCTGCGGCGGGCATGCAAGGGCCATCTTGGGATCCACTAGCAAGTGGGGAACAATCGCACGAAGCCAGTCTTGTTCGGGAATCTGCAGATTGTCAGTTAGCATAAAAATGTGCGATTTCAATGTAGACTGGGTGTTTGTAATTTACCATATCAGCATCCAGGGCGGCCATGAACTGGCCGGCACCTCCAGGCAAAAGGGTGACTTGCTCAAGACCATAGTTTAGATTACCCGCCTTGAAGTGGTGGGGTTTTCCGGGGATCTTTTCACGAGCCATATAAATGACGTTGGGGTGATTCACAGCGAGTTGGTTGCAGGCAGCTTCAAGCGTGGGAGACCTGGCATCGTCCAGGATGACAACCCTCATCATCTCGGGGGGGGTAATCCTGGTCACACGCGCCACGGACGGTATCGAGGACAACTTCATCATCCTCTCCACAACAAGTAATAAACACATCCACTGTAGGGCATTCATTACCGGTCAATCTCAACTTAGGGCGGCCTCTCTTCTTCAAAGCCATCATGGTCCAGCAGTTGTGCATGAGGGAGGGGATTGCAACCGTAATTTCGATGGCCACGAAGACCCAAGCTCCAGCATATGAGACCCCAGTAACATTTTGAGCCATAATGATACAGGCAATTCTCAGGCCAAGGTAGAACAAGTAGATTCCGGTGTTGGCAAATGTGAGAATTGGTACCAGGGCAAACACCCATCTCTTCCAGCCTTTCCACGTTTCCGCATCGTCACGGTCGTGAAGGCGAGCAATCGATCCAGATTTGATCCAATCCTTTTCAAATCCTGGAGAAGCAGGTGAGCCCACAAGGGGAGCAAGACTCTGGTGACTTTCTTGCACGCCATGGTTTTGGTACTGTACGGGGAAAAGCTTGTTAGGCTGTGATCTATGTCGAGAACAAAGAGCAAGAGGACAAAGGAAAGATTGTACTAACTAAAGTTGGTGACGCCGACCGGGAATCATAGGGCGTTTGTGGGTTCCATGATGCGTTGTGAAAGGAATCGGAGTGACCCGACATACGAGCGGTGGGTTGAAGCCAAACCGGTTGGCCGTACTCGTCGGTAGGGAAATGACCCGGTCTGACTGGAGTGAGAGGCCTTGAAGAGACTGCCGAGGGTGTCAAAGGCTCGGGATGTTCGAAGCTGTTGTTTGAATGGTAGCCTCGATAGGTACTCAGCTCTACCTTTTCGTCTTCTTGACCATAACGTCTGTCCATTTCGAGATAGAAACCTTCTAGATTATGTAAAATTCGAAAGTAACCTCAAGAATGTGGGATCTTTGAAAACGAGTGTGATCAGCCCAAAGAGCTGGATTGGAATGGAAGGATGGAAGAGAAAGACGTTACATTCCCAGGTATTGTAGGATACGGTACCAGCGATCTCTAGAAGATGGTTAAGCCCTGAGGCTAGTGCACGCCAAGGACCGAGGTGCATCGCCGCTTTGGGACCGAGCAAAAATAGATTTAAATTTCTTTCGTAATGTTTCACTTCAATCTGTGGTTTCTTACGCAATGTGTCTGACTTTCCAGTATTTTTCTGTTTGCATCCGGCCACCGTTTTATTTTTCTCGCTTTATTTTCTGTATGTTTCTGTAAGATTACCAGGTTTCTAATCTGATGTTCCGTAAATTTGTAGATTGCCACCTAATCGAACCAATAATAAGAAAACAATCAAATGAAAGTTTCCATCGGGTACCTGAACGGTACCTGGATTGTACCTGAAAATGAAAATTGTATGAGCACACCATTACCACGCTAACGGTGAAAAGACTCCACTTAGGGGCCTTTGCTTATCAACAAGGCTTGTGTGGTCAACGCTTAGTTCCCGATCGCCCCTAAAACAAACTAACCCGATGCATCTCGCCTCCACATCCTGTGATAGCGAGAATTTCGCCTTTGCTATTCGCTGACTTTGTCCCTTTTTTTTGCCCGTCCTTTCCGAGGCTCTTCAACTTGCTTATCATTCTATGCTCACTTGCTAGTTTGTTCCTTCATTTTATACATTATACACCTCTCGCTTGTGGTCATGGTCTTCGGAGTAGGGTTGCTGGTCAATGCGATCCTTATAGCCATTCCAGTCGGGGGAAGTGTCGGAGCTCTCATGGGCCTTGATGCCCACCGAGCTGCTACGGGTCAGAAACCTTTGTTCACCGGGGATCATGATGATGGCATTAATCCTGGCAACGGCAACGGCAACGGCAACGGCAACGGCAAAGGCGGCGACAGTACTGGCGGCGGTGGTGGCGGTCATCCCACTGTCACAAACAACGGCGTGGAGCATACCTTGTACTGCGATTTGTCTTGGGGAATCACCCCGCCGTCGAAAACAGAACAATACACCCGTAAGTGCCCTCTCTCGACTTCCTCACGCAGGAGCTATTGAGGAGCTATTGACCCTGGAACGACGACTAACCGAGACTACAGTGAATCCCAACCAATGGGGTGTGACATCAGAATCGACAGGAAACGGGCTTTGCATGAATGTACGCATTGAACATACCCATTCCGACTTCTACTGAGGGGCTACTAACGTGGCGTCTTGACTTAGATCACGACGTTAGTCAATCAGACTTATGCCGCCAAAACCGCTCCCGAGTTCTCTGTCACCTGGCAATATGACCCGGCTCCTAAGACTGCGCCTGTCCACGGATACCCGAATATCCGGGTCGACGACGTGTTGCCAAAGGTGATAGACGAGATCTCAGAGTTGAATCTTGATCTACATTGGACATACGGCGTGGGTGACAAGACCGCCGCCTCGACGGACATAGAAGCGTTGAAGAAAGAAAACCTTGCCACGAACGTCGCCATTGATATGTTCATGGACACCGATGCCGACAAAGCAGAGAATGGAACCGAAGCCAAATTCGAGGTCATGGTTTGGTTCTGGATGTCAAACGAGGAGGCCCAGCCCCATGGTTGGGGAGACCCGAAAGCCAAGAAGATCGTGGAAGGAACAACTTTGTGAGTTGACAATTGAATTTGTCCCTGGCATGTCGCACCAGCACACGCTTACATATTCACCAGCAAACTCTACACCGATAAAAATGACAACGGACAGCAGGTTTTGTCCTGGGTCCCGGACAAGGCTGTCGAGCGGTTCACTGGAGACATCTATCCTTTCATCACCGAGCTATACAACATGGAAGGAGAAGACTACCCAGCAAAAGACGACTACCTCGGCAGTCTCAGTTTCGGAACCGAAGTGTACTCTGTGAACAAGAATGTTACATTCTGGGCCGAGCAGTACAAGATCGATATCCAGAGTTCAAGATGAAGAGGTGTGTACATTGTATGATCATGAGCATTTATTTTGGTTTATTTATTTTTCTTTTTGTCGATACACATCAAGCGTTACATATCATTCAAGGATGCTAGTTCTGAGATTTCATCCTCATTTTCTTATTTTCGATACTCAAATTCGCCTGTGGGGTACCATAGCTCTCAATCATTCAGCAAGAAATTAAGCCCTGAAAACAGAGACTCATACCACACCCTTCTCAATTTACTTTACATTATGTACCTCGCCGTACAAGATAAGCTGGCGTCAATGTCCCGAGATCGGCTATCATGAGAACGCACCCATGTCAGACTTGGTCAGTTCCTGGGATTCGCGATTACTTCGCAACATGAATCAAGAGGTCCAGGGATGCACGTATGACACAATCAGGCGCAATAATCAGCGCATCTTCCATTATCGAGACCCTCACTCAGCTAAAAATCACAACATGCGAGAAAAATAACAGAACACCTCCAAGCAATGGATGATCACCGTCATATAGACACTCGATCAGCCCTATATCATCGCTTCCGGCTATCCATCGTGTACAAACTTCAAATGGCTCGAGTGCTCAAACATGGGAAATCTACATGGAATTGATATCAAGATCCGGTCGTGAATTTCATTTTAATTTAGGGCCAGAAGATGGATTATGGCTCCAATTCCTGAAGTATACCAGATGGTACCCAATAGACATGTCACACCCAGAAAAGGCTGGTCCTTAAACTGGATATCATGATTTGAGTGTCTGGCTGCCTTTCATTCTTCACCAAATACCTTGACCGGCAGGCGATCACTAATGCCTATGTATAGTATGCAATACTCCCGGTCTGGCAGACAATCCGCGTTAATCACGACCTATTATAGAGGTATGAGAGAATATCTCGATCTATATGGCAACGAATTGAACTACATCTCAGCGATATTCTAGGCCTCATATTGCACCGCCATGATACCAGCCGGCTACTGGCTGACACACGCGAATCAAATCGCGTTGCCGGCCCTGGAAATCGGATGGGGCTTTTCACATTCGGCTGTGCTTGGACGCAGAACCTGAATACGATATACGCAATGCAGCTCTTCATCGGGATTTGCGAGTATTGCTCCTTCACTGTTATCATTTGTGTGATTAGATCGTGGTATAATCCCGGCGAGGTGACGCGTCGGGCTGCGCTTTTCTTTGTCGCTTCGCCACTTGGGACTGTATTCGCGGGCGAATTGTAGGCTGCTGCTTATACCACTTTAGAGGGGAGGCATGGATTGCCTGGGTGAAGGTATGTTGACTCCAATTACGAAAAATTTGGGTGTTCTTGGCACTGATTCGTTGGTGGATGGTTGTTCATTATTTGTACTGTATTATCACATTTCCGATCTGTTTTGTGGAAGTCGTAGAGCGATTCATCTGTTCATCTTCACACAGATCAGCGGATACCCACATCATTTGCCCCAATGTTCCCCACCGCTCCAAGCCACCTCACAGCGACCGATCACGATATTGCCAACATTCGTCGGAAAGGTCTAACAGCGCCAAGGGAACTAAAAGTCTCTCGAGCCATCTTCACGCGAGTCCTTGGACGATGGCATTGGCATGTCTTTGCCGTGTATTGGACCTTCATGGATCAGAACTCCACATCGCACGCGACGCTTTTTAGCCTATAAATCAGATATCCACTCCGTTTCATGGGTGAACAATTTGCCGACAATTGCAACGGCACTGTCTGTCGCAGCGGCACTAGTAGCGGGCGTTACCGCGGACCGCCTGCGAAATTTCAGGATTCCTTCCATGGCGACTACCATTCCCGTCCTGGTGGGTGTTATTTTGCTCGTCTCTGAACATAATATGTTGGAGAAACGGGGCGGCTGGTGGGGTTTATCACCACCGGATTCGAGGGCGGTATGTGGATGCCACACACAGGCTCTCTGGGTTCTTATTTGTCATTTCTTATATTAGGAGAGAGAGTGGCGGTATTTGCTATTGACTCTTAACACAGCAATCGGTCCGCTCACGATGAGTTTGGCAACGATCACCATGACCAAGGATGCCAGCATGAGTGCGATCGGTCAGGCCGTGGCAACGTGGACCACAGATTTTTCAATAGTCAGTTATTTCTGCCCGAACTTTCGGGATCTCGAATCTGGTCCCTTATACTGCACCATTCTTGACTGTTGGCTCGATTGCCTGTCTCATGACTCGAGAAAGAGCGAAAAGAATTGCGTCCTACAAAAACAAAGAGATGGTGGAAGTCCACCAAGCCACTTTATAGGGTTATTTCAGCCAAGTGCCGGCAAAACGTGGTTAGCAGCAAGGCTTTTCCCGTTGGATTCCTTGGCATCAAGCACGACATTTGGGGGGTCCACACCATTCATTTAATTTTTCTCTATATCTTCTTCGCATCCCTGTTCTTTTGTTGCATATAATTCTGAAGAGGGTATTCACTATGGCCCCTCCCGTTGAGTCAGAAGTTACTTTTGAGACTGATGTCCACGATGTCTCTCCAACTGTTCGGTCTCGGCCGTCTTGGTATCGCTCTATTCCATTCCAAATTGCTGTTGCTAGCGGTGTGTCGTTCACTGCTCCTGGAATGTGGGATGCATTGAACAACCTGGGAGCTGGTGGTGCAGCTGAGCCCTACGCTGTCTCCGCAGCGAACGCGCTGGTCTATGGATTATTTGCAGTTGTTTGTATCGCCGCTGGTGCAATCAACAACCGTATCGGTCTTCGATACGGTCTGATTCTCGGTGCGGTCGGTTACCCGATCTATGGTGCCGGCCTGTACACAAACAACTACCACCCTACGACATGGTTTCTGCTCTTCGGCTCCGCGCTGTGCGGTATCTCAGCTGGATTTTTCTGGGCTGCCGAGGCTGCTATTATCATCGGTTACCCTAGTCCCAAGGAGCGCGCTTTCTACATTGCTGTCTGGCAGACCGCCAAATCTTCCGGTCCGATCATCGGTGGTGCCATCAGTCTGGGACTGAATGCATCGACTTCCCAAAAGGGAACAGTCAGCGCTGCGACTTACATCGTCTTCATTATCATCATGTGCCTTGGCTTACCGATTGCGCTCCTACTCAGTCCTGCCGAGAAGGTGCAGCGCAAGGACCATTCTGTCGTGGTTGTGGACAAGAAGGAGACTTGGGCCAAGGAATTCAAGGCTGCCTTTTCTCTGATCCTCACTCGCCGTGTCCTCCTCCTCCTTCCAGCATTCTTCATCAGCTACTTCTACAACGGCTTCCAGAGCACATGGCTGACCACCTATTTCACCGTCCGGTCTCGCGCATTCTCCTCGTTCCTCACCAACTTTGCCGGCATCGCGTCGTCGTTCATCATGGCGGCTTTGCTTGATCGTCAATCGATCTTTATCAAGACCCGTGCCAGAATCGCTTTCTGTTCCGTCGTTGCCCTAATCATCGGCACGTGGATCTGGGCTACGATCCTGCAGAAGCAGTTCTACGACGCACCCGAGCCCCCAGTATTCGATTGGTTCACAACCGGCTTCAACAAGGCGTACGCGCTAGTCTTCTTCTGGACCTTCAGCGGTCAAGCCTTCCAGCAATTCCTTTACTGGCTGGTTGGCCAGTACAGCACCGACCTCTCATCGTTGTCCTACCATTGTGGAATCCTGCGCGGATTCGAGGCTCTGGGACAAACCGTCGCATGGGCCATGCAAACAGAAGGTGGTGCCAACCACTTCGTCAGCATCGGTCTCAACTTTGGAATCACGATTCTTGCCTTCTTCCCCACGTGGATTGTTCTATCTGAGTTGGAACACAGCCACGAGGTGCAGGTCACCGCGGAGGACGTCGCGCCCAAGACAGTAGGCGAATCAACAGCCTAAGCTTGTCACTCGAATTGAGTCCTTGGATTCTTCGATCTTCTTGGTTCTCCGGATTCAACCCGGGAACTCACGTTTTTATTTTAATAGATAGATAAGATACCCCCTCCCTGCTCCCACTCAACGCCGAGCATTATGTATAAAGAATTTATAGAACCATTTCCCGGACAAAACTGGGAAATGGGCCCCAGCCGATCGGCTGTTTTTTGATTTTGAGCTTTCTCCAATATTTCCGTAGCACTGGATCCATTATTAGATCGGAAGAATGTGTTCTACCGCTAGTCTAGAGCTATCGAGACTTGATATACATTCCATTATTGGTATACATTCCATTACATACATCCTACGGTTAAGCATCGACTCGACTATGTTGTATACATCTGCAGCCACATGGACTATTCGGGAAGTTAAAATTAAGTTTAGGGCCAGAAAGCCACCAATTGCCTCCTGCATTAGAGCGACCAGGGTATGCGGCCATAGTACGTGATATGAGTTGGCATCTTATGTCGTACAGTTCGTATACACCAGACCATAGGGCTAAATAGCGTACAACCTACTCCATCCCTATCAACTAAGCCCTTCAGTTTATTATATCAATGTCAGGTGAATTTAAATGCAAAGCTCTACTGCCTTCGACTGTCCCCAGGTCAGCTAGTAGCTATGTTCCGATTTGGGTCCGAAGGGAAATGAGCGGATGGAGTATGGCCATAGCAGCATCTCCATCTAAGGTCCATTCTCACCCAGCCCTAGCCGAGGATCTACTTTGGGGATATATTGTGGCGTACGTGATCTCCACAAGGTTATCGAGGGAATTGGGCCCGTGTAATTTCCCCTATATGCCATTTGCTAGATCACTGGTTTTTGGTTTCCCGACTTATTCTACAACAAATATGATTCATACACCCATAAGACTTTGAAGTCAACTTTACTTGAACCTCTAGATTATACTTCATATTCTTGATTTAGATAAGATTGCCAATGGAACCCTTTGCTAAATAAAAGTCACTGCAGCTTTGCAGAAAGTTTCATGCTCTTACCTCTTGTAGGAGTGTAGATGTTTTGTCAGTAATATGGGACTTTCCCATTATATGACCAAATCGGGTGCGGTCAGGTAGAAAGGCACTGCCCGCTTGTTAGTGAACCAGACCTATTATTCGATCCCATGGAGATACATAGATAGCTCCATGGCAACAGATATATCACCATCTTTCTGTACTTTTGTCCTCTCCTCTGTGGCGGTGTAGACCAAGTTTACACTTCATGGCCCATCGTGATTGTCATCTTTCTCTTCGCTACGCCATCTATGAAAAAAAAAAAAAAAAAAAAAAAAAAAACCCCCGACGATGTCCTCAGTTGCCGTTCCTCTCTGTCTTTTAAAATGCAAAGTCAACCGTAAATTTTAGGAGCGAATGAACTCACAGCGACTATCCTATTTCCCCTAATCTTCGGCAGTATCCTCGTCGACACTTCCACCTCCCGACGGACATTACCTTGACCCATGACAAACGCCTCCCGTTTGCGAAATGGGTCAGCAAAGTGGACTCCAAGCGCAAGATGTCTATGAATGCCATAGCCCCTACATCAGTTACGCGTTGTCACCTATCCACGCTGAATCCGAGACTACATTTAACCTTGTTAGATGGCAGCCCTGATATAGAAGTATATAGTATGAGTTGCGTAATCTACGGGATTTGCCATTCTGATCCACGTCCTCCGTGGGCTATGGGGTGGGGACTGTCAACATCGGGCTGTTGTATCATTGGTTCTGACGGAAGTTTAATATGGAGATTGAAGTGATACTCTAAATAGGGTGGACATTCTTGAACTCGGTCAAATCAATATTCCGTTCCAAGATTGATGCAGAGTGGCTGGGGTGAATCATATGCAACGTACGCCGTACAGATGAAGTGACCCAGCCTCATATTCAACTTTTAGGGTTTTGTTTACTCTTTTAGCCAGATAAGATTACGGAGCACGGAGCATCATGAGTACTTCCGTACTCCGAGGTGACTCTGCTATTTTTAGCCAAGAATCCACCCGGGCTCACGGGTTGCAATCCCGAGGTCGAACACGGGCTTTCTAGATCTGTTAGGCTACCTAGGTACCTATAAGACCTCGGAAAGGATGCAGTTCCTGAGCGTTCATAAGGGATTAGGTAAGAGGGCCAATTGGAACGGGCCGGATATGCATCACGCGCTTTTCTAAGGGAAACCGAGAAAGGACCAAGAAAAAGACTGGGAGAATTCTACCTTGTCAATGCGAGTAGATCATATATTAAATATAGTATATTTCACATATTAAATATAGAGAATAATCGATACCTCGGATCTGGCCAAGCATAATTATGTACCCAATAGACGAGAGTGGCTAAAAGATAGAAAAGGTGAAGATTCTAAGGCAAAAAAAAAAAAACAAAACCTTGGATTGCGTGGTCCAAGAATAAAAACCATCCGTGTCCCATTTGCTTCTAAAAAAAACCCCTCTCACACTTGAGATCTTCTCTACTTTTGACACTTGACATCTATTTTGGAGCTCCTTCCCACTCTCCTGTTGTCGGATACACCGTATCTTATATTGAATTGTGATCCGCTTCGCAGTTCCCGCCTCCACGCTCCACTCTCAGTAGATCCCAGCCGTTTCAGACCTGCCTTGAATCGCGGACGCTAAAACATTACGGTGGAACTCGCCCTAATAAAATGGGCACTTCCCAATCTCCCACCTCTCCCAAGAGGAGTCGTGGATTCAGCGTCAAATCTGACAAGTCAGATAAATCGGGGTCGACAGGTCACAAACGTGGAATCTCGGAATCATCAGAAGAGAAAGCTCGTCGCAATCTACACACCAAAGCAGATCCCCTCATCGCTATGAACGAACTTCAGCCTAGTACGTTGAGTCGCGCCTGGAGTCTGGCCCGGTCGCATTTCCTTGCTCATTTCATCCCAACTGACATTTCGATAGTAGCGGTCGCGCTGGAAAAGTCCAATCTGGGTTCGCTGCGCGAGATTGAATTTAAGGATCAGTACGGAAATGTCATCAGTGCGTTCATCTCTAGCAGTCTGAGGCTCCCATCGCATTCCTTTCTTGCTAACCCTTGCTTCATTATAGCCGATCCCGATCTGTCAAATCCCACTCGACCCCGTTTGGAGCGCCCCCTGGATACAATTCGATCGTTTGAGGCAGCGATCTATGGCACCTACAGTAATAATCGTGCGTCGTACGCCCGGACAGGTATTCTTTGGCAATTTCTTAGAAAAAGTCAGAAATATGCGAACCAAGGCTGATTTCTTTGATAGAGGATGCTGCATCACAGATGGGCGACTTCAGCCGCCGAACAAGTTATTACGGCGGTATGTTCTCCATGATTCCCCATCTTTTCTCAATTGCTTCTAAACTTTCCACAGGTCAAAACAGCGGTCCTTCCCACAGAAATTACGAACAGAACAGCTACTTTGGCCAGCCCCAATCGCGACCAGATAGCATCGTGAATGCGTACCAAAACACACCTCTCTCACCCGAGAACTCCAACCCCTACACCCAGACCGGATATAACCCGGGTGGATATGGCCAGACCAGCAGAAGACGCCCATCCCACCATCCACGCGGGTCATCCTCGGGCCCCATGACCCCCGCCGAGGGCTACCCAAACATGGCCAACTCACAATACGGCTACCAACGATCGCGCGATAATGTGGCGGCCATGTCTAACTCTGGCTATGGCAATACGAACCCTTACGGCCAGTCCACAGACCCCAACTCAATGAACAACTCCAACGACCAATTGCAGCAGCAGGTCCTGCAGCAACAGCGTCTCGACGAGCGTTCTCAAGCCGAGTATGGTTCCAATGGTTTCAGCTCCAGGACTCCCCAGCCCATCGGTGACTCGAGCTGGGGTGCACCTGCTCAAGGTACTCCTTCGATGGGGGCCGGGCCTGCACAGCCACCTGCCCGCAAGGCTGTGAATCAACCTCCGGCTAGTAAAGAGAAAGAGGATAAGCGGAAGAGCTGGTTCAAACGCCGGTTCAGCAAAGACTAAGTAACCTTGATGTCTCGGGTGAGATGTTCGATCGAGATGACTCATGCTCGATACTGTATCTGGACACTTCATTTCAAGATGCATTCTATTTTTCTGGGGCTCTGCAGCCTGGCGTTGTCCTTCATTTTGTATGGAGCATGCGGGATGTGTCTATTGTTAATGTTTTTCTACTAGTTTATCGCATGCTCTAATGAGGTTATGATACATGGAGACATGGGACACGTCATGCATTGGGATTCGTTTTTACTGTTTTTACTCTCTTTTCCCTTTCTGTTTCTTATTCATATCGTCATTCTGTACTTACTCCATACCTATTTCTCCCAAAATATATCCACATCACATATTACTGTGCATCATATAGCTACCCTCATACACCTTGGCAGAAAATAAGAGAAAGTAATTATATTGATAGGCGAACCCGCCATCACCGCACGAGAAATGGGAATCACGAAAGAGCAAGAGCAAAAAGAGTAAACGAAAGGCCCTTTACCCTACTTCCGCCCCATCAACTTATACTTCAACTTATCAGCCAACCCCTCATGCGCCACCTTCTTCACCTTCTTCTCCTTCAGCGAAGCCGCATCAAGATGAACATTTCCCTGTCCGCCGCGCTACCCGAGAAAAAGAAATGTCAGTCATGATGTCCTGAAAAACAAATCGTTTGGGAATCTGGACGAAAAGGACAGTAGAAATCGCCATAGATCTCATATCCCGAAAGGGGGAAGACGGAGAAACCATAGAGCAAAGATGGTAATCAGTCATGAAAAGAAATCAACGATAAACAAGTGACTATAGCTCTGTGCTGCTTACCCCGGTGTGGTATGTTTCGTCGACCGAGTCGCGCACAGCGAGCTCGGGGATCATATCGGCGTCATGGGGAGCCCTAGACATAGGCCGGACCATTGGGGAGCCGATGTTTCCTGCGCCGCCTCGCTGGGTAGGGTTGAATGCATCAGTGGGAGCTAGGCACGGTTTGATGGATGGAGAGGTACTCACGCCGGCAGAGTAAGCGCCATCACCTTGGTCGCCGTAGGGGCCTTCGCGAACGATCTCGCCATCGACGTATCTGTTTTGCATGGGCTCTTAGTCTTTCGTCGCATGTGGCAAATGCGCTACTTTCAAACATACTCGGTCGGGTCGTGGCCAATGTTGCCTTGGCCTAATGTTGTTTCAGCTGGTCAGCGGAAAGCGCATTTGAAGCTGGGGGATGAGCTTGCCTCCTCGGCCATGAGAGACCATAGGCGCCTCTGGCTCGGTCTTTGCGGGCTTGTTGGGTTTCTCGGGCATCGTGACTGGTTTTCGTCAGAATGAAGTGGGTGTGTGTGTGTCTTTGGGAGTGAGGTGATTGGTTGAGATGATGAGATGGGTAGATGCGAAAAGAAGAAGGGTATGGGCGGGTAGTGCGTTATTGAATATCGGGGAAGATGCAGGTACGAGATGTGATGGCGGGGAAATCCATGTATCTGCAAGCTTACTGTTTCTGGGGGGTCTTAGAAGGGCGTTTTAAGTCGTACAGGGAGAATATGGAGAAGTGGATGGGGGATCTAGATCTTAAGTATCATCCACTTCGTATGGGCTAGATAATGTCCGAGCCAAGAGGCTCGTAAGTTCCCTTCTCTATCTATGTTCGGTTTGTTATTCAACTACATTGAACATTTATATTCGAGTGCTCGTGACGTCGCTGATAAGATAACGGCCTCCGATTGGTAGAGCTGTGACAAACGACAATTGGCCGATAGCGAGCTTGGCATTTACTATATATTTAAAAGGAAATCTCAAGAGAGGTATGTATTGAACCTGATGGAATATTCATGGAAATCAGCATAGCCACAGTCAGGACGGTAAATAGAATGGAGATGGCGCATGCTACCCGCGCAATCCAATCAACCATGTCAGTTCTTCTTCTTGTCTTCGCTTGCGCCACCTGTGGTAGGAAGCCCCATGAAAATCTTGAATGAATCGTAACTGTAAGGTCGTAGTCAGTACATATCCAGCACACGGGGCAAAAGAGAGTGAGGCCATACATCATCCATTGGAGTCCGGTCTGTATATATATTGTCAGCACCTACATTCAAACACATTGAACTTTGGGACGACTCACCAAAGTACCGATCATCACAATACGAACGGGCAGCCCGTTCCACAATCCTCGGAACCCAATGTCACCATAGATGCGGCTCATAGCAGCGCCAAATGCCTCACCCGCCTGTCGATTCGCGTTCAACTTGCTGACCATGACATCGGCAGGGTGCGATACCGCAGCACACAGAATACCAGCGAGGTATCCACCCGTGAACGCAACTACAGTCTGGGCACCCTTGTTGTAGTCGGACTTCTGACCCGGCAAATTGTGGTAGATCATCTCAACAATGGTTTCGAAGGAGGCAAACTTCATCATCGTGTAGGGCACTTGACGGCCCCACAGTGGATATAGGCCCTTGTACAATCTGGGTTGAGGATCAGCATCTGGAGATTTGGGCGAAAAAAGGACCGCGATAGATCTCAAACTCACCCAGCAACGCCCTCTTTGGCAACTACATTCGAGATACCGCTGAAAGTACCTGTGATTTCAGGGGGAATGGTAGTCTGACCGCGGACCTTGACAGACTCGAATGGACACAGCGCTATATCTGCGATGAGCTCTGCCGAGGCACTGGCTGTCAGGTAGATGGCAGTCTTGAACCGGCTCGCGTTTTCCTGGCCGACCAGGTCGCTGTAGAAGACCTTGAAGTACTCGTATCCTCCATACTTGAAGGCTCCTTGCGCCTGTTATAGTTGTAATCAGTATAGATGATCAGGAACGTAATAGATCCATGTGTTGCTCAGGCTTACGCTGTAGCCGAAGAAGGTCGGGCTCCAACCCGTGAAGACGCCCCGAATACCTTCAGCTGCGCGGATGGTGCGGAAGGCTTGGAGATTGCTCTTGTAGAGATTTGGGTCGACTTGACGGCGACATTTGATTAAGTCGAGGGGTGTCACGGCAGTGTGGGTAAGGCCCTGGTACATGTGTGAGTATCTAGTGTATATATCAGTCATCCCAGATAGAAAAAGGAACTCACACATGCCATCATTCCACCAAACGTGCAAGCTGCATAGTACTTCAGAGAGCCAGGCTCAATCTTGCCGGCCTTCTCCTGGGCCTTCTGGCTTGCGGCATTGAATTCCCGGCTCGCCTCGTGGGCAATGTCGTCGGCCTTGGTCTTCACATCATCTAGTGCGCTCCAAGCTGAGAACGGTCTATTCTTCGCAGGACTCATCTTAGTGCCCACATCGCCTAGAGGATGCTGGGCGGCAAAAGCGTTGATCCAGTCAGGAATCATGATGTTCGGGCTGTACTTCGGGTAGTGGGTATAAGTGGAGTCGGCTTGGATATCCGGTGATCTCCACCAAGTGGATTTTGGACTTTGGGTATTTCTTGAATCTGAGAGTGAAAAGAAGACAACCCTGGAGGATTCAAAATATGACGGAGTTAGGGAGTCTCGAGGTAATGACGTGTGGGGCTTGTAAGACTTGGGGTTCCGACAAAGTACGTTTGAGCACTTTTGAAAGCATTGAGTTTCGCTGAATCCTGAAAACGAGACTGGTCTTACTTATAGATTCTCCGTGTGGGCCTACCTTGACATTCTATAAATGTAAGTGGATAGAAACCGACACATGAACAGGGGGCCAAAAGGCAAAGGTTGCATACGGACTTTACGAGTTCCGTATGTCCGTGAAGTATGCTGGAGATCTAAAAGGGCTAGTCTGGTATCTGATATGAAGTATATCACTTCCTATTACCTCCTATGACTCAGTATTATCAGGTAGTCTCTTAAGGTCTGGACATCCTGGGATATTTACTTTTCAAAGGTTGAAGATAGCCAGATTAGCTCATGTCAGGGCTCTCAACTGCGTGCATTCCTACATTTCTTCAAGACTTGATGATTGGACTTGGGAGAGTACATTCCAAAATACTTTGCCAAAGTAAGTAAAAAAGAAAAATATATATGCGTCTGATAACATCCGTGGCCGCAAACGCCTGCCGTAGTGGAGTCAAAGAGATGCCAAGCTCGACATCCAAAAGTCATCCCGCCTGAAAGCTCTTGACCCTGCACCTTGGTATACCCTACCGAGTAACCTTGACTTCTCAATATTTACATCTGGGCCAATTCTTGTCCACATTTACACCGGCCTATAGTTCTTCTTGACCACCTCCCACAACTCACCCACTGCCCCTCACCAACCCCTCATCGCGATCACACCCAAAATGGCATCATACCTGACCGGCAGCGAGGCCTTCACTCGTGAGAAGCAAGCCTCCGAAACAAACCCATCGACAGCAACCTGGGCCGATAAGTACCGTGGTGTCCGTCCTCGCAATACATTGATTCACTAGACCTCAGATCTAACACAATACAGGCAACAATTGAAGACCTTGACCCTCCCCCGGCGCTCTCAGTCTCCTCCCATGACCCTATCTCCACAGCCTTAATGGCCGCCTACGAGCGCGACTACACCCACCTCACGGTTATCTCCCCGACAAAGCGGTCTCTGTTGGGATACGTCAGCATTCCACGGCTACGGGAGCTGCTGCAAAGCGGGAATGTGAAAGAAAGCGACCCAGTCTCGGCGGCTATGCAACGCTTCAACCGCAAACGCGGTATCTACCAAGTCATCACAATGGAGACGCCGCTCGAGGAGCTCGAGCAGTTCTTCGAGAATGAGACGGGGCCAAATGGCGAGAAGCGCGAGAAGCAACAGTTTGCTGTTGTCACTGATGTGGCACGCAAGTTTGTGCTTGGCGTTGCTACCAAGGCAGATTTGGAGGAGTTTGTCAAGCGCAGACCTACCTAAGCTGACGCGGAGCTGGTCGTAAGCTGATATGAATGGGAATATGTGAGAGAGTTCGTTTCTCTTCGGAACTGCATTGCGGCGTATCTGTCTATATTGAGAGCATGGGTTGAGGTCTTTTTTTGTCGCTATATGTCGTTCCTTCAACATGAACAACACACCTCTAATATTGACCTTGACTGACGGCACTGAAGTGTGGAGTTTGATATTCCGAGAACACCCAGAAAGTCTACTAGTCAGATGAATACTTTGGTCAATGTGTAGTTTTACAATTGAGTCCTGGATGGTCGAAGTTGTTCCATCCCAATTATACAAAAACAGAACCCCCAACCACCCGAACAATGCCGCAACGCCAAACATAGTAATTGTTTTCTGAAATTCCCCAGACCAAGCCTTATCCAGCCTACTGGGCCTTCTTTGAATCGGGCTTGCCGGCTGCTTGTCTGTCCGCCTGATCTTCCGTCCAGGCGACATAGATATATGCGAACAAGACCACGTTGGCAGTAATAGCGGCGGTAATTCCGGCGAGGGTCGAGCTCCCTAGATAACATCAATTCAATCGGTATATGTTATTGCAAGTTGAAAGGCTGAAAGATACTCACCACTAAAGATGGTATTCACAGTCAAGAAATACATGCCAATGGGGCCAGCGACCATGGCAGCCGTGAAGCCAAGGAGCTTGTAGATCACATCTCTAGATACCAGAGCCAATAAGAACCTGTCTTCAAGGACCACATTTAGCTTGTCAGGCTATTATCTTACGCAGGAACAGCTGGGGCCACGTCAGAACTGCCTTGCGCAGGCTTCGCCGCAACATCGGCATAGGACTGGTTGTGGGGACGGCGGGCAGACATCCTTAATTTCTGAAGCACCAATGATAGAGAGAGTTAGAAGGCCCAAGGGGAAAAGGGAAGGCCGAGGTTGAAAGAGGAACTGCCCAGGTGAAGCTATCAAAGGCGATAACAGATAATTTAGTACCGTCACATGCCCGGGTTTGATTGGTGGGTTGAATAGGTATACCTACCTAGGTATATACCCATGTAATCCCTTCATTGTTTCATTCCCATTTGGGAAGATGAAGTGTTTTATTCTTATTGTTCAAGTGTAGCCATGAACTAAATGAGATTCACATGTTTATGTCTTTGATTCCTTTGTTCCTATTCAGTGCTTAATTGACAGATCTCGCACGTGATTGGGCGCGTTTATCGCGCGTGTCCGCTTTGGCAGAAAAAACATTGAATAATGCGGAACAATCAAATGGCTATTGAATGATATTGTTAGCATTGTGAGCCCTGGAGCGATGGATGAATCTGTCAATAATACTCCCCCTCGAGATATAAAAACTATTCCGAGTACTCCTCCGGGCGACGACTACGAAACTATCGCCACCCTTCCAGCGACAACCCCATCGCAAAGATTGACCCAACCGACACAATTACTTGAACATCCTTACCCGCGCCACAGTAATACTGTCATTCAAGTTGCGGCATCTTCGCCCATAGGTCCGATCTCTCCTCCTCCCCGCCGAGTCCAAGGTGGTTCTCTTTCATCCTTAATCGCTCCTTCTGGGACCCAATTCCGACCTCCTGCTTCTGGTCCTACAAAACGAACGCCAAAGTTTGATCTCGACGACGGGCCGACGTATCGTGGTGGCTCATCAGACGAAGAGTATCACCTACAAAATACAGATATTAAACCGTCTACGTTTGCGAAAACCATTCGCAGTCCCGAAAAAGAAAAGATCATGGAGTCGCCCGTCCGCCCTGAGACTAGGCCAATGGATCGGTTCCGAGAAATCACATCCTCTGCCATGTACGATCCGAATAATACTACATCCGCAATCAAGCGCACTGCAGATCAGATGAGTCCACCGGCAACAAAGGGAGTTGCCATGAAAAAAGTGCGCCAAGATGCGCCCTCTCGCGCACAGCCTGTGGGAACTCCAGACATCCTCCTTCATGAAATCAATGACTTCAGACTCCGTGTCAAAGTTGAGCGCATCCTCAAAGTTATGCCGCATATGACTGTTCGGGCTTGTATGGAAGCGATGTTGAAAGCCAAGGGCAACTACGACGATGCCCTCCAAATCCTTGCCAAGATGGATGCTGCCGACCAGCAAAATGGCACCGTGGTCATTGAATCTTCCGATGATGAATTGAGTGGCTCTCCGGCTACGGGCCCAGTTCCCATGGCCAAGCAGAACATTAAAGCTCGTGGCACCATTCAGGACAAGTGGGCGGCAATGAAGCAGCCCAAGAACCAGGATTCCGATGACGAAGGTAAACCTCGCCGCCGACTCATTCGTGGACCCAAGTCTGATGGCTCTTCACGTGCTGTTTCTCCCATTCGTACTATCACAATCATCGACGACAGTCCCCAGAAAAAGAAGCTGGGACGGCTTCATAAGGGCCGCAAAGCTCCTTCGCCTGACCGGTCCGAATCTCCCGAGGCTATGATGAGTGACTCGGATGATTCAAATGTCCAGGTCCAAGAATCCACCGCTGGCGGTTTGGATTCCAAGGTTTTGAAATTCTTCAACACATGCCGTGTTCAAGATCTCGCTGATATTGCCTCTATCCCTGAAGAAACCGCTCAAATCATCATTACGAACCGCCCATACGAGACCCTCGAGGAGGTGCGCGTTGTCTCTGCCCCAGTTGTAGAGACTGTGAAGCCCAAGGGCAAGAGAGGAGGCAAGGCCCCTAAGCCCATCGGAGACAAAATTGTCGACAAGTGTATTGATATGTGGACTGGATACCTGGCCATTGACGCTCTTGTTGGTGAAGTTGAGGAGCTCGGCAAGCCAGTTGCGGAAGAGATGAAGAAATGGGGTGTCGACACCTTCGGAAAGAAGGGCGACTTGGAAATTACCAACTTGGCTCCTTCCAAATCGGAGCACGACTCGGGTATCGCTACTCCCGCATCTGAACGCCAATCCTCAGAGAGCGATGAAGAAAGTGGCAAACTGGTCGTTTCGAAGCGCAAATCTCGTTTTATCTCACAGCCGTCCATTATGGCCGACGACCTGGTGATGAAAGACTACCAAATCGTGGGGATCAACTGGCTCGCGTTGTTGTTTGAGAAGAAGCTCAGCTGTATTCTGGCTGACGACATGGGCCTGGGCAAGACTTGCCAGGTCATTGCATTCCTCGCGCATCTGTTTGAGAAGGGCATTAAAGGCCCTCACCTGATTGTTGTCCCATCTTCGACCATCGAGAACTGGCTTCGCGAATTCCAAAAATTTTGTCCGACCTTGAGCGTCATGCCTTACTACGCCGGTCTTAACGAGCGTGCTCTCATCCGCGATGAGATTGAGGAACGACGTGACGAAATCAACGTTGTGATCACCACTTACACGATTGCCAAGGCAAAGCTTGATGCCAAGTTCTTGCGCGACATGGATTTCACAGTTTGTGTCTATGATGAAGGCCACATGCTGAAGAACCATCAGTCTCAGCTGTATGAAAAATTGATTCGAATTCGGGCGCGTTTCCGTCTGCTTCTCACCGGTACTCCCCTCCAGAATAATTTGCAGGAGCTGGCATCTCTTCTGGGCTTCATTCTTCCTTCAGTCTTCCAGGAGCACAAGGAAGACCTCCATGCAGTGTTTTCCAACAAGGCAAAGACGACTGACGAGTCCCACGCTACTCTACTGTCCCAGCAACGCATTGAGCGTGCGAAGTCGATGATGAAGCCTTTCATCCTGCGACGAAAGAAGCACCAGGTCATTGATCTTCCTGCCAAACATTCCTTTGTTGGTTGGTGCCAAATGAAACCTTCCCAAGTCAAGATTTACGACCATGAAAAAGAGCAAGTGCGCCAGCTCTTGGCAGACCGTGAAGCTGGAAAGAAGACCGGCTCCAAGTCGGCCAATATTCTCATGAAGTTGCGCCAGGCTGCTATTCACCCCCTCCTTGCTCGTCGTCACTACACGAACGAAATTCTACAGAAGATGTCTAAGGCTTGCTTGAAGGAAGAAAAGTGGTCACTATCTGACCCTAAGATCATCCTGGAGGAGCTTATGCCATACAATGACTTCGAGTGCCACCAGATGTGTGTGGAAAACCCCAATTCCCTCGGCAAGTTCAAGCTCAAGAACGACGAATGGATGGACTCCGGCAAAGTGGAGCACCTGAAAGAGCTTCTCACCCGTTTTATCGCCAATGGCGATCGCACCCTCATTTTCTCTCAATTCACGATGGTTATGGATATCCTTGAGCATGTCCTGGAAACCTTGAAAATTGAATTCGTTCGCCTGGATGGCCGCACCAACGTCGAAGACCGCCAGTCCATCCTCGACGCCTTCCACGAGCGCACCGAAATCCCCGTCTTCCTCCTGTCCACCAAGGCCGGTGGTGCCGGTATCAACTTGGCTTGTGCTAATCGCGTGGTCATTTTCGACTCTTCTTTCAACCCACAGGAAGATGTGCAGGCTGAGAACCGTGCCCACCGAGTCGGCCAGACCCGCGAGGTTGAAATTTACCGTCTGGTGACCCAGAACACCATCGAAGAGCAGATCTACGCACTGGGTCAGACCAAGCTGGCACTTGATCAGGCCGTGGCTGGAGACGACGAGGCCGGGGCCAAGAAGGGCGAGGAGGCCGGTATGAAGGTCGTGGAGGGAATGATGATGGCCGAGCTGCAGGTGAAGGCAGAGAAATAAGAGAGCACAAAGCAAAACCAAAAAAAATAGGAAAAGGCGAAAAAAAACAAGGGAATGGTTCATACTGGAGTTTCTGTTGTTACCTGCATGGTGATGCTGATACTGCATTTAATACCGTGCCAAACATGGCACAGTCAGGAAATGGTGTTTGGGGTGGTTGATATCATGGTGATTATGGGAATCGCATATCAGCTGTTAGATTAGAGGATCAGAAATCCAATTCAGTTGACAACGTTATCTAAACTTTGTAAAGCGTAGTAATATTCATGGATGTATTAGGATAGGAAGATAGTCATCAAAGATGAGCGTGAGGTATGTAAGTGGGGAATAATCTATAGTCAGAACAGGAGAAAGCAATCATAAACACCCCTAAATGCAGATAGATACAAGCAAGACGAAAAGAACAGTGAGTAAAGAGAAAACCGAGGGCTATGCATGGTGGGCCGAGAACAGGCTGTGAAAGGTAGCAGTGATAGACGATAAATGGTCTCAAAGGCATAGAGTAACATTTAAACCGTCACCTGAGATGGAGCCTGTGTCTGTGCAGCGGGAATTGTGGCATCCACAGCTGGCTGCTCAGCATCAACTTGAGTAACCTTGGCCGGCTGGGGAGCAGAAGACCGCCGGATGGGGCCACCTCCATGAACAGCTGGCAAGGGGGTCTTGCTCCGAACGGCACCGCCACCAGCCGCACGGGCAGCTTCAGAATCCATGGCATTCTGCACTGCCTTGGACTTAATCTCAGGCTGGGTCTCTGATGTATCGGTCACATCGGGGGCAGTCTCCCACTTTTCATCCAGACCGAGTATCTGATCAACACGCGCAGCAGCAGGAAGCAAATCATCAAATTTCAAGCCGCGGCAGATATCAAGATACGTCTTGGACAGTTTCGTATCCTTGAACTCCTTGTTCTTTCCGGGAATCAGCATATTGAGCAAGTACTTGGTATTGCCCAAACGATTCTCGGCTTCTATACAGAACTGCAGGTAATCATAGACGACATCCCGCCACGGCGCGATGCCGCCATCCTCCTGAGTCCGGAAACAAGACGAGTTGGTCTCCGCAGAGGTCGCAATCATTGCTCCGTCAACGCCATGCTCAGCCATCAGCGCCAGGCCCTGGTCGCGCGATGTCACATCGCCGTTCATCACGCACGCCACACCGGCCTCGTGGCAAATGCGCGCTACCATGGGGAGCTGGTCGCGAATAGCGCGTTCGCGTGGCCGCATGGGAGTCGTGCGACAGTGCACTGTCAAGGCTGTGATGCCTGTTTTCACGAGGCGGGAGACGAGAGCCTCTGTCTCTTCGGGCTTGGAGAGAATGCGGATCTTGACTGAGATGCCGATTTGGAAGGGTTCGCCGACTTCCTTGACGAGGGCTTCCAGGATTGAGACGAGGAGGTCGGGAGTGCGGAGGAGCGCAGCGCCCATTCCGCCGCTTGTAGAGAAGGGTTTTGGGCAGCCAGAGTTGAGGTCGATGCCTGAGACGTCGGCAGCCACGACGCGCGCCGATTGTACTGCCAGCTCAGGGTCGGCCGTGCCAATTTGGTAAATGAGTCGGCCTTTCTCACGCACTGGATCGATACGGTAGATGATGGATTCTTTGATCGGTTTGTTGGGGCGTCCGCCGTTGCTGGGCATACGGGTGAATTCGATTGTGCCGTTTCGTGGGTTCACGCGTCGTTCGGCACCGATCATCGAGCGGTCGATTGTTTCGGGACCCCAGACGAGGTCGGCGCCATATTTCAGCGCCAGTAGGCGGGAGGGTAGTTCGCCTGATCGGACCATAGGGGCAAGGACGATTTTGTTGCGGTAGTCAACGCCGTTGGTAGGGATAGGCACGCGCGGCACAACGGCCGGCGCAGAGGCGGTTGCAGTTGCAGTTGCGAAGGTTGCCATTATGTTGCGGAAAGTCCTGATCATAGCATTCCCAGGTGCGGGGAGACGATGCCAAACAATCTTTTTTTTTTTCCCCGGGGGTTGGAGGGACCGATGGAAATATAGTATCACGTGAAGATAGTGGCGATAGCCAGGAGTTGGTAATTTGATGTGTATTTTATGTATTTAAGTAACGGTAATTTTGAAGCTACCTGGGCGGGCCATCCATTTTCCGATATCCGGATTGACCAATGACTGGGCACCATTCCCTGCCAAGGATCACGTCATACCCCCAGGTATCCAACCCTCAATGTGATTGTCTATACGGAGTAATTCTTCCATGATATTTTCGCGATTATCTTCACAATTGAAGTGAATGTTATTGCAATTGATCAAGTGTCTACTGCCGATATCGGCATGTCTTGTATGGGCTCGGGTAAGAAACATGCAATGTACGTCCTGTCAATTAGCCACAACCAATAGCGTATATATAGCTATTGTATCCTAGTAGTATATCCAAATAGTAAGAGCACGAGACTTCATTTATATAGGTACAGGCACGAATGATTCAGTCGGAAGATCAATTTGATTCGGGTTGATCATAGATGCCGACTTTCGGAACCATTTTTTTTTATAGATTTTTCTTTTTACTTCCGACACAGTAGGGGGTTAACACCACGCATCGCAACTTATACCCGTGAATCCAAAGTCCACTTTCAATTTCTGTATCGGAAATACTAAATAAAAACCCAAAAAAGACATCGCATTTCCAACAGAGCCAATGACTTGTCCTCCCTTGGCCCGACTGGGAAGTGCGACCTCCACCGCCTCCCGCTCTGTTTGGCGCACACCAGCAACGCTGCCCCCCACTTCTATTGCCCCTCTCTCTTCTCCCTTTTCTTCTCCCTTATCCCGTGTGGCCCAAGTATCTAGACACTTTTCGTCTACTTCGCCCAACATGACTTACTCCGTCCGCAAGATTGGTTCCCCATACACCCTCGAGCACCGTGTGTTCATCGAGAAGGATGGCGTCCCTGTCTCTCCCTTCCACGACATCCCCCTCTATGCCAACGAGCAGCAGACCATCCTGAACATGGTCGTTGAGATCCCCCGCTGGACCAACGCCAAGCAGGAGGTACGACAATTCACCTCCATTGACTCTCGCTCAAATGCTAATTGCAACAGATCTCCAAGGATGAGTTCCTCAACCCTATCAAGCAGGACACCAAGAAGGGCAAGCTCCGTTTCGTCCGCAACTGCTTCCCCCACAAGGGTTACCTTTGGAACTACGGTGCCTTCCCTCGCGTAAGTTCTGAACCCTTCCCATATCCGTGGATAGGAAGAGGGGTAACAAAAGGCTGACATGTTACCAGACCTGGGAAGACCCCAACTCCATCCACCCCGAGACTAAGGCCAAGGGTGACAACGATCCTCTCGACGTTTGCGAGATTGGTGAGCTTGTCGGCTACACCGGCCAGGTCAAGCAGGTCAAGGTTCTCGGTGTCATGGCCCTGATTGACGAGGAGGAGACCGACTGGAAGATTATTGTCATCGACGTCAACGATCCTCTTGCTCCTAAGCTCAACGACATTGAGGACGTCGAGCGCCAGCTTCCCGGTCTCATGCGCGCCACCAATGAGTGGTTCCGCATCTACAAGATCCCCGACGGAAAGCCCGAGAACCAGTTCGCCTTCTCCGGCGAGTGCAAGAACAAGAAGTACGCTGAGGATGTCATCCGCGAGTGCTCCGATGCCTGGGAGAAGCTTGTCTCTGGCAAGACCGCCCGTGGTGAAATCAGCCTGTGAGTTCTATCCATACATATATTCTTACTTTTGAGAGTATCGAAGCTAACCTGTATCAGTGCCAACTCCACCCTTGACAACTCTGCCGACCGTGTTGACCAGGCTCAGCTCGCTGCCATCCCCCGCAACGAGACCCTGCCCCCTGCTCCCATTGATGGCAGCATTGACAAGTGGTTCTTCATCTCAGGTGCCGCAGTATAAATGATATTTTTTGCAAGAAAAATATAAAACTAACTAAAACCTTCAAGCCTATGATCGTCTACCTGGTGGGGATTACATTCTTCGATTTCCTGAGCAAAGGACTCGTTTTTGAATTGTGAATGAATTCTTCCTCTTTACCACCCCAGTGTAGAGAAGAGTAGTCTGATGGACAGGTGCAAATCTGCACTGAAGAACAATGGAATAATCAATTTTCAACACCAGCTTGTGCAAGACCTTGAATTCTACCCCACTAAGCATGATCTCACGTATAAGGCACGAATAGCCCACTTCGTATGTTTTCTACCAAAGATGAATCCAAGTATTCAAATATGCCCAGCAGCGCCAAAAAATCGTCAGATAAAATGATAGGTAATATAATACACGAATGCACAGCTCGAACAATACAACTTTCTAGTTCTTCAAGCTCGCCTCCCGCTGCAGAGCTCTGCCAACACGGGACACCTCCTCGATAACATCGCCAATCTTCAGCCCGCGCTTTCCAACATCCAGTGTAAGCTCCTTGCCGCCCTTAAATCCGACAGTCATGGTCGGTGACTCGGTGGAGTTGCGCGGCAACTGCTTCACCTTGATATCGATATGGGTCGGGCTACTTGTTGGGATAGTGTCTGGTGTGCGCAGCATGCCGAGGAAGAGGCGACATGGCCGGGCAGCGCGGGAAAAGGGGTTGTAGGCGGTTCGGAAGCTGGTTATCGTAGCGATGGGGATGGTCATTGTCGCGGTTTGGGGTGGTGAGCGGGGCGGGAAGATTTAGCAAACTGGTAAATTGATCAGTTTCTTTTATCTCTCAAGGGTGAATGAGATCCTGTAGCTCTGTCTCGGATCCGTTGTTGCGTACCTGAGTGGATGAGGACTGGCGGGAAGTTTTTTTTACAGGTGGTATAACTTTTGGCGTTGATACCACAGCGATTGGACAGATGACCCTCGGCGGAAGACTGGTCCAAGGAGAAAATTGCGTAGATCTCACTCGGTATGCGACAAGTCTGATAAGTAATGGCGCAAGGTCAATTGGAAGTTCTAACAACACCCGATGCTCCGTTGCGAATTGCGGTTGAAGGAATGGGGCATGTTTGACTCGGATGCAAACACAATGCCGAATGACGCTCGTCAACATGGCAACTTTGCGTCGAACAACCCGACACTTATGAAACACCTTATTGCTTGAAATATCTCAAATTGTTATCTACCGGTCTTGGTTTTCAGTAGCGTTCCTTGATCCCCTCGAACAGACAGTACTTGTATGCGTCACATTCGATCAAGCAATACCCTTATCGCAAGATGTCCCCCACGACAGCTCTCCAGGGTCGCGTGAAAGAGCTCTCGGCTTCCTTGGGACACATTCAGCCCCTTGTGGATCGTCTGCGTTGTTTTACCTCATCTATCGGACAGGGTGATGAAGCCCGCTTAGAGCTTGGGAGTGAGATACATTCCCGACTGAAGGAAGCCGAGCAGGAGTTGGAGCTGCTGCGTGTGGATATAGAAGCGCTGGAAACTGGCTCAGATAATAGGCGCAAGGCAACGGCTACCCATGGACCAAAGGAGGCCGAGAGGGAGCGGGTGATTTCTATGGCAGGGCGATTGGCCGAGGATCTTAAGAGGTATGATACCTTGGACGACTTGCGCATGCTAGGGAGATTTCATTCTCCGGGTCTACTGGCTAGTTCTTCAATATGCATATACTAATCGGCCGTACAGAACACGAGGAGATTTCCGAACTGCCCAATTACAAGCGAAACGGAATGCCGAAATCGCCAAACGGAAGGAGAGAGAATTGCTGCTGTCAAGAACACACTCTTCCGAGAAGAAGCAACCGACAGAAAAGCTCACTCAGGATGATCTTGTTTTGAACGCTTCGAACGACGTGACATCTGCGCTGCGCAGAACTCATCAACTTATGCAAGCGGAGCTCTCCCGCAGCCAATTTGCCCAATCGACTCTTGGTGAGTATCTCTTTCCTTTTCCTTGATCCTACCAGATGCTCATATTCCTTCATTAGAACAATCTACAGCCGCGATCTCATCTCTGTCCGAGTCCTATAGCAGCCTTGATACACTTCTCTCTTCATCCCGCAGCCTCGCTAACTCTCTTCTCCGCTCCCAAAAGTCCGACACATGGTACCTTGAGACAGCTTTCTATGTTCTTCTTGGGACAATTGGATGGCTTCTCTTCCGACGTGTCTTTTATGGGCCTCTTTGGTGGCTTGTGTGGCTGCCCTTGAAGCTAATCGCCCGAGTTGCGTTTGCGACACTAGGTGCAGCTGGACTGTCCACTACAACTGTGCAATCTTCTTCTCCGTCTCTTTCAGATGAAGTCTCCACCGCTATTCATCAAATTACTACAGCAGCTGCAACAGGAGCCGTGACAACCAGTAGCGCCGCCTGGGAGCAGGAGCCATCAGCACCAATCGATAGCAACCGTGTAATTGACAAAATTGGTGACATGGTCGAGCACGAGAAACAGCAAAGCATAGATATTGACGATGTCACCCCGGAGGAGCGGGCAAGACAAGCAGAGCTTCCCCGGAATACAAAAAAGAGGATGTTTGAGGCTGGAATGGAGGACCCGGTGCGAGATGAGCTGTAGATATTCACCCAAGCACTAATGAGATAACATGCAATCATGATCCCCACAGCATCTAGTTTTGTACTCTATAATACTAGCATTGACGATGCTGATGGGGTTGATGTACATCTTGGTGGTAAAGCTGCTCTCATTGGCCAGTGTGTTTAAGTGCTGCGCGTGTCACGTGGAGACGCGTCTTGATTGTGGAGGGCGTCAGAGAGAGATCTTCAACACATCGCGGACCAGCTCTTGAGATAACCCTGACGTTCCTGAATTTGGGCTATTCAACAACAATGGCTGCCTCATTTTTCAATAATAAAGCTCGTGCCGCTGCCGCCGCAGCATCTAGCAGCTCTAAGCTCAAGGCTGGCGACAGCAAGGAAGATTCGACTCGACTCCAGCCGTGGGTTGAGAAATAGTAAGCCAATGCTTGATTTTGAGCTCACCAAACATCTTATTAATCATAACTAGTCGCCCCAAGACTCTCGATGATGTTGCTGCACAAGATCACACAACCAAAGTCTTGCGGCGCACCCTGCAAGCTTCAAACGTGAACCACCCAGCTCCAAACAAGTTGAGACAATGAATTAACCCCCACCAGCTTCCCCACATGCTCTTCTATGGCCCCCCTGGCACAGGCAAAACATCCACAATCCTCGCCCTCGCCAAATCCCTCTTTGGGCCCGCCCTTTACCGCTCCCGAATCCTCGAACTGAACGCTTCCGATGAGCGCGGTATTGGCATTGTCCGCGACAAAGTGAAGAATTTTGCCCGAGCGCAACTCTCCCAGCCAACAGGCCTAGACGCCGCCTATCGCGCACAGTACCCATGCCCACCATTCAAGATTATTATCCTCGACGAGGCCGACAGCATGACACAAGACGCACAGTCCGCTCTGCGCCGCACAATGGAGACATACAGTCGGATCACGCGATTCTGTCTTGTTTGCAACTATGTTACCCGCATCATCGAGCCGCTTGCTAGTCGATGCAGCAAGTTCCGGTTCAAGATGCTGGATAATAGCGCCGCTGGTGAGCGGGTCTCGAATATTGCGGAGCAGGAGGGTCTGCAGCTTGAGGACGGTGTTATCGATACGCTTATTCGGTGCGGCGACGGTGATTTGCGTCGTGCTATCACGTATCTGCAGAGTGCGGCGCGCTTGGTCGGTGCTACGAAGCCGCCTGCTGTAAAGGATGCTGACGATGATGCTGAGATGACGGATGCTGGTAGCAACTCCAGGGTTATCACGGTTCGCAGCATTGAGGAAATTGCTGGTGTGCTGCCGGATGACATTTTGGATTCTCTTGTGGAAGCTATGCAGCCCAAGAGTGGCGGGTCAGTCTACGAGGCTGTCTCGGGGGTGATTACGGATCTTGTGGCTGATGGCTGGAGTGCCACCCAGCTTGTTGCACAGGTTTGTGATTCTCTTTGTTTTATCTGTTTTATGAAAACGCCTGGCTGACCTTTTCTAGTTATACCGACGCGTGGTGTTCAACGAAGCAATTCCTGATATCCAGAAAAATAAGATTGTCATGCTCTTTTCGGAGATGGACAAGCGGCTGGTTGACGGGTCTGATGAGCATCTCTCCATGTTGGACCTGGCATTACGTATTGCTGGAGTCCTGCGTGGAAATTAGAAGGCATTTTCTTATCAAATTTCAACTCAAGCTTAGACCACCATGGTAAGCAGTGAGACTCCCTGACTACTTGATTGAAAAGAAACTTGGCGTTTGGGACAACTACGGCCTATATGTCCGAGGCGTTATATTTGGATTTTTCTAGCCCTCAGGTCTTTTTTGAATGGAATGACCATGATACCCTTCCCCCTTGTTTATGCGCAGACTAGTAGGTACAGAACAACGCCATGCACCTGAAAGACCTGAGTGATTCATGCGCACAAGTAACTAGATACCATATATGAACACGTCTAGGGTTTCGCTGCTTGAACAGTAGGTAGACAGGATGTGCCTCGGTGATTTTGACCGAAGTCTTGGGATGCTATTGAGCTGGTGCCAACAACAACGCAGATTTGGAAAACTGGCGTGAACCAACTTCCTATGGCATTGTAGCCCTGCATATCGCTGACCTTTGTTTCATTTTCGTAGCAATAAAGCAAGAGATCAACACCGGCAACACTAAGCAAAAGGCTAGGTAATTGGGAACCATAGCGGCCTAGATATCCTTGAACTAAATTCAAGCATGACTATGGAGGTGCTCTCTCAATGTTTGTCTTCTCATTCTTACTTTCTACCAACTCTCTCCTGACAAAACCCCTAGAATTTCAAAGTCTTCATTAACTCTACATATTCTGCTGAATCACATCAGGACTCATACTCCGCCCTTGATATGGACCCTACAACCCTTGCCAGACAACGCAGTGGAGCTAGTCGTGACCCTCGTCGTGCCGGTAGAGCTAACCAAGGAGCTGGTCATGCCGATAGACAACACTACACCCGAAACCAACCATACCAGGCCCAGAGCCAATATCACCAGGTAAGCCATAATCCACAAGAGTGCGTTCTCCCAACCGCTGTGTACTGTGGAATATACTTTGTTGCCGCCAGCATCGACATGGGGAGTACACTTGGTGGAATTACATTTTGAAAGTGATACCGTTCTGTCTTCTCATCTCGTTCTTCGTTGTACCACTGCCATATTATATGTCAATATATTGATGGATTCCCTTTGATTAAAGGCTGACAAATGAGACGTTGCTCTAGAGCAGTATCACCTTGACCTGTTATCTCTGCCACGATTCCAGACACCTTCAGCGGAGTTGTCCACTGCTTTCGCTTTGGAGAACTGCCATTGAGACAATCTGCCGGGTACAGAATACCTCTATGGATATCCTTGGTTCATTTCTGACACAATATCACCAAGGACCGTAATATCGACCCAATGAGCCTTCTTGAACAAATCGACATCGTGAGGATTCATTCTAGAATAATCTTTTGCGTCGCACCTAACCGATCGACACAGGGGATACTTGTTGCTGCTCTAGCTAGGGCTCTTCCAGATGGGGACGGGGACATCCCTATGCAGTAAGTTACTCTATAAGAAGTTTGTTTTACGGTCACCCGAAGGCTCGGGCTTTAGGATGCGAGGAAGCAGCAATTCAGCTCTAAAAAGAGCATGAATAGTGACATTGACCTTTTCGAGTGGAATGACCCGATTAAATGCTCTGGGCTTTGAGGAAGGCTCCTACTTGTTAGCAAACTATTATATTCAACATAGTTTCGTTCTGAGGACTTTGGATTTGACATGAGCCTTAGGTGTAAGGGTAGAGCTCCATCCGCAGCCCCTGGTCCTTGGGATTCCACTTGCCTCGGGTAAAATAATATATGCTTACTGATCTCCAAAGCCCCAACACCTAAATTGGACCCCAGGCAGATAATGATCTGAAATAACGGGGTAATATAGAACCATATAGTCCGATTCATCGCGTCGATGGTGATACCTCGGCGTCCTCGGCGATTTTAGATCAAAAATCAATACCGGCAACCGGCAACCGAGTACCGAAGAGAACATACCCCCGCTAACAATGCGATTCCCCTAGATGGAGATAAATAATGAGTATAAGCCAGGTGATTCAAAGAGGTACAAGGAAGATCAAGATCAAGATACCATGGATACTGAATTTCATTCTCAACCTACCCTTCAGGATTCCTCCAATGGGATTGAGGCAATACAATTCGAAGGCACAAAGGAATTCCGACCGAGGAGAGCCAAGTGGGCTTGTTTCGCCTGTCATAAACGAAAAGTGCGTTGCGACGCACTAAACCGAGGCACGTCGTGCACCAATTGCAAACTTGATATGAAGGAATGCATTGCTCCACCGCGAAGGAGGAAAAAGACAGCTCCAAGCCCATATATTCCTGGCGAAGCTAGAACAGTTCATACACCATTGTCGCCAACTGTGTCGCAGAGGTCCGTAATATCAGACCCTAAGTGCAGGGTCCAGTCGAATAGCACCGGTGTAACATCACGAAAACGGAAAAGCGACGCGCGAAGTTTGGATTCTCATACCAATCTAAAAAGACAACGACCTGATGAAGTCTCCTCACACAATGTGAAGAATGCAGTTGGGCGTTGGATGGACATGTTACCGCCAAAGGTCCTACAGCAGCTCGAGCTACGTTCTACCAAAGATATTCCGAGGCCTCGTCGAGACATTGATGGACTCAATGTGGAACATTTTCACGACAAATGTTCTGAAAAGTTGCTCCAGGCTGTTGATATCCTGACGGAAGTCATCATCATGCACAATTCGCTTTCAGCGCACACGGGGTTCTCCATCCCCATCGCCGATCCAGCAACTGATAGTTGCGCCTCCGAGAAGCAATTGGAAGCAAAACAGAAAGAAAACATGGAGTGCTCTCCATCTATTTCAGATCAAATTGGGGGAGATATGTGGGACATTGAGAACACAGTGGATGAAAGTTTGGCTTTGACTCCCGAGTCTCTGGAATATGTTTCCGAATCGAATTTCAATATATGGTTGGAATTGAACGACTTTGACCTTGAAAATCCTGTGTTGGGTGTATATGATGCTGAAAAAGCTGGGCCATAGAGAGGGAAATAAACGTTGGAAAAATTGCAAGGAAAATCCGAGTTCATGGTTGTGACATGGTGAATGTTGGTCTGGCTAAAACTGGGCGTAGATACAGTCTCCTTCCACAATCACGAATCAAATTTGTAATTTTGCGAGCGTTGCAGATCGTTCAAAATCCACCAGTTGACTGAGCGCCACCAGTTGACCCAGACTCCAGTTGACTAGACTTTACCAGTTGGCGGGTGAATGGATCCGGCTGCTGATGTAATTAATCGAGAGAAGCACCCATGAACGAGGGTGAGGACAACCATGGCCATGTGAGAATGTGGAATGTCAATCGTGGTTTTAGCCGTGGAAAACTCTGCTATATACGCTCATGCTCGTTGATAGGAGGTTCAGAGAGCTTGAGACTTGTAATGAAGGCAGTGTTCACCTTTGACAAGTCCATCCCCTGAAGCCTCCCAGTAAAATTGTGCTCAATTGCACCTTCTGAGGCTTTTGGCGTGAAGGGATGATTGGAGAAGAGAACGTGGGGCAAGGTCATGCTCATAGGTAAGGAAGATCTCGCTCAGTTCCTGGCAGGATGCTCCTGACATGATGCCGAGCGAATTGCCTGAAAGGAACGTATCCGGATATCACCAAGGTTGAAAGAACCAAATTCCTACAACGATGTCTCGATGTCGTCAAAAGGTGAAAGATGAGAAGGAGAGGAAGAGAAGAGAAGAAAGACGGAGACGAGGGGGGGTTTATACTCCCACGGGCCTTCCTAAAGTGGAAGCATCCCTTGCACCTTCCCTATCTTGATATCACGGAGCGGATCAAAAGATGGTATAGGTTTTGTAAATGAACGACATTGATCGGAAGCATCAAACCATCTTCAGCCGTCAAGCCAAATAAAAGCCAGGTGAAACATGATGGATCCATTTGTATACCGGCATCTCTAAATTGGATATCTATTACATCTAATTCACATCCTCCTCTACTCCGAGGCCAGCAGATCGGAAAGTTTATCCAAGTACGCATGAGGCCTGACATCACCAGAAACAAAGTCCTCCTTAGAAGCGACACCAGTCAAAACACCAAGCGTACCACCAAGCTTCCCCTCAAGGCCAAAGCGAATATCCGTATTCGCACGATCGCCAACCATGCAGGCCCGGCTACGATCAAACTTGAACTTACCCTCGATAGAATCCATCATAGCCTGACTGGGTTTGCCAAGTGCGATGGGCTCCTGATTCAGCATCATTATCAGCGGCGCACTCATGGAGCCAGCGCCAGGGAACAGAGTCCCAGAGTTCGGCAAGGTAGAGTCGATGTTGGTGGCGAGGAAGATCGCTCCACGCTTGATATAGTGATATGCCAACGCGATCTTAAGGTAGTTGAAATGGAAGTCAAGACCGACGAGCACGACCCCAACTTCCGGGTCTAGCATGGATTCATCACCCGCCGCAATCTTCTTGTAATCCTCTGGTGTGACATCGCGGCGGTATGCGGGATCTGTGCCGCCAATGAATGTGACCCCCTCCGAGCGAAGCTCTTGCTCGATACCTGTCTCACCAACCACGTAGACTTTACGTTTGTTTTCGGGGAGCTGGAGGATGCGAGAAATGTATATGGAGGAGCTGTATGAGGAGGAGAAGATCTCTTCCTAATGGATTCTGAGTCACTAGGCACTGGAACGACTGCAAATGGTAATCCGTATCACTCACCACCGTGCTGGGAATTCCCAAGCCTTCGAGCTTCTTGCGATAGTCGGCACGCGACTTGGTGCTGTTATTCGTCACGAACACCACTTGCTTTCCTGTCGGGATGATCAACTTCTGCCTTTTGCCGAATTGAATTATTTGATGCGCACCATTATTTCGGAGAAGCTCCAAGGTCTCCACTGTTCCGGGAAAGAGATGATCACCAGACCATAATACACCTAAATTATCCTAGTCTCAGCGATTGTTGCAACGCGGCTGGGTCGGGAGCCTCAGTGGAGGGGGTCAAGCCGAGATAGAGCGAGCACGGGGGACAGACCATCACAGTCGAAGAGAAAGACCTGTAAAGAATCCTGTTAGTAAAGAGAAGCTATTGCGTCAATGCGATCAAAAAAGTAGACTGACATCAAATTTGTCCAGGAACTCGCGGAGACCGGCCTTATCGCCGGTCAGGTATCGGGGCGCGACCTGCGAGGATTCTTGTGTCATAGTCGATGATTAGGAAAAGGTATACAAAAAGATTGTAAACGAAGGAATCCGAATTGAAGATAAATGACACAGTCCGTACCTCCCGATGTGAATCTCCGGTGAAACGTGGGGCGTGGGGTTCATCGTTCTTGGCATTCCAACGTCCTGACTACATCTATGTGATCGGCAGCATCTCGGTAGTATTCACCTATTTTCTACCTTTTACACATTAGTTTCACCCAAATTCTGCTCTACTACATCTCAGGTTCCCAGAAGAGGAAGAAATAAAGTCACAGCAGGCCCAGAATCCAAGGCAGGGTGCTCAGACCATACTGTTGATATTGGGGGACAAAATATGTCTGGTGTCTACGCCACTTGATTCAAAGATGTCCCCATATCTATCACTCGCTGAATGGTGTCAGTGACATATGGAATGCTGTTGAGATATGGCGGCGACTTTCCCCAAGAGGATAGCTGCAAAAGCCTTGATAACAGCACGAGACTGATGGCCCAAAAGAAAGGAAACAACGCCAAGAGAAGCCCAACGATTCAATCCAAATTCACCATGAACGACCATACTCACATTTTCATTGCCCAGTGCACCATGGTTATCTGTGTTATCATAGAGCAATTCTAGAATAAGTGATAGAACAATTCTAGAATAAGTGCATCGGCAATGCGATACCCATGCATTACCGTAGTTCAGCACTAGGGCTTACATCTTGACAGGGATCTATGACTAGCATCGTAATTGTAGCGTTGTTATACACCGGCCCACTTCCCGACATACCTGGCTGACGGAAGGATTCACTTCGGTCTGAGCCCCTATTAGGCTACTACCCAAGGCCCGTGGAGTCCCGCATCCTTTATAATTAGTGACTAGTCGCAGCTCCCTTCCCCTCCTTACGGACCCTGCTTTAGCATCTCACCTCATCGGCGGATCAGATGGGGACCAAGTTTGACGTGACTCCGGAAAAGCAGGCCAGCGTGCCTCGCTTCTTCTATAATCAGCTCACGGTCAAGCCCGTCACGGTCCAGGGTGTCAGTCTCGTGGGCAAGACTGCCTTGGTGACCGGGTCCAACTCCGGTGTGGGCTTTGAAACCAGCCGACAACTCCTCGACTTGGGATTGAGCAAGCTCATTCTGGCTGTCCGCAGTGAAGAGAGAGGTCAGACGGCGAAGAAGAAGTTATCCGCTGACCGAAATCTATCCGACGATAGCATCGAGGTCTGGAACCTTGATCAGTCTGACTATGGCTCGGTCGTCGCCTTTGCGGAGCGCACCAAGAGCCTCCCCGGTTGGATATCGTCGTGCTGAACATCGGCATCGGCAACGCGACACGCGTCTTTAACCCCAAAACGGGCCATGATGAGATGATACAGGTCAATTACCTCTCGACAGCCTTACTGACACTTTTGCTACTCCCAATAGTTAAGGAAAAACGCGCCGCGCAAGGGGGTCCGAGTCGGATTACGATTGTCTCGTCAGAGGTCTCTGCGTGGACAGCCTTCAAGGAGAAGGAAAGCTTTCCGCTGCTGGCATCGCTTGACCAGAAAAATGCGAAGGTAGACCTCCTGGATCGGATGATGGTCTCCAAACTGCTGGGACAGTTCTTCCTGTCGTATTTGGCTTCTATTGTCCCACCTTCTGTGGTGATCATCAATGCCGCGTCGCCGGGCTCTGTTCACGATTCAGATTTCAACCGTGAGCATGATAAAACTTTCTCTGGGGCGATCGCAAAGGTCGTGATGCGTCGGCTGGCCAACACCGCTGCGGTTGGAGCTCGAATGATCACCGATGCAGCGGTCAACCATGGCCAGGAGACGCATGGCGAATTCCTCTCCTTTCAGAAAATTGTGCCGTGAGTTGCTTCTATGTGGATCATGATATAGACTATCGCTAAACCCACTTACAGGTTGGCACCGATTATCTACACCGCAGAGGGAAAGAAGATCTCGGAACAGCTCTGGAAGGAGACCAAGGAAGAACTAGCCATCGCAAATCTGGAGGAGATTCTCAAGACCATTTCGCAGTAGATGGCAACAGTCAGAAGTGGATAGTGCAGGTTGTGATTGAAGACATGTAGGTGACTTGAAGAGGACAGTCTCATGAGCTGGGTAGTTACATCAAACAATTGCTGTGTCAATTCATCTAGTATATTGAGTGATCAGCATTTCACCGTGGAAAAATGAAGATTCCATATTTTGGCAAGCGGAAGCCCAAATTGACGTCCAGTTACGATAGTAGGACTGATAGCCTAGTAACCCACCCACAGGAAAACACAGTACAAGCATAGATGCCCCAAGGACATAAGGTGAAGCCATGTCAAAGCTGGCTAATTCGTTCGTAACACGATGCCGTATTTGAAGAGAGACTGCTCAATGGACATATATCCAGCTGGACGATCAGATCCGGATCCCACTGGCTTTAGATAGCCCACCACCCATCCTCCCATATCATTCAAACGGCTGACTATGTCGGCGATTATCTCTAGCCTGAGATACTGCAGGAGATCCCGGGCCCAACCTGCTGCGCAGCGTGGCCACAACCGATATGGAGCCCCTGAATGCACTCAAACCGAGAGTGTGGAATGAATAGGAGACCATAAATCAGGTGGTACGCTACAGCCAGCAGACGACTCGATCATGCAGAATGACCATCCGGATGGAGGCTGTCTGTACTCAGACTGGCTAGTCACTATGTCCGTGGATCATGCGGCCGCGCGAGCAGGCCTGCTTGAAGCTCTGCGTGGATTCACTATCAAAGCCATCTTGTGCAAGAGTATCAAAGCGTGTTCGTGTGTGCGATGGCGGTGCTGGACTACAGCAAGACTGGGAGGCGCGGTCGCAACAGCTATGTCCCGATCTTGTCCCGGGTTATTGATATTGCGCGGCTTATCCTTGTGCAGAGGGCGCTCTGGCTGAGTTCTATGGTCATATCGCTCATTTGCACGTGGCAAGATCAGGATACAGAAACGCCACAGGCACTGCTGAGTGCAGACCAGGAGCTGGACAATATCGACGACGGGTACAGCTCCTGTACGGCCCCCAATCGGGCCAGTCCCCCGGCGCGGCTCGCGTTACATGACCAGGTCGAGCGCATGGCTTATGAAGTTATGATCCATGGCATGCACGGGCCCATCGAGACACTCGATTGGCGTACACATGGGTTGAAGATCCACTACAACACCATTACCCTGGGCCATATCACTTGAATGGGCGCCAACCAGCTGTATGACGACCCCGCCCGGTGCAAGCCTGGTTGGAGTTTTTTGCAGGATAGCTGCACGCCATGACAGGTGGATGGGCAGCACCGGAGCTCCTTGCAGCAGGTCGAGAGGTTCGTGGTGCACTGCCATCTCATTGGCGGGCAACCCGATCGTGCCCCTTCAATGAGACCACTCACAGAACCTAGTTTGGCGGCTTTCTCATCTTTGCCGACTGTGGGAGGGGCTGGCTCTTTAGATCATATCATGTTGTCAACCCTTTTAGCCTTTTCATGTTCAAGGCGCCTCGAGAATTGACCGCGTAAACTAATGAACTTAATTAAGCACGGCTGAGCGGATGGGAATCTGTTTTCCACCCCCTATGGTCGTATGTGCTTGATTGGATTGGAAGAAAAAACGAAGTGCAAAGTGTATATGACTCCCCATTACCAATGCTTCAGTGAGAAGGATAAAAGTAGCCGCAAATTATAGAATAGAGGCCGTCAGAATGGCACAAAATGTGCAATTTGACTTTTGTATGTATAACATTTGATGCAGGATCACCTCTAATTTGGAAAATACAATTTCTGCAAGACATATCCTTTATGCAACCCACGACAGGTAGGGATTAGTCCACCTAGGTACATGGGCATAGTACGCAATTGGATTTGTAGAACAAGTCAAAGCAAGATCCAAGGCTGATAATATATATATCACAACATTGATTTTTAGGTTGGCGTGTGGATCAGCAATTACAAGCAAACATATCCCGAGTGGAGATCTAGATCTTCGTCAAATTATGATACATCGAGCCGATGACAGGCCGTGTAGAACACATCGCGCTAGTGTACCTACCGTGTCCACATGGAGGTACAGCCCGCAATGTCGAACATGACCCAAGGGAGGATCAAGCCAAGGACCCTAAAATCTGAATTGTGTGCCATGCAGCAATACTTCGAGGGACCAACAACTGATCCAAATCGGACACCGCTAGTTTTAAAGAGAGCTGTTTGTTGACACGAGGGCATGGTTACACTCGGAAAAGATTTTCATCACGATTCGCTGTTACACTCGCAACTCATGTCCCGCCTTGGCCCCGTGTGGTGTAGTATCTGATTGCTGGACAATTCTGCAGTATCAAGACACTTACTACAATACATCTCAATGGGAACATACAAGTAGAATGGTGAGATATGGTCGAACAGGAGTGGACTTAACATTTGACTCTGGAGGCGGGTGTATATCAAATGAGACCGGAATGATTGCCTGGCAGGGACGATCCACGTTGGCCATTTGGGATTGCATTTGCGTCTGCAGCTGTGCGTATGTACGTGCATACATGTAAGCAACCAAGCATTCCATATACGTATAAGTGGTCTGATATAGGTGTGAAGATAAGTTTAATGCAGTGACCAACATTGGACCTTAAGAATAATAGGCTTACAAAGGTCTAATATATTAATAAAGGTACAAACAAGAATGATGAGAAGATATATGAAGTAACAGAACAGATGGTATGTAAGGAGAACTTGGTGAGACAGGAATGTCCTGGTAGAAGGAGAGTAGGTGAGGGAGATTGGAGGGGCCTTGAAGATAGACAAAAAGAAGATGATACAGTTAAAATCACAATAGGATGCAAGTTGTAAAAAAGGGGGTATAGGTATAGATCTGATGTCGTGAGATTTCGTGAGATGTGTTGTGCTGAAAAAAAAAAAAAAAGAAAAGGAACGCCAATGTAGGTGCAGCAAGCAAAAAGATCAACTTCAAACCCATGGATCGGCCTGTGTGTAAGTATGCGGGTTGACAGGCCCAACCAACTTGATCTGAGCCTTCAACTGTTCCCTTCTGCGATCATCCTTTGACTCGGCAATCCTTTTCTTCGCACCGAGAAACATTCCTCGGGCATTGCTCTGGGATTGCTTTCGCAGTGGGGACAAAGCGGGACCGGCATGTGCATAAGATATATCAGGAGCCGAAGATGAAGATGGCTCTGCAGAACTAGGCGAAGACTTGTATCTCGGGAACTGAACGTTCCGCTTGGATTTCTTGGGTGGTTCCCAGATCACAGGGCCATGTTTCTGATACGCAGATAGCGGGACCGCTAGTTGTTTCGGCCGGGGTGTTGTGGGGGTTGGAATTGAAGTAGGCGATGTTGGCGAGATTGGTGTTTGAAGATGAAATTTATGGTTGGTATAGTCATACTCACTGCTCGAGGATGTGGCCACGGATGTAGCTCGCACGAGGTCTGTGTTCAAGGCCAAGGATTGCTGCGGTACCGAGGTTGTACTGGCGAGTGTACCTCCTACATCGTAGAGGTGGTCCATGGGCGCCGTCGCCGGGCGGGGGATTTGCTTCGGTTTATTTTCTGTCGAGTCGCGCGAGAGAGTGCGGTGGACGTAAGTCTTGATCGAGTTGCGAACTCCACCGAGACCACCACGGTCGAGCGAATGCCAACGGCACTTGCCCTTGGCGAAATCTAGCGGGTTGGCCATTTTCCGAGCTTTATTCTGTGCAACTAGATTTTGGCCGAGGCCACCCTGTAGAGTGGAGGGTGCCAATTCGGGAAAATAGTCCCACTTCTTTTCGCGGAAATAGTGATTTGGGCCTGTGGAATTTGGGGCCCAATTCGATGGACGTCCGTATTGTGTGTCGGAATATGAAGACGAGACTGATGAGGGCTCGACAATTGGTAGATCGATATCGATGGAGTCCGTGCGTTTATGAGATTGCGGGGATAGTGCAAGTTGATCGGACGGAGTCGGAGGATCGATTAGATCAAAGTCGGAGCCCGAACTGACAAAGATGGGATAGCTGTCTGCTGAGTTGCGGTCACTTGAACTGCTATCGAATGTACTTTCACTATCGCTGGAATCACTCCACATAGCCGAACATTCTGGGTGTTCGGGAAGGGGTTTCGCGGGAAGCGGTTTGTTGAGACAGAGATCGGAGCGAATAGAGGATGTTTGAGGCGATGGTGGGATTACTCGCTCAAGTCCTTCAAGTGAACGAGATGGTCGGACGGGGGGTGCCATTCGGCTGTAGGAAAACGGTGACATTTCGAGACGAAGTATAAAGATACAAAGAATGGAAACCGCCACAAAACTGTCGACAAAGGAAAGAGAGATGTATATGGGAAGAAGTACGGAGTAGATTATATATATATATAAACATACAACATACGGTAATATCATAAAAACCATCGTCAAACGAACTGACGCAAGGACACGGATCGCCCTTACTCCGCTTCAGAGTCAATATGATTGGAGACAGATATAACTTGGGCTTATGTTAGGTCTACATAACTAAGTAAGCTTGGCTTTTTCTTCACTCAGTTGGCCGGACTCGAACAGTCGGGTAATCATCTCTTCGTCTCCAAAGTGACTGTTATGCTCGAATTCCGGTTCCTGCGCGTAGGCAACACGTGCTGCATCGACAATGATTCTTGCTGTCATGCCAAAGATGCGATAGACTTGATCTTCATGTCGAACAAAGAACTGATGCACTAGTGGCGTCGTTAGTATCCGGATTTTTCTTTTCTGGAATGGCCCCCTATTTCCCGTTTTGGAACAAAGAGAGAGAAACGTCACCCTCGGGACTCCGTATATAGACATTTATATAGCATAAATTGCAAAAGAAAAATCAGTACTTACTTCTCCATTGTGAATTATGCCACGTCCCCCAAGTTCCCGTATACCAATCATCTTGTACAGAGATATTTTGACTCAAAAAGTCCTTCAATGGCGCAGTAAAAACAGCCTCAACCTCTCTCGCATCCAAAATAGGAACCAGTGACGCTTCAGGATCGGCATTCAGCCCCAAGTGGAGATCAGAGCCGTGAAGGAGAGCAACGCAGGGACGTACGACTACCTCCGTTCTGGCAAGATTTGCCGGGAGCTCACAGAGATGCTCCACGCTGAACGGGGGTGGGAACTTTTGATTAATATCGGGGAGGCCGATCTCCTCGCTTGCCTCGCGGCGCGCCGTTTGGAAGGCTGTCTCTGTGTTGTCTGCGCGGCCTAAAAAGGATCAGTGACATTTCCTTTTTTTTTATTTATTTTAATTTTGTCTTTCTTTTTTCTGTTTTCTGTCAAGGCATCCAAATTGACTCAACCCCTTCTCTTTTTCTGGTTTTGTTTGGGGGATTCTGTCAACTTACCTCCAGGCAAAGCAGCATCTCCTGCATCTACCGAAATTAGCTCAAATTCCAAACCCATGCCTGAAAACAGGGCTGATTCATGTCATTTTCCCTTAGAAGACTCACACGAACTCAATGTCTTGGCCCGGATCGTAACGACAACCTTAAGGTCGCCCTTGGCATCGGCGAAGAGCAGTATCAGCACAGCCGCCCGTCTGCTGAGTGGGACCAAGCTGTACGTTGTTGGCGGGGGAACATAGTTTCGAAGTCTGTTGATTGCTTCCTATCGATATATCATAAGTACGTTCTATCCCCGGGGTTGGGTTTCAGCACCGGGATGGCCATCCACGGGAAAAAAAAGAAAGGGTCTCGGTAACGAGACTTTGACCGTGAAGATACTGTCTTAGGTCAAACAAGAATCTTCTCTCTTCCCCGAACGGTTTCAAGTTCATGAGAAAGCCCAAACTCAAATGGTCCCTTGCGCATCCCAAAAAAGAAGAGTAATTTAACACCCGTGGCTTAAAGGGGGAAAGGGGGTTCACGGTAGGGATAATATGCATGGCAAAATGGACACAGCAGATTCACACAGGGACACGCGGTCATTTCGGGTAGATGCAGAACAAGTTACTCCGTATGGACACATACCTGAGATGTGGGATTTAGGGGTGCCATTATTTTGAAAGTTCGTTTGAGCGTGGTGAAATGGAATAGCTTGAGCTGAGTCTGGGTGAAAAGCGTCGGAAGATTGAGCAGTCGCATTTCAATCTTGTAAAACTGATGTCCAAAGTACACCGTGACAGTTGGCTATCAAGGGATTTAGGTAGCCGAGGTAGTGTGACTAATGATATATATAACCGGCATCGGAGAATCCTGAAGACCTTGCTAACGAGTATATGTATTCCCTTTACGTATATTCACAAAGATATTCGAGTTATTCGATAGCCCAAGCAGATCAGTAGAGTATTCCCAATAGTCTGATCACAAGAGAGCAATAGAAGGAAGAGAGGATGGGATCAAATGGTCTATCAACACAAAAGAAATAAGACAGGATAAGAACTGAAAGGGGGAGAGACACCAAGTGAGAATGAAACAAGGCAACCATCTATATGACAAGTGCAACCCAAACCAAAAACATGCGCAATATCGAAACACAAATCGCCATATTCATATCAATTACAAGCCTTCACTCTTCTTCGCCTCCTTGGACTCGGGGATCTTCTCGGCGCGCGCACCTTCCACCATGGCCTCCTTGGCCTCGGCAGACTGCTTAGCACCATCGGCTGCGGCCTCAATCTTGGCCTCCTCCTTCTCGTCAATATCCTCGATATCCTTAGGCGCAGAAACACCCTTGCCTTCGTTCTCGCTGTTCTGCTTACTCTCCTCCTCGATCAGATCTTCCTGCTCCTTGATAACCTCAAGACGTTGCTTGTTGGTAGCAGCACCCTCGGCATTGTGGACCTCGAGTTCGATCTCGTGGAACAACTCCTCGGGAATGCTGGAGAGCACGGACTTGAGCGCATCAATTTGTGATGCCATCTCAGACTCCTTGCCAGCCTGCGTGTACAGGTAGGCATTGCTCAAGACCAACAAAGTTGAGGGAACGCCCTGCTTAAGACGCAGCTCGAGCCACATACCAAGATCCTCACGCAGGCGCGCGGGGGAAACGCCGTGTGTGCGGATTCCGCGCGAGGCGCTAGCCATCTGCAGCTCTGGGACGGAGAGGGAATCAACGCCCTCGTAGAAGATCGCACGGTCATCACGCTTGATCTGACGCATCCGGTGTCGAATGGTGTACCGGAGCATGGCGTCCGTACCGAAGGAGTTCAGGTTCATGTAGCGGCAAATACCAACCAACTGGGGTCGAGACAGGTTGTCAAGGGTCAGATCATCTTTGAAAACCTTGCAAACCTTGATGATGTCCTCTGTTGAGGGCGTTTCACCAGTAGTGCGGATTTTGCGGAAAAAGTCTGTGAATTCGTCGTTCTTGACTGTGCTGGCAGTTAAAGGTAGACCGGTCTCCCGTAGGGTGTTGCGTAAGAACCCAGAAACTTCCTTGCGAGTCGAGCTAAGGTTCAAGGCCTTGGTGTCGCGAGCCTTCTGCCCCTCGTAGGTGCTGGGGAGCATGTTGGGGAAAATCTTGAGGGCGACGGGGAGCAAGAGCTCGGCAAAGGGAACGATGAGGAACATCGAAAATGGAACCAGGCGTCCCAGATCCTTTGTGGTACGTTGGAGCTACAAACAAACCTCAAGTTAGCCATATAGTACAAAATATCGGGATATTCCTAGTGGCGCAAGCCTACCTGGCGGTGCTCTCGGCGACTGAGCTCATAACCACCGGCCATCTTCAATGCCAGCCTCGAACTAATCTTGACCTCAGTAGCAAGCAGCTTTGTGCCATCCCAGTAGTGCTGCAACTCTTTCTTGACCTTTTGCCCAAGCGTCAACTTTTTCGCGCTCTTCTTCTCGGCCGACTTCTGCTCCTCCGGGTTTGTCTTTGCAATAACACCGGCAGGCTTGCTAACGGCTGGTTGTGTCTCGGCGGGCTGGGTCGTGGAAGTCGTAGATTGTGACTGCGTGGTCTGGTCTTGCGGGATCGGCTTCTTAGCTTGCTCGGCATTGAACCCGGGGGGAGGGTAGTTCTGAGAAGAGTTGTTCGATGTGGATTGCTCGGTCGAATATCCACGCTGTGGGATCAGAATGGCAAGCGCCGAGACTTGAGATGGCAGGCCGCGGCCATTTCGCAGTAGGCCGCGGGCTGCAACGGAGGCCGGACTCAGTGCATTGGAACGACTACGGTCTGCCAGGAGGAATACGTCAGTAACTGTCATCATCATTTACTTCACTGAGGTTCTGCAACACTTACTTATCAGTGCAGACCGGAAAGCAGGTGTTCCGCGGACCAATCCGGTCGATCTCATCGTAGCGGACATTTGCGGAAATGTTAGACGAAAAAGTAAGTGCTTGAAGCAGCGAGACAAGAAGAGTGTAGGCGCAGCAACGAAACAAGTAATCAATCCTAATGTCCACGGGATGAGCCAAAGATAAAATAAAGTAAATCACAATAATAAATGGTAACAAAAGTTTGGAATGTCTTGGAACCGGTTCCGATGAGAGATGTTGTGATGTACTGCCGCAGTCATCTTGCACGTGACAGCCGGATACCGCCTCGGGTTTTGCTCGGGGTTAAACAGATCTCCGGACATTTCGGCGCATTCATTGTGGCAAATTATTGTTTGTATCAATCTAAACTAATTTTGTACATACATACTAAAGAAAACTCGCTCAACGTGGGGGCCATCGAAACTTGACAAAAAAAGGAACCGGTAGTCGGGGTATATAAAGCCTGCCCAAACGATGACAATGAGAGAGAACGTCCAGCATGGTTCAAATTCGCTCTTGAAGAACAGAGTCCTTGTTCGAATTACCCTCCACGACATCATTAGAGGAGACCTCTGCAGTATCCAGCAAGGGGATTCGATCGATGCTCGATCGCTTCTCCCCGCTATGTTCATTGACGGCATCACTGATAGGACTAGGCTCAGCAAGAAGTGGAGGACTAGTTGCACCCTCGGGAGAGCTCTGCCAACGTGCAACATCTGTCTTAAGCTGTTCCAACTCCTTTTGGAAGCGCTTTCCGAAGACATCAATGTAGTAAGTTGCTCCATTGTGGATGCTCCAGACAAATAGCGCAGACATGAACAAAGCACTGGCCCATTTGGACCAGAACCAGATCGGACAGGGGATCATTGTAGACAAAGCAAACGCGTACTGGATAAACATGAAGCATGGCTCTTGCAGCGACTCGGGCAGACTCAGCACAAATCGTCCAATCCACGTCTTGGAGTATGACTTGCGCAGCCAGGTGAAGCTGGTCGGGCGACCCGCTGCGATTTTATCGCGGCGGCGCACGGTGATTAAAAAGTGATACATGAGCTGCCACACCAAATACGGGGCTGTGGACCAGAGTATCATAGCACCAAGACCATAATGCTCAGGGTCCCCGGGCTGACTAAACTTGATGTTGTAGACAGCAGGAAAACGTTCCTTGAGTTTTTCAACCGGTGTCAGGTGTACGATGCAGTGCAAAGTTACGGGTGGCATAATGTGAATGAAGAGACTGCAGAGACAAGATGAGCAAACGGACTTAATTCCTTCTTTCAGTGGCGAACGTACCTTGTAACCTTGTCTATACTGTGGAATACCATAGAGTTGCGCCACATGGCGATTGCAGCCGCATTGTTTCCGAAGGTCAAACAGAAAGTGCTGATGAAAAGCCGTTTCGAGTTTGGGAAGACCCAAATACTCAGCATGCAAAGCAAATTGACAAAATAGCAGAGATCGGCCAAGAAGTAGTGATAGCCCTTGGCATGGTATGTGAAGTAGCGGATGGGCATGAAATATGCCAGCTGGGCGCTAAACCAGATGTAAAAGTACTCCGGGCAAGCGCCGATCAGGTAGCCGCTGATGAAGATATTGAGCACACCAGCGATAAAGGACATCTTCTCCCGGATCGTGACAGTCGCCGTCTCGCTCCATTGCTTGCCCAGGCGTTCTACACCCTGCTTCATTCGAGAACGGTATTTTTCTAGCTTCTCGTCGGCGGTCGGTGCCCGGCGCTTCCATTCATCCATAACCCGATCTTTAGCGTTCAATGAGGACGACTTGAGCTTCTCCCGCTGTTTTCGCACCTTGTCCCTTTGCATGGCGATAGCCTGCTGCCATTTCTCTAAGCGCTGCGAGAGCTGGATGTTGTCGAGTAGGTCGAAAATAGTCAGCTTATCCAGCGGTGGAAATGACTCCCAGTCCTCCTGGTACGAGCTACTATTTGAGAAAGAACCGTTGCGCGACAGACTTCCGGGGGATGTGGGAGGAGAGCTGAATTCATCGTTGTCGGCAAAGTCGTCTGAAGGGAAGGGGACATCGATCTCGTCCAGGCCTGGCGTGGAGACCAGCGGCTCAGCTGACATTTTGAGATTGGAAATTCTTCTCGAGGTGGTGCTTTCGATCAAAAATTTTTGCTGAAAAGAGAGTATCGTCGGACCGTCCCGAGGCTCGGAATATTGGCGACTGAGGAAACGATTGAATGTTAGCATTCCCATAGTTACAGCAAGCCCAAAGAGTACAGCTTAGTAGATATGTCTCAGACATGCGTTCTCAGAGCATGTAGGCATTATATAGACAGGATAGACAATTAAATAGACAGCTACTTCAGTAGATCACGTCTTTGTTGGACTCACAGGGCGAGGACGAACTGTGGTTGGCGATCCACAAAGTAAACTCTGGACTCGCTAACACATGACACGAAACCAGCGATACAGAGCTGCTGCTTTGACAGCCACGGGGGTGAGAGGTACCTGGACAAGAGCGAGCAAGAAGTTGAGAAGTTGATGTGTGCTTGTGACGTGGGAGGTGGTTGGACGTAGCTGTGCTGGGGGATCGTCATGTGGATCCAATCAATTGTCTTGGTCCAGGTGTGTTGCCGCCTGAGGCAGAAAGTTTTATAGTTCTTTTGCTCTCGATTGCTCTACTTGCACTGTTCTCATGTAATGCTGACCCATATATAATTTGATCTATTAATCTGTTGCACATTGCCTCTGACTTCTCGTATACGAAATTTGGGTGACAAACTTTCCCTAGTGAAGAAAAAAAAATATAGTATAGAACGAACAACCAGCGAAACCCCATATCCATGTCCAACCAAACGCTCACAAACTCCCGGTTGATACTAGTAAAAGAAAGAGAGGGAATGGATTATAACAAAATCAATATCCAAACTGCGACGTAGGGTTGGCTTGTGACCAGAACCCAGGGCCCTTATCGGATACAAACTGCTGCGGGTAGTACCCAGAGAGATAACTCGGATCTGGATGCATAGATTTTGTGACATTTGAGGATTCGAGGGGTGGGATTACATGGACCGATGGTGCCATATTCATCGGGTAGCCGAAACTGCCTGTCGGGCTGTGTGGACCACTTGATTCGCTGGTGGTGGGTGAGAGGGGACTCTGCGAGTGATGTGGCTTTGAGTCATCTTCTTCCAGCGTGGAAACTCCGGTCTCATTACTTGCATCATGGATGTCATGCTCAGCCTCGATCACAGACGACGTTACCGGCGCTGCGTGTGCACGGGATGATAGTTCGTCACTGTCTTGGAATATTGCTTCTGGTAGATGCGTTTGTGTTACCTGAATCAAGGTGTTGGCGTCTATAGTGACAAAATACAGACATGATTAGTGGAACTGCTGGTTGGATGTGATGCCAGGATAGGGTGGCACATACCGATTTCGCCATCCAGAAACTGCTCTTCCATCCGTCTTACAAAGTAGATCTCATCTAGAACCTGCAGTCGGTGGGCAGGGGTGATCTGACGTCTCACGTCTTGGCCAGCATCTCGCAGTTTGTCCGTTGTGACTCCGTGGCTATCTTTTAGCTCGCAGAGGATGTGGACAAGAAGTCGCAGTCGGTCTATTGTCGATTAGTATTCATGATCGTCTCATATCAATGCCGAAAGAGTAATGCTCACCAGGCTTGAGCAGATGATCAGGCTCCTTGTGTAAGACACCAGCGGGCCACCACGCCGGCTTAGTGAACTCCGGGTCAACACGTTGTGAAACACCGGCAATAACCCTGCGTCCATTGTACGGATAATGAACCTGCTTCCTCGGTTCGACAAGCTTAATGTAAGATTTCGCAATGGCGCGGCAGTTGAGCTGCTGGAAATCCTCGAATGCTTTTTCGTAGTACCGTCGCAGCAGTGCCCGGTTACCGACACGAAGAACAGTCCGCCCAGGTGGAGGTGTGATAGGCGGCGGTGAGCTAGATTTTGGTCGAGACTTGAGCATGCCACTGGCACGCTTTGACTTTTTGCGGCTTTGTTGTGACGACCATTGGAACGGGATCATCTCGGCCTGTCTCGCCTGACCGGCTGGCCCCCATCCCGAAGATGGTTGCCCGTCCCAAGAGTGGGGTGCTTGAGTTGGGTCTGCCAGAAGACAAAAAAAAGTCAGTTTTGCTGCTCGGGAATTTGAACTCTAGCGGTCTGGCTCACTTGTGAACTGTGGGTTGGTCTGTGGGGTCTGGCCAGTCATTTCTATGAATCGGTCTGTAACATCTGGTGTGAAGATAGCGCCTTCACAGCCTGCAATTGAGGGCGATGCTTGTAGTTGCCACTGACCATTATGGTCAAGGTATATCATGGCAAAATGCGGGTGTGTATATTCGGCTGTTTGAGGTTGTTTAGGAGTGATTGACTATTTGATCATTAGCCCAACTTGATACTTGTCAACCTTCTGTGGTGCAATTGGGAAGTTTGATTACCATGTTCATCGGTGGTGGCTGCGGGATGCACGTATCAGAGTGTCTTCGCTCTAGTACCTCTCCACCGAATGGATATCCACGATTCATATCCATGTCGTGGGATAATAAGCAACCTAAATTCACAAGATTCAGGCCGAGGGGTCACTTTGCTCGTAGTAAAATGCAAGCACAAAGTACAAAGAATAAATGATACGGCGGAGCTCGACGGCGTTAATTAATAGAAACAAGAGACACCCTATGAACCAGGGTAGACGCAGCTTGCCGATGGATAATGAATCCGGAACCATTCGATCAGGGGCAGGATCCCAGGCGAGATAAATACGGGATATCTATCCAACGCCAAACCCCGAGTATTGGCAGAACTCCACATGACGATGTCCCCTGAAAGTACGAATCGGTTTGCTGATGCAAGGAAAAATGAATAGCTGCAAAAGTGAGCGTGGTGGCAATACGAAAGCTTCCGTATCATTTCTTCCTGCATGTTCTCATTGGATCATCCACTTCTGCCCCTTTGTAAAGTGTCGATGGGTCGAGTCCGTTCTGCGCATTGACACTTAGGGCTGTGATCCATGAGTGTCACATAACCTTGTATGGTCTGTCGGCGGGTCCGAGATCCCCTTAGAACGTCTCAACTTCTTAAAAGGAGAACGAGAACAGCCACAATCGCCATAACAAATGAACTTCTCCATATCTATCCAAATCCCTCATTTTTCCCCATCTGACTTGCAGATCTGCAGCAAGCCGTTGTACCCATTTCTTGCCGCAATACCGAGACACCTTGACCATTATCCATAGACTATCGAACCAAAGTGTTTCATCGCAATAACACCCACTGACCCGGTGGAAGCATTTCTCCAATCGATCCTCATCGGCGATCCCCTGGAGCACATCAGCCACAGATAAAGAAGAGCGGTCATCAACGCCTCTGAGATCACCTGCTGCAAGCCAAGAGAGGCTAATGGATCACTGACTAACGTATCTTGGAGGGGAGTCTCTCCCAACATCTATGGATCTCCTCCGTATGGATACTTCCCTCAGTGTAATCCTAGGCTTTTTTTCACCTCGCGCATCTCCGATTCAATGGCCTTTTCCTTTCTTTTTTCTTTGAGAATTTGTAAGTATGGCTTTCAGACCATATTTAACTCGGGCGCTTGGTCCATTGTCCGTGCCCTTCTCCAACCTAATCTGAAACGAAAGGAAAATCTGGAGAGAAAATCTTTTCCGTCGAGACAATCTTGAGCTTGTTTTCAAGTTTGTCCTTCCGGGATGCCAAACCTGCGATAATATTCCCGAGAAAAGCAACCCTCAAATTATGTCTATTTTGACCTACTTCTCAGTGCTTCCTTTTTTTCCCCCCAACACATGGATACACTTGAGGCATGTACTCCGTATCGAAGCGCCACTAGCATGGGTGTTTAGTCGCCGATTCCAAATTTTGCTGCGGCATCGTGCATAACCGGACTGGAAATCCGGAGCTAGTGTCGAAGCATTGCCAATGTCATTATCTGTAGGGTGTACGGGATAGCCATAACGAGGGAGAGTCCAGAGGTTAATTGGATTTGAGCCACCATTGGGATCGGTTCCCTGTTCCCGGATCGACAGCGTCTACTGGGAGCGGGGGACCCATCTCGAAGGTCTAGCATTGGGAATTTAATCGCCTTCAATTTAGGTATTTCTTTTTTTGAGACTATACCCAGTCGCCAACAATCGAAGAAAAAAAAAAAAAAAAAAGGTCATGATTAGCTCACGCCAGGATCTCGGCCTCTGGCGGCAGCGGGCTGCAGCTGTAGAGGCCCAATGTTATGAGGTAGTGTTTCCCCACCGTCTCTTTGGTCTCTTTGTCTTTTTGCTTTTGTTTTTTAGGGGGCTGGTATTGCTATTTGGGCTAGGCCCACTCACACGGAAAATGTAACCGGGCCAGTTTGTTCGATCCTATTTGATGAGTCTACAAGCTGTCGTGCGATATACCGGTACTCCCAAATTCACTTGATATTGCAATAAGACATACTCCGTACAGAAGACCGAGATCTTTGGTCTCGAGTCACCACTTGAGTAGTAAGATCGGCTTTTTTTTATAGCTTTTCTTGATATCTTTCCATCTGTCCTATGAGTTGACGCCCAAAGGTTCTTGAATGATGGTCGACACTCCTTTCCAGGCAGCGCTATTACCATTGACAAAAGCAAGAAAAGAGTCGGCAAAAAAAAAGCAAAATTAATTCCACGCCAGTCAATAACACGGGGCTAGGCACATACTTTTTACCACTTAGACGCCAAGTCGCAAACATGTGCACATCACCCTCTCCTGAGCCGCATTGGCTCCAAGCCCTGTAGTACCCAAGGGTGCACAAACCCCACACAAGAATCGAATACAAAGCCTCTCAACAAGTGGCGTGGAAAAGACATGCGTCCCTTGCGTATATCAGTGGGGCGCCGTAACACATAAGCGATGATCAACGGAATACATACGGAGTACGGAGTACGCAGCACAATATTACAGTTCATTCTATGATTGTACTCGTTATTCTTTACATTGTAGACTATTTCTCCTGAGCATGGCTACATTATACAAAATACGCATAAGCAGATCACTATCTGCCCGTTCAGCATAGCCACTACACGCCAGTGGTCATGGACGGAGTACGGAGTACGGAGTACATACTCTTATCGTCGCACGACATCGCGAAGAATGGCATATTTGAAAATACTGCTTCGCTTTGCCTTTCATGCTTCTGAACGAAACATCCAGCGTCCCTACTGTAAGCTTACATTACGCAATGTCATTTGGCATATAGGAATATGTACCTCTCCGCGGGTGGTACTCCCGGTGCTCCCGCTGGTTAACATTCCGTTGCCGTTGCTAGCTGGGTGCAGATGGCTATATCCTGGTACCAGGATATAGATGCAGAAAACATGCATTATTGGGAACTTTGACCTCGGGTGGTCTCCCTGGTGTCCGGGTGGTTGACATTGGGCATGATTTGCAATGTTCCTTGGGGTTACAGTGCCAGTTATTTGGATGGTGGCGGTGACTATACCCCAGTAGACTGCACCTGGTGACTCTGTTGCTCTTCTCACCGTACTTGGCGTCGGGTTTGAAGTAAGATTAGAGCTATGGACTAGGTACTCCGGACCCGAACCTTGGTGCTATTCTTAGTGGCTACTGGTTCCCTCGCTCTCGCTTTCGGCCACTTTCCTTAAATATTGCCACTTGGAGGGGAATCATGGGAAAGCCTAGAATTGATTCGACCTCGGATCATAGATAAGGGGTTATCTAGACGTGCCCGAAGTCAGAAAGTCGGGGTGAAACACACCAGTCACAGTAGGCCGGGGACTACGGAGCATAAACAAAGAGATACAGTACAGCACCGGCCGGAATCTGCCTTGAACATATCCCTGTAGGTCTTTAATTGAGCCTTCTTTCCAAATACCTTCCAGATTCTTTTACGCCATACCTAATTAAGCTCAATTCTAAGCCCTCTACGCGCATCAATTTGTCATTTAAATTAAATTATTAGACGTGACTCGGTTGCCTTCTTGTTCCAGGTGCTCGCCACTCAATCAATGACTCGCTCTCTATTTAGTCCACAGGCCACGGGCAGTTTACTGAAGCACGGAGTAGTTTTGCACGAGTCAGTGTCTGATTTCCCAATACGCCACTACTTCGCTTTCAGCAACATATCTCAATGCATTGATTTTCGCCCCTTTTTTCTCCCGCAGTTCGATCGTCAAGTTTTCAAACATTTCTATGTGTGCAGTTGTGAAGTGTCCATCAATAATCTTTTCATGCGTTGGCTAATGCGTGGTCACAGTTACTTCGAAGAGCTCGAACTGGAAAGGACTTTGATAATTCCACAACCAAGCCCCTTTATACAACTGAAGCCGGCTACAGTCTTGATGTTGATATTGAGCAAGCACCCAGCCATAGAGGTTATTAAATCATGATTGACGTAGGGATGTCGCAGACATACCACTTCTCACGCACATATCGTGATCATCGTCTGCCTAAATATATTTTCCCGGCCTCTTACATTACTTGTAGTTTCACATGAGTAGCTGTCGGATACCATAGGCATCCATGCCCGATATAGATCAACCCTAGCAAACATCATGACGTAGGACCATGTTTGGCAGTATAAATGGGGTCTCAGTATTCCATTCCCACTTGATGTCTCTTTTCCCCCAGTCTTACTTTTAGATCGAGAATATCATCATTACCCTTATCATCAGCAGCCGATAGGGCGCTAGAAACAGCCAGTTGTAGTCCGAAAATTTCCGTTTCCCACCTAATGATCATTCAGTTTTTTTTAACTCCAATCGCACACACTTTACTACTTCATGTGATAAGGCTGCGAGAACGAAATATATACTACGAGATATATGGACAATCCTCTGCCTCAACTGGACTTTACTGGGGTGTTCAAAGAATACAAGAGGCAGTAGTTAGATGTGCGCTTATTAGCAAATAGGGATGTAATAGGTTGAAAATATTCCATCTTCATTTGCCACTACATATACTCCCTTGCCTATCTTGGGCACATGTACTCATCATCCCACGACTGGAACGATCTCGTCTTCATAGCCACCTCTCCCCCTAGCTATCATTCATGCACCCAGACTCCTTTATCTTTTTAGAGTAAGCACGGCAGGCCTCCACGGTAGGGTATTGTAGTCACCACCAGCATTTGGATCCAGCCCCTGGTAGAGGAATTGCAAGTTGCATGGATCGATGGTCATTGTTTGGTCAGGGTTGGTTCGAACTAAGTCACCGTGACTGATGCTGTTGGTCCAGGCTGCACCGCTATTGGCTTTCCCAGCAAAGGGGTTGCTCTCGCTTGCTGCTTGCGCGGTCCACGAACCGCCGAGACTGTTGGAGGTGAATGAACGGAAATACCGCCCTTGGGACCCAATTGCCTCGACAATCATCAAGTACTTGTTCTGACCTTTGACAGTGTACACTTGAACTGCCTCGAAAAGGTTGTTCTGAGTATCACTGAGTATCACCTCTGAATTTGTTCCAAAGTTTCCAGGGAAATTGCCGATGGGCATGCTGGTGCGATAGATCTTGCCGTTGTCTCCCGCAAAGAAAAGGTACATATGCGTAGAATCGCCGATGAGGGTCTGATCAATGGCGCCAGTACTGGAGCCAGTGATCTTTCCAGAAAAGAGGGCTTGCTCAGATGACCATCCATTGGCATTGGTAGGATCACTTGAAGTTCGATAGGTAAACGTGCTCGAGCCCCATTGATAGGCGAGAATCCAAACATTCTTTGGCTGGAAGTAAAACAAAGTTGGCGCAACGGCTGAAAAGCTCATTCCGACCTGGCTTGCGGTTGCCATGCCAGACCAATCTGAAAAAGCGCCGAAGCTCATCGAGCTGTACTTCCCACTTGCGTCACTGGTTGATGCATAGACAATGTGTTTGTTGTTGAAAACCACAGTGGTGAAGTCCTTAAGTGAGGTCCATCCAGACTTGGGATTCGCCAGAGCGCCAGTCGATGTCCAACTGTAAGTCGACGGGAGTGCGCAGTCGGCGATGGCAACTGGCACTGTTGCGAGCAACAAGATGCAAGATGAAGCCAAGCCAGCTTCCCACTTGAATAATCTCATTGTCGTTAAGATTCTAGTCTGCGATGGGTCTGTCTGATTGAAGACCTGAAGTAGAAATCCAGAGCACCTGAGCCGGAGCTGAGGTTGTTTAAATAATCCAAGTATGGTCTATAAATTGAATTGTTGGCCGGGTGAAATGAATCAATCCAAGTCCTTATTTTCAATAGTAAAATCTAGAACATTTCAATTGGGAAAAAACATCTCTTGGTATGTCGTTTGATTTGCTGCCTCCACAACACTGGCCCAGGATAGACCACCTTAGCCATCAACATCACACTCCATCGGACTATTCCCCTCTTTGGAAATAGGTGGCAACATGAGCTTCCCATCAACTTAGCCATTGCAACCTCGATTTCAGGCCGAGGCTGGGTAAATGCATCAAAGATTCTGTCAATCTAGTCGGGTTTATCGATAACAATGCGGATGGACTAATTTCTTACTGATCCATCATCTTCACACAGCTGTTTCACTACAAAACAGACTAGTCTCTACCAATTTCTACTTGGTGGATATTATGCTCTAGGTGTGGATGGCGCCTTGCCGATAGCTCCTTTAAGAACTTCAGAAGCAATAACATTTTAAAGATGTCTTAGGGAGCCTGGGAGAGAGAAAAATTGCATATACTTGAAAACGGGGTTACCATGGCGAAGTTCGAGCTACTTTGGACCTCGTGAAGACGATCGGCATCTCCACAGGTGGAGATCCCCTTTTAATTTCCTCCGACGTTCTTCTATTTCTTCAACGCAAGCCAAGCTTTGCCCTATGGTTACATGTCGGGCTGAGAACTTGCAATTAGCCTGCCTGAAAGGAGCTTGGCGGTTTGATAGTACTCAAAGTACAACTTGCTACCCCACGAATCATTCAGGATGAAGTCTACTATGTGAAACATTTAGCCTAAAAAATTGTTCAACTACTCTTATTGACTAGAATCTTGGATAAATAGGAAACGCCCGTTCCCCATCAGTGAAAGAGATAGATGATGCAGGCCCCGTTTTCCATCGGGAAAGGATCTCCCTTTTAGCTAACATCTCAACTATGAACGTCTCTTCCATAAGATATCTTGGCTTCTGTCCTGTATAAGTATCGTCTATGATCCTTCTCGTCGATGGATTCCGTGTACCACTCTCAATTCCACTTATCAACTTGGAAAAAAAATATCAACATGTTTCCCAATATGATCCCAATCAAAGCAGCTGCTCTAGCTTTGCTTTTCGCTGGTCCAGTGCTTTCTGGACCTATTGAAACCCGACAAGCCTCCAAGAGCATCGATGCCGTTTTCAAGGCTCATGGGAAGAAATATTTGGGAAACATAGGTGACCAGTATACCTTCAACAAGAACGCAAAGACCCCGGCAATCATCAAGGCCAACTTCGGTCAACTGACCCCCGAGAATAGTATGAAGTGGGATGCTACTGAGCGTGAGTGCAACTGCCTCGGGGTTATTAGACTAGCTTAAGCTGATTCCTAAAACAGCAACTCAAGGGAAGTTCTCCTTCACAGGCTCGGACTATCTAGTATGTACTCGACCTTTTCGATGGCAAATACTTATTTGCTCGGTTCTTACATACTCTAGGTCGACTTTGCCCAGTCAAATGGAAAGCTGATCCGTGGCCATACTCTCGGTAAGTTCTCTTGCAGTCCCGTAATGCATATAACAGGGAGCCTAACTCCTATAAGTGTGGCACTCCCAGCTTCCGGCTTGGGTTACGTCTATCTCAGACAAAACGACTCTGATCAATGTCATGAAGAACCACATTACCACGATGGTGAACCGTTACAAGGGCAAAATATATGCCTGGGTACGTTGCATCCATCCTATGAGTTCTACCAAGCTATATTACTAACCGAGCCAAGGACGTTGTGAATGAAATCTTCAACGAGGATGGCTCCCTACGTGACAGTGTTTTCTACAAAGTCATCGGTGAAGACTATGTGCGGATCGCTTTCGAAACAGCCCGTGCTGCAGACCCTAGTGCGAAGCTCTACATCAACGACTATAAGTGAGTTGCAGCACTCTAATTTTTTCATTTTGCATAGATTCTGATTTTACACAGCCTGGACTCCGCCTCTTATCCTAAGGTGAATGGTATGGTTACCCATGTCAAGAAATGGATTGCTGCTGGTATCCCAATCGACGGAATCGGTAAGATATCTATCATTGCACTTTATAGCATATGATTGCTCAGTCATTTATAGGCTCTCAGACTCACTTAAGTGCCGGCGGCGGTGCTGCGGTTGCTGGATAAGTACCTTGCTTCTTGCTCAATGAGAATTAGCTGACAGCCTTTCACAGCTCTAAATGCTCTAGCCGGTGCTGGGACGAAGGAGATCGCTGTGACTGAACTTGATATTGCTGGCGCCAGCTCTACTGATTATGTCAATGTGAGTTTTGAGAATGTCATATCTGGTATCGTTGACTCATGTCTATCTTTATAGGTTGCCAATGCTTGCCTGAACCAGCCAAAGTGTATTGGAATCACAGTTTGGGGGGTTGCTGATCCAGTAAATGCCCCTTTGTCCCTAACCAAAAAAGACTTTATATTAATATCACATGTTTTATTAGGATTCGTGGCGCTCCGAGTCGAGTCCACTACTCTTCGACGGGAACTACAGTCCGAAGGCTGCATACAACGCTATCGCAGCCCTCTAAGGAAGTGTTTTCGGTTTCTATCTGAAGGTACAAATTCTGTTGCCTGAGCAGGCTACAGCTCAGATTGAAGTGTCCAGATGATATGAAGACTCAAGATCCAAGGGCGGTGGAAAATAAGGAATCTAAGTAGGAACGAAGACTGTTATTGTCATCAGAGAGTTTCGTATTTCAAGAATGATAATCTCGCTTCATTGAAAGATTCGGAATATTCATCCTCGGTTACATTTAAATTAAGAAAATTGGTGTGAATGCACACTGGGAACTAGGTACGGAGTAGGGGATCGGTCCGGGCACCCATACTACATAGTGATACAGATTCCACCTTTTCAGGGCCCGTGGATATTATATTGGAGTCTGTTCATGATGAGAATTATTTCGAAAGGCATATATCTCTCTGCCTTTTTACTTCAATTGAATATGAGACTTGCGAAACAGCCCGACATAGGGTCCAACCTTGGAAAAAGTTTGAAAGAATATTTTGCAATATAAACTACAACATGGGCCATGTCAGATCATCCACATGGAGACATGCTCCGTATATTTGCCGTTTCAAGGAGATGAGTTTCCTGCAACGGTAGTTTGAGCATCGACATATGCCGAAGGGATCTTCACCCCGTCATATTCAACGCCGTTACCCCCGTCAAACTTCCCAAGACCAATCGGTAAAATAGACTACAATCACATGGCAAAGGCATTTGAACCAAAAGAGGTCTTTTCCCGGTGGTCTGGCTTGATGCAATGATTTTGGGGAAAATATTCTTTTTCGAGCTCATGGGCGCTCAGGTCCTTGGCTGCGTGATCTGGGCATTCTTCCGGCTAAAGATCATTCTGTGGGAGAGGCATTATGAGAGATGATCGTCTTGAATTTATCTTCTTTGTCCTGAAGGTAGGCTTTCAGCGTAGTATCTAGGATATGTAGATGTGCTCTTAGAGGTACACCCAAGTAGCGCTTCGCAAAGCCCAGAAAGTCCGAAGCCCAACCCGTCCCAGCCCACTAATGGGCTAGGTTTTGGCCCCGGACCTTAAGCCCACCGGTAGGCTATAGGCCCGGTGTGAAAGCCCAAAAAGTACCAAACAATGCAAATAAGCTAGAAAACGCGGTATTTATAAAGGTTGTAAATTATAGATATTCACAAAGAAAGTGATGAGATTGACGTATAGATTTAAGATATATATCTGATCTCGAAGTACATATCAATCTTTCTTGACTTCTATATGTCGAATCTTATTGAAATTGATATAATGTAATTATATAATGATCATAAATATATATTCTGAATTTGAAGTCTTTATACTAAGTAGAAAGGTTAGAATACAGTGATTACAAGTTCCTGGTTGAACCCCCTAAATGGGGTTTGCGGAGCGCTACACCCAAGCACGGAATTCCATGTCTTCTCGTTGAACCATTGTCCTTCATATCTTTTCTGGCACTTATCTGAGTGAGAATCTTTTCAAAATGCGTTCTCAAATTGTCTTTGGTTATTGGACTATGTCTAGGAGCCGTTACGCGGGGCTTCTCTGGTAACATCTACAACCGTCTGGTCGAGGTGGCCACTATCTTCCAAGCCCTTTATGCAGCTCTATATAATTTTCCGCCAACGATAACCGCAATGAAGACGATATACAACGCCCAAACAAATGTCAATAGGTGGGTTCTTTGCGACAATAGTCGCCAAAAAGATTACCACCGTCTTTCGCGGCACTCGCAGTGATACAAACCTACAGCTCGAAACCAACTACTCTCTCACTCTTTTTAATTCATGGTCCGAATGAGCCAGCTAGGCAGTATATAGCGGATACAATCTTGGATAGATCTCTGCCCAACATCAGGTAGAGTCACTCGTTCAAGAGCAGGCCACACAGCATCCGGAGTATGCACTGACGGTCACGGGTCACAAGTATGAGAGTTTTGCCTTCTCCCATCTATACTTCTACAACAATATCACTGTCTGTCCATTGACTATATGTACTTATATTTAGTTTCTTGACTTGACTAAGACATAGATTCTAGCCTACGCACCTCGATGTTAGCAATCACTACCGGCCCGCTTTCTGCTACATACAATTAAGCAAGATTGTACGCCTTTGGTGAACCAGGGACTGGAAATTCGGCTTAGTCTTTCCGATGAGCAGTGATGCTTAGAACTGGTAGTAAGGTTGAAATATCCTTGTCTGAAGTAGTGGCAAAATGAGTCAATTAGTAGATTTTGAAAAAGCAAAGACATTCATGTATTATTGAATGTTGAACATGTCTGACTGTGGCTTGAGGCAAACCCCCAGGGAACAAAAAGCTGAAGATTGGTTCATTTGATCAATTACACCCATTTCACCTTTTCATTTGCACACTGTCAGTATCTGACAGTCTCACCTTATATGGTGCTATAGAATCTATGATAGGATGGTCAGAATGGGCAAATAGTTCTGGGAAAGAAGCAGAGGTCTACTAATAGCGACCCTAAGACACTTAGCTTTTTCCCTTTGATCGGACATGGACGTGAGATGTTCTGAAATATCTCCCCCTAGCCAGTTTGCTTTGGTTTTCCTGCTTGCCAGTACCTTACCACAGGTAGTTTCTCGGAGACAAATGCTCTCCATAGGTAGAACTTGATAAGAATTGACACCCATTTGGTAGAGCCAACGGCCTATTTACTTAGCTCGCACTTTTGCGTTAGATAGGGCAGCGAATTAATAGATACTAGGAGTTATGCAATAAGCACCTACTTTTCAACGTGTCGAAACTATAGATATCCTGGAATATCTCGCCCTGGCTGATTTCCCTTTAGATTTCGAAATCTTCTCCTAATAACAAGGTAGATTGAGGAATATTTCTCTGCAGAGGTAGGGCTTAGGGTGTAACACATAATATGTTCGCAGGATCTTTTACTTAACTCGCACTTTCACGTTAAGTAAGGTAGAAAGCTAATAGTAGACAACACATAAACATCAGTCAATTGTTAGCCTCAGGGCTTTCTACTGAGCTCGTCGTTTCTTATAGAAGTCTCACGCATTGTTTGCTTAGCCCCACGATCTCACCTACGCACACTTCCACATGCAACTTTTGGATTACATTTGCAAAAGACGTTATAACTTCTCCCCTATCACTTTTTCAACCCCCTTCCTCTCCTTCTCTCTTCCTTAAGTCTCTTCATCGATTCCTTCTCACAAATTTCTTCAACATCGCCATGGATACAATGAACGATAGTTATCTTTCGCTGTCCGCTGTTGCGGATTTCATCAATGCGTACGAGGATAAACCAACTGCTGAGAATGCTAAGATCATGGTGAGCGGGCTCCTCACTTACGCCTTCGATTCAAATGATGGCTGGGTTCTCAAGTGGCAAGAGGACGAGGAAAATAACCACTCGAACTGTTTCGTCGTGAGAGCTACTGGTGAAGACAGAGCCCTGCACACTATCGTGAAGGTTATCCTCGACGTATCTACTCCAATCCAGGACGACTGGGACCGGCAAGTTCCCCGTCTGCTCAGTGCTCCAATTCCAAACGAACGATGCTGGGCCCTCCTCATCCATGGCTTCAGAGTCCGCCTTTACGAATATCACCGAGACCAGCAGCCCGGCTACCGTCTGGTCCCCTGTGACTTTACGATCAAGGACAAGTTGAAGCAGTCAATTCACATTCGAAAACACGCCGACGCTATCAACAACATTTTTATAAGCATCCCTGATCAGGTCCCGCAACCATTTGATGACGGTGGATATGGTAGCCCGGGTGCCAATGACTCCTCTATCGACATGACTGATGGGTCGAAATCTTCCCCTGATGATACTCTTGTCACCGCCTCTGCCTCTGCCGCGCCTGTCGGGCCTTCCTCTAAGGACACTCCCGTTGAGGCCACCGAGGGTAAGACACCTACGGAAACCGATTCTGTCCCTGAGCGTGAGGCCGCTGCCCATGATAAGACAGAAGTTCAACTCCACACTACTACTTCTCACACCAAGCATACTACTGTGGCCAATGGAACTCGGGCCAAGATGAATACTCAAGCCAAGGCTGCACTTCTAGCTAAGGTTGCTGCTGGGGCCAAGTGTGCTACCCAGACCAAGACCACCCCTCAAGCCAAGGCTGCTTTTCTAGCAAAGGGCATTTCTGGGATCAAGCTCACTCCTAAGGTTAAGCCTACACCGGGAGTTGAGATTACGGGACAAAAAGCCACAGACCAGTAGGTATCTGACCGATTGTGCCTTACTCTACGTCTCGTTATGGTCCCTCCGGAGCCGCAAGTCTTTTCCGGATGTCAGTCTCTTCGGTTCTCAGCTCTCGGTTCTCGGTTCTCGATTCTCAATTCTCAGCCCTCTGCTTTCGGTGGTTCTTCTGCTTTTATTGTTTCTTCACTTCGATCTGTCTCGTTTCACACCAGAACTTTCAACAAGCGCCATGCCTCTGCATGGTGGAAGTCAAGTTCTTGAATTTCTCCCCCCACGACTTGTGCAAAAAAAAAAAAGAACTTGAAGTCGGCTGGTGTGTGGGTTTACAGGCTGTCGTTCCTTTGCTTCCTTTTTCGCGGGGCCTTGGTATCTCTTATGTTTTGCCATGAAGTGGTGGATCTTCTAGGGTGATTCAGCATGGCGGCTTCTACACATTTATTGATAAGAACGTAATTGAATTTATTCATATCTATCTTCGGGGGATCCCCAAGAAACACTGTCCAAAATCTGTAGGACGGGCATGGGGGGTCGTTCGGGAACGGAGACTTTTAGGGTTACTCGCAGGTATAGACATTTATGAGAAGGGTTGGAGCAGCTTGGAAAAAGACAGAACGGGAACTGGTATCAATTGACAGCCTTGACATAGAAATGGTTGCTCAGATTAGAAGATGGGCTTCCTACTCCCTTATCGACTCCGGTAGAAGCGGAAGACAACAAACCAGCAAGACTCAATAATTTACAAAGATGAAGAGATACGAAGCAAAGTAGAAGCAAAAGGTCATCACACAATCCGCCTAAATCCCTCCTGTAGGGTTTAGGTGTACTTCCGAAGCTGTGAAAGATCATTGTCAGCATATTTCTGCATTGGCCAGGTTGAAAACTTACATCAAGCGTCAAGGATTTGCTGCTGTTCTCGACCTGGTCCCTGTAGATACCGACCAAGGCCTCACTGTTCTGGAACAATCCGGTCTTTAGACTAATCACGATAAATTGCATGCCAGGCGCAGCATGGTCATGGATATAGTTGGCAATACGGGCGACATTGGTGTTGTCCAGGGCTGCGTCAACCTCGTCCAGTACGAAGAATGGAGACGGCTGGTACGAGTGGATAGCGAACAGCAATGCTAGTGCGGCCATGGTCTTCTCGCCACCTGAAAGATGCTCCATATCTCGGAAACGTTTCAGAGGAGGCATGGCGTGGTATTTGATACCGTCTAAGTAGGGCTCGTCCGAGTCCTCAATATCGAGGTAGCTTTTGAAGTGTTAGTAGATATTTCAGAGTCAGAAAATGAGACAAAAAAACCTACGCTTGACCACCCAGGGGGTAATTGGTACTGCGCGTGAGTTCACGGTAGATCGGCCCGATCTGCTCAGAAATGTGGGTGAATGCCTTGTTGAAGAGGTCGGACCGCGTCTTCATCACGGACTCAAACTCTTCCTTGGCCTTTCGTGCAGACTTCCGGGCGTCCTCAAAGTCCTTTTCAGTGCTTCGAAGTTTGTTCTCGACACTCTCCAGGCGCTCCATGGCACGAGCATTCGGCGCCATCTTGTCAAGCTCACTGTTGATAACACGAACCTTCTCGAGCAGTTCATCCTCGAGCTTATCATCGGCCTCCTAGCTTTCATTTAGAATGTGATAACCAAAGCGATAGGAGCAAAAACAAACCTCTTTCAGAGTCTCTCCCAGAGAATCAAAGTCAACCTCAATACCGTAATCGTGCACCGGAGAAGCCTCATCCAAACCATCTCCTTCATCCACCTCCATAGCATCAGGATCTGCTGCCTGCACAAGATCATCAATGGGAAGCTTGTCAAGGGAATTGGAAGATTCAGTCAAAGGGACATCGATGTCTTCAAGCTTGCACCGACGCAGAAGAGTGTAACGACTGGAAGAATTTCTTTGAATCTCAGCTTCAAGTGCATTGACATTCTTCAATGCTGCTTCAACGTGTTTACTGCGCTTCTGGAGTTCACGGCGTTGCTCGGCCAAATTTTCTGCTGATTGACCATAGATTTCCTTCTGCTTCTCGAGGGCCTCTCGGAGGAGCTCAAGTTCCGCTTCAAACTCATCGAGCCGGTTGCGGATCTCTTCTTGTTGACTTTGCAATTCTTCAATCAAGCTCTGGTCGCGCTCGTATTGGGACTTGAGGCCGTTGATTCGGTCATCAGTTGCTTGGATACGCTGTTTCTCAAAGCTGAGCTGATTTTCGATTCTGCTTTTTTGGGTGGTGAACTCAAGCTTCTTTTGTGCGGCCTCTTCCTGCACAGAGCCCTGCTGGGCCTCATATTCTCGGATGTCGTCATAACCCAAACGCTTGCAGAACTTGCGGTAGATCTCATCCTCGACAGTGCTGACCGAAGCTTGGGACGTCTCGATTGTCTCGTCTAGCTCGTCAAGATTTTCTTTACGCTCGGTGTATTTAGGTCGCAGTTCCTCCATCTGGCGCTTGATGAAATCCAGCTCGCTACGTTTGCTCTCGAGGTTCCTCTCAAGAGCCTTCAACTCATCACGGGAGTAATTGAGGCGTTGCTCGAGACCGACGAGCTCGCCCTGTAGTGTCTCTTCCTCGGAGCCCCGACGGTGACTCTTGGGGAGATTCGCAAGATCGCCCATGAGCTTCTCCTTCAATTTATACAGGTTCTCGACCTCGGAATCTTCCCAACGCTTGGAATTCTGCTGGGGACCACGCCCACCGGTCATGAGACCACCCTTGTGGATGACAGTTCCATCGAGGGTGACCGCCTTCGCGTCCACATTTCGTTCGTAGCAAAGATATTTGGCTGTCGCCAGATCGTCGCAAACAATAGAGTTGCCGCATGCGTAGCTGATTGCTCGCGCAACCGAATCATCGTAGTCAATGGTCTCAATGGCAGGGCGCATGCCTCGATGCATGCCCTTCAGGTTTGAGGAGAATGCCTTGACTTGAATGGTTTCCAGCGGGATGAATGTGGCCTGGCCAGCTCGTTGGTCGCGCAGGTGCTGAATGCACTCCTTTGCGGTCTTCTCATTGTCCACAACAATGGCGTCAAAGTGTCGACCCAGTACGGTGCTGACTGCATCGGAGTACTTCTTCTGCTTCGGTCGGCAAAGATCACTGACACGGCCTTTGACACCAGGGAAGATGCGCTTCAAGGCTGAGATCAACTCCTTGGTCCTGAGTTCGCGTTCGGTTTGCTTCTTACCATCATCGGCCTCGAGAAGTTTCCTTAGCACGACCTGAAGTTTTTCCTCTAGCTCTGTCCGCATTTGCGAGACTTTCAACCGCTCAGAGGTCAATGCATTCAGCTCCTTCTTCTTACGATCGATATCTTTGGAGGTGGACTTGACGATGTCATTTAAAGACGACTTGCGTTCGTTCATGTTCTGAACATCGGATTCAACCGATTTCAATTGCCATTCAGTGTTCTCAAACTTGCCCTTCAAGCTGTTGACCGCTTCAGCTTCAGTCTTTCTCTGCCGGCGCAGATTGTCAAGGTTCAAAGAGTCAGCCGATGAACGCCGGTTGACTTCTTCTCTGAGCTTGTGGTACTCCTGCTGATCGGCTTCGCTCAACTGAACACCCTTCTTGCTCATCATCTTCTGCCATTCGATTTCCCACTGAGCCTGAGCTTTCTCGACAAGCCTGAGATCCTTTTCGAGTTGCCTGCCATTGTTTGATTGTGACGTGCGCTCCTTTTCAATTTCAGTGATCTTCGAGGAGTATCTCTCAACTTTCTTCTGGGTGATGTCAATCTTCTCGTCCACAGGCACAAGCGAGTTGTTGAGTTCCTCAATCTCCCTCTCCTTTTTCGTGATATTTTTCTCCGCCTTGCCGACATCTCTGCCGACTCGAGCATGGTCTTTTTGGCGTCTTCGACGTTCTTCTCATATTTCTCAACCCCACGGCGGTACTCCTTGAGCTCATCCTGGTATTTCTGAATATCTGCGCTGGAGTCATCAATCAGCCGCTGGAAGTGGAATAGCTTCCACAGGATATGAGTGATAATGGCCTGGTCGCGTTCTTCGGCCTTTTTCGCGTAGTTCTCAGCCTCGCGCTTCTGTTCCTGGTACTGCTTGACTTCAGAATTGATGCCTCGTCGACGGTTGAGCTGAACTGTTTGCTGTTCTGCGGCCTCCTCCGCCTCTGCCTTCAACTTTTCGTAGTCGGCCTTGTGCTCCAGACTGCCAGAGATCTGCTCAATCAACCGGGTAAGGTCTTTGGGTGACTGCGATGCGATTGCCTCGACATCACCCTGGAACACAAGGAAATTTCGGGCCTTGATCAGGATGTTTTCCTCTTCCAGGGCTTCATTGTATTGGTGGGCGGACACGATTCGGTTGTTGATACGGTATTCGCTAACACCTTGGCTAGTGATAGATCGGCGCCATTGCTGCTCCTCGCCTGCATCATCTTCATAGACTGCCATAACCCAAGCGGACTTCGGGTCGTTTCCACCGGCATCTTGGGTGACATCCATGCTCTCCATTCCCTCCTCTTGCTCGCCATCCTGTCCATCAGCAGCAGGCTCTCCGTCGACTTTGGATGTGCGCAGAACACGGCCGCGATACACAAGATCACGAAGATTGGTCGATCGTAGGTGAGAAGATTTGATTCCTAGAACGAAAGATATAGCATCCATCCTAATGCGCATCAGCCTCAGACTTTTTGGACTAGGACCAGGAGGCACTCACGAGTTGGATTTGCCAGACCCGTTCGGGCCAATGATCGACGTAAAATACGCATCGCCGAATAGGAGGACATGGTGTCCCTTGTAGGACTTGAAGTCTAGTGACAAAGTTAGCTACTGTTTGCGGCCCGTATTCCGGTCCTACATACTGAAAAGCTCCAAACGAATGAGTTTTCCCATATTGCCAGCGGCTTCCTGAGGGAGCAACACGCCGAGAAATTTAAGAACCCTGTTGGTTAAGCAAGAGGTTTAGTCCACGGTTTGTGGGCAAGGTGTGGGAGGGGCGCGATAACGGGTGAACCGCGTCCACCCAAGACGCGCCGGAGCCATCACGTGGCTCCTCAAACTTACATGGAGTGATGCATGGTAAAGCGCATATGGAATAGATACTATTATGACAAGTAACACGGGGTAGTAATCTTACAAAATTGTAATCCTCGACTGAAACCGCATGTTCGACTGTTATTACAAGTGCTGTGTCGCTCTCTAGAGACAGGCCAAATGATATACAAAACTCAACTAGATACGACCCGACACGAAAAGGCCTTGGTGATAATTGGAGAATGATCATCAATCAATCTCTGAATGGCATCTTTACATTCACCATGCGTCCAAAGTGCAGCAGATCATCGGAGATGTATCCATTGGAGTCCAGTCTGAAATGGGTCTTATGACCCACCAGCTGAACAATGATAAAGTCCTCGTTTGTGAAAAGTTGCCGCATACTCTGGAAAATCCGGCGAGGCACTGATTTCAGTGTTCTCATGAAGGCCGGCTCGGTTTCCAATGAACGGCCGAGTCTGGTACTATCCTCGTAACGCTTCATGGTTTCCGGAGAGACCGAGACTCTGCGCTTGAAAGAGAGATCACCTGGTGCCACTTCGACCTGGTAAGGCTTTTTGAAAGGGACCATGCTTCGGACTGTGAACAGAACTCGCATACGACCATCGGAGTTGATCGCTTTGATATTTCTGACTAGGGAGCCAGTTCGGGAGATGAACAAGGTGCCTCCAACGCTCATCATGATACAGATACCACCAAAGAGAGATTTCTGCCACATTGGAAGAGGAACCAAAGGATCTAGGAGAACCGCGTTCGAGTTGTAGACGGAATAGGCGAAGCAAAACGCGGACAAACCGTATGCAGTTAAGACATATGGGCGATGAGAAGGGGCCTGGAACAAAAGCACTTGGCCGGTTTGTAATACTTTTGCTTGCAGTTTGGCAAGGGCACGGGGGTTCTTGTTCCCATAAGGGCTTGCGGCTTGCCATGGGGAATCGATAGTCCTAGCCACACCCTTGGCCTTAGAACGAGGCACACTAGAATTGAAGTAGCGCGAGAATGATGTCGGATTCATCTGAAAGCTGGGTCGCGTTGGACATTGTAGGCATTGCCGCCAGAATATTGAGAAGGTGGATGGTCTGACGGACATGGTTGCGCTGAGCCTAGGGACGTTCAAGTTAGTAAACGATCAAAGCCGTGACACGCAGGCAATTGACAGCCATCGTTCCGGAGGGAAACCTGCAAAGTATGAAAGACTACATAGGTTCGTTCGGTAACTTACCAGTACAAGAAGTATTTAAACGTCGTTGTCTTCGGAAATCGCCGACAATGTCCAAAACAGTAGGCGGCAGAAAAATGTTCCCGTCCCGGCCGCCGGTGAAAGCTCCCAACACCCTCAACACCTCCGACTGTTGCTTAATTATCTCTTCAAACACACGACCTCAAACTCATTGAACTCGAATATTTGTTGCGCTTCGACGTGGTGGTGGGCTCTTCGTTGATCCTGCTCGTTCCTTTCGAAACCAGCGTCCGCGGCGAGTTGCGACACTGGCCGAAGATCCCAATCCGCACCGCAGCGCTCCCAAAACTGAAGAAGCATTGAACAATGGCAGCCAAGATGACTGTCGGCCAGGTTCCGGCCATGTTCTCTCGGCGTCAACAGAAGGTGTTTGGTATCAGTAGACGTAAGTTCCTAATCTATGTTCATGGCGAAGAAACACCATCTCCAACTGAAAGCCGCTGCTCAGAGCTTCATCCAGGCGGAATTTAATTGCGAGATAACAAGCTTTGCTTGACATGTACTAATACTATCCCTTCTAGGCCTGCAATCCACCTCTCACACAATCCAGAACCCCGCCTATCCACTCTACCCCTCTGTCGCCCAGCTGCTTCGTGAGAAGGGCATCCCCAAGTCCGACATCTCCAAGATCCCAGCCTCCGGCCCTAAGGGTCGTCTCTTGAAGGGAGACGTACTTGCATATATCGGGCAGATCCCCGCAAACTACCCGTCAACTCAGGCTGCCACACTGGCCAAGCTTTCCCACCTTGATCTCAGCAATATCAAGATCGCTCCGGCCCCGGCCGCGCCGGCCGCGGCCGAAGAGAAGGCTGTCGCCGAGCCCCTGCCCATGACTTCTGTCGCCATCTCCATTTCCCTGGCTGCAGTGCTGTCTGCCCAGAAGAAGCTCCAGGATAACCTGGGTGTGACGGTCCCGCTGTCCCGCTTCCTTGCCGTGGCTACAGACCTTGCCAACGACGACCTGCCCCGCTTGGCTAGCTCCAAGCCCTCTGCCGACGAGCTCTTCGATGAGGTTCTCGGTGCCGCGGCGATCAACACATCACGCGGAGAGTACATCCCTGAGCTGAACGCCTTCGAATCTCCTAAGACTGTCCGCTCTAAGCCTGTCACCGAGGACCTGATCGATTTCTTGAGTGCCAAGTCATCCAAGAAGTCTGTGTCTACAATTTCGGTCGAGAGCTCGCCTGGTGTTGCTTCCAATGTTTTCAGCCTAACCGTCCCTGCTGGTGAGGAGGTCCGCGCTAGAGCATTCCTGGAGCGAATCAAGACCCTTCTCTCGATTGAGCCAGCACGGTTGGTACTTTAGATTTTCCTTGATGTTTCAAATCCCCCTTCCTCGAGCTTTTTCCTTTCTTTGTTCCCAGTCATCTGAGCCAAAACCTGGGCAGGCGAAGCTCATTCATGAATGTATACAGTATATCATAGTTAATCAGATCTTTCCCTGATTGGGTTACTTCACTTAAAAAAAATTAGATCACAATGCCAAAAAAAAATACTACTTATCTGAGTTAGGTAGGCACTCGGGCGTTCAAGAAACAGGGCGGTGTTGTGTCAATTTCAATTCTCATTTCGTTTCCGGCATGGTTTAGATCCCATGAAGGTCGGCATAGATAAATTCCATGAGATAGAAACAGGTGCACAAATTCGTGCCGAAAAAAAAGAACGGGTCATGTCATCATCAAGAGCAACCTTTGAAACTTGCAAAAGAACTAGTGCAATGAGGACTCCCGCGCAACGCCGCATACCGGTGACCAGGAAATACCACCAGCGCCACCGCTCAAAGCCTTAAAAGAATCGTGGATGTTAGAATGTTCGCTGCACTCAAAGGCATCCGGCCAATACGGCCAGCCTAAACCATAGCCAGAGTGCGGACGAACCAAAGGGAGAGATCAAAGAAAGCAAAAAGAAACAAAAAGAAGCAGAAAAAGAGAAAAAGAGGCAAACTCGAACAAGCAAAAAAGCCTGTTCTCAATGACCGAGCGCCGAACGTCCACCCCCGAAATGCTTTCAACTACCGATGGAAAGAAAGATGCAATAGATGTCGACGCATAAAAAAACGCAGAGTCAAATCCCCCGCAGACCATGCAATGACTTCCTGCCGGTGACCAGATCAAAATAATGAATCGAGAAACGCCATGTCGAATGCAGATGAAGAAACAAATTAGAAAGAAGAGAGGATTGGCCAAACTACCGGATAGTGCCCCATTCGGCCAGTTTGCTGCCTTCCCGACGAGTGTCTCTTGTGGCTCGTCTATCAAATATTTTCCAGAATCTCAGTGTTTCATCGCCGGCTCCTGTTACAACAGTTTGACCATCAGGGCTCATGGCAAGGTAGAGAACGCGGAAAGTGTGGCCAGTCAAAGAGACAATCTGTTCCATACGCGGGTATTTCCAAATGACAATTTGGTTCTGGCTGTAACCATGTGTGCTGATGATTTCATCTGAGTTTTTGGACCAAGATAGGTTGCAGACCTGGCTACCAGTGTCGACCTCTTTAATCATTGAGCCGGTTTGTGTGTTCCAGAACTTGATCGTGCGATCGGCGGTACCACCGCCAGAAGCAAGAAGATGATGTTGATGAGGAGACCATGCAATGGCCTTGACCGCGGCATTGTGGTCGGAGAAGCGGTAGAGGGGTGTCTCGCTTAATTTATCCCAAACCATCAGTTTGTTGTCATTTCCACCAGATGCTAATTGGCCATCTTCGGTATTCCACTTCAAGCCACAGACTTCTTGTTTGTGGCCAGAAAGTTTTCGAACGTACTGGTCTGGAGACCGAACATCACGGTGATAAATGAGACGGTCTCGAGATCCCGAGGTGAGAATGTGATCGTTCCATGCCAGAGCACCGACTCGGTTGGTATGTCCAATCATGGTTCGTAGGCGTCGGCAGTGCTCAGCATCCCATATTTGTACCAGCCCTTTCCCTGTGCCAATTGCAAGATGTGTACCCTGCAGTACCTCATGTGAGTATCATGTATGGGGAGGCGACGTGGAGGTTTCTTGCTTACCCTTTGAATCCAGCTCACGCTGGTCACGGTATCATCTTTCAGCTCACACAACCTTGTGACTCCACCCGTGTGGGAGTTCCACATATAGACAGAATTCGCCAATCCAACGCCAAGAACATTACTACTGCCCCAGTCCACCAGGTTCAAATAGAAATCATCTTGAAGATCCGGCGCATCCAAGACCTTGTAGGGAACCTTGTTTACGTAGCGGGCCTGTTTTCGGGGTGTTTCGAGAATGCGCTGACTGTCATATCGGATAGGAGAAAGACTGTAGAGCTCGGAGCGCACGTCTAAGTTGGGGCCATGCACACTTCGAGGTGTTTTGGAGGGGGTCGGATGTCCCGATCCAGGCCGTGAAGGTCCATAGTTGAAGAGATTCTTATGTGGGGTGGTGGGGGTGATGCTAGCGGGAGGAAGATTGGGGACAATGTGAGCGGGAGGTGTGTGGGATCGAGTCTTGTCGTTTATTCCATTGCTGAAGCCGAGCAACGGGTCGGGTGGCGCAGAGTTCAAGTCGGGCTGAGGGACCGTGTTTCCGAACAGTTCGCTGCGCAGAACCCGGGAAAATGTACGGTTGGCTTCCTCAGCTGGAGCTCAAAGTCAGTTCAAATGTACAACACATTGGGTTCCGATATATAACGCACTCTTTTGGAAATGAAGCTCAGAATGAGGGGGGCGTTTCTTGGCCTTGGAAGGTGTAGATGGACAACCATCTTCATGCAACAGGCTATAAGTCGCTTGTAGATCCTGTCCGTCGCGATTGGGTATGAATCTGAATTATGGTCAGAAGCCGAGTCACAGATGACTGCCATTGCTTTGTCGCAGGTTTTTTTGATTGAAGACAACCAAAAGTATGGCTTACCGGTCCCCGTATACCCGCTGCCTTTTGCGACATGGGCTGGAGGCTGGGGTCCTATCCCGCCGACTCCCAGCAGCCTCATAATCCTTCAATGCTTTTGTAAGCGCTCGAGGGTCGACTGGCTCTGCTGCATCTTGCGGTTGGCGGCTACCCGAATTTGAATTGTCTGGGAAATACATTGTGCGCTTTGACGGCATGCTTGGCGGTGTTTTCGATCCAGGTGGTGATGCAATGTTTGAAATCTGTGATATTTGAGGTCTTGTTGCCGACCTATTCCCACCCTTCTCCGAATTCTGGGGTCTGTCCGCCATGACGATGCCTGGTTGTCCGTCCGAACCCCAGAGACAAAGTGCAACCGATCAAGACAGAGTTAAGAGTTGCATAAGATAGAAGTGAACTGTCTGGCAATCGGAAGTGTCAAACGTTGAGAAATCCGGGTGTAGGGGCAAGGGTATTTGAAGGGCGATTCGCAGAGGGTCCGTTGTTGTTGATCCAGAGGCGGAATGGGGGCTCTAGCCGTTGACACCTGAGGATAGAATATTTTCCAGGATAAAGCAAGAGCAGACCCTGTTTCACCGAGCAGAGCAACAAAGAAGTGTCTGAACTACAGACATGTGTGAATGAATGAATGTCTTCAAGGGAGTGACGGAGTTGCGCAGGGCGACTCTCTGGGTCACGCGTCGGGTACGCTAACCCGATGTAGCGAAGGCAATCGGGCCCCATCAACCAGGTCAAATCAACCCTTATCCTTGGCCTTTAACCACACCCATTGATATTTCATTGACTCTTTCAAAGGTAGAATCTACTTCCTTAGTTTACTCTCACAAGGCACACTCATGCTGGTTGCCGATGGTCTTGGGAGCGTTCTATGTCAGCATAGCTTTTGTTACAATTGAGACCGATGCCACACTCTCAGTTATGTTGTTTACTGGAAGGGACGCGCCCAAACCCGTCTAACTGGATCATTGAAAGTGGGGGGGGACGTGAGGGATCTGTATGGGCCGTTTCACTAACGCGAAATCCGCAGATTGATTTGGTATGCGCGCTCGCCTCGACGCGACGCGACAAAGCATAGACCATGGCAACGACAATGCCAATAAATTGTGCCCATAAGCTTCCAAGTTCTATAGTGGAGTTGACTACTCCATACAGAACCAAAATTTCATGTACATGTAATAGTAATGATTCAAAAAGCTACAATGTCTATCTGAATATCTGAATATCAACAATTCCAAGCTAGTTTCACTGGTGGCTTTGTTACGTGACATTGCCATCTGCAGTCACCGCCAAACCAATCAAACCTCTGGCGGCAAAAGCCACTACCTTTCTCTTTCTGTGCACCCTGCAATGGTCCTCAGGCGTCTTTATCCTGAAATCCTTACTGGCTGTTCTCAACGTTATTCTACAATGGCTGCCAAGCAATCTGCTCTGGACTTCTTGTCCTTCGTCAATTCTGCTCCTACCCGTATGTAATCCTCATCCGATGACGCGAGATGTCGCTGATCTGTCTCTCTAGCTTTCCATGCCGTCCACGAAGCCAAGGAGCTCCTGGGTAAAGCTGGATTCCAAGAAATCAAGGTCAGTTCAAACTGAACAATGCAGTAATACAATGGTAGCTCATCCATAAGTAGGAGAGAGACTCGTGGGCCTCGACCTGCCAACCGGGAGGCAAGTACTACTTGACTCGCAATACTACTACTCTTGTGGCTTTTGCGATCGGCAAGAAATGGCAGGTACGTATCGATTGTGGAATCGCATAGATAATTTCCCAACCAATCATGGATATTAATCATGGATATAGCCCGGGAATTCCATCTCGATGATCGGTGCCCACACTGACTCCCCGGTGCTGAGGGTCAAGCCCGTTAGCAAGAAAAGCGGGGAAGGTTTCATCCAGGTCGGTGTTGAGACTTACGGTGGAGGCATCTGGCACACCTGTACGTGCCATTGATTACCCTTGAACTATCCTTATCGCTTACTCGATGCAGGGTTTGATCGTGATCTGGGAGTGGCTGGCCGAGTGATGACTCGGGAAAGCGATGGGTCTATCGTGCAGAAGCTGGTCAAGATTGACCGTCCCAGTATGTTTAATTTTGAGCTGATAATTGTGCCTTTCTAACATAGTAGTCCTTCGCATCCCAACACTGGCCGTCCATCTAGACCGCCAGGAGACCTTTGCATTTAACAAGGAAACACAGCTGTTCCCTATTGCTGGTCTTATTGCTGCAGAGCTAAACCGCAATGAAGGAACTGACACCCCTGACACAGACAACGGTGCTGAATCATTCTCACCATTGAAGTCTGTCACGGAACGTCATCACTCTCACTTTGTTCAGCTTATTGCTGCCGAGGCTGGTGTCAGTCCTAATGACATCCTGGACTTTGAAATGATCCTGTTCGATACTCACAAGTCCTGCCTCGGCGGTATGCTGGAGGAGTTCATCTTTTCCCCTCGCTTGGACAATCTGAACAGCACTTTCTGTGCCACTGTTGGTCTGATTGACTCTGTAGCCGACGAGTCAGCCCTCGATGACGAGGAAGCAATCCGCCTGATTGCCTTGTTTGACCACGAGGAAATTGGAAGCCGCACGGCACAGGGTGCGGACTCGAACATCCTTCCGTCGATCATTCGCCGCCTGTCCGTCCTCCAGTCCTCCTCCTCCAAGAATACGGACCTGTCAACTGCCTATGAGCAGACCCTGTCCACCTCATTCCTTGTTTCTGCTGACATGGCCCACTCGGTCAACCCAAACTATGCGGGAAAGTACGAGTCGGATCACAAGCCAGAGATGAACAAGGGCCCAGTGATTAAGATTAACGCCAACGCTCGCTATGCAACGAACTCTCCTGGGATTGTTCTTCTGGAGGAGATTGCGCGCAAAGCCACCAAGGAGACTGGGGTGCACGTCCCTCTACAGCTGTTTGTGGTTCGCAATGACTCCAGCTGTGGCAGCACCATTGGCCCTATGCTGTCTGCTGCGCTGGGCGCGCGGACACTGGATCTGGGAAATCCCCAGCTCAGCATGCATAGTATCCGTGAAACGGGTGGCACCTATGATGTCGCGCATTCCATTCGTCTGTTTACTGGGTTCTTCAAGCATTACTCGGAGCTGTCGAAGACGATCCTTGTCGATTGAGCTTGCCGTGAATAAGTATATGAAGTAGCACAAACAATCAAGAATATTCAGATATATAATGATTCCATTCTGAAACGCTGAAGGGTTGAATTCATGTACCACCAGAAAATCTTAGAATAACACAGAAAGCTACAGTGTATGTAACTTAGGCGAAGCACGTGGTTCGGACCGAGGAAAGTCCGCATCGACACATATTACGGGGCCGTCTCCAAACCAGCCATACTTACCCCAGCTCACCAAACCAACGGGGAGTCTCCACCTCGACTCCTTATAGCTTGCTTGTTGGATATTTTCCAAGCCCTCATGACCCTCTATGACAGACGTTGATGCCTATCGGGATGCGGAATACATCGCTGACGTGTCCGGCATATCCTATGACGATGCGGAGCCCCCAAGGCCAACAGGCACGCTCAGCAGCCAAAACGCGCGTGTGACGAAAGTCAAGTCCACCGCCGAAGTCGCCTTCATTGATCGATTGTTGCGCGACCTCGACATATTAGTTTATTGTCAACTATCCGCACTGTATTACATGGAGTAAGTCCCCAACATTAACCCTCAGTAACGATCCCACCCCTCTTCCAACCACGACAAACTCCTGACATGTGCCTTTCTCGGTATAGCTGCTCGATTATTCTATTTGCCATACGTGCCATCGTCGAATTGATCTTCTTCACGCCAAAGGCACCCCCATTTGAGCCCACACGCAATCAGCCGTTCATCGGCGCCATCATCGGCAGTAACCTCATATGCATGCTCTTCCATGTCTTTTTGATTCATCCCGAAGCCGGCGAAGAAACGCGCGGCTACCTACATGGGGGACTATTCATCGATTTTATAGGGCAGGCCCCCGTATCTGTTTATTGGCTTCTCTCGTTCGACCTTCTAATCCTTTTAATCGATATTATCATGCTGGGCTTGATCATCGAGCGGGTGAAGACTAATGGATCGCTCGCCCCAGCGCCTACAACACCGAATACAGATGCAGCCACAAGTACAATCACAGATACAAACCCGGGCACGGAGGAGTCCCAGCCACAAGACCATGACGCCGAAGAGCGCGGTATTTTGCGAGGAGAGGATGGCGTTGAAACAATTCCCCCGCTCATTATGGTTCCATTTCACCCCATAGTAACGGGATCAACGAAGAGGTTGAAGAAGAGCGCACAACCCTCCTAGCCGACCCGACCGACGCTGAATCTGGCAGTGGTGCTCGGGGCGAGCACCCGATGGATACATTCGCTGCTGGCGACGCTGTCATTGTCAATGTGAGCCTTCTTGGTACAATTCGTGATCAGTGGCGCCATTCAAATGCGCAGGCACGGCCGACATCAGGTTTTGTACCATCTCCTGAAACGGCAACATTCCTTCGGCAGCGCTTTGGTCTCCAGGTTGGCACTAATGGTCGCATTGAGCGTGCGAATGCAACATGATGCAAATCCATATTTCTGCTCCGGTAGTACACTGTATATAAAAACTTCCAGTAGATTTCCACAAACCAAAGTCATACTACCATGCTTGTGGGTTGTTTCGTTGGATTTATATCCATCAACACGCACCTTTACTCGAGGTTTTTGAATTTGTGGACCAGTCGATGAGAGCTCAGCCTATCTTGAGCAAATCAGGGCTGCATCATAATCGTTACACGTGGATCTATAGAAGTTACTTTGTCTAATGTTGACTCTTCAATCACGGCGTTCCTGGATGCTACGATGAGCTGTATACCATAACCTTGGCCCTTGCCAGAAAAGGCTAACTCGGTCTTTCGTATATCGATCCATGCCCGTTCAATAGTTGCCTAGGATTTAGATATACCCCGGCATTATCCAGTAAAGCTACTGAAGAAAAGGGCCCCACAGGTAGTTGAGAGATCATTGTGACCGTTTTGATTGACACATGATCCTACAGAGCAGCTACTAAAGTCCCGCAGGCTTCACAGAGACACCGAGATCCCCTCATTTATACCAAAGCCCTAAAGTCCCATAGACAAATTATATGATTCATGCGGTAGGAGGTTTAGACTCTTCACCAGCACCATCCTTCCCCTGGACTCTACGGTCCAATATCTCATCGATCACACCCAGCTCGAGCGCTTCCTTAGCACCCATAAAGTAATCGCGCTCCATAAGCTTCTCAATCTCATCGAGAGACAATTGCTTCTTACCAGTCAGGTGGCGTTGGTATATCTCATTGAGCTGGGTGCGCACGCGCAGGATCTCTTTCGCATGGATAGCGATGTCGGATGCTTGTCCAAAGTAGCCGCCCGAGGGCTGGTGCACCATGATTGAGGAGTGCGGGAGACAGTATCGCTTGCCTGCTTCGCCGCCAGCAAGAAGGAGAGAGCCCATTGAGGCGGCTTGACCAACGCAGATTGTGCTCACGGGAGAAGCAATGTATGTCATTGTATCGTAGATCGCGAGGCCTGTGGGATTGTTAGTCGGTATAGGTCGGGGATGAACATCAGATCAGATCTGCGTACCGGCTGTTACTGAGCCGCCGGGGGAATTGATGTAAAGATGAATTGGTTTGGCAGGGTTATCGGCTTCAAGGAAGAGAAGTTGTGCGACTATCGATGCGGAGAGGGTGTCGTCGACTTCGCCGTTAAGGCAGATGATGCGTTCCTGGGGGCTTAATTAGCGCGGGTAGGTCGTGAAGGGGATATGCTCATAGGCTTTGGTTACCTTCATTAATCGAGAAAATATATCATCTGCAATGAGCGGTACATGTTAGTAGGTTGATCATACTTTGGGTCAGATGCAAGCTTCGTCGGCGGATTCAATTATACAACATACAGGTATGCCAGCCGCCTCCCTGTTCAAAATGATCAGCATATGCGCATTGAGAAATTTCTTATACATGGATTGTATCAAACATACCACTGTCTCTGTCACAAATGGCGTCGGTGTCCAACTCCGTGGGGGTTGCGCAAATGACGGCCCTTGGTTCGAGAAGCATCGTGCGAATCCGGCGGCGGGCCGGGCAATAGAAACGGGTGAACTTTGGATTAACCGCCCCAGCTGGCGTAGAGGTACTCTTTGAGACATCTTCAAAGATATGCAAAAGCAATTTGTAGTTGTATGAAGTGTGGAGTGCAGAGTCGGGAGACCCTGGACGGTGAACCGTCTGATACGATAAGCACGGCGCTAAGATAAGGACCTCGATGGCAGCAACCTTGCCAGGGACAGTGTTTTTCTGGTAACAACTTTCTCTAAAGAAGATACGCTCCAGATAGGAAGGCTTGAGTTACTATCTGAGAACTCAAATAGGTCTTTTCAAAGCCTCTAGCGTTACTCAACACTCACTGTTTGATCTACAATCTCTCCGCAAATAAGGGGCTCCGATTGGCTCCTGCAACAGCTCCGAGATCATCTTTTCCGCCCTGAACTGAACTCGACTCACCATCAGTTCTATTCCCCCAAATATCCAAGCAATGGAGTGTGGAGGCACGCGCATCCCGTATGCGAAATGGCGCCTGAGTGCGTTCCGACGATTGCTAGCTACTTCCCATCAGGCAGTCAGTCGGGGCATTTCGACCTCGCGACAATCCGACCAATTCAATGAAACCACTTTGAAAGCAAAGACAAACAATTCGAATTTGAAATCCGTACCCCCTTCACAACGGCTTCCGCAGTCTCCCCTAATCACCCGTCCTCGCTCTGGGACAGAAAAGAATCGCAAGAGGCGCCCCACGGCACAGGAGGAAGCTGACCTGCTCAAGAACCCGTGGGCCGTAATGCTGGCTTCACCAGCACGTATGTGCTCTGTGACTGGTGCACGGCTTCCATCTGCCCTACTGGGGACTTGGGGGCTTGTTAGACAACCAAATACGGATGAGCTTTATATGATGCCTGTGGGTTTGCTGCAGGACTCGCTGCAAAGCAATAAAGCCCACAACCTCAGCTCGTCGCCAGAGCCAATCATCCCAGCCCAAGTTGAGACACCAATGGTGGAGGTACAAGGGAGGGAAGAGGATACTTTGGACGCATCACCAATTCCAACATCCCCAGATAAGCAGACCGGACGCCAACTTGTGCTTCGCATTGCTGAGCTTCTTCCACTTATTCGATCTATTTCAGTGCCGCTCTCCAAGAAGGGCGGTAAAAGACCAGCGATTATGCGACTATTACCATTCAGATGGAAACATCCACAGGGCCCTGTGACGGCGCACGAAGAGAAAAAAATCATCTGGTCAGCGAATACGCCAGAAATTATGTTGCAGGGTATGAGGGGTGTCGTTGTCAAGAAACTGAGTGCAGTACTTGAGAAATACAAGCGCATTGGCACCTCCAATGGGGTTTGGAGGTCTCTAGATCTAGCTGAGTACTCGGACACTGCGTTGAAGGGAGCCCTGGGAGGTTTGGAGCGATTTGATCGTATGGAATGTGGAGCAGTCTTGCTTCTTGGTCCAAGGAATCTTGCGGCTCCCGGGGATACGTCTCAACCAAGTTGCTCTTTGGACTCGGTGGCTCTCACGCAAACCGGGTCGAAGGTTCCTGTGTTTGATCTGTCAGTCCTTTTTGCCGAGTCTGATATCCAAACCCTCCGTGCATCCCACGCCCACTTCCAACATCCTGCAGTGTTCTTTAGACCGGAGGATCAGCTTGGTACTGATGCAATGATATCCCTCTGGAAAATGAAACGGCTCCTTGATAATGTTGATCTGGCAGAGCATTGAAGGCTCCGCATAATCGAAGTATATAGCGATCCACGCGCTCATTCGTCTGATCGTGGTGTCGTGAGGAGTATGTCGAGCTGCTAGGCCATACTTACAGGGTCATGTTGGAGTGGACTCCAAATCGGCGTGAAATAGAGTCATATTCATGATTCATGGCTTCAGGCAAGAACCATGAAATCTGAAAAGTTCAGCCTAAAAATTACGATAGAGGCAGCTATATGACAATGGAAGGAGATGTATTGTGATGGGGACCGCGACAATGAGTGCGTGTCTACATTTGATATAAAAAAGTATTCACGCTCGGTTCACCCCCAGTAGTTCTCAGCGTCGTATTCAGTTCACACCCATCAACTTAAGAGCTACCATAAGACTTTCTTAGCTGGCTCATGCCCCTATTCACAAAATTTTGCTACAGCATAAAAATGTCTAAGGTTAACCTTCAGTTGTACTTCAAATGGCTTAAACTGACTTGGTCCCCAGTGTCATTAGGCAGGTAGTGATCGGGGCAGTATCAATGGCGATTTCGCTAGCCACCGAGGTCTAACAGCTCTGACCATGGGGATGACTTTGGTTCATGGAACTCAAGAGATCGGCGCGATTGTATTTCCTGCCACCCCGTGGGGGCCATCAGGCATGGGTAGGCAAATGACGATGTGCCTATCAAAGCACTTGTCCAGTCTCGTGGGGCTTTGAAACCTTTGGGGACGCGTTGGAACCTTGTAGACCTTTGTAACGACTTTTAGATCGGGAGGAATGGTTCCTCCGGTACATTTATGAAGTCTGCTAACATCGGCTATTAACCAATTTAACGCCGAGCGCAACCTGAAGAACCCCAGTATCCTCCACCTTGAACCAAAATGTCTGGATGGGTGATCGCTGTGATGGATGCACTCAACTATACGGGTGCAGTGACTTTCGCACCTGAAAAGGATATCCCAAATCTGACCGGGAAGGTCATCTTGATCACGGGCGGTGGGTTTAGCCGTAAATCAATGACGCATCAATATTGCGCCTAACGCGATGTGCCTTCATAGGAAATGCAGGTTTGGGGAAAGAAACAGTCCTCCAGCTGTCCAAGCACAATCCGAAGAAGATCTTCCTCGGCGCGCGTTCAAAAGCAAAGGCAGAGGAAGCCATCAAGTCGATAAAATCAGCCGTTCCAAATAATGTTGAGATTAGCTGGGTACTGCTGGACTTGATGTCGGGTAAATCAGTCAAGAATGCAGCAGAGCAAGTAAATGCCCAGTCATCTCGTCTCGACATCCTCATCCTCAATGCTGGTGTGATGGCTCTACCACCCGGTACGACTGAATTAGGGCATGAGATCCAGCTTGGCACAAATCATACCGGGCACTTCTATCTCACAAAGCTTCTGCTGCCAATACTTCTTAAGACAGCGGATGAACCTGACTCAGATGTCCGCGTCGTGTCGCTCGCTTCTGTGGGGCATAATTTCTCCCCACCATTTGAGAATATATTGGATCAAGAGAAGCTCAAGAAGGCCAACACAATTGCTCGGTACGGAGTGTCGAAGGCTGCCAATATTCTCTTTGCCGCAGAACTCAGCAGGCGCTACCCGTCAATCACGTCGGTGGCGGTCCATCCAGGTATTATCTTGACCAATTTGTATGATGCCGTGAGTTCGCATTCACCGTTGGCTGCTTTGGGCTCTAAATTTTTGCGTTTGTCTGGCTCAACAGTGCGCCAGGGTGCATTTAACTCGTTGTGGGCTGCTGCTGGCGCACGGAAGGAGGAACTCTACAACGGAGGATACTATGTCCCTGTTGGAATTTTGAAACGTCGAAACAAATGGGCATGCAACAAGGATATGGCGAAGCGCTTGTGGGAGTGGACTGAGTTGGAACTTATCAAGGCCCATCTCTGATAAGGTGTCGCCTGTCGTGCACACATGCATACTGTCAGCCTAAATTGCCATCTAGTCAGTAAATAATCGACTTCAATTGTCTTGACAGCGTTATTTGTTATTAAGTATATCTGAGTAATTATGTATGAGCTATGTTGCCATATATCTGTTAGGGGCTCACTCCGGGATACATGTCAGTCAGAGAGGCTACGAATTAGCAACTTTGACAACCACCTTCCCGAGACCTCCTTTCCCACTGTAAACAATCTGACATGCGGATCGCACCGCTTCGAGGTCGGAAAGCTCAACAGTGTGTCCAACCACCGTTCTCAGCTTGTGTTGATCGATGTGACTTCTTAACTCGTCCAGATCTTGACTGCTCGATTTCAAAAACATGTATGAATACTCAACACCATACCGCCATGCCCTGAGTTTACGGACACAATCGAAAGCATTAAGTCCCAGCCGAAGAGCGATAGGAATGCTAGGCTTATCGGGCAGATCCATCATTGAAGATTCCTGAAGCTGATTTCCTGATGGCATGGTGGCAACCGACAAGATACATCCCGACTGTGGTTTCATGAGGCACAGGTACTCCATTGCAGAGCCAACTGTGTCGAAGAGGAAATCCACAGAGCCAGGCTTGATGACATCCCTTGGGTCGGATTTCGTGTAGTCAATTACTGTTAAAATGTAAGCAATGGCTCAACCACGCGTGATTCAAGTCCGTACTCTTGTCGACTGTTCCTTCGCCTAAGAGCTCGTTGACTTTTTCCACCTTCGAGGTCGAGACTGTGGTGATGACCTTGCCTGCATGGAAGACATTCTTTGCCAATTGACATGCGAATAGACCCGTTCCACTAACTTTGATTATGTGAGACTCATGCATAACATTTGGTGGGACAAAAGCAACATACGGCCGGCGGGCACGAAGACAGTCTTTCCAGCCAGATCTCCTTTATATTTTCTGAGTGCTTGGAGTGCAGTCATTGCCGCTAAGGGGATTGAAGCTGCATCCTCAAATGACAATGAGGGTGGCTTCAGGGCAATTTGTTCCTCTGGACATCTGACAAATTCACTGCAGGATCCTAATGGCCAATGTCAGTGGGATATTATTGGATCTTCGAGCCAGCAAATACCTCGAGAATCCTCCGGTAGTCTGGTATAGACTTCAGCTCCGACTTGAAACCGGGTCACATCCGATCCCACCTCGGTAACTACACCAGCACAGTCATAGCCGATTTTATATGGAAATCTGTTCATGTTAGGCTCGCTTTTCGCAGCGAACATGGGATCACATACGAGTCCTTGTGTGCCAACTTCAACATTCCATCGGCCTTCTTCACATCGATCGGATTGATGCTCGCCGCGCGAACCTTGATGATTACATCTTTTGGATCGCTGAGCTCTGGCTTGGCTAACTCAGAAAGCTGATATCCCGATGGCTTTGAGTATGATGAGATATTTAGGGACAACATATTTGGTTTCAATTCTCCGCGGGGTAGTCAAGTGAAAAATGAATGTCGCAACCACACTGTACAATTGTTTGAGGGTTCCTGCGATATAACGATCCAAATTCTGGACCTCTCTTATACGTACACAGTACGGAGTAGTTGACATCCGGGCCCACAGCAACGGGTGAACTATCTCTCCGGTGCTGTGGCGAGGGAGAGATTATTCAACATACCGCGGGCCTCAGTTCTTTTACGATAGTAAGTGGCCTTGATTCAATGTGGAATCCTCGAAATATCAATAAATGTTTTTTTTTTTTTTTTTCAAATTAATGAGTGTCGTAAAAAGAAAGATTAGGACTTTTTGGAGGGTGTGCCAGATGATATATTCTATCAATACACGTATGATGCTGGGTTGCCTCGCAGACCACATGTGCCATGATTTCTACACAATATGACAACGCAAAGTTCGCGATCAGAAGCCTGACAGGAGAAGTGTATAACTTGCACCTACCTAGGCACCTAGGCAGCATATTTTGATTAGCTAAGCTCGCGGGTGGTTGCGAGTATGCAAACGTTGGAAACGTGCAGGTCCACGGGTGGATACATCCAGCCTCGGATCCTTACTTCGATACCCATACTCCGTAGATGTTCTCTACTCACTCAACGCAAGCTCCACCACATCTCAAGATATACAGGTGTCACATAACTTGAAATGGTTGGATGTGACCTTAATACTGATAATACTGACTGGGCGTCGAACTTGTACATTATGTAGCTCTTTCTATCGTCAATCCGGACCGCCAGACTATTTATGTACCGTACAGAGTAGACCTGTATCTCATATGCGATGCCGATAACCGCCATTCGTATCATCATGACATACAAGCTCTAAGGGCACGAGGCCTGCACTACCAAAGGTATATAGAACTTCGAGTAGGGCGTAAGCAAAAACGATTTGGACTGGCAAAGATGACCTATTGATCGACTACCGTGCCAAGGGGAATTCTAGTCTTTATACTCCGTACCCCGTATATATACCAATTTGGAGTACAAGCTCTCTACGTATGATGTTAGTCTTCTCGCTTAATCTTACATCGTACATCATAGACAGGGAAAAGGGGCTAGAATTCTCAGGGGCTGGTTAGGAGGCTGCTTGGGATGATCATTTGAACTGAAAGAGATGGCTGTACGGAGTACAATCTCCCTAGCCAATGTGACATGTGACGATCACATAGATCTTTCAAGGGACAGAGCACAAGATGCCTCCTGAGATTGTATATTGATTTCAGCCGCGTGTACGGAGTACGGACTAGATTATCCATTGGAAAATCATTTGGAATCATCTGCATGTCAGACTGTCGACTCCGGAAACGTTACTTAGTATCGGGCTCCCATATAATATATTATTGCACAGGTCTTTTTTTTGGAAAGTTTTGCTGGCGCACCTCCATCATCTTAGAGGAATCCGAGGTCCCTAGGCAAGGTAAAGCAAGGCTATTTCACTCATACTTGATACATTGGAACACAAGGTTATACTTCAAGTAAAATCAGATTAGCAGAAATTCTCAAAACAAGGTATCAGATAGAATTCACATAGTATTCCTTACTCCCTTTACAATGATTCACTCACTGCTCCCCATTAGTGGCAAATCTTTAAGCTGCTGCCCGTAGGGCCCAGCCTTCCTCAGCTCCAGCCACAGTGCTTGGTTGAAGCCACTACTATATTTCTGTACCAAGTACGGAGTATCGAGTGTGTATTCCGTAAATTCATTGTTTGAAAGAATAGACCCATATGGATATTGATAAAGGTGAGGCGTATATGTGTTTCAGCAACAGTGACAATTAGCTTCTTGTACAACGAGTGACCACGTGGATGGGACCGTCATTGAGATGCCAGCATTCCAATTACTGTCCAACATCGTCAAGGGCCAGCTGTATTCGCCATGTCTTGGCGTTCCCGGCTTCTACAATGGACTAAGCCAAGACCCAAGACGGACCTGGCAGCACTCATTTCGGAGATCAATTCAGAGATTGATATATCTTAAAACGTAAGTATAAAGTATGGGGTATGAGTAATTATCAGTATTCGAATATACAAGATTGAACGCTTTTTTGTAGGTTATTGTAGGCCCTCTGGAAGTTTGTATGGTAAGCGGCTCTAGGCATAACATTAGACTAATGATGTGTGAGCTATCTTTGATCAATAATGCAAGGTGTTCTCAAACGATGGATCGTAATACCCGAAGGTGCTACAAAGCGATCAAAAATCACTGATGGCTGATGGCTGACATCATGTCCTGGATTTCTGGCTAGGCGAGTGAGTGCGGAATAGATCTTTGCTCCGTAATGCCATGCTTCCTGTGCATAGTCGCATTGAATTGCATGAATCAGCCTCGGAAGTCCGAAGCTGCATTTGCGATGAAGGCTGGGCACCGGGGATCCGACCGAAATCATTGATAAATCCATTAGTCCAAGTACAAAGGAAGTGGCTGTACTTTGTACAACATGCACCCTCCGAGGTAAAAATGAAAGAGATCAAGAAATGCACGATCTACTTGCACCTTCTCTTGTGGGTTAGTCAAGGAACAGTACGCGTTAACAGGTGACAGAGCTTTGTTTTACCGGTGAGCTGATCGTCCCCACACTATGGATATCCTTCCCAAATTGTCTGTGACTTGTATATTGCAGGGTTGGACGTGGTAGAGCATACAAAGGTGCCAAAATGCTGCAGCCCGGGTAGCATGTGATATTGTCATAGGACTGATGTGTTATGTTCATTACTCCAGCAAATTCAAGAAAGAATCTTTGTTCAAGTGAGACCACATGTAGGATTGGCGGATTTACCAGGGTGCCTGACAAACTAGGCCACAATCACCGCCTCGTCGGTTATTTGGACATTTTCAATGCAACCCTACATATTACATCGCCTCTTTGTCATGTTTAGTGGAACAGGGTCCCACACGAAAGCGACTCACTTTGTTGTATCCGTATACGAAGTCAATCGTGATAAAGTGATAAAATGCTGGATGAGATATCCATCACTTGCAACCCCCTAGAAGTAACTGGTCTCCAGGTACCAGGGGAGAATTCAGGAACACAACCAACCGGAATTCAAATGTTCAACGTCTCTCCTCTGATCAGCCACCCGGAAGGGCCAGAGGAGGAAAAAAAGGACGAACTTTGCCATCGGAGGTCCACATGGATGATCCTAGCCCCCCCCCACATAGGGCCAATCGCTAGCCCACGAACAGGGGGATGAACGCCATCGACTTGAAGGACCAACTAGGTTCGCCTACAGGGGGCTTAATGCTATCTGAAACAGACCAATCACTCCATAACCAGGCGACTGGGTCCCCTCGGACAGTGTTTCAGCCCTTACTCCGTACAGGTACTATACCCTACTGCGCAAGGCCCTAAGCCCGCTATTGGACCACTTTTACAGCCACCTCTGAACGTAATTCGATTCCGCTGCGGGCCTCGACTGATCACTTTACCAAACCAGAATGGAACGGTAAAGGGCACAGAGCTACTCGTGAGTACATATAGTTTCCTCTCCCGTCTCTCCATTTCTTTCTCTCGACCGTGCAAGCAGGGCTTCTTCCACAGTTCTTTATCGTCTCTTTGTCGCTTCAATTTCATCGTTTCCCCTCATTTCATCTATCAAAATGTTCTTTCCTTCATTGGTATGTCTATACTTCGCATGGAGAACCGGTGGTCGAGTGCGACATGGTCCACAGCTCCACTCCCAATCAACCACACATTCATGACTAATCTGGCAAAAGATCTTGGCTGCTGGCAGCCTGCCGACTCTCATTCAAGCCATTCCTCATGGCGTGAAGCCCCATCACTCTTTGCACCGTCGCGCCGCTGCCACCTATGCTGTCATGGGAGGTACCGGCGACGCCTCCGACGGATGGCCTTCCATGAGTCAGTGGTCGGAGTACGAGACTCTGTGAGTAGATCAACCAAATGAGATGAGTATAACACCGCGCTAAACAATGAGTTTTGTTTTTCTAGCTGGGGTCTCAACCAAATCCTTATTGCCGCATCATGCGACAACTCTGACGACGAAACAAGCGACATTAACACCAGCATCAAGTCGATTGCCAGCGAAACAGGCATCGACGCTCGATTCATCCTTGCGATTATTATGCAAGAAAGTAAGGGCTGCGTTCGCGTACATTCCACCAATAACGGTGTTCAGAACACTGGTCTCATGCAGAGTCACGCTGGCGAGGGCTCCTGCAACAAGGATGGCAGCATGACAACTCCCTGCCCATCCTCCATGATCAAGCAAATGATCAAAGACGGCACCGCTGGAACCGCCCAGGGTGATGGTCTCAAGCAGTGCTATGAAGCCCAGAGCGGTGCCGAGGCAGCTAAATACTACAAGGCCGCACGCACTTACAACTCTGGCTCCATCGCCTCGTCTGGCAATCTCGGCCAGGGCGGTGCAACCCACTGCTACGCCTCCGATATCGCCAATCGTGTCCGTGGATGGGCCGGCGACATGAGCGAGTGTACCGAAGCTACCATTGGAACCGTTACTAGCGGCGCGGGGTCCGCCCTCGGTGCTGGCGACGAGTCCAGCAGCTCCTCTTCCTCGACCGCTGCTGAGCAGCCCACCGAGACTGCTGAGCCTATTCAGACCTCTTCTGCCCCCCTCGACGCTACTCAACCTATCGAAACATCCACCGCATCCACTGAGACCACCTCTGCGGGTTGGACCCTTCCCACCTGGTTCCCCAACGTGAATGTGCACGTCGCTGCGCCGACCAACACCCCTACCCCATCCTGGACAACCAAGTCCGCGCCAGCCGCGACAACTGCACCAGCGGCCCCCGGCTCACCATCCGCCACAGCCCCTCTCTATCCATACGCCACCTCATCATGCCAGAAGTACTACACTGTCACGCACGGTGATTTCTGTGACAAGCTAACCGAAACTGTCGGAATCTCCTTCCCGAAGCTTCGCAGCTTGAATAGTGGCCTCGACGAGAAATGCTCGGATCTGTGGCTCGGATATCAATACTGTATCAAGGCATAAGTTCGAGCCTTTGATCGATCTACTTTTGGATCTTTTTTACTCTTCTTTCCTCTCTTTAAGGCGGTGCCTTCTTTGTACATAGCATGAGCTTGCTCTGCAAAAATTGGCTGTGGATGATGCTGGCACTCTCCCACGGTCTCTATACGACGAATGACACCAGCGAACACTTTATGACAACAATGAACTTATTTTACCCATTTGGATTTTTCACCCTTCTTTGATCATTGTAGATTATGTCCAGATACACAAAATGACATTTTTCGCAAGCTTCATTCCAAATGGCTAACCCCTATACTTGTAATCGCCAAATTGTCTCTCATGGGACTGCGGCTTTTCTCCATGACTTGCTAAAGAACGTGTATTTCCATGGCTTTTATCGCAGCAGTTCTGTAGCACCACTCGCTAGGACTGTAGCTGTTCTTCTTTCGACACGAGAGATCAAAATACAATCACATGTGATTCCAGTCTCTATAAACAGGAATGTTAGAGTAGCTGTGAAGCTATTTGAAATTCTATCTGCCAATATAGGAATATCCCTCCTCTGCAGTTGATTCAATGCCATATTGCCAAATGTGGCCTTGACTCTGGGGATTCATTGTGCTCTATGTTGGGTACAAAGGAACACAAAGCAACATTAGATTTAGCAATACGGAAGGCATCGGAAAATTTGACAAAGCTATTGTTTGAATGAAAGATCCCATAGTTAAAGAACATAGTCGAAAATCTATCACGGCTGTCTCCGATCTATTATTTAAACAGATCTGATTCCCCTCTACCTGTTCATAATCAGCACTTTACATTCAACAATTCAGCCTACCACACAATTAGCTCAGTTACCAACAGGTTTGCCAAATCATTATCAATATGATGCAGCCAGGTATGTTTAGATATACATACGGGGGATCCCATCTCCCCGAGTGGGAGATGAGTGACCATGAATGCGTTTACTTTGTGACCGTACATTTCGACGAAAGATATCGGACATATTCCAGCAAAAAGCTCATGCGAAGTATGATCCGTCGAATCAAGGAAGGGGAAGCCCAGGTCAGCCTAAAGCCCCTCCATGGCCTCACTCCGCGATGTATCTCAATGCCAGTTTATGGACCCTATGACGCTCCAAACGCCGTCGTTCTCGCGACCGCCAGAGTAGTTGCAGAGACGCGCTTGAATGAAATTGGCCAAGGGTTTGTGGAGATCGACATGGATATTCTTTTTGGCCAACAGGAGAAATAATACGTTTGATTGTTTTTTGAACTTGTTATTTGGCTTGCAAGCGATGAATAAAACCTCGGGCTTTTCTGACGCATTCTTTTTTCCAATATGAAACTGACTGACAGCTTAGTTGATATTAGAGATAAGAACATATGAACATCATCTATAAGCTCTTAGCATAAGAGTGACTCTGTTGAGTAGGTAAGTAGACTTTTCATGCAACGAAGCAATTAGAATCAAATCATTTCAACTGAAGTTCTCCCTTTTCCACAACCAGTCGAATAACCTCTTTATTTAACCCCTCCCAACGAGTGCGTCCCTTGATAAACCAGTAAACAAAAGCAAACAAAGTAGTTGCACCGAAGATTGGTGCCGCATAGTTCATGTTCTCCCCAGTAACCGGTAGAGCTGACGGGAATGCCAACCACACTGTTACCCAAGCGGTATACATCAAAGCGAAGACATTGACCGGAAGCCCCCAAGTGCCCATGTTCCAGTTTCCAAGAGGCGCCACATGTTTCTGGAACCGATTATGCAACATGCAGCTAATAGCAATAAAATATGACACGAAGAGGCCAATCGACCCCAACGCAACAAACGCCCCAAAGGCGGCGCCGTCTGCGATGTTCAAACACGCTAAAATCATGACAACGAGGACTGGAAGCCAAACAGCACGAATTGGAACGTTATGCTTGCGGTCAATCTGCCGTTCTTATTAGCAGATGTTGTGTCATCTTATGTGGCACCGTATCGTACAGGGGATACGTACATAACTAAACCACCGGGGTAGGGCTCCGTCACGGGCCCACGCCCACGTCAATCTTGACACAGACGCTATACTTGCCAGATTGACCGACAGCGAGATAACAAGCAGTCCGCTTACCATTGCAATGGCGGCTTTTACAGACCCGGTGGCTTGTCGGCAGATCTCGATTATCGGAAATCTGGATTTCTGAGCTTCTTCCACCGAGCCCATGGTGAAGAGCATACAGACAACCATTGCGTATGCCAGGATACCGTTGGCGACAACAGTATAGAAGATAGACCTAGGAACAGCTTGCTTTGCTCGGCGGACTTCCTCACTCATGTGTACTGCTCCATCAAATCCTGTTATTTTCAGCGTTATGTCTTTGCTTCCTTGAAGTGTATATCGTGTACGCACCGACAAACCCCCATACAGGGGTGAGCAAAGCTATGTTCCAAGCGGGGAATTCTGCCCAGCCTGAGGTACTTTGCGTGTGTAAAAAGACAAATTCTGGGGTGTGACGGGGGGCTAAAGCCGTGAATACAACCAAAAACACAATCAAAAGGCAGATGTGCAGAATACCAGCCAACATTTCGATCCAAGGAATCAGCCAAAATGTATACATGTTCATGAACGCTTCGACAATGAGCATGCCAACAATGATGAGGGTTATGTGCCATTGCTTTGGCTCGTACTCTGGGTAGTTCACACTCGCTAGGCCCTGGATCATCGTAGCAGTGGTATTGGCAACCCCGGCGAGTATGGAAATCCACGCGAACCAGGTCACCCAACCTGCATAATGTTAGCAGTTATTCAGGATCTCGGTAAATGACACACCCTGCATCCAAGTGATAAATTTCTTCTGACTCGTCGGTGCCAAGTAATGTGTCCAGTGATACTGAGCCCCAGCAATTGGTTGCATCGAAGCCATCTCGGCTAGCGAGGCAGATTGAGCCATTGCACCACATACCACGATCACTATTCCCCAGGCTAAGGCTTCAGGGCCGCCATTTGAGAGAACCGTGCTCAAATTCCTAAGAGTGGCCATGTTGTTAGTCCTGGCGCACAACAAGGGATGAGGCTCTCATACAAAGCCTGAGTTTCCCAGCTCGACAGATAAGTAAGCGAGAAAAAGAATATCTGTGTGAAATTGAATAGTCGCTATATACTGTCTCAGCTAGGTAAACGTATCAACCCAATAAATCGTACCTTGGGCGAAGCCCGCTCCGTGGATTCAGCTTTATGCGGGCGGTCATAGGCATTAGTGACATTTGCATCTTGATCTGGCGCGAATTTTCCAATGCCCATATTTTCCCTTTCTAAGGAGTATATCTCGAGGCGCTCCATTTGTTCTTGCCAGAGAAGAAAGGCAGTTGATGATGGGAAACAAAATACCGGACAAGTCCCGAAAGAAGATCGGAAAAGGAAAAAGCAAAATGAGCGTGGAGGCCATGAATTCCTAAAAAGGATTCAAGGATTGTGCAGAATTCTTGTCTTACGGTGGATTGTTCTTGTCCTGCCTAGATGGGATTGACGTATGCTGCAGCGCCATTCTTCGGCCTACCTTTGGAGATGGGACCAGAAGATGCACGTTTGTGAAACTCCAGATAGACCAATCAGTTACAAGACAGGAATAATTGTGTCTGTGTGCCAAAGGTGGTAGTAAAGATCTAAGAAGGGCCCCTATATAAGGGTACTCGAACAGTAGTATATATCATTCACTGTTCTTTCCTGCTAACCCACATTGTAAACATGACCCTGCTCAAATTATCTCCGACGAGAATTTTTTGACTACCATGTCATCCAGCATAGCGGTTTTCCTGCCGCCACTCTTGCCTGTCACCTATAATGATCGTGGTGCTTGGGTTATTACCGTGAGCACTATTCTACTTATCATCACCGTCCTGGCAATAGCAGTGACAATGATATCTCGCATCCGCGTTTTGCGCAGAATTTCCTGGAGCGATTCCACTCTATTTCTCTGCTGTGTAGGTTGTTTTGCCCTCAATGATCGAAGTTTCTAATCATTCCACTAGGTTATATTTATTCCTCAGACTGTGTGTGTGAATGTGGCTAGCTCCTATGGCATTGGCAAGCACCGAGATTCATTGAGCAATGCTTCATTTGAAAAATACAGCAAGGTCAGATTCTCAAATCGAGCATCATCCCCTGGAAGAATATATTCTAACATAATCAAGACACTCTTTGCTAGCCAACTCCTCGCTGTCCTTGTCTTAGGATGTTCCAAGGCCGCCGTTGCACTTCTGGTCCTATCCTTGCAACCCTTCGAGAAAATATCGCTTGCATGCAAGGTTATTTTGGGCTTGATCGGTACCTGGATCCTGGCTGCACTGATAGCGCTCGGAATACAATGCGATCACCCGCAATCATGGAGCTCTAGCCGTGAGAAATGTGTGAACCAAGAAGCTTTATATATCGCGTTAGGGGGCGTCCACATGTTATTAGATGTAGTAATCATCGGGTTACCAGTGGCTTTACTACATCAAGTCCAGATAATACAGTGGAAGCGCTACCAAATCTCTGCCCTGTTTGGGATGCGGATCCTGTGAGTATGTCTTCATCGTCAACAAGGTTGCCATCTAATCCCATACAGAGTTCTAGCACTGACCATTGCTGGCCTACGCTCCCTCCGGCCACTCTATAACTCTAACCCTCTAGATGAAACATGGGATGCCCTCATGCCAGCCATATGGCTACAATTAATCATCAGCTCCTCAATTATTTGCACATGTATCCCAACCCTCAAACGTGTCCTGGCCGAGCTCCAGACCGGCATGATGGCCGGCGTAGTCTCAGACTTTTTTGAGCAATCCGTCTCTGGTCATACAAACACCGGAGATCAATCAGGATCCAAGTCTGACAGTGCCATTGAGCAAAGATCAGGCTCAGTGTCAGCGTCCCGCCCCCAAATTCGAGGTGAATCGGTCGACCTAGAGCGCGTGGATAGCCAAAAGAACCTGCGCGAAAATGCCATGCGAACGATCGACTACGAGGCCTTTTACGAAGGGCCTGATTCTTCCAGACCCTCATCTTCCCATAGCGATGATCTGAGTACATGTTTACGTGGACCTTGAAGGCAACGGGCGCCAAAAGGTCGATATCTTGTCTGGGAAAGTCGACCTGCTGTGGTAGATATATGTAATTCTTAGACATTGTGTGATGATATACCGAGATTATCATCTCTCCAACTATCTCCCTAACATCGATATATAATTTCTGATTCGTGAGTAGTATGATATATATATTTCCACTCAAGCCAGAAATGAGTCTTACCAACACATCACTGTTCTACAGCGTCCTTCACATGTTTGGTCAAACTCTGGACCCTGCACATTGTACACACAAACATTCTATTAATTGTGTCCCTAACGTATCTTCTCATGACGCTATCCTAGAGTCTTTAACAAACCTGGCAAAAAAAGGACCCCCATGGCTTACTAGTCATGTTGTCAACAAGGGTACAGGGGATGGTAATACGGGCGTCTTCGAAATACCTCCCCTTGACGAATCCAGCTCGTGGTGAAAGATCTACGACCTGACCCTTCCACCCACATTGAACGAATTTCGCCAGGCCAAGTACCCTTTCACCATGCTCAACGAGAACACCATTGCTTCTTGCACAACTCTAAAGCTACCGGGTGATTTGCTAGGTATCACGACCGAGTCAGCATTGGTCTTCTGTGGCCAGGCGAATTTTATCGAGGGCGGTTTGATGCTTACGATTGTCGCTCGGCATAATGTCATAGATATGACTGGCCAAGACTTTATCATCGAATTAATGTCCAAAGCTTGCTACAATGAGCCCTACACAAGCGAGGAACTTGCAGTCAGTAACATGGATCGGAGTGTCGTTCCACTACTGGATGATTTGTACACCCCGGGCCCTGAGCTCGCTCGCCAGATTGTGAAACCCCCATCCAGCGCCAAAGACGTTGTTTCGAAATCTATTGGACACCAAAGTCTACACGGTCTTACATTGAACTATCTGCGGCATAGCTTGGCTCTTTCAAAACTCTTGTCGCGAGTACATTGCCCGCCCCCACGGACTTCGTCTCTGCGGACGATGTTACCAACACTTTTATCTAGCAATTCATCGGCTGCGCCTGGGCTTCTCGTCTGGAGGCGACCTCTAGGGGGATATCTACGCGTGCAGTAGCCATGAGGCAGCGGTTTGGTATTACCCAAGGTCATTGACATACAACACTGACATATTCCAGGACATATCCGAGGAGTCTTTGATAATTGTTGCTGCTGAGCTTCAGTCTCAGCTAGATCCAGAGAAAAATGATGTTATATCCAATACCCACTACATTTCTCCGCCGCTCGGCTGACAGGAGTCACAGGATCAAGCCGTCTTTTACTACCACGATCAATAACTCATCTATAATGCTCAATTCTTGGTTGAGCATTAGTTTTATAGTCTCAATTCTAATCTAGGATTGGCCAATCTCAAAGCTGTTGGGAGACCACACCTCTTGTTGAGAGTTTGGGGTACTTGATGCCTCGATCGGCTAGATGCCCGTTCTGAGAGATTGAGATTGGGAATGGTCAAAGAGAAGGTTACGACGTTCGTTGGGTAAGATATAATAACCTCAGTTTATATCCAGGTACATGCACGTATATCTAAGTACATCTATGTGCATTCAGGCACATCTAGGTACATCCAGGTACATCCAGGTACATCCAGGTACATCCAGGTACATTCAGGTACAATCCATGTACCTAGTTCAAGGTATACAGGTCGATCGCTTTCTCCGCATTCCGCATTTGGGAGCTCCTTTCTTCATTTCTCCTTTCGATTCTTTCTACTCTATTCTTTCTACTGAACTCCTTCTACCATATCTACTCTTTCTATTCTTCCGACGCTTGCTGACAGTTTACTCGATTCTTCCAATCGTCTTATCTAAACTCATCATGGGTGGGGAAGTTCCCTTTCGCCCCGCTCCTCCAGCTTTACCCCAGTTAGCTGAACGCCCGGTCGGTCAACGCATCAAGAAGATATATACCGATCGCCTAAATCAGTTCACATCGAAGGGCCAATATGAAGGCCAAAATCTGGTCTCAAAGTACTACGAAGCCACAAATTCGGACGAAGATCATGTCAAACTCTCTGTTTACTCGGTCCCGGACCTGCAGCGACCGACCTTCAGAGAGATAATCTCTCAGGAATTCAAGCCTACCCAAATAGGTGCCTCTTTTGGCCCCAGTTGGTCCACACATTGGTTCAAGATTCACCTCACAGTGCCTGAGGACATGCTCCAGCGGGAGCATCTAGAGTTTCACTGGGATGCCAACAACGAAGGCCTGATCTGGACAGAGGATGGTCAGCCGCTGCAGGGCTTGACCGGAGGCGGAGAACGGACCGAGTTTATTCTTCCCAGGGACTGGTGCGATGGAAATAAACATACTTTCTACATTGAAATGGCTTGCAATGGCATGTTTGGTAATGCTCCTGGTGGCGATTCGATCCAGCCACCAAATCCCGACAAATACTTCACGCTCACCACGGCGCGAATTACGGCGGTAAACCTAGCTGCCAGGGCGCTGTACTATGATTTCTGGATAATTGGGGATGCCGCCCGGGAATTTCCAGGCGAGTCATGGGAGTCGCATGAGGCCAATGTCGTGGCCAATTCTATGATTGATGCCTTCATTGCCGGTAATGGAAGCAATGAGTCTATTCACGAGGCGCGCAAGATTGCTAGGAAATACCTCGGCGACAAGGTGGATTCGTCCGAGGTTTACAACACAGACACGCAGCCAATAGTCTATGCCATTGGCCATTGTCACATTGATACTTGTTGGCTGTGGCCTTGGGCTGAGACTAAGCGCAAGGTAGCACGGTCATGGTCTAATCAATGTGACCTGATGGAACGATACCCTGAGCACCGCTTTGCTTGTTCTCAGGCTCAACAGTTCAAATGGCTGAAACAGTATTACCCATCCGTATTTGATCGTGTGAAGCGCTGGGTAAAGAAGGGCAACTTCCAGCCTATCGGTGGAAGCTGGGTCGAACACGACACGAATATGCCAAGTGGAGAATCGCTTGTCAGGCAGTTTTTGTATGGACAACGATTCTTCGAGGCTAACTTTGGTAAGCGAAGCACAACTTTCTGGCTGCCAGATACCTTCGGATATTCTACCCAAATCCCTCAGATATGTCGCTTGGCTGGAATGAGCCGCTTCTTTACCCAGAAGCTCAGCTGGAACAACATCAACAATTTCCCTCACACTACGTTTCAATGGGTTGCGCTTGATGGCAGCCAAGTTATGTGCCACATGGCTCCTTCCGAAACCTACACTGCTGAAGCGCATTTCGGTGATGTGAAGCGCAGTGTCACTCAACACAAGTCTCTAGACACGGACAAGTCATCCCTGCTTGTATTTGGAAAAGGCGACGGAGGTGGTGGCCCGACATTTGGACACCTCGAAAAACTACGTCGCTGCCGTGGTCTCAGTGATCAGGTCGGCTCATTGCCCAGGGTGAAAATGGGCGAGTCAGTAGATGACTTCTTTGCAAAGTTGGAGGCAAAAGCTGCCTCTGGCACTGATTTCGCTACCTGGTACGGTGAGCTTTACTTTGAGTTGCATCGAGGAACATACACCACGCAAGCAAACAATAAGCGCAATAATCGCAAGTCCGAGTTTTTGCTGCGTGAGATCGAGCTTCTTGCGACCTTTGCCACCATCAGTACTTCCGATGATGGATATCGGTATCCCAAGAGAGAGATTGACGAGATGTGGGAAGGGACTCTCCTTTGCCAGTTCCATGATTGCTTGCCGGGTAGCTCCATCGAGATGTGCTATGACGATTCAGATAAGTTGTATGCCGAAATTTTTGAGACAGGAGCCAAGCTGCGAAAGAATGCCCTTGAAGCTTTAGGGCTCACTGGTACCACTATGGGTGAAGAATTCATGGCCCTCAACACCTTGCCATGGCCCCGATCGGAAGTCGTTGTGGTTCCTCCAGCAGTGGCCGCATACAACAGATCCAGATACGCCGTGGCTGATGGCCCAACTGGAGTGATGCAATTCCACCCAGCTGACTTCAAAACCACCAATTCAGCGACCGTGACCGAGGTCAAACCTGGCGCTTTCCGCCTAGAGAACGGCAAGCTCAGGGTTGATGTTCAGGACGGGGTTATCACATCCTTGTACGATGTGGAAGCCGAAAGAGAGATCGTCGCAAAAAACTGCAAGGCGGGCCAGCTAGTCATCTTCGACGACAAGCCTCTTTACTGGCAAGCATGGGATGTCGAGGTGTTCCACATTGAGTCACGAAAGGAGTTGCCTGGGGGTAAAACGACCATTGTAGAAAACGACCCGCATCGCGTGAGTGTCATGACTGAGATACAGATCAGCGGCAAGAGCTGGGTCAAGACCACAATCAGTCTGTCAGCGTCCACATCCGATGAGCCCTCATACGTGGAAATAGAAAGCGAGGTGGAATGGCAAGAGACAATGAAATTCCTCAAGGTCGAGTTCCCAGTTGATATCACCAACACCGAAGCATCCTATGAGACCCAGTATGGTATCGTTAGGCGCCCGACCCATTATAACACAAGGTATGCACCCGACCTTTGACACACTTCACAGGAATACTAACTACTCTGCAGTTGGGACATGGCTAAGTTTGAAGTCTGCTGCCACAAATGGGCCGACCTCTCTGAGAACGGCTACGGAGTCTCCATCTTGAATGACTCTAAATATGGCTTCGCAACATGCGGTAACCTCATGCGCCTTTCGCTGCTTCGTGCCCCCAAGGCACCAGACGCCCACGCTGACATGGGCCGCCACCACATTCGCTATGCAATTCTTCCTCACGCTGGTGCTCTTGATGCCCGAACGATCCGTGCAGGCTTCAATTTCAACAACCCACTTGTCGTTGAAAAGGCCGGCCCTAGAGCATCTGCTTCCAATGCCCTATTCAAATGTCTGTCTATCAAGGGCGCGCCGTCCTTGATACTGGATGTTGTCAAGCGTGGCGAAGATGATGCTGATGTTTCGTGGGATGGTGCTCCTACCCGTGCGGGAAGGAGTGTCATTCTGCGTGTCTATGAATCACTTGGCGGTAAGGCTCGTGGTACTATCGAGACCACTCTGCCTGTGAAGAATGCTTTCAAATGCAATATTCTTGAAGATAATGAGGATCCAGGACTGGAGATTGAGACTGAAGATAGTCGTTCGGCGATCAAGATTGAGTTGAGGGCGTTTGAGGTCGCTACGTATCGACTGCAGCTTTGACCGCGAGGAACGTATTTGAATGGTAGGCTTGAACCAAGCCCAGGGAATATTGCGAGGCACCCATTGTATGTACCTAGCTTGTGTCGCATTCAATCGGAGGCAATGAAATAATTGATGTATCCGACAAACGCTGTAGTCTTTATAAGTTCGTGATTTACATGATATCGCATCGTAGGTGTAACAAGACTGATAAATCCCATTCCCATTTTCCCGCTACGCCATAACACGACTCCTCCCAGGACTCGTGTGAAAAAACAGACCAACCAACTCCTAAATCGAGAAAAAGCCAAGCAGATGCAAGACGGGCCCAGAATGTAAAAGCAGAATCTCACAAGATGAAGACTCAGTCTCTCCCGTAGCTGATCTTCAACCGCTTAACAGAAGGCTTGTCCTCGTCAGAAATATCCTCAGTTTGGTTCTTGCCTTTCGTATTCTTCGACCCGCCAGTCGCCTTCTTCTTATTCTTTGAGCCATTCGGGTTCTTCATCCCGCTAGCAGAAACAGAGGCGGACAGCGGGTCAATCTTCATAGACATGCCGTTTCCACCAGTCGTAGATGTCGGTGTTGCTGCGTGGGAAGGCGTTGTTTGCACAGAGGAGGGACCGGGGGAATCCTGAAGACACATCGATAATCGTTAGTCCCCAGTTCATATCAAAAAGGCCATTATCTCAGCACGCAAGGCCAGTATTTCTCTTTCGGGTCGGTTCTGCATACCAACATGTAGCTCGCCGAGCTCCGCGAGAAAACTCGATCCGATTCCGTCACCTGCGCCTTTCGCCTCGACCCAGCCATGCTGCCGCCCAGACCCAGTCCCGCAGCGCCGAGACTCGACCCGTTCGCGGAACCCTTGATATAGTTGTCAAAGCCCTTGATGATGTTTCCAGCGGTGGTTTCTTCTAGGTATGATTGTTCGAAGCGGAAGATTTGGTCTTCAAGTTGAGACTATGGGAGAAAAATATGTGAGCAGCACATCACGGTAGAACAAGTGACACATCCATTGGGGGGATATTGCGAGATGATCCAAGAGTTGATAATATTATACATGCTCGCACGGCCAAAGAACAAAATCCCGGAGAGGTAACAATGTCCAGTCCCTAGAATATGAGAACGCGCGAGATTGCACTCACCATGCTCTTATCCATTAATCGCTTCTTCTGTAATGTGTCCCTCAGCTCGCGACGCAGTTTCTCGTAGTATGGTAGCCCGCGATTCGCGGCATTCGGGTCCGCAGGCGCATTTGGTGCCCCTGCTGTTGCACCTGCTGTGGGCGCCGCAGCTCCGGTGTTCGTAGGCGCAGTGGCTGGCGCCGGTGCAGTGTCTGCCATTATTGTGGGGTGGAGCGCAATTGAAAACAATAATTATTTCAGGTCGAAGCTGCGTGTCGCATGCGCGGAATGGACGAAATGAGGTTGAAATTGAGGTTGAAGTTGTATTAGTGCATAGGCAATGATCGCGTTTGGGATCGAGAGAGTTAAAGCCGTTTGGAGACCTTATCGGTTTGTCCTGTTTGCACTCCCCTCTCTTAATTGTCGTGATCTTTGTCTCCTCATACCCTTGCATCTTACGAGTATACTGTCATTTGGTTTGTTCTTGAGACACAAGAGTCTCTTATTACTGTTTTTGTCATATCTATATACTATTAAAGATGGACCACTCGATACATATGGCCATGGGTCACGGTGACATGGGTCACGGCGATATGGATATGGGTGGGAAATGCAATATGAACGTGAGATATAGCCTTTGGTGATAGTTCGATCGTGATTTACCTCGGACTGATCTCGAATATTGTATTGTAGATGCTGTTCACCTGGTCCTCCGAGAATTTGTGCATTATCTTCCGCAGCTGGCGTGTCACCGGTCCCTTCTCCTTCCTCTTGTCCCTCATCGCTATCGTTATCCTTACTGCAGGCTATGAGGGAATACGATCGGCGACTCGAAAATACGAGGCTTCCCATGCACAGCGGTTAAGTTCATTTGTGAGCCCTTCTGCCACTACTGGGGGTAAGTGACTTTTTTTTTCCGTCGGTCAAGGTACAATGTCAAGGATACTATGTTTCCAACAAGTCCTGTGATGTTTTCGTTTCATATTGGAGACATGATAGGGATATGGTATACAGTTAATAAGCAAGCTTCTTATTGATGCCTTGGCTCTCTGCAGACGCTGAGGTCGCCGACCCTATCATTGCCAACGGCCTGGCGGACGCAATCCATCACACTCACAACGAAAGCTCATCACTACTTGTAGGACGTGACAACAGAGGGGCATTGGTTCGCAAGGGCAAGCTTACCCTGGCAGCTTTGTATGCTGTTCAGGTGTTTTATAGCTTCTTCATCATGTAAGTTCCTCCCAGCCAACACCTTGGCCAATATCTGGTTTACTGACTGGGTGGTCTAGGCTTCTCTTCATGACGTATAATGGGCAGGTCATGATAGCAGTTGCAGTGGGCGCGTTCGTGGGGTACTTGGCTTTCTCCGAGGGGGCCCCAGCCTCGAAGACGATCGCGTGTCATTAAAGGATACAATCCGGGCATTGGCGGAATTGCAGATTTAGAGACAAGCATGGAAAGCAATGACAACTATGTCGAAATTTGAACTGGTTCTGGTACTGAAATTGATGGGTTTGGAAGCTCTTTCCGGTGGGAAATGGTGCTGGTTGGTGGTGGCGACCTCATTGTTTTGTGATTCCATCAGCCTCTCCATATTGCAGTAATAGTTCATGGAACCTCAACATCACTTCCATCATCGCCAAATCCAAAACTGAATCCACCTCCTTCGGCGTTTCCTCCATCAGGGGCGTCCTCTGTTTTGCCATGAACAATATCTTCCCATTTGCGCTTCTTGCCTTCGCTCTTCTTCTGCAACTCGTCCCAAGCTTGCTCCAGTAGATCGGGATATGACTCGCGCATACCGGCCATAAACCGCTCACATGGGTTAGCCACGTTTTTCCGGAACCCAGAAACCTGGTCCGGCTTGTTAGACAAGAAATCTAAGGCGGCGCCGAGATGGCCTCGAGGAACAAAGTTCTGTGTAATGGCGATCGACGGCTCCAGATTCACGACCAAATGCCACCAACCAGATGGAACGTGTAATATCTCACCCTCGCCGCAGATCCCTTCTACACAGCCCGGAGTCCGGCGTGCCTCAGCATGGAAGCCCAGTAGCCATTCGGAAATACTCAGTGGAGAAGTCACCTCGCTTTGGTCATCTGAAACAAAAACACCAGGAGGCGGGGGCTGTTTCTTGCTGGATGGGAACATAATCCAATATTTGGGGCCTCGAAGCACAGCGTTCCAAGCACTGGTTGCATTGGGGTCTTTGTGAAACTTGCTGCCGGATCGCTCGGGCCCAATAATCAACCACTGATGGTCAGGGCGGTCGTCACCAAGCACGGAAAAGAAGTCTTCAGCGAAGCACGCTGGGGGCCAGTACGAGGCGTCGGGTGTGGTTTCTGGAGACCCGACGGACAGTCCCATCTTGGATACGAAGGACCTGTCGAATAGGTACAGCGGGCTCTCGTCAGAGTTGTCTGCCATGTAGTCACCATAAGTGCGCATGGCCCAGTCCACGGCTTCGGCACGGAATTTGGTCTTTCCGTATCGGGCGAGTAGTGACCCGACAGTCCAGTTTTTGTATGCTGGCCAGGCTTTGACGGGCTCAGTTAAAATGAATGGTCGGTCAGTCCAATTTGCTTGGAATTCCTCCGGTGAGAGGTCTCGAAGTCGTGCGATCTGGTTCCGCCCCGGGATCTTGGAGACATAGGGGTCAAGCGCGATATGTGCGCAGTTGAAAGGCCGGTATAAAGAATCAGAGAACAGCTGGGAACAGTCGATCATAGGCACCTTGGAGGCGGGAATATTGAGATATGTTGACCGCCATGTCCCTCGCCATGTGAAATCTTCTCTTGGGTCACTGCAACCAGATTTAGTATGAGTATTATTTGTGTTCATTATGACAATTATTATATTATGAATAAGTAGGTGCAAGACTCAGGAGCAAAACATGACTTAGATCTACATAGTTCAACTGGATCTGCAGTGCAGGCTTGTGGCTTACCGAACAAACAGCGCCTTCCACAGTTCTTCAGCCCGGGTGAATGCATAGAAAGCCTTGCATGTCCGCCCGATTCTTAAGAGGCTTGGCCCATCGAAGCCTTCCAACAATAGCAAGATTAGTTCGTCCGGCAGATGTTGAAAGGTCCCTATGGCGTTGCGAAGACTCCAGGTAGCCAACAAAGCATTGCCACTTGGTTTCACACCCAGTGGGTGAGAGGGGATAGCGTCCCTTGTGATCTCTGCATCCTGTGGTGGGGGATAACTCGGTAACGTTGTGATGTCAGGCATGATCTGAGATTAGCACTTTTAGGGCTTCAAAGAGTCCTTTTAGAGGTGACTTGGGCCTAAATGAGAGGTAGTTCACCAAGTAAATGGGAACAAGAGATTGAGAATTGACAGAGTCAAAGACACTGAATATAGCAGCGATTTGCAACACACCAACCAATTTAAAAATCAAATATAGTCACCCAGAGGATGTTTTCATGTTCGTCTCGCCCACTCTAACCTCGCTTGGGCTTGGACACACCCAAACCAGGCAAGCGGTGAAATATTGCCCCGTAAAAAAAAAAAAAAAGCGTAGCAAATGGCGCCGCAGTTGTGGCCATTCGATTTTTTCGCTTTTCTTCTCTTCCTCTTCCCACCCCATTTGTGAATTTCACATCCAACCATTTTTCCAACCTTTCCTAGTATCCTATAAAAGACTCTTTAATAAAGAGTCTGAGGTACTAGAAGTCAACTTTCCCACGCAGCGAACCTCCACAAGTTCGCTAAAACTACCCCACCACACCGATCACAGCCAACGCCTGTGATCCTTTTATCAAACCGCAAATATGGCTGACAAGGGTCTTGAGGATCTTGCCGAGGGTATGTGTTATAATCCCGCCACTTTTCTATCAATCACCCGTCACTTTGCTCTTGCTGGAACTCGCGATCGCGATCGCATTCAGTCTTTGAGTGGCGTCAGATAGGGGAGGTGTTGAGAAGATAGAGGCTAATTTCAATTTTCTTCAACAGGGCAGATCGAGTCTAACTACGATGAGGTTACCGACTCCTTCGACGCTATGGACTTGAAGCCCGAGCTGCTTCGCGGTATGTACCCCTTCGTCTTATCAGGTGGGGGGTTTGGGAAAAAAATACTGACAGTGGGATTTCAGGTGTCTACGCTTACGGTTTCGAGCGTCCTTCCGCCATTCAGCAGCGTGCCATCATGCCCATCATCAAGGGTGAGTCTTGTTTCATTCCGAAATCAATCTTGAAAATTTGCGCCTAACCTTCGAGGTCAGGTAACGATGTTATCGCCCAGGCTCAGTCCGGTACCGGTAAGACCGCTACCTTCTCCATCTCCGCCCTGCAGAAGATCGATCCCGAGGTCAAGGCCTGCCAGGCCCTGATCCTTGCTCCCACCCGTGAGTTGGCTCAGCAGATCCAGAAGGTCGTTGTTGCCATTGGTGACTTCATGTCCCTTGACTGCCACGCCTGTATCGGTGGTACCAACGTCCGTGAGGATATGAACGCTCTCCGCGCCGGTCCCCAGGTCGTCGTCGGTACCCCCGGCCGTGTCCACGACATGATTCAGCGCCGTGTTCTGTCCACCACTGCCATGAAGCTCTTCATCCTCGACGAGGCCGATGAGATGCTTTCAGTAAGTCACTGTAAATGACATTATGTGTGTCAATCGGCCCTAACTTTCTTTTCTTTTCTAGCGTGGTTTCACCGAGCAGATCTACGACATCTTCCAGCTGCTTCCCCAGTCTACCCAGGTCACTCTGCTCTCCGCTACCATGCCCCAGGACGTCCTTGAGGTCACCACCAAGTTCATGCGCGACCCCGTCCGTATCCTTGTCAAGAAGCAGGAACTCACCCTTGAGGGTATCAAGCAGTTCTACATTGCTGTTGAGAAGGAGGAGTGGAAGCTCGACACCCTCTCCGATCTCTACGAGACCGTCACCATTACCCAGGCTGTCATCTTCTGCAACACCCGCCGAAAGGTCGACTGGCTCACCGACAAGCTCACTGCCCGTGATTTCACCGTCTCCGCTATGCACGGTGACATGGAGCAGGGCCAGCGTGATGTTATCATGAAGGAGTTCCGTTCCGGTTCTTCCCGTGTCTTGATCGCCACTGATCTTTTGGCCCGTGGTATCGATGTCCAGCAGGTTTCCCTGGTCATCAACTACGATCTTCCCGCCAACCGCGAGAACTACATTCACCGTATCGGTCGTGGTGGTCGTTTCGGTCGTAAGGGTGTTGCCATCAACTTCGTCACCGCCGACGATGTTCGCATGCTCCGCGAGATCGAGCAGTTCTACTCCACCCAGGTTGAGGAGATGCCCATGAACGTGGCTGACCTCATCTAAACACCCTAACTCTTGACGTCTTGATGCGGTTTATGATCGCAGAATCTGCGTTAAAAGTGGCTTTCTGCGTTTCCGCCTGCAGTGTGCCGGGGACGTGACTGGGGCTATGCCTATGCATATTGAGTTGACAAGTCGACGCCTCGGCTGTCTCCCCGGCCCTTGCTATGGTTTCCTTTGTCTTGCACTAACGGAGATGAGACATGTTTGCGTTCACCTCTTGCTACTCCGTTTTATCTTTTTATTTTATGCATTTCCCTTTGTTTTCCCCTCGTCTGTATCTAGCTCGCTCTTGTTGGTTAAGGATGCTACCTCTTCTCGTACTTAATCAATAGATCGGGCCAAAATGTGACTTGTTCCTCAGGGCGTTGTCCTTGAACGATATTTAAATACGTATTCATTCTCTTGTGTAGATATACGGTGCAGCTATCACCAGATCCCACTGGCTTGTTCGATACTTATCGTCTGAACTCTTTCGTATTATCTTCTTCGCCCTGGCAAGCTTGACTGGACCAGGATATCCCAAGCGCAATTCAAGGCCCCTTGGCAGCCGCTGAGCTTCCACATTGAGACCCGGATATTTGTCCTCGATAGCCCAAGACTTCGTCAAGCATTGGAGACTGAATTCTTACTTTCTGAGGCCCCAAATACTTGACACCTCAAACGATATCGTCGCCCATCGGTCCCGACCAGCGACCGCATGTTCAAACCTCCTAGGCCCCGAGGTTGTCATCCAGGCCTTGTCTGGAAATCACTAGCTCTCCTGAGTCTCGGGAGCGCATATGTCAAGGCTTCGAACCTTTCAGCTGCGAATATCCTCGAATTTGTCAATTCCGAGTCTGGCAAATATTTATTTGTGCCTTACTCACTAGATTAGTCACTTTACCTGTCTTCTAACACTATTGAATCGCCGGAACACGTTCCGATGCTCGGACGAACAAACCGATGGCTGTGGCTTGATATGGAAAATGGAAACTCAAGTAGTGTTGACCGAATATCATTTCTCAAATACCGAAAATCCGATTCAAGAAACATATGGTGATGCTTGGTTCTGACTTCGAAATATATATATCGTGAGCTCTATGTGTAATAGCCGAGATAACCATTGGATTTTGCGGTACAAGGTATAACGCATATAGATATGTATCTTTGTTCATCTCTTTTCTCATAGTATACAGAGTGGGTAAAGATACAAGCGGTCGCAGGAACGTCGGCGTAGAAAGCCGCCAGTCTGTGGAGTTCTCCGCATCTTTCGGAGAACACCCGAACCTCTGATTAACCCTCGACTTCTTTCTTCAATTGTTTTTCTTTCTCAATCGCATAGCTTCAATTCTTCTCAAAATGGCTTCCATCCGCGCCAACTGCCGCAAGATTATGTGTATCGGCCGTAACTATGCGTAAGTCCCCCTCTCCGGGCAATTCCCCTCGAGAGTTCCGACAGCCGCCTTTCTCTCTCCCTGCGCCATAATTGCTGACATGGACTGATACAGCGATCACATTACCGAGCTCAACAACGCAGCCCCAAAGCAGCCGTTCTTTTTCCTCAAGCCCCCTTCATCCATCCTCCTCCCTGGCTCGGGTCCTGTCCTCCGCCCCAAGGGTGTCAGTCTGCACTATGAAGTCGAACTCGGTCTGCTGATCGGCAAGACCGTGCGCGATCTCGATCCCAACGATGAGAAGGCGGCATTGGACGCGATTCAGAGTGAGTACAGCATGCAACCCGGATTTGAATGGGCATATCGCACTGTGCAACCCAGCGGTGGGCCCACGGACATGGGCTCGAAACAGGAAGTCGCTAATCAAACCTCTGGCGGAAATAGGCTATATCCTCGCCATTGATATGACAGCTCGCAATGTGCAAGATGAGGCAAAGAAGAAGGGCCTTCCCTGGTCCATCGCCAAGGGCTTCGACACCTTCCTCCCCATATCGCAGGAAATCGCCAAGTCGCGCATCCCTAACCCGCACGACGCATTCCTGCGCCTTAGCGTTGGCAATAACGAGCGTCAGGCTGACTCGACCAGTCTTATGCTGTATCGCATTCCGCAGCAGCTGGCGCAGATCTCGCGCGTGATGACGCTTGAGAAGGGTGATATCGTCCTGACCGGTACGCCCAAGGGTGTTGGGCAGGTCAAAGCAGGCGATGTTATGAGAGCGTCGATTGAGGTTGATGGAAAGGAGATTGAGGAGGGACGGATTGAGGTTGAGGTGCAGGATCGGGAGGGTCGGTATGAGTTCAAGGAGACTTAAATTTCTTTGGGTATTGTATATTTTGACTTATAGAGCCTAGAGGTATATATGGTGAAATGGCCATCTAGAGATTCAAAAAAAAAGCCACTTGAATTAAGGGCTACAATAGATCGAGGATACATCCAGGAGGTAAACATAAATAAAGAACAATATAATAAATTCAGCCTTGGATACTCCGTACAGCATCCATATCAGTATCTTCATTTGAGCTCTGGAGTCCAGATTTAAAATGGGCCCCTTAGTAAGTCTGCCAAGACATTGCAATATTTGGCTTGGAGTTGAACATCAATTGCTCTTCCAACTCAAGCATCAGACCCATCAACATGCAAGTCGCAGAGATTCTTTCGGATATCAATTCCCTCCGCGTCTGCGTAAGTATCATTTCTTCAAAAGGCTGCCCCACTATGACAATGCGTCCAAGCCGTATGTTGGGCAAGGGACAGTACTCTAGACAATATAACAATGCTGACAATGGACAGGGCCACAATGAGGCCCTGGCACTTGTGAATGTGCAGAAAAATATTACAGGCTCAGATTCAGCTGAGCCTGATAGCGCATTAGCAGAGAAGAGCCCGGCAGGCGACAAGGTCGATCTTCGTCGTGCAAAGGAGCTTGTTGAGCTACACTATGAGGTGAAAGCGAGACATGCCAACGGGGCAGTCGATGATGAGCTGAGTCAAGCCCGGCAAGATGTTAAGCGAGTTCTGACAGAGCTGTCGACCGTTTGATCACAGTCACTGGGCCCTGCTTTTTGGATGTGGACACAGGCGTTGAGGATCGCTATTGTTGTTTTATCCCCTGCCCTCATTCATGATTTATGACTGAGTGTATAAATTTCCGTTGACTTGTTTGGTCCCGATATCCTATTGTATTGCCGTTGAATTGGTCTGAGGCATCTTTTCAAATGCATGCCTACGCTCCTAGCCCCCGAGAAAAGGAACCGCGGAAGCCCATGACTCAATGAATTTACTGCATCTACAAACACTCACACCTCTTGCTTGGCGTACTGTACGATCTGATCATGAGCAAACACGCGCCCCTCGGTTGTCTTGCATAAATCTCCAATGGCCCTGGCGCGTGCCTGAATCCCTTTATCTTTGAGCACTTGCAACAGGGCCGAAGACAGCACCGATCCGTTTATTTTCGGTGCCACATTGCGGCTTCCGTGTAAGCCAATTCCTAGCCACTCTACTCGGGATGGACAGTCGTATGTGTCGAACCACTGGGGGAGGATGACCTGTGGAACACCAGCCCTGGGAAGAGGCATCAGCACTTTTCTTTTCATTAATGTGCGATTGGGTAAATTTACTTGCACGCCTCGAAAAATGAGTTGGCTCCTCCATGATGAACATACGCAACTATATTACTACCTTCCAAAACAGATATAATTTCTGGCTTGATCCATGGAAAAACTCTCACTCTGTCAGCATTGACAAGGGGTCCGAGAACATTTTTGACCGCCGGGGAATTTTCCCAGTCATATTTGAGCTTCCACAAGACCTGCATATTGGGAAACTCGTGCAGAACAGCCTGGATTGCTATCGTCATCTGCATGGCATCATTCTCTGGAGCCTGGACATGTGACCCAAGACATATCAAGATTGCTGGCTCCTTCAACCACGAATACAGTGCTGGGTCGCTTTCCATCAGTGAAGAAGATGACCGGAGGATGGGACCGCAGCTGATGACATTATCCGGGACATATAACGGATAGTCCATCTCTCGGAATGAAGGCGAGAGATGCAGATGGTTTTCGCAGTAAGGCGCCACGTGGGGAAATTCAGTCCGAATTCCCGCTTTCTTTCGAATGTCCAAGAGATCGCGCATGGGCTTTCCTAGGCGAACAATATATCCGAAGCAGAATACCATGTATATATTTGCCAGGATCAGGTTCCATGGCAGGGGATATGGATATCCTGACCCGGTGCTGAATACTGAAGTCAGCAAGATCTTCCGTCCCCGCTCAGAAGATATGAGTTGCTCACAGGGGATATTTCCAAAAAATGCCAGCCTTTGGTTGGACAGTTACCACCACATCTTTCAAAGGCACAGGCCAAAGCACCACAATTCGCGTGTCAAAACTGCGAGCGGCATCCAGCCCTAGATGCAATAGCGGGTCTGCAACTACGACGACCGGATGAATATCTTGCAGAACTTCGAGACAGCTTCGGTATGATCGTATATACTCGTCAGGCTTCCAACCCAACACGGATATGTTGATTATGTTACATGCATCACGCGTCCCGGCAAGCCCTGGCAGGTGACTGATATCCGGTGTTGTACGGGTCACGATCTCGGACATGCACGGGCCTGCAATTGGATGAAAGTGAATAACGTAGTCGCTCTCCGCTTGATTGTTTATTGCTTCTACACGAGGCGATAGTTCTTTAAAGGAGGCGATGTGGATTTCGAACTCGCCACGGCGCAGGAACTCTTCGGCCACTGCAAGCGCGACGTTGGACTGTCCATGCTCTGGGCTTGTGAGAAAGAGGATATTCTGTTTTGGAGGTGACATGTTGTTCTTCTTTTCGCCCAAATTTTCCACGGACTCAAATATCAAATGGGTTATTCTTGGTCACCAGTCTATTTATGAGTGTCTGAACTCGCATCTTTCCTTCTAAGGTTGCGGTGTCGTATTATAAGAATACTAGCCGATGTATGGTTACTCAGGGACAATTGAAGCGGAATTACACGGGTATTAATTGCCTTGAATTCTTTGTATTAATTCGATAGGGAAGGTAGTAGTCAATTATCATATGCGTCTCCAATCTCTCATTCGAAGGCCTGGATCCAATCCCCAGCCTGTGTACCCCTAGACATCCTGTATTCAATAAGAGTACGAGGTCCCATAGTAATGGGAACATGCAAGTTAGGTAAGTAAGATAAACCGCACAAATCAATAGCCAATATCTTATTTACGACCCAGATATCCAAGTTTTCGTAAGCAGCCAAAAGTGACGGCCGAGGCGACCAAGTTCATTGAGAACAAGAGCCAAAATGCAGCTCGGTAGCCACTCATCCATGTCTCTGGAGTTTGAAGCGGAAAAGTGTCCTGACTAGGGGTTCGAAGAAGCTTTGTGCTAACATCATTTGAAATTAGTGTAGCCAGTGGCATGCCCACGGAGGCTCCAATCATTGCCACAATGCATAGCACTCCCATTGCAAACCCCTGGGTCTCTAGCGGAAAATAATCAGCTACCATCATGGTGGCAATTGGGATAACAGAGTTTGATGCCACCGAATTCAAGATCACGGCGGGCATTGCACATTTCCAGAAAGGCCAAACTGGGCTCAAGGTCGCCATCAAGAGTGGAGAGAGACCAGAGAGCACTATTGCAACAATGAGTATCTTGGTCGCTCTCACATGAGGTAAGAAACGCCCCGTGAGCAGACTGCTCAGTGCGCCGGCGATCGGGATTACCGAATATTGCCAAGATGATTGTAGGACCGAAAGACCCTGTACTCGTTGGAATACAAAAATGATGAGCTGCGAAGTAGAGTGAGAGGACGCATAGACAAAGAAGATAACCAGACCCATGGAAAGAAAATGGCGGTTTTTCCAAAGAGAATTCTGAACACGCTGCATGCTATCTCTTTCCCAGCAATCCTGCCAGAATAGGAAAGCAATGAGCAGGATCCAACCAAGAGCAAGAGGAACAAAGAGACACGCTCTCCCAATGTGAGCCACATTGTTTGTGATGACACTAGTCGCCATTTGATCAGCATGTCAAAGTTACTGACCGTCATTGAGAAAGGGATACGCACGCCAAGGCAGAGAATAGGAGCCCCATCAGTGAACTGGCGAGCAGAGTTCCAGACCAATCGATATCTTCCACCAGTTCTGTCCATGGGATATATTTTGGCTCTTGGGCGTTTGGGGGAATCATCCAAATGGAGAAGAGAAATCCAAATAGGCTCAAAATTGTAGCATAGTGAAAGCCCCATCGCCAAGTAGCAGTCTCTGAGAATATCCCACCAAGGACAATACCTATCCCAGAGCCAATGTACTGACTTGCACTCGTACAGGAAAATGCAAAATCGCGTAACTTTCCAATTGGAAGATTTTCGTCATGAATGCCCATTGCAGAAATGAAACACAATGGGTAAGCCATACCGGACACAAATCTGACAGCAACAAGCTGCGCGCCATTCCGGGTCAACCCACTAGCCAGATGGCAAACCGTCTGTATGAAGCATCCGGACAGAAATGCTCTCCTGCTACCTAGGGCATCTGTCAATGAGCCTGCCAGCATGAATGTACAGCCTTGAGCAAGATAGTACATTGACATTGGCCTGTTGAGCTGTCAGCTATGGCTTATGTTCAATCAGACCAAGGAGATTTCTCACCATACTTCAACGCCGGGGTTTGAATTGAATTCGGAGGAAAATTGAGTGATATTGAGGGTGACTAGGCCGTTTACTGCACTTGCAATAAACAATACCGAGGTAGTGCAAAATATGATAGCAAATCCATTTTCCGAGAGACTGAGAAGCGGTTGATCTTCAGCGATCTGGCGAAGATCATCTAGACAGTCATATTCAGATATACTGCCTTTTCGCATCATTCAAAAGATTTCGAACATTCTCAAATGTTTTTTTTTCTTACGAAAAAAAAAGTAAATAACGCTATGACAGTATTGTATTTTTACCCCCTTACCTGGCCGAGGTTGTATCATTGGACAGCTTCGCGCTCTGGTCATTTTGCTTTTGCCTCCCAACACTTGGCGAAATGTCTCAGTTTTCCCTGATACGCAGGTAGCTTACTCAAATTACGATATGTGACTTCCATATCAGTTTGTTATGAAGTAAATACTTCAAATTAAATGCAAAGGTGCTAAAAGGAGTTCGGACCTGTGCATCCCTTCTGAGACAAGTTCACCCGTCAAATTCATACTTTCAACACACTCTTAGTCGAAAGGACTAGCGACCATTTCTCCAAGTCAAGGGGGACCTTGACAGTGATCATTGAGTTGCAAATACGTTTGGATAGTTGTTGAGGCGCACTTGGTCTTGAAGTTCTTCACATACCTCCCACCAAAATGGTTGTGCATTTACTTTCCGTACAAGAGGTGATCAAACACTGCGAGACAGATGACTGCTGGATAGTGGTTGGAAACAAAGTGTGGGATCTCACCCACTTTGCAAGCGCTCACCCAGGCGGTGCCGATGGTATGCAATGCTAAATACTGAAGCTCACTAGAGATGACTGACTCAATACAGTCATCTTTGAATTCGCGGGTCGTGATGCAACACATGCATTCTATCAGGTCCACACCGACGGCTTGATTGAGAGCACTCTGGGCTCATCTCAACACATGGGAGACCTTGATCCCAACAGTATCGATGATATATGGCGACAGCGTTCCAGAGGCTTTTCATCGAAGCATACATCAACAACTTCACAGTTCTCCAAGCCTCCCCTATCGAGTATACTCAGTACTCATGATTTTGAGAGAGTCGCCCACGAAACTCTGTCAAAGAAGGCATGGGCATTCTATTCATCCGCCGCCAATGACCTCGTTTCAAAAGAAGCGAATCATTCATTTTACAGTAGGATATGGTTCCGACCTCGATTGATGCGAGATGTAAGAAATGTGGATACTCGATGCCAGTTTCAAGGGATCGAAACTGCTTCACCTATCATGGTTGCGCCTGCTGCTATGGCCAAACTCGCCCACGAGACCGGAGAAAAAGGAATTGCAAGGGCTGTAGCAACCAGAAAAATAATCCACTGTGTAGGTTGCTGGCATATATCACAAAAATAGAACTAACAAGTCAACGACAGATCGCGATCACTGCATCGTACCCATTGGAAGATATTGTTTCAGCAGCCCCAAAGGCAAAATTTTTTCTTCCAGCTATACATCCACAAGGATCGGTTGGTGACCGAAGTACTCCTCAAAAGGGTTTGGGCAGCGGGCATTCGCGCGATCATGGTGACAATAGACGCGCCCGTTCCCGGAAAGCGAGAGGCAGATGAACGTGTGCGCACTGAGCAAGCCATCTCAATGCCTATGACAGGCACAGTGGCCGGAAACGATAAGTCGGGGAGTGGACTTACCAGAACAACCGGAGTCTTTATTGATAGCTCGTTCACTTGGGAAGATCTGCCATGGCTGAAGAGAGTCTGGAAAGGCAAAGTGATGCTGAAGGGGATTCAATGCGTCGAGGATGCCCAAACTGCTGCTCAACTTGGGGTTCAAGGCATTGTATTAAGGTGATTCTAAGTCCAATTCTTGTGTTGTTGGATTCTAACAGGATTCTTACTTTAGCAATCACGGGGGCAGAAACCTGGACACATCGCCACCGGCATTGTTGACCTTACTAGAACTGCAGTATCATGATCCAGCTATTTTCCAACAAACGGAAGTATATGTCGACGGTGGAATAACCCGTGGAACGGATATTCTAAAGGCTCTTTGTCTAGGGGCTAAGGGTGTACTTATTGGACGTCCATTTCTATATTCACTCAACTACGGTGAAGAGGGTGTAGTCCATTTGATTGATAGTATGCCTAAAAGTTTCCCGAGGGGTCATGATTTTATATTTTCTGACTATTTATCTAGTCTTACAAAGCGAACTCGAAACTGCTATGAAACTAATTGGAATCACCAATGTTTCTCAGGCACATCCGGGGTTACTGAACACAAAGGACATTGACCATCTGGTTACATCCACGAATACTAATGCTAGGCCAGAGCACAAACTATAGCAATAACTTTTTATTGCAGGGATATGTCGCAGCGAAGAAGATAGTATACCAATTATCGAGTCAAGATCATCCAGAGTCGATAAGTCAAACGCCATATATCAAGCAGACGGACCGCGAAACAATCATGCACATCCCAGATACAGATAATGATTATATATGCGCTAGGTCAGGCGCATTACTCGCCTCATGGATGTTTCTGCTCCACTGAATGAATGAAGGATTCATGGGCCGCGCTGCGAGGTTCACTTGATGCATGCGGAATACTCATGGAGGCTACCGGATGCCATCGCCAAACTTCCTTCACCACAGCATCGATTTATGGCAAATACGCAAAGCCAAATCCCACAAACGGTGGCGACGAGCATTGTTTCGACCAAGCACCTGGGAGGCCCAGCAGCAGCTGCCACTCATTCCACCATTGGTAGCGGTAATACTCGAGTTTAGCACAGTAATTTGACACCGTATGGTCATGCTTTCTAGGACACTTCACGAAAAAGTGCTTATTTTTTCCATAGATTAAATTAGACAAGAAATTTCACGAGACATTCTCCCAAGGCTGAAAGATCCGGGGTAGATTCAAGCTCCCGAGTCCCGAACATGTGCAGCCTAGAGGCCCCCGAGGCTATGAACTCACCCACAGACCTCCAAGCCCACACAGCCCAGACCCCACAAAGCCGCACTAATCGGCTGGGCTTGGGGCCCCCAAAGTACCACATAATGCAAAACATTCGGGGCCTTTTTAAATTACTATATGTATACACCCCGTTTCTCGCCGTCATCTAGGGGTAAGATTTTATCATCATAGCTGATTTATCGTGAATTCATAATTGAATATCCTAATAACACTTAAAAATGCGAGAAAACATGCTGTTCAGAATATATATAAATCATAGATACTGAGAAAGGGTTGGCATTCCTGGTGAAGATTTCAACAATATATTTACATTGACATCAATATTTCCGCGATATCTTGACAGTTATCGCCTCGGATTTTGTTCTAATTGAAATACATACCTATCTGTCATATAAATGCCCGTTCTATCACCTAGACAGCGAGTAGAAGGGAGTGATATCCGCCTGAGGACCTGGGATTAACAGTGCAGATTGTTTACATATCCATCTGCACCAGATGTGACAGAGGAATCAATTCTACGCAGACACTGAAGGAACTTTTGAATTTGAATTATAATACCAGCAAGCGGTATTTCTAGTCTATACAAATTGTCGTAGAATTTGACCATGTGTTTCACTTTCTTTAGTCACTCACAGATCATGGCAAGAGTTGATAACCCTACCCCCTGGTATTATTCCCCTTGACAGCGAATTTCGTCTACAATCCCCGGCCAGGGACAAATTCATTAGCTCGACCGATCAAGCTCAGCAACACCAGCAAGATCCAACTCGTGCACGGTTCCCCAGTTTTTCTCCAGCTTCTGGATGGCCCGCCTTTGTCCATATCGAAGCAAGAATCGATAGACCGCCGCGTACGCACTGTTCAGAGAGCCAACCACCCACCCGTGATGAACACTAGAGGCTTCCCCGACAATATGGAACTTGCCATCGGCTGCTGGGAGGGACAAGGAAGGATAGAGATTGGTAAATTGCCCTGGAGCAAACAGCGCAAAGGCCCCCGACGAAAAGCGCGAATTGCCCCAGCAAAAGGCATGATGATCCAGGTACAAACCCTGCAGCTTCTCGTACGTGATTCCGTACTGCCGATGTTGTTGGACGAGATCGCGGAGAACAAGATCCAGCAGCTCATCCTCACCCAGGTCAGAGCTGGCGGAAGACGGACTACTGATAAGGGCGCCCATGCGAGTGGCATCTTGGCCCCACGTGTATGAGGCCAGCAGAACAGCTGGCTGGTCCCACGCCGCCTCGGAAATATGCGACGGGTAGACGCAGGTCCGCGAGGGCAGGGTCGACGAGGCACTACCACCCCCTCGAAGCCCGCAGTCTACGACCCACCATGGGTATGCAAACTTGATACCGACTTTAGTAGAGTCTTCATACCGCAGACACCGGATGGCCTCCTCTTGAATAGGATCAAGGTGGAGTGACGTAGTGTCGATGCGCTGTAGGCATGCCAATGGGGTAGTGCTGAACACCGTCGCATAACCATCACGAGCCTTTTCTTCACCTGCACACGAGACCGATAGATCGGTGCCACCGTTGATGGCAATTCGACGAACTTGTTTCCCGAGTTCGATGGTGCTGTTTCTGTTAATTTGATCGGACATTCGCTCAATCACCACTGAAGAGCCGCCATCTATAGAATACCATTTAATGTCTACCCCACTGTCCCGGGGCCCTGTCATGGGTTGATCGAGATCGAAGAAGTCCATGACACTCTCTGAAAAGGCTTGATCAAACATGCCGGTGCCGGTCGTGTTGCTTTCGGCAGACTGGATTGTCCGGAAGTCTGTCTTGTGGCTGCCTCGTAGGTATTCACGGGTGCTCATTGCATCGGCTTGCATCAGCAGCTGGAAACCATGCACAAAGTCCTTTTGCATGGCCTTTTTAAACGGACCGAAGGATTGACTGAGGAGATTGGCAGATGAGCTATCTTCTTCAGTCTTGGAGATATCATAGCCCTTCGTGTTCGTGCTTCTGTCTCGCATATGGAACTCCTTCAATGGCACTTGCATTCGGTGAAAGAGATCAAATACACGAGACATGATTGGAATCTGCGGAAAGCGCATTGCGCCCACGTCATAGTAGTCATTATGAGCCTCGGAGAAGCGATGGGTATAAATGCGACCGCCAATGCGATCCCGATTGGCCTCGAGGATATCCCAGGACAGATTTGGGATTTCAAGATCTTGCAAAATCAGCGCGAGATACAGGCCTGCAATCCCTGCCCCGATAATGCACACTTTGGTATTTTTGTCCAAGGGAGAGTCTGAGCTTTCCTCATCTCGGTAGCTCGTGCGAACGGCAGAGTCACTTTTCTCGGTCCGGATCACCCCAAGATGACCATGACCGCATATTGAACAGCTTTGACAACAGGAGCAATCAAATGAATGAACACATGGGTGATTCAGAGGATCCTGGTCGAGAGAAAACCGTATAGATGACCTTGAGAACAAATCACGATATGGAACCTGGAGCTGCATGACGACACTCAAAGAGAGACGCAGACTAGACCAATTGAAGCAAAAAAGCAAACCTGACAAAGCTGTATGAAATTGCTGGCGGTTGCTGGCGAGTAAGGGGTACGAAGTATGTCAAAAAAGTCACATTTGGTATCTTCGGGGGAGCGTTCCATGCCCATTACCACACGCAGTCTACCTAGGGACTACTCCGTACTGCCAATAACGCCTAGGCAACCAATGCCGATGATGTGATAAATGGGACTACATCAAGCTGCGCACTCTGTGGGAGGGGTAGAAACACAGGGAGCAAATTAAGAATGTGCATTGCGATCATCTGCCAGGTTCAGAACAAACCATGAAGATTGAACGAATCGTACTCTGTACCGAGTGAGTACATAGTACTGCCTAGGGCTTACTGAACACGGATCGAGCATAAGCATCCTTCACGCCGATATATTAGTGGTTGTAACTGGTGGAAACGTGCATGAAACTAAATGATGAGAGGACTCGGGGGTGACGTGTAGCATCGCACCGCATACGGAGTTTATTACTTGCATTAGGCAAGCTCTCGATGAAGTGATCCTTTTTGAATGGCCCGATATTTGCAACTCTTTTTGTACATTTCTATCATTTATAGATCATACTCTACCTATCATGAGCCCATATTAAGCTTGCAGTATATTAATCGGATCTAAATTATTATTGATTTCCATTATCTATATAGAGAACAGGGATTTGAATCGGTATCTTTGTCCAGTGGTCAATTGCTCCAAGATTATATACTGAACCCAATCACGTCTAGGGACCTGTGGGCTGAGGGGCATCGAGACCAATTTCAAAGCGTATGAGGCCCAGGCGAGACAATCCACTTTCGTGCATAACGCACTACTAGTACTCCAAGGATGCAGATTAATCAATGCTCTATCAAGCGTGTGGATCTCACTTACCTACCCGATTTAGCTCTAAATCACGTCTCAAAAATGGATTTTGTAATATATAGTTTTATTCGTATGGCTCCTTATAAATGAACACTCTCTATCCTTATCCGCTAGAGAGTCTCTATGCTGTATACCCCTGGTTGGCCAATTCCTAACATCGCCTGGGGTTTTTGAATCAAAACTTTCGTGGCAGCATCAGCAAGGAAGACGATCCTGAAGTCCCCTCTCTAATGTCGAAATTGCGTAGGATCTGTTTTGAGCAAGTTTCATCAGCTGCAGAACTTCACACAATCAATCTTCTCAAGCTCCTCATGACACATACAGTAACAAGAGTCTTATATAGGACCAAAACCCCTATATGTCGCCCGGGGCACTTGCGATAACCAAATCCCCAGTGCGCATCATATGCATACCACACTCGCAGCTGCTCTTCTGACGCCTCAAGCCACCGCTCGGGAACAAACTCTTCGGCATTGTCACCATAGAGTTGGGGGTGAGTAGAGATGGTAAAAGGACTTGTAGCAACTGCAGTGCCTGGTGGGACATCCCGGTCTAAGATACGCAGTGATCTGTCTGGCGAGCAGCGCCATCTAGGAGATGCTGTAGCTGTAATGCGCATGGCCTCCCGGACACATGCATCAATAAAAGGGAGAGCAGAGCATTCTGTGTAGGTAGGCGATGGGCTTGAGAGAGCCTTCTGATTGTAAGCGTTATCAATTTCTTGGTGGGCTTGCCGAACGGCCTGGGGATGTCTTGCCATCGTGGTCACTAGATGGCTAATCGTGGTAGCGAGTGCATAAGGACCACCGAGTCTGCGTAGATACATTTAGCACATATCGAAGATTGTTTTGCTTTGGGGACTTACACATCAGAAACTAGCTGGTCCTCGATATCCGATAGGGGAATGCCTTCACCTGCCGCGGATTTGGCTGCCAGCCATTGATCCAACATGGAGTGTTCATAGCGTGGCTTTCCTTCCCCTGTGAGAGTATGAATGCGCTTTTGAGTTATATCGTGCACTTCCTAGACGAGGCTCAGAGCTGCTAGTTATAAAAAATAAGAGAGACACTCACGGTAGTCCACATTCCCATGCCCGTGGCGTCATCGCGGCCACTGACAAACAAACGGCGACCCAGAGAAGTATGAGCGGCTAACCAGGCGATGGGACGATATCGACTGAGCGTCCAGTGCCGGAAAATACGATAACTACTTTGCAACATATTGCGCACATCGGACTTGTGGTCTAGGAAGCCGAAGCTCTCCCCCACACTCATGGGCACATAAACATCAAACGAGAAATATCTGAGCCTGGTGAGTTTCTGATTCAAGATTTCTTGTTTCGATACGGAACACTTACTTGACCCAGGTACCCCAGTCTATGGCTGGGTTTGCGTGGGTTTCCTCGTTGAGAATGGAAACCCATTTGATAAGATTTTCATCCACTAGACCCTCGAATAACTGGACCCGCGATACCGAAAACTGTATTGATCAGTTACTAGTTCACGGAAAAATCAACGTATAACTCACTGCCTGTCCAAATTGCCGTTTGGCCGCGGCATATTCAAGATAGCCGGCCTTGTTGGTAGCTGCGCCCGGACAAGTGAAGTCTTTGGGATAGTCTGTCTTATCACTCTGGCGATGATATACCACGGGAATCAGATCCAAGTCATTGAACGTCAGGTGGTTCGGACCGCAGCGAACAACTGGACCTGTTTAACAATTAGACCACAAGAAGCGGGATCAGATGTGACCTTATTACGGACCATATTTGCGATGTAAATCTTGGTACCAGGTTTTTTCCCGCCCAGTCCACACGGCATAAAAATGCTGGAAGCTGGAGGCAGCGACTAGCTTCGGCCCTGGAAATCCTGACAACGGATGGAAGTAAACTCGTCGCAAAAGGAAACCAATGGCCCCAGCCAAGCAAAATAGCGCGATCCTGCAGCAAATTCCCAGCCAGTCCATATTGTAGATGGAGTGGGGCCAAGGGTCAGAAAGATGGGTTTTTGGATGAGATAGTGGATGAAGTGAGTCTGACTGAAATCCCCATGGTTAAACTACTTGCCATTGAAATCGCCTGCGGGAAATACTGTCAGGTATGTGATCTTGAAACCTGAACTCGTTGAATGTACATAAAATCCCTGCATATGGTGAAGGGGCCGTGCTACGATCTGTGCATATCGACTCCGTAGCGCCACGTTAATGCAACCCGGACCCCGTCGGAATAGAGGCCGCCAAGGATTCAAGGATCCTGCAGGAAATCAGCCAAACGCCACTGTGATGAAAGTGCATACCACGAGTCCACGACGCACCTATGGCGGGAATTTATTTAGATTAGTCGAACCTGCGGAGCATCTTGTGCAGAGTGGGAGCCGATTAAGGTAGGGATCGAATTGAAAGTACAATATATACATGCGATATATCACACTACATGTATTTGAGGGCCATGCATTCTTGTCAGACCTTGGGATAGCGTGTGCATACAGCTGAACTATCAGGCGTACGTGCCTTCAATGCGCATATGCTGAAACTCGTTGGCTGTCAAGAGCTTTTGCGTTGGCTTGTCCAGCGAATCCAGCAGTGGACGGAGGAGGGCAGCACGATCAGGCTTTGCGAAATACGCAATCGAGAAGCGTTCTGGGACCATATCACCCTGGCTCTCCCTCTTTGCCAGGTGTACCCGGTGTCGGGCACTATGGAGACCTGTCCAAATCTGGAGACAATCACCTACATTGACAATACACTCATGGAGACCAGCATTGTCAGCCGGAACAAAGACCCCGCTCCCAGGGGGCTGTTCCATCTCTTTGAATGTCAGCTCAATGCCCACATTTGGAAGGTAGTATCGCTTACCCAGGCCCCCAACATTGTCTTGGAACAATAGAGTAATTGTACCAAAGTCTGTGTGCGCCGCAATGCGGGTGGCATTGGCAAAATCCGCCCGATCCACTTCAGGGTAGTGAGTGAGACGCAGCTCGTTGGTCTGTGCGCCATGTAGTTCACGTAGAGAATGAATGGGCAATCCCAGGCCAATCGAAATAGCATCCAGAATCATCAGCTCGGCCTCGTAACAGAAAGTGAAGAATGAGTTCATTGTATCTCGAAAGCCATCGTGGAGTCCCGGGGAGGCCAGATATTGGAATACAGTGGATCTAGTTCTGATCCAATATCATAGGATTCCTGATGAACTGGTTAGATAGGTGAGAAGTAGGGTTACATGTATCCGATCAACAGGTATACCTTCATATCCCTGAGTAAGGGTTGTATGGCCGAGGAGCGATAATTAGACACACTTGATATGTTCTCGAGACCAACGGGGCTGAAGCCCCGATGGGGATGCGCTGTGGGAGGATGAGGTGACTTCAGTTTCTGGTCCAATGGAAGTTCGAAAAACTCGCGGCTCTGAAGGGACGACGATGAGTGAGGGGGTTCTTGGACGGAGATCGAGGGAATATTCGTACCATTTCAAATGCCCGGTCGATGCTCTCTGGAGGGACGCCATGATTGACCAGTCGTACCCAGCCTGACTTGCTCAACTCGGAAATTAACTCACGGCAGAACTGATCTCGCTCATGCGTGTTCTTGTTGTGAAACCGCGAGAAGTCGAGTTGCTCAAACATGACTGATAGAGATTATTGTATGCTGTAGGCAATGTGAGGAAAACTGCGGAAACCCCAAGTCTAGGCTTCTTTTAATAGGTGTTGCCAAAGTAACAAATGTCATTCCAAGGTATGATTGCCGATTGACAGAGGTCTTGAGAAAACATGAAATAATGGTCATATATTGCGATCTACCAGATTCGGTATGTGGATCGCAGTGCATCTGCGGTAAAGCGGGCCCTGATGGTTCCAGGGCCATGCGGATCGAGGAGAAGTGTGCACATGAAACGACGGTGAGACTAGTCATTTCTGACTGTGTTCTTACTCTCCGTAGTACGGAGTAGGCCCATTTCGCATACACATGCATTGCCGAGTGCGCACTATTGAATTCACCATAGGGTGGAGAAGATTCCTGATGGATTCCTAGTCGCTGATAACGAGAGCCCGGAGAACGCTCTCATAATTAACATTAACAGCCGTGGCAACTTACTTCTACAACTTTGTAACAAGAAAAATCTTTTTCGTTCACCACAATGGTTGCAACAAAGACGAACGAGGGTACTCAGTTATCAATTGCGGATCCACCCGATGCTGCATCACCTTCACCACAGGAGCTTGACGCGATATGGGCTGGAAATACTATTGTCCCAGAGTCTATCACAGGCTGCGTTCATGATTTAATTACAGAAGTAGCGCAAAGACAACCGGACGCCCTCGCAGTTTGCGCCTGGGATGGCGATTTTACCTATGCTCAACTATCCACCCTGAGCGATCATGTGGCTCATTCTCTCTGTGAGATGGGAAATCCACCGGGATCACCGGTGACCCTTCTGTTCCCCAAGTCACGATGGACATGTATCGCCATGTTAGGTATCATCAAAGCCGGATGCGCGGCTATTGCGCTTGATACCACTCATCCAGATGCGAGACTTCGAGCTATCATCAGGCATGCGGAGCCAAAATCAATGATATGTTGTGCCACTACTCGTGACAGAGTATCTCTATTATGCGATTCACCTATCCTCCAGCTCGACGATAGCCTTTTGGAGGATGCGGGTACCATAAAACAGCGGAGCATTGATTTCCCTGTGGTATCTCCCAAAGACATAGTCTACATATCTTTCACCTCGTAAGGGTTCCAGGTTCCAATTTTCCCGAAGAATGAGAATGCTAATCGTAGCGCTTGAAACTAGCGGAACTACCGGCGAGCCGAAAGGAGCGTGTATTAGCCACTCGAATGTGAGAAGTGCTGTACATCACCAGGGTAAAGCTCTTGGCTTTCATCAGGAATCCCGAGTCTTTGACTTTGCACCTTACTCATTTGACGTGGCCTGGAGTAATGTTCTTCATACGCTATGCGCAGGTGGCTGCTTGTGTGTTGCCAACGAGCAAGATATGGTAAATAATCTATCGGCTGCTATCACGGCCTTCGCGGCTAGTCTGATTAATGTCACTCCTACTGTTCTGCGAACGATCAGTCCAGTGCCACCGAGTCTCCAGACTGTGCTTTTGAGTGGAGAGATGCCGTATCGAGAAAATATGACTCAATGGGCTGGGCGTGTTCGTCTCCTCAATACATACGGTCCCACTGAGTGTACCTGGAAATGTACATTCTCGCGGCTCAATCGCTGCGAGGAAGAAAGGCCGGATATTGGGAGAGGAATGGGATTCTGCCTCTGGATTGTCAATCCCAACGACAGCAGCCGTCTTGTTCCTCCTGGTTCCCCGGGAGAATTGTACCTTGAAGGACCCATGGTTGGCCAAGGGTATCTTTCCAATCAAAAAAAGACCAGTGAATCGTTCATCAACGACCCGCCGTGGCTTTTGTCTGGAAGTTCTGGTGTTCCAGGACGACAAGGCCGCCTATACAAGACTGGAGATCTAGTGAAAAGGCGCCCAGATGGAAGTGTACTGTTCTTGGGGCGCAAAGATGTCTCTCAATTAAAGATCAGAGGTCAACGGGTCGAAATTGGTGATGTGGAGCACCATGCACGGGCATGTCTGAAGGATGCACTGACAATCATTGCCGATATTGTGCTCCCCCGGGGAAGCGATACTGCACTGCTCGCTCTATTTGTGCAGATCAAGAACCAGAACCCCGAGGCAGTCAAGTCTGTGATGAACAATCTTGTGCATGATCTAGAGGGTGTTTTGCCAGCATTTATGCTCCCCAGCATCTATCTCCCCGTCGAAGAGATAGAGGTAGCTAGCACGGGAAAGGTCGACCGTCGACAACTGCGAGAGTTGGGATCTAGCTTGTCTTTGGAACAGCTTCTCCAGCTACAGTCAACCATCTTACCAGTCCAAGAGTACCGTCACCCATCAACTGTCAGAGAGGAGCAACTTTGTGAGCTCTGGGCGAACGTATTGAACATACAGTCGACTGGAATAAGCGCCACAGATAATTTCCTCCGCTTAGGCGGTGACTCGGTTGCCGCTATGCTGCTGGTCGCAGCAGCGCGGGAGGTTCATCTATCCATCACAGTGGCTGATGTGTTCAGGAATCCAGTGTTGAGTGATCTTGCCCTCATTATCGAGGAGCAAACTGTCTTTTCTGAAAAGGAAGACGTTACTCCGTTTTCTTTGATGGATCATCCTTTGGATATTCAGAAAACGCGCGAGGAGGCCGCTAGGCTCTGCAATATTGAGGTGGCTCAAGTCGAAGACTTATATCCATGCACCACACTTCAACAGGGAATGCTCTCTATTACAGCCCGAGGCGAGACCAACAACGTTTCACGAACACTCTTTGAGCTCCCTAGCTCCGTAGATCTTCCCCGGCTTGAAAAGGCATGGCTAAATACTGTTCAAAAAGCATCAATACTGCGAACACGGATCATCGATCTGACCGGCAATGGTCTGGTTCAAGTTGTTGTCGACTGTCCCATAATGCTGGATAGATATGAGGATATCACTGACTTTGTCAGATACTCCGTTCCAATGGAACTAGGGACCCCTTTGTGTCGTGCTGGTCTGATCTCTGGAGCGTCTCCCAATTTTGTAATGGAGATGCACCATTCAATCTTCGATGGCTGGTCCACCAAGTTGATATTGAATACCATAGAAGCCGAATACGGAGAGAACGTTACCCCCGCGGCCATCCTGCCCTTCCGGTCATTTGTGAAATACACAAACGGAGTGGACAGGGAGGCCTCATTGCTTTATTGGAAGACCTACCTGGAGGGGGCCTCTGAAACGAAGACTTTCCCGTCCCCGGGGTATCAGCCAGGCAAAAAGGTTGACTTCAACCATAATGTCACTGAAATGCCGTGGAAAAACTCGGGTACTACACCATCGTCGGTTGTCAGAGCTGCCTTGGCGTTGGTATTGGCCTCATACACCAATTCCAACGATATCAGATTTGGTGCAACGATCAGCGGGCGACACGCCAACGTTGTCGGGATCGAACAAATTTGTGGTCCCACTATTGCGACTGTACCAGTCCGCGCTAAATTTGACTGGAATCAAACTGTCGAGAGCTGGCTTCAGCAGGTCCAGGCACAGACAGTGGAGGCCACAGAGCATGAGCAGCTAGGGCTCCAGCAAATTGCTGGGTCGATTGAGGAAACCAACCTTTTCCAATTGCTCCTGGTGACCCAACCGGCACAACAGGGAGGCACCCACGATTTAAACAGTCTTTTCAGCAGAGCGAGTAGTATCATTAGCAACTCTGATCAGGCTGGCAGTCTGAAAATTGTATGCAAGGATGGAGAAGCCGACACCGTGGGCATGTTCAACCCATATGCGATGATGATCATCTGCCAACTGCAGGACTCGGGCGTTGAACTGAAGATCAATTTTGATTCTGGTGCCATTTCAGTCAAACAGGTAGAGCGAATGTCTGTACAATTTGAACATTTGCTGCGACAGTTATCATCAGCGGAGTGTTCACAGATGAGCCTACGCGATGTCACAGTTCTCACGAAGGACGACCTGGCTGACATTTGGACATGGAACGCATCACAGCCGGAGCCTAAGTTTGAATCTATTATTGATGGTCTTCATAGGCAAAGTGATGCGAAGCCAGAGGCAATTTTGATATCCGCCTGGGACCAGCAGTTGACAGCCCAACAGGTGAAGCTCTGGTCGATAACGCTGGCCGATCGACTTTGCCATGAAGGTATAATGTCTGGGTCTATCGTTGTTGTGGCCTCTGAGAAAAGCGCATGGCAGGCAGTGATAATGCTTGCAGCCCTCAGAGTTGGCGCAATCGTTCTCCCTATGTCTGTACCTGTCTCCAAAACTCGAGCTCTGCAAATTGTTGAGAGCTTGCAGCCCCATATTGCTGTCACCTCCACGTCCTCTGATTCCTCTCCATTCCACAACTTGATTCCAGTGCTCGGTATTGCCGACCTCATGACTCCCGAAACCACACACTGCGAGGTTGATGACAAATATCCCCCATTTTCCCCCCTGCCCACAGATCCTGCTCTTCTTCTGTTTACTTCGGGGTCTACAGGAACACCAAAGGCCATTGGGTGGAGCCACAGCGCTTTATCAACAAACATCCAAACTGCAATCGTGGCATTCGAATTAAACGATACGAGCCGAGTCTTCCAGTTTGCCGGTTACGATTTTGATGTTAGCACAGTAGAGACTTTTGCATCCTTGATTGCTGGAGCGTGTCTATGCATTCCATCGGAGACAGACCGAAAAAATCGACTGAGTGACGCAATCAATGAACACAACGCCAATTGGATGTGTCTGACCCCATCTGTATCGGAGACCCTGAGCCCAAGTGATTTGCCATATATGCAAACGGTGGTGTTTGCGGGGGAAAAGCTTGAGTACAAAGTTGCTGTCCGATGGCTAGACACACACAAAACAGTTCATAACTGGTACGGACCAGCGGAAGCCTCAGTTGCTACTTCGTGCCCTGTAAACCATGACAGTTGGCGTCCAGGTATGATCGGAGTAGGTCGCGCCGGATTAACTTGGCTTGTCGATCCGAGAGATCCAAATCTACTGGCACCAGTGGGGGCTGTGGCCGAGTTGTGCCTGGAGGGCTGGATGCTTGCTCAATACGCTGGGACCAATGGGGGTATACTGAACAAAGAGAATTTTATCTCCCCGCCATGGCTGCAAGCTGGCCACTGGAAGACCCCTGGTCGACAAGGCCCCATCTATCGTACCGGGGATCTGGTTAAATATGACTCAGATGGTCGCATTGTCTACCTTGGACGGCTCCAAGATTCTCAGCGGAAGATCCGAGGCCAGCGTATTGACTTGGGGGAGATAGAGCGGTGCGTCCAAGACTTCTTGATTGGAATGGTGGACACAATGATTGTTGCAGAGATATTCTCTCCTGCCTGCAGTGACAATGATATTTTGGCACTTTTCGTTAGTCCCACTGACGCTGTTGACCGGACAGATCCTAAAGGATATATACAAACTGGGTGGCCGGTCGATAGTCTGGAGAACCATCTTGCCAGGATTCTCCCATCTTATATGATCCCAAGGATCTATATACCGCTCAGTGAACTTCCTATCGGCCCAACAGGAAAGACAGATAGGCGACGATTGCGAGAGATTGGAGGTCTACTCACGTTGGAGCAACTGGCAGAAATGCAACCAACCCGAAAGCAAGCCAGGAAGGTAACTACCGACAAAGAGAAACTATTGCAGCAAATTTGGGCTCATGTGCTGGGGGTTGAACCAGATGCTATCTATGCGACCGACCACTTCCTTCGCTTGGGTGGAGACTCGATCAGTGCCATGCGCCTTGTTGGAATGGTCCGTGGCCAAGGCTTTTCCCTCGCTGTTTCTGATGTATTCGATTGCCCAGAACTAGAGAAGATGGTAGAGAAAATGATCCACGGTGAAACTCATGGGGATATGCAAGAGATTCCCGCATTTTCCCTTCTACCCCTGGGGATGGACGTGTCACACTGCCGACCATATGTCGCCAAAATTTGCTCGGTTTCAGAAGCTCAAGTGCTTGATCTCTACCCCTGTACAGCACTTCAAGAAGGACTTCTGGCGCTTGGAGCTAGACGACAGGGACAATATGTTTCTCGCAGTGTGTTGCCACTGCAGAGCGATATTAGTCCAGATCGGCTCAAAAGTGCCTGGGAAAAGACAATCGCCAAATTGTCTATACTGCGAACCCGAATCGTGGATCTCCCCGGCAAAGGTCTTATGCAGGCCGTCCTCAATGATACTCCCTGGAGATCTGGTGAGAACATCCAACAGTACTTGCACGAAGATGAGATGGAGCCGATGGGTCTAGGAACCCAGCTCTGTCGTGCGGCCATCATAAATCGCACCTTCATCTTCACCATTTCGCACTGCATATATGATGGCAGCTCACTGCCCATGATTCTTGAAGAACTCCAGGCACAGTATTACCATCAACCTGGAAGAACATTCACTGGAGTCGAGCATTTTATTCGCCATTTGAGCCAGATAAACACCCAAGAATCGGACGATTTCTGGAAGTCCCAGCTGTCTCGCGCTGAGTTTTGTGCATTCCCCGCCTTGCCATCTACAACGTATGAGCCGCAAGCTAGTGGATATATGGAGCATCCGGTTACGGTGAATTGGCCTTCCAAGGGAGCAACCCCATCCACAATTCTCCGTGCAGCGTGGGTCATCCTCGCATCACAGTATCTGGCCTCCAACGACGTCATTTTTGGAGTTACAGTAAGTGGAAGACAGGCAAACATAAAGGGCATGGACAACTGCGTGGTGCCGACTATTGCAACAGTTCCAATTGCTGTATCAATTGACTGGGATAATACAATCGAGACCTTCCTCCAACGCCTCCAAAGACAGGGGCTAGATATCATGTCTTATGAGCAATATGGTTTGCCAAATATTCAACGAGCGAATGGAGACCGCAATAGCGGGATGTTCCAAACCTTGCTGGTGGTTCAGCCAATATCTACAGGAAACAGCCTGCATAAAGATAGTCGGTTGTTTAAGGCACGCAGCTTCGCCTCCAATCTGAGCACCATGGGCATCGACCCTTTCAATGTATACGCCTTGATGGTCATCTTCCAACTCACTGCCTCGGGGGTCAATATTCAGATGAGCTTTGACCCAAGGATTCTCGACAAGCGGCAGATCAAGCAGATTGTCTATCAGCTAGAGACAGTCATCCGCCAGTTGTGCACAAAATCACCTGATAGAACCAAGTTGAACACCGTCCAGACAGCTAGTGAATTTGACCTACAGCGCTTCCGGGCCCAGAACGCAGAGCTGCCCCCGGATCCAACCATGTTTGTACATGACAAGGTTGCTCTATGTGCCAAAGCAGACCCAGAGGCTATTGCCATCGATGCATGGGACGGTCAGTTCACATACAATGAGTTGGACCGCCTCTCTACCGTTGTCGCGCGTAAGCTGGTTTTGCATATGGGAGTCAAGAAAGGGTCCGTTGTACCGTTGTGCTTTGTCAAGTCTCGATACATGCCACTGGCTCAAGTTTCCGTCTGGAAAGCTGGTGCAGTAACCTTGCTACAATCAGCAGACATGCCAGAGCAGAGAATGAGTCGTACTTTCCAGCATCTTGGTGTAGAAGTTGCTCTGGCTTCACCCGAACGCTTGGAAACGGTCTCGAAGTATGCTCGCTGTAACACCATGGAGCACATCCTGGAGACTCCGTTGGAAGAAAAAATCATGCCACTACCAGTTCTTGAAATGGATGACCCGGCTGCAGTTTTGGTATCTTCTGGTAGTACAGGCGAACCGAAACATGTTCTCTGGAGTCATCGAGCTCTGGCCGCAAATGCAGAGGAACCGACCCTTCGTTTGTCGATAACCTCCTCTTCTCGCATGTTCCAGTTCTCATCATATGATTTTGATGTTGCCACCTTGGAAACAATTATTGGACTGACCCATACGGCATGTCTCTGTATTCCATCAGAAGTTCAACGCCTCGATGATATGGCAGTTGCCATCAATCAATTCGGGGCGAACTGGGTCTTTGTCACCCCGTCCACCGCCCGCTTGCTGCGTCCAAAAGACGTACCGGGGCTTTCAACTATTGTGATGGGGGGTGAGAACATGTTACAGGACGACGTCGAAAGGTGGAAAGGGCACTGTGCTGTCCGCAACTGGTACGGGCCGGCCGAATTCCCTGCAGTTACTGTGTACCCGGCCGATGAGCCAAACTGGTCCAGCAGTGTGATTGCACACATTGACTTGTTCCGCTGCTGGCTCGTAGATCCGCAGAATCGCGAAAGGCTTGTTCCATTTGGTGCGATCGGCGAAATCGTGGTACAGGGGCCTGCACTCGCTAGTGGCTATTTCGGAAATGCGTCTCTCACAGATAAACACTTCTACGAAAATCCCAAATTCCTCTCCCAAATTCCCGGGACTGCTCACACAGGAAGATATGGTCGTGTGTATCGAACAGGGGACCTAGCCCGATATGATTCCGATGGCTATCTCGTCTTCTTGGGGCGAAAGGATGCCCAAATCAAAGTACTGGGTCAACTAGTGGTGCCCAAAGAAGTCGAGACCCAAATCCAACAATGTCTCGGTCGGTCTAATCAGCAAACTGAGGTTATCGTGGATACCATCTCACCCCCAGGTGGAGGAGGAGTGATACTTGTAGGGTTCATCGTTACCCAAGATGACATCGACCAACTGACCGCTGGGCTCAGCCAGAAACTTCAAATGGTTCTTCCTCGCTATGCAGTGCCATCGTGGTATATCGCAATTACGAGTGTTCCCTTGACTACAAACGGGAAACGAGATCGACGGCGGCTGCTTGAGATTGCTGCGTCATCCACTCCATCCACCCAGGGATCCACTGGACGATTACCAGCCACAACTGCTGAGATTACGTTGGCGAGGTTGTGGGCTCTTACATTAGGAACGGAGCCGGAGACAATCTCAGCTACCGACAGCTTCCTGCAGATCGGCAACTCTATCGATGCCATGCGATTGGTAGGAACTGCTCGCCAGCACGGCCTGTTGCTCACTGTGGCCGGGGTGATGGAATTCCCTATTTTAGAAGAAATGGCCAGCCTGCTTCAGAACCTCGAGGATGCACCAGATGACAGTGTTGACCCTTTTACACTGTTGGATAGTGGCCTAGACCACAAACTCGCCCGCAGCCAAGCAGCATCCGCTTGTACTGTCAATGAGGCCGGCATTGAGGACTTGTTCCCTTGCACTCCTCTCCAGACAGGTCTACTAGCTCTAACAATCAAGTCCCACGGGGATTACACTGGCCGCAATGTGTTGGAGCTAGGCCCTTCGGTAGATGTCCATCGCTTTGAACACGCTTGGGAAGAGTTGGTGCGCGTCGTGCCTATCCTCCGCACACGAATCATCGATATTCCTGGGCATGGATTTGTTCAAGCCGTGGTCAGAGAGAAACCCTCCTGGAGCAAGGCCAGGAGCGTGGAGGAATACCTAAACCAGGATCGCCTGGATCCTATGGGGCTAGGAACCCGCCTCATGCGTTGTGGCTTGTTTTCATGCAAGTCAACCGACGACACATCTGGCGCCTTCAGCCCTATGCGCTGGGTCTTTGCCTTGACCATGCATCATTCGATATATGATGGGCCGACTTCAGCTATGATAATGGGCACGCTGAAAAGTCTCTACTATGGGGAATCACCTCTTCGACTTTGTCCCTTCCAGGCTTTCGTCAAGTACGTTGGTGGTCAAAATAAGGAGGCTGCGGCCAAATTTTGGAGGAAGCAATTTGAAGGCTGTGAAGCTTCGCAGTTTCCACTGCTTCCCTCGGCTAGTTACCAGCCAAGAACAGATTCTACCCAAACTGTTGTAATTGACCACGTGAAATGGCGATCGGATGGGTTCACTCCTTCCACAATCATTCGGGGAGCATTTAGTCTCGTATGCGGCAAGTATGCGATCTCGTCTGACGTGGTATTCGGCACGGTGGTCATGGGCCGCAAAGCCCCCATTCAAGGCACAGAGAGGATTGCAGGCCCAACCATTGCCACAGTTCCCGTGCGAGTGCAGATCAAAAGCGATGCCACTATTCCACAATTTCTGCAATCTATCCAGGATCAAGAGCGAGAGATGGTTCCTCATGAGCAAACAGGATTGTCAAGCATCCGTCAATTTAGCACCCCGGCAGAAGACGCATGTCGCTTCCAGACCTTGCTCGTAATCCAACCACCCGAGAAGGCTATGGAAGATGCTGGATTGTTTGTCTTCCGGACGGCTGAACAAGATGAGGCCACCCGGTATCATAGCTTTAGCTCATATGCATTATCGGTAGTGTGCAACCTGGAGCCAGGTAGGCTTAAGGTAGAATTTTGCTACGACTCTGCCATTGTCCAGTCAGAAACCATTCAAACCATGGCATCTCATTTGGATGAGGCCATTCAAAGCATGTGCATGCAGAAAGTGCCCCACACTACGCTGAGGGATGTAAACATGATGACACAGTCTCATTTGAATGATATCTGGACGTGGAACGCAAAGGTGCCTGCCATGATAGAACGATGCATGCATGATCTGATTAAGAAAGTTGTGCAACGCCAGCCTGACACAGTGGCCATCTTGGCGTGGGATGGTAGCTTGACATACGCTGAGTTAGACCGCTTGTCTACCAGGCTTGCAACTCACCTGGTCGGTATGGGGATAAAGAGAAACATGATTGTGCCGCTTTGCTTTGAGAAAAGTCTATACGCCATGCTCGCTGTCCTTGGAGTTATGAAAGCCGGCGGCGCCACACTTCTCCTGGATCCATCATTACCAGATTCTCGCCTTGATAGTATATTGGAGCAGGTAAATCCGACTGTTATTTTGTCGTCAATCTCCCAGAAGCAGCGCTGTTCTCGATGGGTGGCGAACCCAGTGGCCATAGGGAAGCAGTGTACCTTTTTTGAGACTGAGGGGGTGGAAGAGACCACTGAAAGTCACGATCTGCCGGTTGTATCTCCAGACGATCTATTGTACACTGTGTTTACGAGTGGTAGCACTGGAACCCCCAAAGGATGTCTCATGCATCATCAACAATTTACCAGTGCGGTCGTCCACCAGCAAGCTACGCTCGAAATGGATTCAAAAACACGCTTATACGATTTCTCCTCCTACTCTTTTGACGCAGTCTATTGGTGCCTCTTCCACGTATGGAATGCTGGAGGCACTTTATGTATCCCCAGCGAGGAAGAACGGAAAAGCGATCTGACCGAGAGCGTGCGCCGATTTGAGACCTCGCACATTTTCCTAACTCCCTCGACTGCGCGGTGGATTGACCCACAACGTACTCCCACCCTGCGCTATCTCTTCCTCGGCGGCGAGGCGGTCTTGCCGGAGGATCTCGCCCGATGGACTCCACATGTCAACACCTTTGAGGTATATGGGCCTTCAGAATGCTCTGCTATCACCCTTTATCATCGAGTTCCCAAAACGACAGCCAGTACCGTGCACTCCATTGGGAAAGGTATTGGCGTTTTGACCTGGGTGGTAGATCCGAAGGATCAAGACCGTTTGGCACCTCTTGGAACAGTGGGTGAGCTGTACCTCGAGGGGCCTTTGGTGGGACAAGGCTACTTCCAGAATGACGAGAAAACGGCAGCCGCCTTTATCGAGAGCCCACAGTGGCTAGCTCAAGGCTCTCCTGATGGAACAGTGCCGGGACGGCGTGGCCGGATGTATAAAACTGGTGACCTTGTCAAATATCATCCACTCACTGGAAATCTCGCGTTCGTGGGCCGAAAGGATACACAGGTCAAACTGCGAGGCCAACGCATCGAGCTTGCAGATGTTGAGCATCATGTCATGCAATGTCTAATGGATCGATCTTCGTCAGGAGCTGCACCAACGGCAGTTGCAGAAGTTATAGAGCCAGTTGTAACGGGTCGGCCGATGCTTGCCGTTTTCATCGACTGCAATGAAGCACAGTTGTCTGACTTAATGTCTCATCTCGAATCTGAGTTGCCGAGTCGGGTGCCATCCTACATGGTACCTGCGTCTTATATTGCAACCCCATCTATGCCAATGGCAGCGAGTGGCAAGACGGACCGACGCCGATTGCGTGAGATGGGTTCCAGTTTGACTCTGGAACACCTGTCACAAAGCAATACCCCTGCAACCATTCTGGCCCCCAGCACAGCCTCCGAGTGCCAGTTACAAGCTTTATGGGCCGAAGTTCTCGGTATACCCGCTGAGAAAGTTGGGGTTGAAAGCAGCTTCGTTCGTCTGGGTGGTGACTCCATTTCGGCAATGCGATTAGCTTCTTTCGCTCGTAGAGAAGGGCTGCGATTGTCAGTTCATAATATTCTCTCCACGCCTCAGTTATCGGAGATGGCACAAGCAATGTCTATCTTGACCCCAATAGACGGCAACGAGATGGAAGTTATCATCCCATTCTCTCTCCTCAAACATCCCTCGGAACATGACTCCGTTCTGAATGACTTTGCAAGTCAATGCAATATCCAAGCCAGTCAAGTTGAAGACATCTTCCCTTGTACGGGTGTTCAAAAGTCACTCCTCTCCATGACTGCCAAGCGCGCCAACTCGTATGTCGCTCGATTTTTGCTCAAGCTGAGAAAGGATATCGATGAATCACGACTCAAGAATGCATGGGAAATGGTGAGTAGGACTTGTGCTCCCATCCTCCGTTCACGAATTGTGGAGTGTCCAATGGAGGGCCTGGTGCAAGGTATCGTGGATGAACCGCTACACTGGGACATCACTCAACCACTGCAGCAATATCTCCAAAAATATCAAACTAGGCCCATGGGCTTGGCCACCCCGTTGACTCGGCTTGCCATTGTTAAAGACGAAAGCAATCAGGAGCGCTATTGTCTATTAACCCAGCATCATGCGATATATGATGGGTACTCGTTGAACCTTCTCGTAGACGAGGTATCTAAGGCTTATGATGGCATTCATGATAACCATACCCCAGTGGCATCCTTCCAGGTTTTCATCAAGCATGTCATGGCGGTTGACTCTAAGAAATCAGAGGATTTTTGGGCTCGTGAATTCGTCAATTTTGAAGCAGTCCCCTTCCCAGTATTGCCGCATGCCGATCATCAACCTAAAGCAGATAGCACAGTACGACGCAGTCTGGAGGCATTCCAATGGCCCCAGCGAGACTTCACCCCGTCAACCAGTATGTTCATGTTGTTTGCTTTTATCACATTGCTATTTTCACCGGAGGTTGCTAATTTTATCATCAGTCATTCGTGCATCGTGGGCCATCCTCACTGCGCGGTATTTGGACTCGGACGATGTGGTTTTTGGAGCCATGGTTACAGGCCGACAAGCTCCTATTCAAGGCTTGGATCGCATGGTAGCGCCTCTTATCAATGCTGTGCCTGTTCGAGTCAAACTTGATTTCAAACAATCGATCGATAGTTTGCTCGCTAGCATCCAGAAGCAATCCATCGACATGATTGCCTACGAACAGACCGAGCTGCTCACAATTCGGCGCATTGATGCAAACACCGATCGGGGGAGCCGATTCAATACTCTCCTCGTAGTTCAGCCGGCAAGTCAAGGCCAGTCAGCCGATCACCCTAATGGCCCTTACGAGGATCCGAGAGAACTAGTCTCCGCAACTCAGGATCTCGATGACTCCAACCCAAACGCAATCATGATCATGTGCCAAATTACGAAGACAAATGGTCTGCAACTTGAGTTTAGCTTTGATTCTAGAGTGGTGGACACAGCGCAGATGGAACGAATTGCCTCGCAATTCGAGCACGTCTTGCGTCAAGTATGTATGGGCACGACGCAGCCTGTCGATCGCATCCAGACTCTCAGTGGTGCCGATCTAGCAGAGCTATGGGACTGGAACTCATCTATTCCATCAACAATCGCTGAATGCGTGCACAGCTTGATTACTAAAACTGCTAAGAATTATGGGGACGATCCTGCCATCTGCGCCTGGGACGGCCAGTTATCGTATTTTGAGCTGGATCAACTATCTAACCATCTAGCTTCACACTTGGTAGCCCTTGGCATTGGTGCCGGTAATGTCATTCCACTTTGCTTCGAGAAGTCCATGTGGCATCCAGTGGCAGCTCTTGGAGTGATGAAGTCAGGTGCTACGTGTCTCTCGATGGACTCGACTCAACCAAAATCCCGCCTACAGTCCATTGTTCAACAAGTCAATCCTCGGCTTATCTTAGCATCTGCCAAAACCGCCGGACTGGCAGGTCGTCTATCCGACGCTGATGTTATAACTATTGATCAAGATTACATGGATCTAGTGGCTAAAGATATCTTCACCCAGTCTCTGCCCACAGTTCACCCATCAAATGTTCTATACGGTGCGTCTCTATTGTATCTTCTTCCGTTTCTTCGCTGGTTGTACTGACTTCTCCAATCTCAGTCGTGTTTACCAGCGGCTCCACGGGAACACCGAAAGGCGTTGTGACTACTCATCAGAATTTTGCTTCTGCTGCAACGCATCAGGCGGAGATGCTGCGTATTCAACCAGGCACACGCGTTTTTGACTTTGTTTCATACAGCTTTGACGTATCATGGTCTAACACCCTTCAAACATTGATCTGCGGAGGCTGTCTCTGTATTCCTAGCGAGTTAGAGCGTCGAAATGACATTTCGGGGGCTTTCAATCGCATGGACTGCAATTATTCCTACTTTACACCTTCAGTGGCGCGATCCTTGGAGCCATCAAGTATTCCTGGGCTCAAGGTTTTGGCCATGGGGGGTGAGCCCATTCCCACCACTGAGATTTCTCGATGGACGCAGGCTGAGGCCATCATCGGAATCTACGGCCCGGCTGAGTGTGCACAGGCCCTCACATTCACACTTCTTCAACCTGATGGGCGCAACAACCATGTAGGGTACTCATATGGGGCCCGGACATGGCTGGTACAGCCGGGCTTTCCTGATCGTCTGGCCCCAATTGGCGCAGTGGGAGAGCTTCTCATCGAGGGTCCTACGGTTAGTAAGGGGTATTTTGAAGACTCTGACAAGACCGCCGCTGCGTACATCAAGAATCCATCCTGGCTGCTGCAAGGTACACCATCCCACCCAGGCCGCCAGTCTACCCTATACAAGACGGGTGACCTACTTCGATACAACTCAGATGGATCGCTAGATTTCCTCGGCCGAAAAGATAGTATGGTCAAGCTGCGAGGGCAGCGAATTGAGCTAGCTGAAGTGGAATATCATATCCGTGCAAGCCTGCGCCACCCTGAACTATGTGATGGTCTTGCTGCAGAGGTTATTACTCCTAATAAAAGCAGTCCCATTCTCGCCGTGTTTGTTGCCCTCTCCCCCGTGAGAGAGGCCCAGTCCGAGGAAGACAATTTATCGAAGCTGACACGCCTAATCGACGGTTTGGATGACAGACTCTCTGACTGTCTTCCGCAATAGTAAGTGTTCCCTGGTTCAGTTCATTTGTCCAGCTCTCGGCAATTTCAGCTGATACTAATGTTGGTTCTTTCCTAGTATGATTCCTGGCGCCTACATCCCCATTGAGAAAATCCCAATGACTACCACGGACAAGACAGATAGAAAAGCTCTACGGCAGTTGGGAGCCATTCAGACCTTGGAGAATCTGGCAAAGCTACAGTCCCACGGGAAGACCCATCGCGTGCCGACCACCATCATGGAACTGAAACTACAAGCACTATGGTCGGTAGCTCTTGGGATAGATGCTAGCATCATCAATGCCGACAGCAATTTCCTAAGAATTGGTGGAGAGTCCATCGCAGCCATGCGGCTAGTGGCAGCGGCACGAAATGAGAAGCTGTCGCTCACAGTCGCGGATATATTCAACGCACCACGGCTCTCTCAACTCGCCCTGTTAGTGCAGGAAATTACTACGGAGGACTCTCTACCATTGCCGCGACCCTTCGCTTTGCTCGAGATGAATGATCCAAAGCCTTTCCTTGCTGACTTCGTCAACCCGCTCCTCGACCCTGGGGCTGGAACTGTTCTCGATGTGCTTCCTTGCACCGACTTCCAAACATGTGCAATCTTGGATGCCTTCCAGGACCCGCCCAGTCGATTGCCTCATTGGATTTTCGACCTTCCCCCAAATGTGGACTTTTCACGCTTAGAGTGGTCATGCCGCAGGCTAGTAGACCTTTACGACATCCTTCGTACGGTGTTCATCCAAGCGCACGGTCGATTCTGGCAGGTTTTACTTGAACATATGGATCCTGCGTACGATAACTTCCAGGCAGATCATGACGATGATATCACAACCTTCGTGGATTCTATTTGTGAGCTGGATCGAAAAAGGATTCGAACCTTTGGGTCTTCCTTCATTCGATTCATGGCAATACGGAGTCACTCTGGGCAGCACCGGCTCATCTTCCGAATCTCACACGCTCAATTCGACGGGTTCAGCTGGGCCACGGTCCTCCGCAGCCTCTCTGCCCTCTACTGCGGTGATACCGTTCCTAGCGAACGGAAGTTTGCCCAATATATCACCTATAAGGAGAGCATGAAGTTGAGCGTCTACGCCTATTGGATCGCACGACTCGAATATGCTCCAAGTCCCAATTGGATTGTAGATTCCTCCAGCCGCGTGTACACTGTCAAAGACCGGCTGACAATGAGGAAGACAATCCCGATGCCCGAGGGTCAGTTGCTTGAGGAGACATCACTCGCAACTTTATTCCATGCCGCTTGTGCTAGAGTAATTTCCCGCCATCACCGGCAATCTCGTATCGTTTTTGGTCGTCTAGTGACTGGCCGGTCGATGCTACCAAGCAGTCTGCAAAATGTGGTCGGTCCATCGATGACCGAGGTCCCTATCAGCATGCACATTGATCCCCATGCGACTCTTTCGGATATTGCATTGCAGTTGCAGCGTCAGTTGATTGAGGATTCTCGATACGAAACCGCTGGGATGGACGAGATCATTCGAAACTGCACTAACTGGCCAGATGACGTGAAAGACTTCGGCTGGAGGACCTCTTTCCAACAAGAAGATGATCGTAATTTTACTTTCCTTGGGACAGAAAGTCGGATATCGTTCTATGAGCCGGATCTGTTGCCTCGAAACCGACCAGAAATTTACGCTACCCCACGGGATGGGAAGCTGGATCTTGAATTCGAGGGTAATCGTCAGTTGATCAGTGAGAATGACGTTCAACGCTTCCTCCAGGATCTGGAATCAGTTCTGAGTAATCTTTGATGTGTGGATTGGGGACAGCCTTCTATATCTTATGTTCCAATTTTCGAATGTTATCAGTTTCAAAAAATTCCTGAAATCTAGGAAAGTTAGAATTTCTTAGTCTAAAGTGGTTGATGTATTGCTTTGAGAACGACCAGCCTAGCCTTGGATAGCAGGGCTATGTAGATCATTTTAATCACTCTGTGACTCTGATCCAATTCCGACCTTCCCTCTCGTTAGTCGATAAGCCCACAGCGTAGCAGTCAATCCAACGTCCACAAAGTCGAAAACAAGAGCTCCGCCGAAAATTATTGCATAATATGTCCAAGCTAGAGATTTTGGCAGGGATATGACTGTAACAACAATCGCCCAGGGCAGCATCCAAAGGAAGTTTGACCCAAGTGATTGATAAAGGTACCATCGCGGTGATGTTGCCAGAAGAATCGCTGCGATCTGGCAATTTAAACCATAAAATATGTAGGTCCAGTCGATATTCTAGTACATGTCAATGGAGGTTACGTCCATTATACATCATCTCTACCACTTACCTTCCACATAGTTTGAGTGATATCTGCCACGACACTCGAGTCTGATAGATAATAGGCAAACGCCTCTATCCCACGCAGCGACAATGCAATGCACATGGTGGTCTCAAAGACCAATACAATCACGCAGGCTCGAAGCGCTGGCCGAATGAGTTCTACGAAAGCGATTCAGTAAGTAGGTCTCACAATTCTCAGCATCACACCTACCAATAAGATCTTGTCTGGTTGCCTCGGGATATTCCCTGCCACTTTCAGCACGGTATTGGCCCCAATTATGACCCACAAAAGCCAATGTGGAAGCCTCTAATGCTTGAACAGGGACCATGACGAGCCCCCAGCGGATCGTGTTAAATACTCCCCATGAAGTTGCATAGTCACTTCCCAGAAGAACAATTTGATGAACAAGCCACAGATAAATGGCATTTCGGATAGCCGACTCGGCAAATGTATAGGCACTAGGTTTGATGAGGATGAACAAAGCGGAAAGACTGCAGCGCAGTCTATGCGGACCATCTGCATCCTTTTGACAACGTCTCACAACAACAGTGAGGAAGTATATCAACCCAGCCAAAGACGAGACACTATCGCAAACAAGCCGAATTATGGCCTGCATGACAATCGTAGGTTTCCATCCTCCAACATGTACCTTTGAAATGATTAGTAAATCGAGAACTATGTTGATGAGGAACTTGGCAGAGCTAATGATCAAGGGCACGTCGGGGTTATCCAGCGCCCTGGTCGAGGAAGACAAAGCGGCTTCTATAGCAGAGGTCACAGCCTGCACAGATGACAGTCGCACGTAGGTGATGGAAGTTTGTCGCACTTCCACTGGTACGAATCCTGAGGCCAGCGTTTTGGAGGCAGCCAGGAATATCACTGTCATAATGACTCCAAGGGCAGTTTGTGCAAGGATCATTGTGTACGCTAGGTTCAGTCGTGAGTAAACAGTGCGCGTAGACTTGTCCCCAATGACGAGCCATGCAGAGCGGGGCAGGCCCTCATTCAGCACTTCTACAATCACACCAATATAAGTGTAGATATCGGTCGTTACAACTTGCTTCGCGTCGATATTGGCCACCCAGAGCTTGCTGAGAGTGCTGTACAATGCCGGAAGGGCAAAAGCTCCTAGGTTGAACAGCAATGAACCGACATACCTGCCAATATCAGATCCCCTGTTCTAGCAGATAGATAGATACACTTACAGCTCGCGAGTCCAAAATTTAGGCGTTGGGGCAGTCTCTGGTTCCTCTGTCACCTCCTGCTCCCTAACCATGTTGCCTCGTGCGGTAACTTTCATCGCTCCGTGAGTTTCCATTTTTGACAGAAGATAGTAAGACACGTTGAGAGAGGTAGGATTGTATCCGGAAGAGGGGAGTTCTCTTGGCACTTTATGCTTGTGCTGGGGTATATGCGGGCGTTAATAGACCCCTCTTGAGTCAGAATGCCCTTCCAGGCCGTCTGCTGTTTTAGTCAGTGCTCTAGCGCTGGGATGATGGATAATCTATCCAAAAGAAAGAAAAAAAAATTGGGGGGGTTTTGTCAATCTAGAAAAATCTAGGATCTGAAGGATTATTTAGGGAAGAGGAAGGGCAAAGAAGTTGGAAGATGTAGAGTAGAACGGCAGTTATCAGATGAGCACATCAAGTTTGACCTCTCACCATTTTTACCAACATGATTGAACATAAAATTTCTGTGTCTTGTATAGAGCACTCTATATCTTTTCTGAAGTCGTAACTTGCGGTGTTTCAATTTCTCGATGGCTACTCCTCGAAGGCTCGTGCGCTAACAGAGCCGCATGCCGCAACTCCTTTCTTCCTCATAATTTTTTCCTTTGCATTTTAGAAGGACCAGCATGCCACAAAAGTCCAACGCAAAGTGTGATCACACGCCTATATGTCTATCCTCGTCTCCTCATGCTGCCGTAGTAGGTTTCAGACGACAAGGCCAACGACAACGTCTCGCTGCGATCAAAGCAGATAATCGAAGCTTCTCGCGAGAGGATAAACTCATCCTTGAAGAAGATGAGGGAGCTTTTCCCGCCCCTTTGTTGCTGCCTGGAGATGATCTTGCAGGGGATTCAGATGATCCGCAGAGCTTTCGGCAATGGCTTAATGGAGAACACCGCAATCCCGTAACCGCAAAGCAAAAAACCGTTTATGTGGTTCCGTCGCCTCAAATTGACGCAAATGTCGACTTCATGCAAAATTGGACGAGGCCAGGATTTGGAGAGCATGAGCTTTCCATAAAACCCCCCAGTACAAAGGACGTCCAAGACTATCTGACTGCCTTTTATCACGGTCTTCCCGTCAAGATGATGTCGCCATCGACCTTGCGATTTATGCCATGGGAAGAACCCCAAAAGAGACTTCGTCAGAAGACAGGCCTTCAATACCTAGGTTTGCAATATGGCGATGAGTGCGTGCGGGTTCGCTCACGTACCTTGTCAAACGGGGTATATGGGGGTCAAGTCAACCTAGACGACCTTCTCGAGGCCGCGATTAGCATTTTACCGAAGGATGCATATGCCCTCTTGATCCTTGTGGACTTCGATCTCTACGAAGATGAGGATGACGAATTTGTATGTGGGCGTGCATACGGAGGAAGTCGTGTTGCAGTAGTATCCAGTGCCAGATACAACCCCAGACTGGATACCATTCACGATGTCGAGCGTCTCCACGCATGGCCTGCATCGCATTGTGAAAAGTACATGTCCGCATGTGCTTCAGCAGAGCCCAGTACCAAGAGACAGAAAAGATCTCAGGTCAAGAGTCGGGGATCATCAAATTCGAATTCAGAGCTAAAAGGGCCTATGCAGGATGCTGTATCAGCCTATCGCTCCCTCCCAACGGTAGATTCATCATCTTCGTTGCTATCTGGACTCTGGTTGGGTCGTGTTTGCCGGACGGCAAGCCATGAGTTAGGTCACTGCTTCGGTATTGCCCATTGCGTGTACTACGCGTGCTCAATGCAAGGCACCGCGTCTATCAGCGAGGACGCAAGACAGCCACCTTATCTCTGTCCAATTGATCTGGCGAAGATTCTCTGTGCCACTTCAACATCCGCATCCCAGCGCTATCGGGCGCTTTTGGCATTCTGTGAACGGCCGGGTAACAGCGATACACATTTCTTTGGGCCATTCGCTACTTGGATCCAAAGTAGACTAGGCCAGATCAAGGACTCGACTTGAGTTTTTGGTTTTGTTTTTTTTTCGGGGCAATTGACTCTTTGCTTCCCATACAGATGATAGAATCAGGATAGAATTTTGTACGGAGTACATAGAGACAGCAGCTGTTTCACCAATTCAGTCCAAGTTAGGGTTCAAATTTATCAAGTTGATGAACCTTGGAACAGAAACATTCTGAAACGCCCAACAACCTTGGGAATCTGTATTGTACTCCGTATAAATTGTGGAATCGACGATGGAACACCGACAATCACATCCATATATGGGATCCCCCGAGGTCGATAGATCATGCGAGACCCACACTACACTGGTCTTCACATGCGACATGACCTGATCTTATTCGGTGAACTCCCGAAATAATTTGTCCCTTTTTTTTACGTTGACCTGTGTCTGTGGTTTTCAGACCATAAATAATGCAAGCGTAAGACGAAAGGCAGCGTTTGGGTGTAACGGAGTCGAGATACGATTGAAGCGACTCAGGACGGCAAAAATAAGATCTGGGTGCTATTTCTTCGATCTCAGCACCACGGACTCACTTACGCCGACAATCCCGTCAGCGATAGTTGAAGTCATCTACTCCGTATCCGGCTTTGCTATGCCAATCATGTGGGTCCACGGGCAGTGGGCAACGTACGAGAGGTTTCTTCGGTGCACTTCTTTTCCGAATATAGATTCCGAATATAGATCGCCTGTTCCTGATGATCATGTTTCAGATTGAGACTTTGAGACCTTCAATTCACAGAAACTCGGTTAATGCGGCATGAAATCTGTCTGTGTTTTGCAGATAGCTTCTACAGCTTATGGCGATTTTACATTGTCGCCAACTGGCGGATCACCAATGAGCTTGTAGTCAAGGAAAACAAAAATAGCCACCGTTTCCAAGAGACTGATAGCCATGCCGTTAATCTAGATATTGGGGCTCAGATTCGAACATGTTCGAACTCTTTTCTGGTTACCCTTTCAAGGTAAAACATCCGACATGCTCCGAGGATGGAAACCCCCAACACCTCGATATGAGAGATCTCAAAAAGCAGTGTATTCAACGGTTTTCCACGTTTTGCGGTTTCCATATCACAAGGCTGATCTAGTATTGACTTCTTCAAATATCAAGTATCACATGGTAGCTATAGTTCCGACACTATCTCGGCCAATTGTTCCGAAAGACTATCGTAACCAGGGAGAGGCGTCGGACTAGTTGAACCATGAGTTATTTGAGAGCTTTTTGGGGGGGATTATTAGCCTTGCTCTGGGCGTATATTGTGCTAGTATTCAATATTGACAGTTGTGTTGGAAGCAGAATTATTGGAGCTTCAGGGGGACCATCGACTCAGGGATGAAAATACGTACTTTGGGTATTTTCGGCACCCCTGCTTTTTTTTTTTTTTTTTTGTTTTTTTTTTTCAAAATTTACTGGTTTCCTTTTGGTGATTTACTCCGAGATAGCCGTAGCAAAGATGCGCTTCTGCTTTGGGGCCATCGGGCAGCTGCACTAAAGATGAGCAACTACGGCTCGTAATCCCACATTACGGAGTAGCGCTTGTAAATCAGCCCGAGCGCAATCCCCAATACCCAAAAGGTGCAGGGATTGGGAAGTTATCCAGTTCAGAGACTTCCCATCACATGTCTGCATTGCTCGTGGGGCTTGTGTGGGGTGAGACATTGGATTGCAGATCATCACACCATTCCGTAGTGGACTACTCTGAATACAATATGGACATGTACCTATACGGAGTATAATGACTTATATTGTACTATTTTAGTGCTCTATCTATATATCTGCATGGTTGATGAGACCCTGCCTCAAGATAGTTAGGGTTTCAAAAACAAACCGGTTCCCGTCAAGGGGGCGCTTTTAGTATCGTTTTAGTACAGGTAGTTTGTGGAGCAGTCAGAAGAGAAGCTTCACAGTTGGAATCCTAGATTTCGACGGACTACAATGTCTAGCCCTTGGCAAGTGTTTTACTGGCTACTCCGGACAGGGTACTTCACCCTTAGAACACTATCACACTCAAGTACAGAGTAGTTCAGAGATAAATTTACAAGGGATAGTCCCCACTTTAGCGACTAGCTCCTTTTTCGATATTAATCTATCTTTAATAGATTATTCTTATTTGGCATGCAACCCATAAGTGGATATTGTCCCATGCGTGAACTGCATAACCTCATATTCCGTTCACATTCCAAGCCCGACTGCGTAAGGCCTTAACTAGTGCACACTGGGAAGGCCTAGATCCTGTTCACCTTGTTTTTGTGGTTTTTGGTCAAGTTCTGCCCCAATGTATCTCTAGGCAATCGGGTAACGGTGGTGTCGGCTCTCTGTTGGCATTTTATGTTGGACCTACGTTCCTAATTTGTCAACTGTCACGATCTTAGTTCATAACCTATACTTTGTAACATTCTCTCGCGTTTTACTCTGTTCCTTTGTACATATATGTAAAATGCTGTCCGAGTTCTTGTGTGCTAGTATTCAGTGGCTGACAGGTGCTCATACACTCCGTGAACGGCCTTGAACCATTGATATCTTGAATTGATAGGTCTTCTGTAACAAAATCGGATGTGTCCATCTTTACCGGATATGGTCAAAAGCGTACATAGTACATATGTAGCTAGACTAATTCCCCGGGGGGCTGTGGGATATAGGGTTCCCACGGGGGCCACTCGGGATACCGCATACACGCCTTCGGTTGAGGAGTTTTAGATACTCAAAGCTGGAGTTTGGACTGGACAGTGTAGTACGGAGTACGGAGTGCGGATGATATTGTACATATGTCAGTAGGGATATTTCAGCTTGCGGAGAGAGAAAAGGGGTGACTCCAGTTGATACAAAAAATGGGTTCAACGTCTCAACCGTTCATGTTGATCTCTTTTGGATGATCCGCGATGATTCTTTCCGCTTATGACCTGGCACTTCTTTTCTCGGTCTTTTTCTTGATTTCCCATTTGAATGCATATCTTCCCCGAAGTACGGAGTAGTTGAGATTGAGACTTGAGAATAACTTTGGAGCCAAGAATAGCTTGATCCACCGGTAATGTACTTGTTAGGAGTCATGATCCACCGATGTCTCCATCTCTGATCCCTCCTAAGCCGATAGCTCCCAATGTGGAATTGGAGACCGGGTATCAAGTGGAACATGAATCTGCTCCAATGTGGCTTTGAATGTCCAGAAGTCTCCCCCGCTCACAGTTGATCAGGGGTATATAAACACGGCGATCACCTCTTTGCTGGACATTCAATCGTTCAACTGTCTTTTTGTTTTTTCCTCTTTCGCTCTTTCTACCAGTCTATCGTTAATAATTTTGGCGGCTTGTGCCTGCCTGTCCGATCTCTCACTTCTGGATATCGTTTGTTCAGAAGTTTTTTATGCTCATAACTTTTGATCTATACACTCGTTAATATAACACAGAACATGCGTTCTTCTCTCGTTCTGCTCGCCGGCCTGGCGGGTTCGGCTCTCGCCTACCCTACCGATATGGCCGTTGAGCGCCGTACTCTGGGTCTCCTCGGTGAGCTCCTTGGCGATCTCACTGTCGACGTGACTGGCATCCTTGGCGCCGTCCTCGGTGGCCACAAGTCCGCTGGCCATCTTGCTGGTCTGAGTGCTGAGGCTGCTGCTGCTCTCGAGGGTGGTGCTCTTGGCTGCAAGTCCGGTGCTATCCACCACAAGGCTAAGGCCGCCCTCAAGCTTTGGTTGCTTTTCCACGCTGACCTTGACCTCTCCCTCAAGAAGTCACTGATCTCGTGGTGTGAGAGTAACGACGAGCTGGTCCTCTCCGCAGACGTCCTGGCTGCTCTGTCCGTGTACATCCCCGGATGTGCCGACATCGCTGCCAAGGGCCAGCTTTACGTGACCATTGACGGTATCTTTGAGGCCTCTAGCCTCGAATCTGCTCTCGTCTTGAGCATTGGTGCCCAAGCCTCCCTTTCAGCTTGGATCGAGGCTAAGCTTGATCTTGACTTGGATGTCAAGGTCGGTCTGAATGTCTGCGCCGCTGGTGGTGTTATCGGCAGTCTGTCGGCTGACATCAAGGCTTCTCTTCTTGCATGGATCAACAGCAAGGACTGTGACCTCAGCGCTCACCTTAAGGTTTCCGTTCTGGCCTGGATCAATGGTCATGCCGGTGGCGACCTTGTTGAGATTGGTACTATTGCTGAGACCGCTCTCTCTGCCATCTCCGTCGGTGCTTCCGTCGGCGCGCACATTGAGGAGTCTGGCCTCCTGTCTGTTGGTGGGCAGGCCTCCCTCGCCGCCTTCTTGGGCCTTGATCTCTCGGCTGATCTCGCTGCTGATGTCAAGCTCGCTCTCGAGGCATGCGCCAAGGGCGAACTCGCCGTCGCCGTGGACCTTGATATCCGCACCAAGCTCGCTATCTGGCTTGCCAGCGCCGACTGCTCTCTGGGCGTTGAGCTCAAGGCTGTCGTCCTTCTTTGGTTGTCCTTCGCTGTCGAGGCTGATGTCTCCGTTTCCAGCGGCCTTGTTGGCGGTCTTCTGGGCGATGTCAACGATATCCTGACCGGGTCCCTCCTCGCCGGTCTCAGTGTTGACCTCCGTGGTGCCCTTTCCCTCTGCGCTGCCGGTGGTAGTCTGACTGGCCTGACTCTCGACGCCCGTGCTGAGCTCGCTGCCTTCCTTGGTGGCTGCACTTCCCTTGACATTGATATCAGCATCCAGATCATCATCATCCAGTGGTTCACCGGCTGCAGCATCCCCGGTGCTCCCTCTGGCCATGCCTCGTCTTCCGTTCCCAGCCTGCCCTCCAGCACCCCCTACCTGCCCGGTCCCTCCGCTGTGCCTTCCGGTCCCGGTGCCTCCATCTCTGTATCTATTCCCGCCGGTACCCCCGTCCCCAGCGGCCCCGCTGCCACCACCCCATGTGACACCGAGACTTCACAGATTGTCAGCTCCACCGTGATCCCTGGCGGTCCCAACGGCTCCGGTTCTCTCACTGTCACCATCCCTGTCATGCCTACCGGTACCGGCTCTGTTCCCTCTGGCCCTGCTCCCTCTGGCCCTGCTCCTACCGGTCCTGCCGCCACTACCCCCCCTGTGACACCGAGACCTCGGAGATTGTCAGCTCCACCGTGATTCCCGGCGGCCCCAACGGATCAGGCTCCACCACCGTCTCGGTCCCTGCTGTTCCTACCGGCACCGGCCCTGCTCCCTCTGGCCCCGCTGCCACCACTCCCTGTGAGACCGAGACCTCCGAGATCATCAACTCAACCGTGATCCCCGGCGTTCCAGCTCCCTCCGGCCCGGCTGGTACCACCACCGGCGTCTTAGTTCCTTCCGGCCCCACAGCATCCGGCCCGGCCCCTACCAGCCCTCCCACCCTCCCCACTGGTGGTGACTCTGGATCCGATAAAGTCACCGTCACCCAGACTGTGACTGCCACTGTCTGCGGTTGCGAGTAAAATAGACATCCTACCTGGACATATTTCGAAGCCACAACCCCAGAAGGTCTCGTATCGAATCTCTGTCAACTCTATTAATTTTCTGTATTTTACCCTTTTTCATGACAAGATGATTTTCAATACACGTGGGGTGGCAATGTGGCTGCCCATGTTTAAGATACCCGTCCATAGCACCCTATGATCTGCTGTCTTTCCGCGTCTGGCGTCTGTAGGCATACAATTCTAATTCTAAGCTGCTTGTGTGAGGGTCGAAAAGCTCCTGTCTATCATGCATATAGCATGTCTACCTCATGTGCTGGTATGCTTATGTATCGTGCTGGATTCATTCATGGACAGAGCATCTTCTCCGGACTGATCTCAGCATTCTGAAGATCTCTTGTTAATTAGTCCATTAGACATGTATCTTCTTTCCCTCTAATGGAGTACATTCATTCGTATCTGTTTTTTTTTTTTTTTTTTTGGTTGGCTCTTTCTGACTATTTCAGCGATATATCTTACAATATTGAAATCCTCTGAACTGAGCACGCTATTGATGATTTAAAAAAAAACGTTAATTGGGCTTGTTACAAAGTACATGTACAACGCTAAAACACACATTTTGTTGGCGTAAATCTCAATGTTCCAGTCAGCGTTGATCCCTTGCACTGGTTTTTGCTGCTGTCGTTTAGTCCTGCTTTGGCTGTGTGGCACTAGTCGGCTTCTCGTCAGATCGGCGACGCATAGCAAGGCATCTCTCGCGAAGTAATCGCTCACGGAACTCAGATGAATGTATCCACACAGAAACCTTGCTTTTGGTCTAATTGTTGCGAGTTCGTTAGTATCCGATTCAACATTGGAACTTCGAAAAGAACATGACATGTGAAATTTTTAGACGAACATTAAGTAGGAATTGAATATGGGTGAATCTGGGTGATTGAGGATACATAGTGGAGGTTGGACCAGGAATCTCAATTCTTAATGACCAACCTGCTCGGCATCTTTTGTTTTTGTCTTGCTGTCATCAGCTTTGGACGGGTCATCAGCTTTCGAAGGGGTTCGGGGGAGTCCTCGTTCTCATCAGCTATCTTGCGTCGTTTCTCATCAGGGTTGTATCTTTCCATAGAGTGCCGCCGCTTGCCCTCAGTGTCCTTCCTAGGACTGCGGCTACGGCTACGGCTACGACCACCGCTGGGGCTGCGGCGTCGACGGTTCTCACCACGATCTCGTGTACCGGCACTGTCAGGGCTGCGGCTCAAGCGACGAGAATCGCGGTCTCGGGCATAGCGTCCAGATGAACGGCGAGACATCGCGGGAGAGACGGAAGTTGGAGAATCTGCCTGGCGCCGGGTGTAGCGAGGCGACGAGCATACACTGCGGCTGCGAGAGACAGAGCTTCGGCGGCGGCGGTCTCCTCTGGGGGAACGTGAGCGCGGGGAACGGCTGCGGGAAATGGGTCTTGCTTTAACACGATCACCGTAGTCCGGACTGCTGCGCCTTCTCGCTCCTCCGCGGTTGCGGCGCTCGGGAGATACTGAGTTGCTTGGGGAACGGGGGCGGCGTTCGCGTCGCCTGTAACGTGGCTCGTCGCGGTTTCGGCGAGATGGCGACGAGGGCTTCGGGGATCGAGATGGAGAACGGGTGCCGTGTGGGGATTTAGATGGACGGCGGCCGCGACGATTACCAGGTGGCACATAAGAGTCAAAGTCACGTCGAGATGGAGGTTCGCGGAATCGGTCTCGACTGCGGTCTCGGCCTCCAGGAGACGAAGGCCGTCTGTCAAAGTCTCGTGCTCCGAAGAACCGACCCCCACGCCCACCGCGATCACCACCTCTTCCTCCACGTCCGCGGTCTGGTCGCTCACGCCGTCTCACATCGTCCAACTCTCGTTCGCGGATTTGGTCTTGTTCTCTTTGGCGTCGAAGTGCTTCGGCAGCTTTCTCTGCTTCAAGCTATATTGTAATATGATTAGAAAATATTCGAGGTCCAAGGGGTGCCTATTATCACCTTCTCTTGTATGAGCTCAAGCTTCTTAGCCTCCAGGAGCTCCTTCGGGACGCCCTGTGGATTGGCCTGGCCGCTTAAGCACAACGACCACAGCTCTTGGCAAAACTTGGGGGTATCTTTGTCTAGGAATCCGGTGAGCTGGATTTGGAGAGATTTGATATCGGGCTAGAACCAAAAATATGTGTCAGCAAATTAGGGTCGAGACGTTAGATATCCGACGGGCCAACATACGTAGCGTGATCCCTCCAGATGTGCAAAGCAAAGCTCGATAACGACGTCATCCTCATTTCCCAATATCTTAGAAATTTGACTTGCGATCCATCTACGTTGGGTGGGGGAAAAACAGTCAGTAAACCGGAGATGCCCAAAAAAGCCGGGGAAAGTCACTTACTTCTTCATAACCTCGATGTTGACCTTGGTCATATCCACCTTCTTATTAAACTCAGGGGGAACTTGGTCCGCCTCATCAGCTTGGCATCCACGCTGGACGCCATTTTCGCTGGAATTTGGGTTGAGGGTAGAAAGGTCCATGGCGAACAAACGCGAAATCGATTCCGCGATGATCGAATTGCGTGTATGGTCGCTCGCGAGTACCGTACCTTGTCGCCTGGCTTCTAAGGCGTCAATCGCGTCAATTAGTACCTGTTAATTAGGTAGGTAACTAAACAACTAGCATTGGAATTTATAGTCAATTCAACATCACACTAGACTACGTAAATAATAAGGGTGCCGCGGACTGGCATTGGGATATATATATGGCCATTTCTATTCTTGTTTTTTCTCGTATTCTCTTCAAAACTGAAAAAGAAGACAACGGTACACTGAATTGGCTTTTTATCTGTCCCTCTTGAAGTATATATGTCAGTGTCCGCAAGCACAACAACAACATACAAACAAACCCAACGTTCTTTGGGATTTTCATAGGTATGAAGTGATCGACCTCATCATTCATAGCCACATCGCGCTGTAAAATCTGGTCAGACTCAGGACATCTCACAATCCTGCATGCTTTTTAGAGGCATTACATTAGACCAACACATTTGTATGCTTTTCGCTCAGACACTCTGATGCTCAAACTTATGTACACAGCTCACACAATGATACTCCCTGAAATATGGTAATAGAACCTAGTCTAGTTTAGTACTCTCGGGATCTGTGGGTGTGTAGTGCATAAGTGGAGGTTATCCAATCTCATGGGCACGAAGTAGGGAGTGCTTTGAATGGTCTGAGGTGCAAGAACACTCTTACCAAGGCAAACTTTAGTACTATCAGCCTAGTTTGACACCCATCCTCTATCTTCCCGTTTTGTTCCTTTTTTTAGAGGCCAGAATCAATCCTTTTTGAATGTTCTCTGGTATGTTGTGGTGTTGACGTTGCCATAGCAACAACAAGCACGTGACTGTATAGCGCGCCCGCGACGAATCCTCGAGACCAAGCTTTCTTCAGGATCAACAAAACAATCGACAACTTTGGAGGGGCCACATTGATCCACGACTTCAATGTAGGTATTACCGCCATGGAGTCCCCGAATTCCCTCCCAGCATACAATGAGCTGTACCGGCAACCACCCCGACCGATGTCCCGATCCGCGGTTTCACGCTCGGGTTCCAGACGGGTATCTCCATCAGCTTTGACCAAACATTATTCGGGCGACAGCTCTGATGAAGAGGTCCCGGAACCTAAGTTCAGCGCTTCTGTGAAAGCATTGCTGCATGGAGATGGATTGGGTTCTTCGCCTCATCTGCAAAAGGCACACATATCGCACGAACCTCGGATTGGAATATCAAGACAGCAAAGCCGCTCACCCCGGAATCCGTCCCCACACGACTCATCTAATGGTAGCCCGGCTCCAAGAATCGTCCGTATAGGGGCCATCTCATCTGGTTCCCGATTCTCACGCGAAGGCTCCCCACTATCAAATAGCCAAAGTGCAGAGCCAGAGCAGCACAGCCGCCCAAATGATTTTATCACCCCCGCCCCACGCCAACGCAGTGTCCGTATCAATGCTTCACGAAGCAACACTCAATCCCCGGCCTCTGCCTCACCTTCGGGAAATCGCTCGTCGGAACGCAATTCGGGCGACGAGTATGGTAGTGCAGATCGCTCTGATAGCGATCGGAAATCGCTGTATGACGATGATCTAGCGTTACGATATGGCCCTTCTTCCGCATTACGGGGCCGCGGCGGCGAAGAAATTGCACCACATAGCTCTTTGCGCGTCAAGCGGGTTGGTCGACTTGCTGGCACTTTCTTGAACGGCCCTGCTCGGAGGGGAGTGCTACGACGTCAGAGCGAGGAAAGCAACGAGGAAAACCATCAATATGGCTCGGCTGACGGCGTCCCCGAGGACGTCGAAGGAGAGGAGGAACATGCCGAATACCGACCTCACAAACCCTCATCTCCCAAGGTTTCATGGGCTGACCCAAGTCCGCCTCTCGCCCGAGATTCTAATCGACGCGAATATCCTCTCCGTCCCGCTGAGGTTGAGGGGCCGTTTTCGAGGTCATCTTCACCGAAATCGCACGCCTCAAAGTCCACCCCCGCTTCATCAGATATGTCTTCCAAATCCTCGATTGTGAAGGAACAACCTGTATTCAAGGTTCCTTCAATACCGGCTTTGCCCTCGGTCCGCGACCAAGAGAATGAACCACCACCAACTTTCAGGCGTACAAAGCCCCAACGATTGAATGTGTTGGATAAGCCAGAAAAGTATAACGTTGTCTACGACTCCGAGAAGAAAGATGTAGCGGAGACTCCAGCAACCAACTCTGCGCGAAAAATACTTGCCACACGGAGCAATAACACTCCTCATAGGGCCGCTCCTCCCCCTCCGAAAATGTCAGTCCTTGAAACTGCCACTTCCACGGGGGGGCGCCTCGACCTCACAATCCCGAAAGAAGAGGAGTCAAGTATCAATCAACGGCAAGCATTTCACTCGGCTTGATTGTATTGGTCGAGGCGGGAGCTCGCGCGTCTATCGAGTGATGGCAGAGAATTACAAGATCTTCGCTCTCAAGCGTGTCAACCTTGAAGATGTAGATCCGGTGACTTTGACTGGATACAAGGGTGAAATTGACTTGTTGAAAAAACTGGAGAATGTGGACCGTGTGGTGCGTTTGTTTGACTGGGAGCTGAACAATGACAAACATGCTCTTAGTGTGCTTATGGAGATTGGGGAGTCTGATCTTGAAAAGATTCTCACATACCGTCTGAACGCCGAGGACGCTGTTTTTGACATCAACTTCACCCGATTTTATTGGAAGGAGATGCTCGAGTGCGTCCAAGCTGTCCATGAGTACAACATCGTCCACTCAGATTTGAAGCCGGCCAACTTCCTCATGGTTCAAGGCCGGCTAAAGCTCATCGACTTTGGAATTGCAAATGCAATCCAAGACAACACGGTCAACGTTCATCGTGAACAGCAAGTCGGCACGCCGAATTATATGTCCCCTGAAGCATTGGTTGATTCCAACGTGTCTCTTGGTCTGCCTTCAAGTGTTGGAAAAGTTATGAAATTAGGAAAACCCAGCGATGTCTGGAGTTTGGGTTGTATTCTGTACAAGATGGTCTACGGACAACCACCTTTCGCCAAGATTGCGAAATATTATGAACGCATCATGGCTATCCCCAATCCCCGTGTACAAATCGATTTCCCGGCCTTTGGCGTCGGTGGGATTCCAGTGCCCCCTGGCCTTGTTCGGACCCTCAAGCGGTGTCTGCAGCGGGACCAGACTCTCCGACCAACTATTGAGGACATGCTTGGCCCACGCGATCCATTCTTGCACCCCGATGCCCAGCTTGATGGTGCCGTTCCAGTCACCCAGGATATGCTTGGCCGTATCCTGGCCAATGTCGTCAACCACTGCAAGGCCCGTGGTATACCCAGAGAAGAGGAACTGGCCGCATGGCCTGCAGGCTTCTTTGCAAAAATCAAAGCCGCCCTTGAAGAAGAAAATGCATGACAACACCTAGCCACTCCTTTTACCTTATTTCCTTTGTCTTGACTGCCCCATCAGCGTTTCCCCATGTTTCCTTTCTGGTTAGAACGACTTAATGACTGGTGTTGGATGTGTTGATATTTTTCTGTCTGGGTCTGGTTGGTTAATTTGCGGGATATCTGACTGTCTGTGTTTCTTGCATTGTCTCTTATTTCTTTCCGCATCATCCCTCAGGGTGTTTGTTTGACCCAACCATATTCCCTTTGTGGTGGGTATTTCTTGATGAATCTCGGTTTCAGCGCAGCGTGTGGATTTTCATTCCAGTACATGATTTCATTAGCCTTCTTATCCTTTCTCTTGCATTCGGATGGACATTGTTTCAGTATCAGCGTTCTTGGAGTCACAATAACTTCGCATTTGGTCAAGATGTTTGATTGACAACCTTTGCCTACCTTTATTACTTCGAAGGTTGGAGATTGCATTCCTCATCCTGTGAGCCTCCCGCAAATTGGATCAAGTCTTTAATCCATGATCTTGTGATCTTACAATGTAGACCTGGCTTGCAATGGAGAAGTTTGTCTTCATAAAATCATAGTTGATAGATGCCCAACTATCTAAAAACTAGCTATGTCCATTCAGAAGCCAAACATACGGGATACTTTTCGTTTGAAACCAATGGACTTGACTTTGCGCCATTAACACCGCCCAAGAATAGAACAGTCTTGATAGACCGTATGTATCAAGAAAGGGAAATATAGAACTGCCTGAGCATGGAGGTATCGGAGGCAAGCAGATGCCTGCCGGGGATGTAGAGGATGTGCTTGTGGTAAATTTAGACAAGGAGGACCCTATTGCAGGTTAGTTTTAGATATGAAATAATCAATAGGAATAATTCAGGTAACTCACGCATTGACACAACCGTCGTTTTCAGGGGTGTTGGTCACCTGGGCCCATTTACCCCAGACAACCTTACCGGAAGTAGTAACAAGACCCAACTCGGAGACGTTGACCTCAATGATTGTTCCCTTGGTCAAGACACCCAGCTGGGTATAGAGAGGGTTCTGGGGGTTCTTCTTGACGGACAGGATGGGGAGTTGCACGGTGACAGCCAGCTCGGGACTGAAGAAAAAAAGTCAATACATCATATCCAACCAAAGTATACCGAGGGGCGGGCATTCTGCCCCCAAAGATAAAACATACTGTGTGACATTACACTTCTTGTAACGCAGACCCATGGGACGAATGAACCGCTCGTACTTAACGGGACGACGGGTGAAGTCGTTACCAACGAAAGTAGGCTTGGTGATCATACGCTTCCAGGCCTTCTTGTGGGTCTTCTTTCCGGTATTGATAACCTTGAACATCTCCTCCTCGCTGATACCCTTGACCTTGGGCAGGGGGACAGCAAACTTGGCGGCTTTCTCATTACGCTTATTCTTGATAGCACTGGAGAGAGCCTTGGCGTTGGTCTCCTGCGAGCGGTCGAGCAGGTACTGGGGCAGAGGGGTCTTGGAAGGCTCGTCGGGTGCGGCAGACTTGACATTCTTCTCCTCTTGAGCCTTGATGCGCTTCTTCATCTGGATCTTCTCCTTGTGGCGATTCTGCTGGTACAGCTTGGCCCGCAGACCACGCAGGTTCTGGGCATCGTGGGACTGCTTGTGTCCCTCACGAGCCTGGCGTTTGCGCATGCGCTCATCATGATCAAGGCGCTTACCATGCTGCTTCTGCCAGCGCTCGATATACCTGGTGGAAAATGTCAGTTGGAGATCGTATCAGGTGGTGGCTGGCGGGGGGGGACGAACTCGTTCTGAGGCTATAGGTAGGAAAAAGGTTAGTAAATTGATAAAATTGGAAGTCAAGGGATCAGAAATTCATTGATAGCATACCATAATGAACGAAGAATGAACAACACGAAGTGAATGGGTGATGAAGTTCTTGCCTTGAGGATCTAATCAAGACCGAAAAAGTTGTGATGCGGAAAAGATAGCGAGGCACGTGATGCTCCTTATCGGTAAGGTCGTTTCTGGACCTCTGCTAGTACAGATGAAAAGAAAGTCCGGAGAGTAGTAGTTGATAACATGTATCAACGTGGGAATTTGAAACTGAACTGTGACTTATTCGGAAATCCATTATTACACCATTTGTCTATTCCATTTCTACCAAATCTGTATCCTCAAGTCAGCTAAATAGTATCACGTGACGCTACGGGTGACAAAGCGGCCAGTTGTGCAAGTCGTGAATTTCTCTAGCAACGGGAAAGCGGCTCTTCTATCCCGAATATCAACCACTGCGAACTACTCACACTCTCGACCATTGAGTATTGGCAAGCGGTCACTCAAGATGTTCTCACGCTCTGCTCTACGGAGCCTCGCATCCGAACTGCGCTGGACTGCGCCGTCTACAATTTCATCCGTAGCTCCCCTGCAGCAACGAGCATGCCTTCACCAAAGTGCATCTTTGATGAACTCGCAGCAACCTCAGAGCCAATCGCCCTCCAGCCATCCTGAATCTCCTCTTAGCGCCACTCCTCGGGCACAAGATACAAAACCGAAGACTCACCAGGGTGTCCCGGCCTCCAGCTTCGACGAAAACACCATGACCCCCCAAACACGCGCACACGTCCCCATCGCGAAACAACCCGTTGCCCCGACTTTTACCTCCCCTCTCAAAGTGACAAAGTCTCTCATGTCACAACTCCCTCACCTTGTCGGCCAGAAGCCGCACTATATCGTCGCTCAACTGCATGCACGACCATACCTATTGACAGAAGGGGATCACATCCGGTTGCCCTTCCTCATGCCCAAGGTCAAGGCGGGTGATATTCTGCGATTTAATCGTGCCTCGGCACTTGGATCCCGCGACTTCACAATGAAAGGCACACCGACTATCGACGAGCGTATCTACGAGTGCCGGGTTCGTGTGACGGGTGTGGACGCGGAGCCGCTGCGCATCAAGGAGAAGACAAAGCGGAGACAAAGACACGTCAAGCAGGCCAAGAGCAAGCACCGCTATACGCTCATGCGTGTTATGGATGTGCGGGTGAAGACGCCGGATGAGTTGTTGGCGGAAGGTGCGGTGGTCGTGGAAGACTCAGAGGACAGCTCAGTAATTGAACCCCGGTCATAATTGAGTTGTTCGGTGTTTGGGAGAAGCGTTTTTCGAGGCGAAAATATGATGTCGGACCTTGATCCGATCGTGGTTCGAGGCATCGACAGTACTAGTCGAGATATGGCCTGATCTTTGAGCTATTGGTAATTACCTTGCCGCGATGCATTGATATATCTGCGGCATATTGTACAGATAGATGGATACGGGCTGTTCTTTGTATGCATTGTATTCTATAGTATTGAAGTTTTTTTTTCTTGTAAGATCTCTCTATTGCATAATCTAAGAGGTCTTTATATGAGCTCTTCCTGGTACTTGGGCCAGCTCGAATCATCATCCCATCCCCGCTGAGGTTCATTCAACAAGGCCCAATATCTCATCCGCAATCTTCTCAGCAAATGCATACACAAGGGATTGGGGATGACCTGGAGGCAAAAATGGAAAACTGCTGGCATCAACAACTTTCAACCCCTGCACATCATACACATTTGCATGGCTGTCAACCACAGCCATCGTGTCGTTCTTGCGTCCCATTTTGCATGTCGCTGATGCATGGTAAACAGTAGTCATACTCTGATGAAGGAACTCAAGGATCTCAGCATCAGTGGAAACGTTGAAGCCAGGAAAATATTCCTCGTGCTCAGCCACGCCTAGCTTGGCCAATTCCGCCCAAATTTGCCGCTGTCGCTTGACAGCCTGGATAGCAAGATCAATATCAGTTGGATCTGTAAGCCATTGCGGGTCGATCAAGGGTGGGGTGTCCATGCTGGGGCTAGCGAGGCGGACTGAGCCGCGAGATAGAGGAGCAATCAATGCTCCACTGAGGGTTGCATATTGATGCCCATCTTTCGGATCTGTGTTGACTTTATTGAGATTATAACCATTGAATGCACTGATGGGTAGCCATTCTAGCTCTGGCCAGTCAGATGGGAAATTTGATAAGGCGAGACGAGATTTGTGAGTCAGATTTGAGCGATATGGGCCGGGCAATTTCTCCCAGCCGTAGTAGCCTGGCCCGAAGATGGAGAGGGCCCCTGTGGCATTTTGTATATACTCTTTCACACTAAGTGCTGCCAAAGTTGCGTTGTTGGCTGAGGCTGAGGCTGTGAGGACGTTCACGCGATGTGCAGTCCCGAATATTGGGTGGTCCTGCATATTTTGACCTACGCCTGGGAGATTCTTGATGCAGGGAATGTCAAAGCTTTGCAGATGGTTGCAAGGTCCGATGCCGGAGACCATCAGTAGCTGGGGAGACTGGAAGGCACCGGCTGATAGAATGACTTGGGCGCGAGCGTGTAATGTAAAGTTGACCGACCCAGTCCCAAAGGTGCCTGCGGTCGATACTTGCACCCCTGTTGCGCGCGTATTATCACCGTTAAATAAAATCTTTCGGGCCATGGTATTCTTGTACACTATGGGTCCGACGCCTTTGTTTAAAACGGTCTGAAGGAAACTCGACTCGGAGCTGGAGCGATGCGCGTTTCGCGGGTCGATGGTGAAGGTTGCAAAGGCAGAGCCAAGTAATCCACCACTGTTAAATCCATCAATCTGCTCCATGCCGAGAGCGATGAATGCCTTCTGGCACCATGTAGCAAACGCATTCACTGCATTACTAAAGGACACCTCTAGCGGTCCGCCTGAGGGACTGAACGCATCCGGGGTCTGGCTGTTCGAGGAATTGCTGTGTAACGCCTGGTTGGGAGGAGTATAGCGGACAGACTTTTTGAAGTAGGGCAATAAGCACTCGAAAGTGTAGCTCTGGTCATCTACCTCATCGGCCCAGCGTTGCATGCTCTCAAGCGTTGGCCGCTGGTAGAGCATGTAGTTCCTAGCTGAAGAACCCCCCAAGGTTTTGCCTCGGGCATAATGCAAGACCCGGCCTCCCGATCCAGGCTGCGGCTGCGTACTGAATCCCCAGTCGATGAGTGGCTGATAGTCTGTTGGGTCTGAGCCCGTGTAATAGCTAGAATACCCAGGGACAATGGAGTAATTGCCATTATCAATTTCATAGAAGCCCCCCGCCTCAATGACTGCAACGCTCACTGTTTGGTTTTCAGCCAGACGGCTTGCGATAGTGAGTCCGGCATTGCCTCCGCCGACAACTACATAGTCGAAAGTCGTATTCGCCCCTGGAATGCCAAAAGATGTGCCAAGCAAGGGTCCCGGATTACCGTAGGCAAATAGATTCAAATTCGGCGGATTGGCCGATGCTAATCCCAGCAGTGATGATGCGAGGAGAGCAGGCGCAATGTTGGTAGCAAACATCATGGTGGTAGACGACCTGACTTGGAACACTGTCATGAATGAAGAATCGCCATGTTGCGTATTTAGTTCCCAGTACTCCGTGGGCTGAAAGCATCTGTGCCGAAAGCATGCCGATCATTCCAGCACGCGACCACCTACAGAGTGCACATTGCATAGATCCAGCCTTGCGGCAGATTTCCGGGCCCTCGAGGGGATTTCATGGATGGAACTTTCGATGGACATTGAGACTTCCGTAAATCAAAACCAATGGCCAGGAAAAACAAGGACACGGAATCATTGATGCCACATTTATAAGGTGTCACATGTTCCTTTCATTGTAGATCATCGTGGTTGGGCTGTTTTCACGAATCCTACTCCGTACATCTTGATAATTCGCGTTATTGAGTTTTTTGAGCTGTAAATAGTATATGTCTTGATTGATGCTATTGAATAGGACGACTACTAAAAATCGTTAGAGTACAAGAGCTAGCATGAGACATTGATATATATCCTTGGGGATGGGTATCACGCGAAAAAAGACAACACCAACGGACCCTAATACAGCTGTTCAACCAAGTGACCTTGTCGCAGATACCGGTCTGCCCACCCCATTCGTCTGCGAAACTTGCGAATCGGGATGCTCCTGAGTTTCATCAAACGTTGGGCTGCCGTAAACACATATACCGTCTAGCTCATGTGAGGAAGTACGACGATTGTACTGTTGCGGTGAACCAAGGCGAATAATTCTACTTTCTTCATCACAATGCGACATCCGACGAGATAGTGAGGAGCGATCTTGGGAATCGAGAGTAGGGCTCATGCTTCTACTCGAGGCTACCCGTGATACGCCATAGAGACGTCGGAAGAGAGGTCGAAGTGTTGGAAGACAAGCACAGATTATCCCAACGGATTGCTCAACCGAGGACCAAGTTGCTGGCCCGATACTTGTATAAGTAGGATCACCAATGACTGCTGACTCGAAACTGATAATGCGCATAATTGAGACGATACAGACGCTGGTGCATATTTAGTAATACAGTCCATTTTGAGAGACGAGAGAAACGTACAAGCCACCCAGTAGGAAGATTCCGCTTAGAATACATTTTTGTCGGATCGTTGTTTTCACTCGCCAGGCCATTGGAAGCGGGAGACAGAGTACCAGGAAATCGAGAATCATGTTGCCAATGCCATTCCAGCGGAAGAATGCCACTTCGTTGATGCAGTGACCTGGCTCGCTTGTATTCCACGCTTTGGATACTGGTGAGCATCCCACAATCGAAGTTATTGAACATACGATAAAGTAGGCAACAACCATGAAGCCAGAGGCCCAGAGGACCCAACGAAACCCTCTCACAACACCAAAAATGCGGTAGAAGAGAAACAGCAGCGAGGTCTTGGTGAGGACGGCATTGGTAAAGTATAGAAGTTGGACAGCCACGAAGCTCTGCATGGTTGTTAGAGATTGGAGTCAATAGAAAGGTCTGATGCAATACCTTGCCAAATCCTATAAGCTTCTCAGGTGTTATGTATTGAGCGTGATGGCCATAATCGTACAAGGGGATCTGTGCCCATCGCAAAGCAGCCATACCCCAGTTTACCACCTTCCCCCTGTTAACTTTTATGCTCGTTGCAGGATGGAGAGACTAGATCCCAAGGCAACACTTACCAGAGATACTGCAATGGTATAGTCATCCCACCACAGGCCAGCACGGGAGATGTTGCGGGCAACAAACCGCAAAATCACGGAAGTGGTAGCAGGGACAATGCTGACAATTGTACCGACATAGATACGCCATGAAATGTTTGCATTCGGTGGATCTTGACCTAGTGCCATGTATGCACTTTCATCTGCTATAGAAGAAGCACGTTTTGTGCCAATGAATCCTCATTTTAAACACCTTATGGCGGAGTGTTTTTTGACTGTTCAATAGACATATGTGGACATCTAGGGATTCTGGGGAAAGATTCGACGTGTATAGCCCTGTTATAGAAACCTCTCACTCTTTATCCATTTAAGATATTGGACGGATTTGGCAATATGATCTCACGAATATATCAGCATCATAAAACGGTAACCGGTCTTGGCGGTAGGGGTTTTGGTACACCCGACTGGAGTGGCAAGTCTTTATCTAGCTTTTTATATGGAGATCGAATATTGTAAGATATTATTTACTTGAGAGATTAGTACTTCGAAATGTGAAGAATTTGGAAAAAAGTCAGAGTTATTTTGGACCTTTTGAATCCGATTGAAGAGCTAAAAAATATCCTAGACTATCAGACGAGCATATTCACCATACTCTGCTACAAGCGTGAATATCAAGAGACTCATGAAGTCTAAACCGCCTAATCATGATAGAAACATAATTGTGCTGATTGAACCAGCTTGAAAAAAAAAAGGGCTCGAGCAGGCGCTGTTAACATACAGTGTTTCCTATACCACAATCTTCTTTAAATGTAGTTTCTGTCGGCAGATTTCCAAAGATCTCTGTTGCATATCGGCATATAAATGGAACTCATCCGCCACACAGGCCCCAAGGAGTCGCTGAAAACCATCGAGGTCTGGATCCGCGCTCATTATCAGTTGCTTGGACTGGGAGATACCACCCAAGTTGGAATTAAAAATTCCCCCTGCAGACAAAGGAAGGAAGTCTTCATATGTGATAGCCTCGTAACTCAGGAGTTGCTTTCTGAGAAGATCCTGAAGTGAGATTGGGGACCGTTGCTCCTCCGATAATAGGACGCCTTCATTAGCCAACTGATGACCCAGCGGTGTCAACTGATAGGTGAAAAATCCCAGTCCCAGGTCGTGGAGTTCCGACAGATTATCAGGAAACTCTTTGAAGCGGTCTTCCAATAGCTTTTCATAGGCCTTTCCTTTCAAATTATGATTCACAGCTGTTATATTGACTTGGTCCAGGATTTGATCATAAAGCTGGCGTCCTTGTCGGGTCAAAGCGAAGCCTCGCTGCTCCACTTCCCCAAAGCGTGCTGTGTGGGAGCCCTTCACATATAGACCAGACGAATCCTTGAAATAAACGGTTTCCTCCAGCGCCTTGAAGCTTGTCTGCCGCAGAAGAATCGGACACGATCGTTTTGGCGGCCCCTCGATACGCTCCTTGACAGGCATTCCATGATCTGACATCAATTGTTGTACAAGATCAATATCAATCGTCCGAGGTGTTAAGTGATTGATATGCGAGCCTGGGAAAGAGACAACGTCCGCAATTAAAGGATGCTCAGCTTTGAGCTGCTCGTATTCTCCAAGGGTGACCGTTGCTTTTGAATGCCACCGAAATGTCTCCAGACCATTGCTAATAAGGTCTGTGCATTGATCTGCTGTCAAAAAGCCGCGGCTCTCCGCGATATCCAACAGGGCAAGAAGTCTGGGCGTGAAAATCTGTCTTTGCTCCAACGCTTTCTGTGCTAATTTCCGAGTCCTTTCAGTCAACAGGTCCATGCGCAAGACCGTTGTGAACACGCGAAATGGATTCTTATCGAGTGCCTCTTTGGTATTTGGTCGGAAGGCCGTGGCGTGCATGGGAAATCCGGCCAGACTGAGGTCGTAGTAGCCCACAGGATACATTCCCATCACAGAAAACATGCGACGGATTGTATTCAGCTCATACGCTGTACCCAGTCGGATGGCTCCGTGTCTCTCAACACGATGCCGTGCGGGCAAAACGTCATCTGGGTTGATAACGCCATTACCTTCCATATTCTTGCTATTTTGAACTGCTTTCGCATCTGCTTCCCAGACCACATCAATTAGATCTCCGTAGAGAGGGACTTCGTTCTTGTACATTTCCGAAAGTGCATGACAGAAGCGGGATCGCAAAATATTCTGATCGTAGGCCATCTTGAAGGGTTAGAAAAAGTAGAGGTATGACAACGAGTATAAGATGTCAGAAGTGTTTTAAAATGGAGTAGGAACTGCCGATAACGAATGTCGTATTGAAGAGGAGAAAGACCGATTTTATATACCTTGGTGCATTGACTCCGGGGATCGAAAGCAGCTGATATCAATTCTCCTCGTTTACCCGCTATCTGCCGCCTTTTGTCGGGGAGATAAGTCTAGATAACTCATTTACTACATACATACCTAGGGAGCTGGATCAAGGTGAGTCAGATGTTGTTTTTAATATTTGATGCTGAAAGTACATGTAAAGTCATAGGTAGCGTATCTCATCCGACGGGAGAGAGTATATGTTTACATTTGGAAATGGGTCCAAGGCCACTCAAATGTGTTTCTTATTGAATGAGTAGCAGTATAGACCTTGATACCAGAATATATTTTAAGCTAGGAGGTGAGTAAATAAATAGGTAGAAAGCCGCTCTCATAGAATACGAGTCATTCAAGTGCTGGACCCATCATAGAACCATATTTGCTCGCAGGACTTCAGCTGAATGATCAATTGTTTTCGGTACTTCTAGCATGCAAAGGAAAAGGAAGCACATTGGGGTGTCACTTGAATTCAAAAGCGGAAAAAGACAGGAGTCTGCCCCATCCTTTCAATATCGAGGTCCCAATGGGGCCTCTCACAAGTTTCAACCATTATCTTCGAACTCCAAGTCAAAAGGGCCTTCATCTTCTACAAGCGACTATGAGTGCCATCTGTACAAAACCACAGCCATCGTCATCAAAAGAATAAAATCATAATTCATCATCCAATCTATGTACATAATTCCTGTCTATAAAATCGGCGAAAAGGAAAACCAAAAAGCACAAGTAATAATCCAGTCCAATCCAGATTATTCCAAATATTTCCATCGTCACGAACAGGTAGTCTGCTGCTATGCAAGCTGACTCGGTGCATGGGGTATATGCACCCATAATCAAAAATTCCAGAGAAATCAGACGCTTCATCCCAAAAAAATCAAGAACAAATTCCAGATAAAACGCCGTAGTAGAAGGAAGGTCATAAGAAGACGTCAGGGGGAGCTAAATGGCCGAAAGTGAGGTGAAAGGTGAGGTCGGGGCGGAATTGAGGAAATATACGAAGTGGAGGCATAGGGAAGAGATGAACAGAGTTGAATGTCATCACAGGGGCGCCATAGAGGCTTCCCTATCTTCGATATCACTGACGGACGTAGCTGGCGACGCAAGTCCCGACATAACCGAGCTCGAAGCCCCCGTGCCGGCATCCATCATAGCATCATCGTAAGAGCCAAGCGACGTAGTCGGCATGCGCGGCGGCGCATTCTTGCTAGATGACGCCATGAGCTCCGCGATCCCCGGCTTCGCGGGGACATGCTTATGTAGCGCGGTAGCATTGTCCAGACTTTGCAGGGCAAAGCCCATGAACTCGGCATTTTTGTGGCTGACACCTAGAGTCCAGCGGTATTCACACAGCCGGACGCGGTAGAAGTCTGCCTCTTCGTTTGTCGGGGCAGTGATGCGAAGCAGCATGCCGAAGGAGCCGATGAGGGAGAAGTTAGTGCGTGCGGAGGCGGGCCAGAAAGAGCGGAGGTGAGCGGGGCGGAGACGGTTGACAAAGTCCATTGCGGAGATGAGACGGGTTTTTGCGGCGGAGCGGCAGATGTGCGCGAGGTACTGGTCGGTGCCTTCGGCGAGGAGGGAACGGACGATGCAGCGGTGGAGGGTTATTTCGGTGGCAAAGTAGGCAAGATGGAGGGCGCCATTGCGGGCATGTTCGTCTGTTATTGTTTCGACAAGTTCGCCGTTGGAGGTTTCCATCTTGAGAGATGGTGGGAGGGAGGAGAACCAGTCCTTGAGCCGGATTTGGGCTGGTTTGGCCTTTTCTAAGATCATGCGTGTACGCTGGTTTCCGGCGGCAGAAAACTCTTCGATAGCGTGCAATGTATAGAAACGGTCGAGGATATCGGAAAGGATGGTTGTTAATGCGACCATGTGGCAGAAAAGAAGAGGCCCGTGACCAACGGCGGTTTCATCGTGCGAGGAGTCAGTGCCGGAGGCAAAGGCATCCGAGAAGTCCTGCTCCACGAGATCCTTGACCGTCCAGTTGAAGGCGAAAATATGTGAAGGTCGGCCATGCACCAGCGACGACCATTTATCCTGCATATATAGAGCCCACGCAAGGCGTTTCCGCAAGCCTTTCTCCCACGTCTCCATACGCCAATTCGTGCAGTCCTGATGCAGGCCCAGCTCGAAAGCGGCCGTCACCAGCTGACCATTCAATGACGCCGTAGCTAGAGTCGACTTCTGTGTCAGCAGGAGCCCGGCTTGGATGGTCGAGACACTGGGGAATTGCAAAGAATCCATTAGTAGCTTCAAGGCCGAAGCTTCCAGTCGTGCGGCATCGGGTTTGCGCGCAGTTTGTGAGCTGACACCGACGTCGACGAACTTCAAAGTCAAGACGTAGACTGCGGCAAGAAGTAGCGGTGAAAGGCCACGGCGCTCACGGTAGGATTGGCGAAACACTTCCTCGATCAAAATCGGGAACGAAGGATGTACATGATCGAAGAACTTCTCGATCAGTGTTGAGCCGTAGGGAGCGACCAGGCTCTCAACAGCATCAAGCGACATGGCCTGTGAGTCATTGACAGGCCCGGTGTCGACGACGCGCATGAAGGTGCCATCATCGGCACACCTCCGCACACGTGAGTTTGAAACTGTGCATTCATCGTATTGGTCCAGTGGAAGATATTCCAGCAAGGTTGGCTCCAGCTCAGTGGTCATGCCAATATGCTGGGTTGACTGGTTAAAAAATCCGGGCCGAATCATGCTCACTGCCTGCGGGTGAGACTCGGTCTCCGGGATAGATTGCTCCGGTTGAATTGTCGAGGGTCTGGGGATTGTTAGAACGCAATTTCCTTTTCTCTATACATGGAGCTGAAGTCTATCCCCAACCGATTGGAATTCCATACCGCTTAATTCCTTCGGTGGGCTCCGGCCCGTCCAATTTCCTTTTCTTAGATGGAGCCTCGGATGGGGCTGTGAGGCCAAAGGTACACTCCTGGCGATGAAAATCGCACGAGTAGCATTTATTGACCATCTCGTTCATGGCACACCTGCTCTTTCTGCGGAGACAAGCGTCACAGCTAGCTCCATTCCGTACGCGGGGAAGGGTCGAATTGACGGAGATGGGGGATGGGGAGAGCGTTGGGGTCGATGCCGTCTGTCGGAGATCAGGGGAATGGGCTTGAGAATAGCCCGCAGGCTGGATAGTGATAACGGTAGCCATGTGGACCGGAGCTAGCCCTGAAGGCACGATAATCGGACAAATAGGAAGGGAGATAGAAACAGTGATAGGGTCTTCACGGAGTACCCAGGCGTGTCACTCCGCAATCTAGAGTAAGATCTCTGGAATATCGAGTCAGTCATTGGATGAGATCATGGTGATAAGAGAAACACACCTTATCAGAAAGGCCCGAAAAAAAAGTTGACTATCTCCGAAATAGGTGGAGATCCAGAGATATATCAAGCCGGCGAGCCTGCGAGTGACTGCAGCAGGATGAGATGCCGAATCGTTCGCTCCGTCATTCCTAGAGATGAAGAGAAGAGAAAAAGGCCCAGAGATGGGATGATGACATCGATCTATCTAATAGGTAATATAAACCATGAAGAGTCCAAATTGGGGACTTTTCCAGATCGACCCTTTTTTCGTCTCGTAACAAAAACCGTTTTCAACAGGTCCATGACTTGAAAATTATAACACTTTAATTGTCAAAGATAAGCGGTATCGTGCTGATTGGTTCTCAAACCCAGATATGGCATTACGTACTGAATATCATTAGGTCAGCATCGACTCCGTAGCTACTTGGGCAATGTGTTAGATAATAAGAACTTCCCATTTATATTATGCAATATAGGGATCACCCCCCAGGGTATATAGATCAACTCCCCTTGGGCCCTCGGGGATTGTCTTCCCTGCAGCAAAATGGCGTTGTAACTGGTTACTTACTGGACCTCGGGAGGATTACTAGGATCTGCCGGACCAATCATCATTCAGTGATAACGGTTTCTCACTCAACCAATCATAGGTCGTCCCATACTAAAGTCGCAGTAGTGCCCGAGATATTTCCTAAAAGAAAAAAAAAGAAACTGTGGGGTGATGGATGGGGAAAACCCAAAAAAAGCCAAAAAGCCTATAACGTAGTGGATGTATCTAAGCCGTATACATGACTGTAATACAGTACCACAATTGGATTAGCTGCACCCCGGAGTCAGGAATTCCTTCCCCGGCACATGTTGCGGTGGCAAAAGGGCACGGACGGGCTAAGGTTTCTATTATCAATCCTATGGAGTACCTATGGAGATGTTCACTGATCTCTGTGCAAATCATGGGTACATCAACGCCTTCGAACTCCATGCTCCTAAAAGAAAGAAAAAAAAAAAATACAGCAGGAAGATGCTTTTACTCGGTGAAATTGCGCAGCTTGGTCAGCTCATCCAGCAACTCTTGCAAGTCTCCGTCGGAAATCTTGTTTTGAAGACTCGGGATGAGAGACTTGGCTTCCTCGGCATTGTCGCAACACAGACTACCTATTCAGAGGATCCCAAGTCAGTAACTCTGAGGTTGACCAAATCTTCCAACGCTGTTCAGGTGCAAGGATGGATCGAAGGTCTTGGCTGATGAAAGTTCAAATCAAAACTTACCCAACTGCGACCGCTCAAACATCTCGAGCTCCGTGTGAGAGTTCAAGAGTCGTTCCACGGCCTTGATGTTCTCCTCGTCCTTGAATCGGGCAAAGACATCCAAGTAATCCAACGTCTTGGTCAGGTTTCTGAGACCGTCCAGGTAAGCATTCGATCTCAATGGATCCATGGTCCACTTACTCCGGCTCTTCGTATTTGTTACCACCGCGTCGCTTGTTCTCCAACACTTTGTGAATAACCAATCGTGCTTCGGAAAGTGAGAGTGTGTGCGTATGTTGGTCAGCGCCCAGCTTGAGTGTAGAGGCAGCTTCCAGCTCGCCTTGCGGCAGCGCGCGCTTGCGGTGTGTGGGTGGGGGAAGTTGGACGCTCATAGTGCAATGTGAGAGGCGAGATGTCGTAGGTTCGGGGATGCAGCTTGATGCGTGTGAGTCGAATGTATTGGTGAAAAAGATTTGCCCGGAGCTACTTCGTCGACGCCGTGTATCTGCCGTCAAGAAGATGAGGTAACTTGTTTGGCGCAACGTTTGATCTTTGCAGTTTCACTTCCGGCAGTTCAAGGCGGTGACGCCGCTACCGCCTCTACATGCCTCCCCCGCAGGAGTGCAACAAGATCTCATGAGAAAGACCATTGAGATTATTTATTATTACTAGTACTACGCATCATAGGTATCTCTTAGGGTACTGGTGTCTTATTTTTGTTCATGGAGAAAGTCCCAAGGATCTCAATGGCAGCTATGCATTAAGTCTATACCTTCCGAAAAGCAACCTCCCGCGGCAGACGGAAGCTGGCACAGAACATCTGCTTCTTGGGACTAACCAGCCTCACATTGTGAATAGCGAGTTCCACGTCCTGGTTACCCTTACCTCCCACACAGTCATCGACGGTGATCTTGTGCCCGATACGCTCAGAAATTCTCTCGCAGATGTCGATGTGATCATCCACCTCGTTATCTGAGTGCCCTGAGAAACAGTAAACGTGGACCATGGGCAATTTTTGCTCCGTCTCGGGTGTAAACAAATGTTCCTCGCCAGCATAGAGCCCGGGGAAGGCATCGAGGAATTCAATGGCCGTAGCAGGCAGGTTCATAACATAGTGATTGACAATGGTGGGACGGGTGTAGACCTTCGGCGCGGGTAACTGGCCCCCCTTGCCTTGCGCGGCCTTACGCTGCTGCTCTCTGCCCACTTTGGGGTGGATAGTGATGGTAAGAGGCTTCGCCGCCAGCAACGAGCGACCCGAGGAACGGATAAACTCCCTACCGTCCTGGTTGAAAGGAGTAATGAAATCTTGCACCTTATTACGGGAGATAGCATCTTGCATAACTTCAAATCCATGAGGATTGAGATCGTTGGCCCAGACGAATATCTTCTTCCGGCCTGCTGGCACGGCGAAGGGGCCGACTCCGGCCATCACGTCGCAGACCATTTCGCTGGGCTCGAACTTCTCGACCAGGCGGCGATGCTCGGTTTCTAGGCGGCTGTTCCAATAGACACGGGCATAGTCGAACCGGAATTCGCAGTCCTGCTCGTGCTGGATGACATTAAGATCATTCTCACCTGTCAGCAGTTCAAATGGGAAGGTGCGGAACTGGCTGTGTGAGCCGACATCTTCGGTCTTATTGATGACAGTACGGATGGTGGGGTTCTTGTCCATAAGAACCTCGGCAATTATGTGCTTATATGGCAAATATTGGGCGCGGAGATTTAAATGCACTGTTTCGTTAGTGTTGGGTTCATAGCCAGTGACTCAGACAACATACAGACATGCCCCACTTGAGTGAAGCCTTGAGGGATCTCTTCCATCATGTCCTCGGGTAGGACTGATGAGATGATCTCAGCTATGAGAATGTTAGCGTGGAATTCTTATGTGAGAAAACATAATCGCAAGCATACCATATGACCAATGGTCATATTCCAATGCCAGTTCATAAGGCCCCAAGGCGACCGTTCCCTTATTCACGAGCTCGTTGATAGTAGGTGACCATGTTGCCTTATCTATAAATCGCGATTAGAGGCTATCGAACAAGGTGATAGGGAACCTAAGACCAATAGACATAAACATACCTTCAACCTTGAGGTCTTCGCGCAACAACATAGCCTTCCACACCTTACCATCTTGGTCCTTCACCTCACGGATAGCGCTAATGCGTGGCAGCAGCAAGAGATCGTGGCTCTTGGTCAAGTCTTTCCGCACGTTTGAGATATCGCTTGGTTTAAAAACGCGGGCGACAGAGAGGGGCACGTTTCTTCGGAAAAATGACCGGTCGAGTGTGCGCATGGCACGGTTCACAGGGGGTCGGAACATGGCGGGGGTCTCGTGGGGGGTAGCCTGCCTGGAAGCCTCATCTGTCGATTTCATTGGAGATAGAGAGTGTTTATATTTGGCCGATTGCGGATTGTCTCCTTGTTCGAAGCTCGAGGCGCATTGCGGCGCGATAATTTATTTCTTATCAGCCACGTGACATTCTTATCTGTGTAGATCGGTATAGATCTGGGCAGGTCCTGTAGATTACATGTGAAATGTAGCACGAGATTTCAAAATCGGTCTTCATGAATTGTGAGCAATGGTCGTTCTCAGGATTGTGTAAATGGCACGCTTTGGTCTATGAAAAAAGCGTTTGAATTTCTATCTCCCATGTGCTAAAGTACTGGGCCCAAAGCTCGGGGGAAATTGTAGGGTAATACCAGATTGTCATATCTACGCCGTTTGAAAATGCTAATTTTTGTCCATTGATGGAATAGAACATTGACTTCCCTGCATCGCGAAATGTTGAGACAATAACACAATCATCGCAAATCACAAAGCTATCATAATCATCGTAACAGTTCGTGAGATAGGTGGCCCACAATGAGCTAAAGTTAGGCCAGAATTTTCAAATGCCAATCTATGAAATCAACATCGGTAGTGTGTCGCTGTATGTGCAATTTGGCTGGCCTCTCAATAGGGGCCTCTCAATAGGGTTTCATCCCTTCAATAAGAGAACGATCCAGTTCCCTCTGGGCTTCCAGGCTGGAAACACGGTTTTGTAGCTTCTTGATATCCTCATCTTTCTTCTTTAATGCCAGTCGTGTCATATCCCGCCCACGAATAATCCCTTGTGTCTTCAAGTCCTGCCGGTTAAGCAGCGAGACGACCTCGTCGTGCGCTTTGTTTGGCAGAACAACACTATGTTTCTCCAGAATATCGAGTAGACTCTTTGCAAGATCCGAAGTATCAAACTTCGAGTCTGCAGAAAGTACATCGTTGTATTTGCTAGGTGTGGGGGTCATGCATAATTCTGCAGACAAGGGAGGGAACATATCGGTGCGAGAGGAGCGGGATGAGAAAGGCGTCGCGGGTGCAGACTGGTCGGATGAAAGATTATCATTTGTAACTTCCGTCAATTTGCGCTTTCCGGGTGAGGTAATTGTGGAGGTGCGGGGGGTCTTGAACGGGGATTCGGGATGGAAGTTGGGTTGCGAGATGAAGGTCTCGGTCTGGCTAGAAGAGAGTGCCTTGAGCAGCTCATCATTGTCGTCCGAGTCATCATCCCATCCAAACTCGTCTGACGCTTCTGAGATCATTCTGGCCTTAGCTGTTTTCGGGGGCGACTTGAAGTTGCGCTGTGGGGTATTGATGAATCTGCGCTCAGTCTGTGGAGTGAGTAGCCCGTTGTTCGTACGTCCTAAAGTACGCTTTGATGGGGTGAGCGAGACAGGGTCAAGTTCTGATCGAGAGTTGGCAAGAACGGCTGCTTGCTCGCGCATTGTAGCGTCATCTGCCCACAAGAAGAAGCTGCACTTGAGATGTGGAGACTGCGCGCAAGTCCAGACTATTTCCTGGGTCAGTCGCTACTTTGGTATAAAGGCGATTATCCAAGCTTCATCCTTGAAAGCCTAGCATGATTTGACATACACCATTTCCCAAAGTTTGCTCCCTGCTTCTTTGTTTGACGACGGGCGGCAGCTGGCCGCTCTGGGCAGTTGCAACACCAAATGCCATCTTTAAATAGACCTCGACGCAGAGGAGCCGTAGTTCCCGGCGAGCCTGGGTATTTTTGAGGGGATGACATGTTCTGCAGCTTTTCCCCGGATGTTGTTCAAGATGGAAGATGAACGTCGGTCGCCATGGAAACTTGCTTATCTAAGTTATCTCATTGCCCCACGAGGTCTTGGCACTGTTTAAGACATTCTATGGAGTTTCCCATGGGATGACGCTAGAAATAGAACATAGATGGGGAATAATCGAGACAATCTCATCTATATTCCACAGGTCAAGGCTGATGTCAGATCACCACATATCCCCCATTATTATAAGAAACTTGCCCCCGACGTCGAATCCTTTTATCCCCTAATGATCCCCTCATGCTTCGATACCCTTCTAAAGACCTCAAATGCATACACAATGCAACACACAAGGACCACTCTCAACCCTTCCTAAAGAACTATATCTCGCAATATCCGATTTTCTCCCATCACCATCTGACCTAAATGCCTTCACCTGCATCAACGCTACAACCTACAACCTCCTAAACACCACCCTATATAAGCGCGATGCAACCTCGCCAAATCCGAAATCGCTCTTCTGGGCTTCATCAACCGACACCGCATCAACAGCCCTAAAATCCCTTTCTGCAGGCTTTGACATTCAATCAAGAACAGACATCCACCCCCGAATAAAAGGCTGCACCCCAATAATGCTAGCTGCGCTGCATAATAGCATCGCGGTACTCAAATTGCTCTTGCTAAACGATGAAGCAAACCCAAACACCCGTGATAGAAAATGGATCCGCCCGCCACTATCTTGGGCTGTCAAAGAGGGCCACTCAGCCATAGTGCAGATCCTGCTGAATGATGACCGTACAGACGCCAACTTGCAAGATAAGACAGGCGATACCGCGCTTATGATTGCCGTCAATCACCAGCCCAAGATGATGACACTGCTGCTCTGTAGCGAGCGGGTGGATCCGCGCGTGCCAAATAGGCAGGGATGGACGCCGCTCAGCCGGGCTGCGCGCGAAGCAGATGGAGACGTGGGTTTGCTACTTGCTAAGCATTTGCGGTTGATTCTTGACGGTGACAATGGCGCTATGCATTGCCAGCATGTGTTTTTCTATGCGGCTATCATGGGGCATGTTGATATTGTGCAGTATTTGGTTCAGTACTTCGGGGAGAAACTTGATCCCAACGCTGAGGGACAGAAGTATGGGCGGGGAGCGTTTTCAATTGCTGCTTCCGCGGAGCGGGTGGACGTTGTACGCTTCTTACTAGGGTGGGAGGTAACGGATCCTAATTTACAGACGCATTGGAAGAGGCAGACACCTTTGTTCGTCGCTGCGGAGAATGGACACGAGGAGATTGTGGACTTGCTGGTTGGGTGTGAGAGAGTTGATTTGGAAATTCCTGATATGCATGGGACTACACCGTTGGGGGTGGCGACGGAAAGAAACCATGAGGGGATTGTTAGGCGGTTGTTGACTGGGTCTAGGCGGGCTGATCCCAATGCTTGTGATGAGAACGGCCAGACACCGCTGTTCAATGCTGCGTTTTATGGTCACATAGGTGTCGTAAAGCTACTGCTTGAGGCGCATGGAATTAATCCACAGTTGTGTGATACAGATGGGAAGACGCCGTCACAGGTGGCATCGGAGAATGGCAATCACCAGGTAGTGGAGGCACTACAGAGGTACATAAGCAACTCATCATGAATGAACTCGTTCCAATTATCATGACCTATCTGGCTCGCGGTCCCTTTCATCCGCCATATCTATCTAATGCTTCCGCCGAACCCCTCCGCACAGCCATGAGGGAGCCAGCCAGTAAAAACAAATGAGCAACCAATCGGTGTATGAAACACAATCAGAGAATGGGAATCAAAGTGGAGAAGCCATATCTATGGCGGTATCACGAATGCAGCAAAGCAATTCTAAGTTCGACGTCTAATCAGCAAGCACGTGCCGCAACATGATGCCAAACGGATCAGCAAGCTTGAGAATCTCCGTAACCTCGGGCTTGACGGGTTCACCCGCGGTACGGCGAAGTTGTTCCTGCTTCTTTGTCCGCCGGCGGCGCTCTACGGCGATAGGATCATCCATGTCCTCATCTCCACTGTCTTCGTCGGAAGCATCAGATGCTTCATCCGAGATGGTGAGGTCCTCCAAATCAGCCTGTAAGCCCGTGGTTAGTAGTGAAGTTCAAACACATTTTGGAAGTTGAGTGGGCGGAAAGCACATACCTCGTCAAGACCGAAATCGCTGCCTCTGAAAGTTGTAGCTCCTGGAATAGTCTCCCCAGAGGTTCCTTCGGCAGCCATCTTCTGGCGAGTCTTGTTCAGATGCCAGCGCTTTCGATCTTCTTGCCACTTTATAAGCTGGTTAATTTCCGTGAGCGCGAGGTCTTTGTCGATTTGGCCAACTCCAACCGCTCCTTGGAACAAAGCGTTGATATCCATTTTGCCTCCGGCGGGGCCGTTGCGCAGGAAATCGAGAATCTCTTCGATCCAACCCATGAGAGACTGGAAGAGGCCGTTGTCATGCTGGTGCACTTCGTGGATGAACTTGTAGAAGTTGGCCTCGTGGCGAGCGCACAGGTCGATGAAGGCCTGCACTGTTTGATTCGGATCCGCAGAGACATCCTGGCGCTGTGCACTCTCAATCACATTGATGGCATCGTCGGCAAAGTGAGCAAAGTCCGTAATGCTGTTGTATACGTTGGCAGATTTGTAAACCCGGACGAGCGGCTCGTAGAATATAGTGAACAGATCGCGGAAGAGCTGCAGTGTGACCGGCTCCTCGACAATACTGAGCATCATGGCCTTGTCACGTTGGCGGGTGTATAGCTTCAGAAGCTGCTTCATGTGAGCGAACCATTGAGCTCCCTGTTGCATTTCCAGATCTACGTTCTCCACGGCATAGTTCCAAGCCACGTAGCCGTTGAAAATCTTGCCAATCTGTTCCGGGTTGAGGTCAGGTGATATTAGTTCGGAGCGAAGGATGGCCACAATAATGTCAACGTCGTCGGAAACAGCCTCTTCTCGAATCACATTCTTAACGACTTCCTCGGCTTCCGCGAAACTCTTGAGCTTCTGAGTAAGAACAGTATCTCCAACCTTTGAGGCTAAAGAATCAATTGATCTTTGGAAATCCTTGATACTTTCGTTTAGTGTTAATGAGAAGATTCTCTGCAAAAGTGACCGTGAGCCGAAGGGTTGGGCCATGAAAAGGTCTAGAACACCAGACATGACTGCAGCGGGGTTAGCGATGCGAATGACATTCTTCATCAACGTGTACGGAACGAGGCCGTGGATTCTCTTCGCCTGTGCAAACAGTTCAGGAGAGTTATCCTCGGCAAGGAACAAGTGGTATATTGTTGCAGCAACTCTGTTCAATGTTAGTAGGCCGACGCACTGAGAGAAACAGACAACGTACTCAATACGCAGCCACTCAGCAAATTTCTGATATTGCGGACTGAGATCTTGGATTGAGGGCTTCTCCCGGATCTCGGCGAACAATTTGGTCAAGCCATCTAAAATCCAGATGAGATTAGCACAATATGTCATTTTGGAAAGAGTTTGCGACTTACTACTCTCCACAATATCCCGCCGGAACCGCTCCATGTACACATCCAGCTCCGCAGCTCGCTGCCTAGCAATCTCATAGAATCTCTTCTGTTCCTCAATTCTCACAGCGTCCATGTCTTTCCGTCTCTGGACATCAATCAGCTCTTCCTCATTTAAATCGATGGGTCGAGCAGTCAAGAATTCTTCCACGGCCTTGGATTCTGCGATACGCTTGTTTTGCAGTACAGTGCGCAGGAACGCGCGCAGTGACACACGCTGCTCCTCACGGTACAGCACAGTCGCCCTGGACACCTCGCTCGTTGATGCACGCGGTGACTTCGTTGATCGCATTGACCCGCGGGAGATCGATCGCCGGACGCTCCCTGGAGTGAGAGTTGGTGCAGAGAGCCGATCTTCGGGAGCATTCGTGTCCAATGTCGAGAGAGATGAAAGAGACGAAGCATCATCATCTGCACTGGAGCCCCACCAGCTCGAGGTGGAAGACTTATTCTTACGAGGAAGAGGAGGGAGTTGTTTCCCAGGCAGCTCAGTCCTCAGCCTCCTGTGAAGCTTAACAAACTCTCCATATCTTCTCCCAACATGAACCTCCTGTTTGTCGTGGCGACGAACTCGAATGATAAATTCCTAAAATGTTCATAACGTCAGCAAAAATATTCCAACTCCCGAAAAAGGCGATTGTCAGAATCATGAAACTAACTGCATGTTGATGGTACCGCACTGTCCGCTTGACAGATGTTGTTCGAACAGCAGCCACGTTCACATCCCAACCATTGATAGAATTTCCCTCAGGCATATTAAACAACAGGCCCGATTCCTGGGCACCACGCTCGACGATCTCCATCTCCGAGAATTGTATACGCTCCTCATATCCCGACGCGGTCGGCACACCCGAAACCATCATCAGCTCCACGAGCTTCTCGCATTTTCGGGCCAACTTCCGGCGCTTTGTCTCCTCCAGTCGATCTTCCGACGACGAGACATGTTTATTGGCAAACGATTCCAAGAACTATATCCCCAACAGTCAGTCACAATCTGTTCCTTCTCCGTTTTCGGTCAGGGAAGCGAAAGACCCACGACTTGTAGCTTATCCTGCCAGAACTCCTTCTCGCGAGCTTGGTCAAGAAATGGGAAGTTCCGCACGTGGTGAACAAAGATATACCGAAGGATAGGCAGCTCCGAGTCGACTGGTGCAACTTCACCGAATTCTGATCTGAAGGGGGCGCCGAATCGCTGGAGCGCGGTGGGGGAATTTAGCTCGAAGATTTCATCACGAACTTCACGAGAGATAAGCTCGCGCTTGAGATCTGAGCAAATTATTTACATGTCAGCAACTCCAAAATCGAAATACGATCTTGATTTCCTCCAACTTACAATGTTCTTGCTTGCCCGTCAAGATCTGGCCTATTGGCGGGGTTGCACCCACATCTCCCTTGCCGTTGGGGAATGCGGGATCAGGTAATTGTGTTTCTGACATTTCGAAGGATAATGCTCCTGCTCACTTGAGAGGGAAGCTGAGTCCCTAAGGGATTGAATCGTAAGGCCAATGTCCGAGTGATGGTGGAAGCACGGAACGTGTCTGCCTAAAAAGGCTGGCGATACAATGAGCGGCTAAGGCTGAACAGTGCGTGCCTAGGATGTTTCTGTTTCGTGAAAGGTGTGGGAACAAATGTGATGGAAGGGGGGCTGAGTGTGGAGCAGTCGGGAGCGAGATGATGTCGTCACCCCCGACCTTATAAGGCTACCTGATATAGGCTATTATAAGGCTATACTAGATGACTACCTAGGTATATTATAGAGGATCGCTATGTTGCTATGTCTTCTTCCCAACAACAACCTAGTCTTCTGCCTTTACTATCTAACTATCTTGATGACGCCCGACTTGATATTGCACCAAACGCCCAGGTCACGTACGCCAAGGATGATTAAAGTGTTGCCTGCTAGTTCTGCGCCTTATGGGTGAATCTTCTTTGGTGTCATCGAACTATCGTTCCAGGGAAGCTAGTTCCCTTGAATAGATTTCTTTTCACTTAGATTAAAAAAAAAAACAAGAGAAATTACCGGGGGTTTGAGCAACTTTCTTTCTGGTATTTTAAACTATATATTTCGAAGAATACAGAGACTGCTATACCCAATATGAAAGAAAAGGTCCAAACGTCAGCCATGCTATTTGGGATAGAAAGATTAAGGTAAAAACAAAAGCTGGAAAGAAAATAAAAACCCATATTTCCATCGCTGAGAACATTAAATTCGCTTAAGACAAAAAAAAACTTGAGAGAAGAGTTGGGAAAGCCCCCATAACCAGGTGAGTCCCTCCTTACTTCATGAATTCCAGCTCCATGTCGCGAGGGAGGTAGTGTCCCTGGGGTTGCTGGCCATTCCAGGGTTGCAAGTTATGCAAAACGCGCTCATGCTCAAGAGAGGGGAACATTTGCTGTTGAGGCTGATGGTATTGAGCTGAATGGTCACTAGGAGTTTGCATCATGGGATGAGCACCGCTACCCATCTGCGCACTTTGATTGTAAAGGGTGAAGTCGTTACGTGCCTGGGCCTGGAGTCCATATTCGTAGCGCTCAGAAAGAGTATCGCCAACGTTACAAGAGTCCGGTGAGTAGAGCATGGCGTTGCCCTGCGCACCGGGAGAGAGACCAGTGAGCTTTCCAGAGGCATCGTATGAACAGTGGTTGAGGTTCATTTGCTCATAATCATTCGAATACCCCTTCATCACCTCAAGGGAATGACCCTGGGGGAGCTGCGCGGCCATCGCAGTGTAGTCCTCGTTGGTTGGGTAGTCCAGGTTGCTCCAATCCAGGTCGAAGTTGATGCTTTCCGTGCCGGTGAGTGGGGATCCGTCAAAGGACACAGGTCCCATCAAGTCGGGAACTGACTCCGCAGATGGAATAGACATGGAGTTCATGGACTGCCGGTGCATTTCGAGGGCTGGAATCAAGCCGTTCGGGTCACCAGCTTCGAATTGACTCTGGAAGCCGCTCAGGTTCACCGAAGTTGGGAACGAGTTGACATCAGTCATCAGGTAGGGCGATGTTTCTCCAAACAAAGGGAAATCCTCCCCGTGGGCAAGCGCAGGAGGGTCAGCAAAGTTGAATTGAGGATTCTCAGGCCAGTTGTAGG